TGCCATTTGGGAGTGAGATTGCAAGGTCACCTTTCCTGATGGCATGGAAGGTGTGATTGCCAGCAGCAGTGATAGGTTTGGGAATGATTGGCTTATAGTTGAGGAATTTGCTGCAGTAGGAGGACATATGACATGAAGCACCTGAGTCAAACAAGATGGTCTCCTCTGTGGAATTTAGGCTTTCACCTGTGAGCAGAGCATGATCAAAGGTGTTCATGTATGCTTCTTCTTCATCAATAATGATGTCCTGGGGGTTCAGAATTTCTTCCTCTGCAATTTCCATGAGCCAGTCATCATCCTACAGGTGTGCTAGCCAAACTCCATTGGGTTCCAAGTCAGCACTGGTCTGTGCACTCAAGCTGGCTGATGCACTGGCTGCCATGGCTGCTTTTCTGGTGCCTTTATCCTTCTTTTTCCCTTTTCCCTTGTTCTGGAACCATTTGGGCACTTGCCCAGCTTTTCCACCATCCTCTTCCCAGCACTGGTCTCTGGAATGACCTTTCTTTCTGCAATTTTCACAAGTAGACTTCTTTCCATCCTTTGCTGAGTAAGCTGCATCTTTGGAATTTCCAGAGTTTCCAGTGTTGCCCCTCTTCATCCACATTCAGTGCCTATCATATTCATCAGAAATTACTTTGATTATGAAGTCCAGAGATACAGTGAGAGACAAAAGTGTTGAAATGTTTGAGAGGTGTGACTTGCTGCCAATGTAGCTCAGGCTATTCTGCACAGATAATCATGATACCTATTCCATTGGAAAGGGGTGGTTCTAAGCTTGCCAGAGCACTAAGGTTCAGTCTAAACAAATCAATACATGCTGAGATACACCCTATTCCTTCCAAAAGGTGCATTGCAATGTTTTTGTCCCTGACTGGTAAAATAGTGAAAAGTGACCTTTTGATGGGATTGAGGGCATGAAGGATGGGAAAATATGATTACATGATAAACCATATGATCTTCCAGATGATTTGTCAGCATGTAAACAATGACAAACATTGGACTTGTACCATTAACCCTCCCTCTTTTACCACAACTCATGAAATCATCTCTCTAGCTCACATGGTCATTTTCTCAAGGAATTCTTATCAAATACTGGTGGCCACCACAGTGCCATCAGTATAACATGCTCTCAGAACCATCAGTCCCTTAAAAAACCTGTTGTCAGTCATTCCCTGGACTGTTTCCCCACCCATGCCTGATGTGTTCTGGGAATAATCAGTACTTGGAAGGCTGAAAATGTTATGGAGGTCAATCTGGCACTTCAGAACATGATGGACAAACCAGTCCCCTCTCAACCAATGCATTTCTGGCACAGGGACAGTGGTATGGAAGTTAGGGCAAGACAAAATCCTCTTTACCCCTGGGTGTCATCAGAAGGATATGCTACTGAACTGCCATGGAGCAGAATCCTGTGCTTCCATCTGGCCCTGAATATTGCCTTTGGTCACATATGACCAAATAATCCTTCCCCAGTCATCTACAGTTCAGATCAGAGCAAGATCTAGTGAACCCTCTTATGGTGCTCAGAGCACAAGGAGGTTTTATCTCACCCCAACTTCCATTCCAGTGTTCCTGTGCCAGAAATGCATTGGTTGAGAGGAGACTGGTTTGTCCATCATGTTCTGAAGTGCCAGATTGACCTCCATAACATTTTCAGCCTTCCAAGTACTGATTATTCCCAGAACACATCAGGCATGGGTGGGGAAACAGTCCAGGGAATGACTGACAACAGGTTTTTTAAGGGACTGATGGTTCTGAGAGCATGTTATACTGATGGCACTGTGGTGGCCACCAGTATTTGATAAGAATTCCTTGAGAAAATGACCATGTGAGCTAGAGAGATGATTTCATGAGTTGTGGTAAAAGAGGGAGGGTTAATGGTACAAGTCCAATGTTTGTCATTGTTTACATGCTGACAAATCATCTGGAAGATCATATGGTTTATCATGTAATCATATTTTCCCATCCTTCATGCCCTCAATCCCATCAAAAGGTCACTTTTCACTATTTTACCAGTCAGGGACAAAAACATTGCAATGCACCTTTTGGAAGGAATAGGGTGTATCTCAGCATGTATTGATTTGTTTAGACTGAACCTTAGTGCTCTGGCAAGCTTAGAACCACCCCTTTCCAATGGAATAGGTATCATGATTATCTGTGCAGAATAGCCTGAGCTACATTGGCAGCAAGTCACACCTCTCAAACATTGCAACACTTTTGTCCCTCACTGTAGGTCCTTTTGCATGACCAAGGTTAAAGATGTCATAGCTGCAAGGTTGGAGTCATATGAAGTGGGAAGTGAGCTGAGAATGATGGCTGTGAAGTCATCATCTGTGATAGACTGTCCAAGTGTGGCATGTTGTTCATGCAGTGCATGCATCTTGTTGAAGTGAGCACAGACATTGCTTTTTCTGCACAGCAGGATTCTTGGAGTTTTCTCTGAAGATCAATTGCAACAACATGAGAGCAGTTTTGGAAAAGATCTGTGAGGACACCCCACACTGTCATGACCATGACATTGGCATAAGCCCCTAACATCTACTCTGCCCTCTTCTGCACCCTGGGAACCTTTCTCCACCCTCTTCTGATGCATTCCCATGCTCCTCTGACCCTTCTGGCTGTTGGAGTTTATCACTTTTACCTTAGTTGTGGTTCACCGAGCACAGCATTACATAATCCAAAAGCGGACACTTAGCAGTTTATTTTTTCCTTACTGCACCTCAGCTTCAACCAACTTGAAGTCTGAGGTGGGACTCCTTCCATTCATTATATTGGAACACTTACTTACCTACCTACAGTATATTCCTCTCCATAGGTAGTTAACTACTAGCTTCAACCAACTTGAAGTCTGAGTATATTCCTCTCCATAGACTTGACAATCCTGCAGCTCGTCATCCTCCAAAACTGGCATGTCTCTGCACCTCTCTGAGGTCCCCTGTCCATATTCTGACCAACTCCACCCACCTCCACTCTCAGGCCAGTCATGTGAAGGCCATACCTTCACCTGTGCCTCCTCTGAGACCTTGGTTGGCTTGTCAGGATGTTTGACTTGCAACCCTGTGTCCCAGATAGGGTTCCACCCTTGTGCCAGTCTTTCTCCATTCTTCCACTCCTTCAGTATTTACTCTTTCTCCCTTGTTGTAGTAGTTCCCTTGTCTCAGTTAAGGTCCCCATTGTCCCTATCCTCTATCCCTTGTGTCAGAGGTACTGCTAACCTTTTATATGTTTATTGGCTTGCATTCTACACTGCCCTGCCCTTGACCTACATCATATAAGGCTGCATAGTACTCTGATGTAATCAGTATGAATATTGAATAAAGTCCCCACTTCTGACTCCCTCTCAGCTCCCTCCAGAGTTTTGTCTTCACTCCCTCTGAGTCCACTCCACCTCTGAAATACAAGGGCTGAGCTCATGCAAGGGGGCAGCACACTAGCTGAACCCAATGCCCTCTCATCCAACCTCTGCCTCCAAAACTTTCCTCCATACCCCTCTACTCACTGTTTCTTGCATATCTCACCACCCAGTGGTCAGATTTGCTTCAGACTTTGACCACTGTACTCTGCAGCCCAACCCACTCCTACTCCACCCTAAGAGGAAGTCAGGGGTGTTGTGTGACCTTGACACACACTCTCTTTGCAGTCTCTTCCTTCAGAACTCAAAGGAACAATGATTCTGGGAGTGACATGGCAATCACTTGCTTGACATATCTGTCATCCTTTGCCCATTGCTGGAGTTTTTCTGGGTATTTGCTGACAAGTTTTTGCTCTGTGACTGTGGGCTTCCAGGAGGAGTCTTTTCCCCCTGAAGGGTCCTCCAGTTTTGCATCCAAGCTGGTCAGGTGTCCAATCAGCCCTTTTGAACTGATGGCCCATTCAACCCAAGCCTGTCAAGTTCATGATGTCCAGGTTGAGGCCAGACTGGAGACCAAAGTGGGCATGAGGCTGAGGGGTCAGGATCAGGGGGAAGGGGCAGAGATACAGGTGGTGGACTGATTGGACTTAGTGACTGAGATTACAGTGCTATCCCCTTGCATGGGTTTCAGTCCAAGTCTGAGGCCAAGAATTGCAGATAGAACTTATTTGATTTCAGACTGGGGAGTACAGGCCAAGTATCTAAGAGCTTATATACTAGAAGTATCTATAGTACAGAGACTGGTAATGCCAGTCTCTCAAAGACTGCTAAGATGATTGGTAAGACAAGTATCAGTAAGGTATGACTAAGGTAATGGGGACTGGGACAGGGCAAACCAGGGACAAGACCAGGCAGAATTCAACCAAAGTGACCCACACTAGCCCATCTGGGGATAAGGGATTGGCAAGACTGAGGCCAAGTCTGGCCAGGGTCAATACATGACTATGACACATTGCACCAATGTCAATCTAAACTTCAAATTTCATCTTCACATTTTCGACAACCTTTGAACCTGGTCTAAACTCTGCTAACCACATTGTGTAAGAGAAAAATTACTACAGTATATGTACATGCTTTTTTGCTTATGTAAGTGACACATCTTCACAACCAAGTCTATAAAACTATCAAAGCAGTTTATACTTCAACAGTTAAGTGTTGGAGAAGGTCAGAGTAGGCCCAGACTTGACAGGATGAGCAAGTTCTGCCTGCAGAAAAGTGTGCTGAGGCAAGACACATAGCCCACTTCACTGACTCAAACATGGACTACATTCTATGTCACACTTCACAACTCAGCTTACATGGAATACTACCAAGTCATGTTGATATCAAGGCAGGAGCAAGAAGAGTCTGAAGAGTACCATTTACACTGGGTACTTATCTGCTATGTAAGACTAGTGAGAGACTAAGTATGCAATACAGCCTGATATGAGTACAGAGATAGAAATCCAGGTGCAAAGTGCGGCGCCAAGCAACAAGTGTACTGTCCTCTGGAATTACAACGAACGTGGGGAGCAGGTGATATCAAACGGAAGGACCGTGGTGCAGGTGAAATCGTGTATATTTTCTGCACCCTTGCGTGTATGCCGGTCACTCCGGCTAAGTTCGAAGCAACATTGTCGTAGGCATCCGCCGATTCTCTCATCTCCGCGTTGTCTTTGCCTACATAGCTCGGTCGTTCGAGTTCCACGCCCGCTTCAGCGGGACGGACAAGCTGTGGCCAACTATTGAAGACCAATCGATGATACCAGATGCAAGTACGTGAGGATGTTCCGAGGCTTGAACCGCATGATGTGGGTAGGACAACGTACCGGCGGTAGGGTTAGGGGGAAAGGGTGATTGGTTCGATGATGGGGATAGCATAGGCACAGGAACAGAGGGTAAAGCACTGGCAGCATCATCCGCACGGACGCTCTCTGTGGCGGGGGTGCCGGTGCTAATTCCTTCGAGAGTTTCCAACTCCTCGTGCAACCTCTGGTTGGCGTACTTGAGTTGCTGTAATTCATACTGCCAACTGGAACCTCGTGTTGTGTCAAGCTCTTCGAAAAGAGCCGCGTCACCTGGATGCATGACCAACGGACCAGCGTCGCCGCTGTTAACCGCTGCGTCTCTCGGCGACCTCTGACGTGATGAGCTCGACACCGAAACCATCCCAGTGAGCGTGCCAGGCGGGAGGACGGACACTTGGCACACAAGAGGACAGAGCGGACTGCCTCGGGGGTTCGCCAGGCCACCCGCCGGTAGATGGGTGTGCGCACGCGGCGTGCAATAGAAGACTATACGCACAGGGGCCGTATGCCCGTTGCGGGTGACGAGCGTCACCGAAAGGACGGTCAACTTTGGGTCACCTGTGTCCGCGATCACCTGAGAAGACAACATGAGATCACCAACGACCGGTGAAAGCACACACACCTCTTCCTCAAACTGACGCCCAAGTTCCGCCTCGACCTGCGCTCGGATCGCGACACCCGAGGCCATACCATCTGCCACCATCCCCCAGAGAGAACGGCCAATGATCTCGCCAACACCCCAGCCGAGAACATCACGAACGCCCCCCGAGGCCACGAGAAAAGTGCCTCCAGGTGCAAGCAATGCCCAAAATTCCTGGGGTTCTGCCAGACTCGCTTTCACCATGATCAGCACACGCAATGAAATGTAGAGGTATCACGTACCTGCGTTGGAACCCTGACCGGCTGGCACTACTTGAGGATTTGGTTCCGGGCTACAACTATTGGCGCCCAAAATGCCAACGCCCACACCCCCTGCACGCTTGATGGTATCCCATCGCACAGCAGGCATCCAACGTGCGCGACCGGAAAGTATAATCGCCTTGCGACCCTTTCCGGGTTCGACGTGAAGACGCCCGCGGCACTCGAGCCATATGTAGGATCGTGAGGCACCCTCGGCATCGGGAGTGCCCGACGTTGTTGGGATATCCGACGAGGCATCAGGAGTAGTTGCGTTGGTCGTCGAAGCAGGGGCTGGCGTCGAGGACGAAAACGGAGGGAGAGGATGTGCCGGAGTCTTGGGTGCGGCGCGAAACAAGAGGTCGACGGGCTTAGGCATACCCAGCGGGTGTGTACTGTCCCCAGGCGACCCAGGAGGGCAACCGGCTCCTGACCCAGAACTGGCGAGCGTACCACCCACGCCGACGCTGCCTTCTTTCAGCTCCCGCATGAGAGGGACAAGGTCTGCGGGGTGGCAGACATCAGCGATGCTGCGGCCCACCAGTTCATGTGGCTCGTAGCCGAGAACAAGACGAACCGATGGCGCGACATAGAGAAAAGAGCCCTTGAGGGAGAGAACAAGCAGAAAATCAGGGAGGAGCTCGAGCAACAGGAGTGAGAGTGCGGGAGAAATGGGTGCGAGAGGGGAAGATGAAGCGCTTGACAGGATAGCAGAGGAAGAAGACATGGTGACGTGGGCGGAATTTGAAGCTGGTGCGGATAGAGATGATAGAGGAGTCGTAGTGCCGCCAGGATCGGGTGCCACTGTTCCCGATATATTCACGGATGTAGATATGGGGACGGCATCTGCGAAGGTGTTGTCTGTGATGAGGTTTCGCAGGTCTCTGGAAACAGCACCGCCTGTGAGGTGAGAGGTCTTTGAACTACGAGGGGGTAATACGAGCGCACCCGCGCCAGCAGTCTGTTGAGGAATGGCGAGGCATTCCGGAAGGCCCGAGGAGGCCCATGCACTGTAAGTGGTGCAGTAGGACCCGTCACGGACTTTGTCGAGGATACGGCGCGGTTGTTCTGTGAGGTCGACCTGGAAGCCAACGTGGTATACGATGTCGTCGGCCTCGTTGGGCCCGCCATGGATGCCCCCACGGAGTGGGACGACGGTGACGAGATTGATAAAGGGCTGGCCGCCTTTCCTGTAGTTGACGAGGCTTGCCTGGCACTCCTTCCCGGAGGCTAGTGCCTTGCGCATGTAGGCGACGGGTTCGCGCAAGGCAGACTGGCGTGGCTCGCCTCTTGCAACATGACCGGTTGGTGATTGAAGGAAGCGGCAGTTACGACCGATGACCTCGTGCTCGCTATAGCCGGTAAGACGATAAAAGGACGGTGAGGCGTATACGATGGGGGAATCGTGTCTTCGTACGTCTGCAACTGCAAATGAGCAGGAGAGATCCACTGGGCCGAGATTAACGGTTGGGTATGGACGGTTTGTGACGCGAGCTAGGATGGAAAGGAGATCGAAGCCTGACGTCGAGTAGACGGGGAGGGCAAGAGCAGAGGGGGACGAAATAGGCAAGGGAGCTGTGGGAGGCGGGCTGATCTGGGGAGGGACAACCGCGAATGAATGGGACAGCGAGGGCTGCAGATGGGCTTGATAGGACGACGAGGGCACCACTTGATCATGCTGGGCCGGGAGAAGATGGTGCTCAGTGAAGCCAGGGGCGGGCTGGAGGGAGACATGGTCGTCCGCCGGGTTATAGGCGAGTAGGTCGAAGGCGTCGGACGACGTAGGCTCGGTGTCGGCCTGGTGGTGTTTGGCGGCGGTATGGAAACTACGGGGGGACTGATAAGCCCCACAGCGGGGGTGGGTGTGTTACTACTCACGGTACAAAGCCGCTGTTGGTGAGCCAGGACGAGGCGAGGGAATCTGGGCTGTCTAGGAGGCCAACAGGGAGGACTTCTGCACCACCACCGGGGGCAAGGATGGGTGGGCCATTGAGCATGAAGTGGGGGATCTGGAACTGGATGGCATTGTTGAACGCTGCTGCTGGATGACTGAACTGGCCGCCATGGTCGTAGACGACGGTGTCCTCCTCCTCGTTGGGACGCAGGTATCTTTCAAAAGGCATGCGTTTGGTGGTCGCAGACAGAAGAAGCGTGCTGGCTCAACAATAGGATTGGTGTTGGTCCCCACTTATTTGCTTGATTCCTGGCCACACTCGACGTGTCTGGTCCACTCAAGTGCGCATGGGCCACACGAGCCCACTTCTCCTCTGAATGTACTGCGCACGGACTCGCTCCACCAGCGAAACAACCGTTCACCGTAGTTTGTGTTACGTAACTCGGAACCCTAACCCGAGGACACGTGTTTGCAAGGTGCACTTTTTGAGTTGGCCATCGTCGTAGTCGACGTGTAGAACGACATATGGCGGGTGCTAATTCAGTGCCGTCGCCGCCGCCAGGCATCCCAGAGGCATCCAGGGTATCTACTGAACAGTGGAAGAACGACCTCTTCCAGCTCTTCCGCAATGCAAAGGACCACTTTCCAGATGTCGTCTGGGACATCCATCCAGACGAAGACGACAACGCTGTCGAGCATGTCTGGGGCCACAAAGGTTTGTTGCCAGTCCATCGCACGCACACACACACACTCACGCTGTCGTCGTATCCCCCGCAGCCGTGGTGTACGCACGCGCACCACCGTCGTTCCAGGCGAGGTACTTCTCGTTGCGCCCTGTGCCCGTCACGTCCCCGACACCTTACGCCCCCTCGCCTTCGCCGTCGCCCGCCCCCGCCCAGTCGACCGTCTCTCTCAGTGCTACGTTAGACCTGCCACTTAATTCGCCGTCCCCTTCGCCCTCCCCCTTCCGCTCATCCTCCCCCTCCCCTTCAACCCCTACTCACCCATCCGTCCTCCGCATCCCGATCAACGCCAACCCCGCCCTGTTCGCAAACGAGCTCGAGTACCTCTACACAGGCGCAGGGCTAGGCGAGGCATTCGAATTCCTCTTCGACACCTCCGAATCTCGCGACCTCCTTGCCAACGAAGACAATCGCATCGACAAGCTCCGCAAAGATCTCGTCTACATGTGGCGATCTCGTCTCTACTCCGATGTCCGTATCTCGCTCACCGGCAACTTCTCGTCCTCAAATCCAGAGCACACAACCGCCGTCTTCTCCACCCATCGGTTTATCCTCATCTCGAGATCTCCCTGCTTCAGAGCTCAACTCCTCACCTGGGCCTCCCCTCAATCCGCCAAAACCCCAACCGCCACTACCGCATCCAACCCTAACGATCCGTTCACCATCCATCTCCCGTCCCCCCCTTTTACACCCGCCTCCATTCACTTCACTTTGGGCTATATCTACACCGGCACCCTCCACTTCTCGCATCGTACATTCGATCTCGATACTGCCTTCGCCATCCTCAGAGCCTCCCTTTACCTTTCCCTTCCAGCTCTCACCACCGAAATCCAGTCCCGCATCGTATACGAAATGCTCCATGGCCTCTTCCACGCTTTCCTCGAATTCAACGCCTACGAGAGTATCACCAATGCAAAGTGGGGTACCGGCGGGTGTCGCTGTCGTCAATGTGCAAGACGTGTACCAAGAGTACTTGAGTTTTCCGTCGCAGAAGACGTGCAGAACAAATACCTCGAAAGGGGTGCTCGAAGAGCACTCGTCGGACTCTTTGGTGAGGGCTGGTGTACCTCCGAATTCGCTGCTCTCCCACAGAAAACCCGTGAATCCGTCCTAAAAGGACTTGCGAAACGCACCACACCAGCCAACGTATTCCCTTTGCTTTTTGCTGCCCAACATGCCCTTCGCAAACTCGATAGCGCAATCGATGCCTGGGCAGATATCGTGCGTGAGATGGTTCTAACCGCAAGAAAATCCGTCGACGAGTGTCTGGTGCGTGAATGTGAAGCGTGCTTCGAAGATTCAGAGTGGGTATCCCTTCTGGAAGGCGACGGCGCGGGCTTTGGCGACGCAGAGAGGGTTGGATGGGTCATGGAGTCGTTGAAGAGGGGAATGAGCGAGAAGTACGCAGGAATCGTATACCAGGTATGTCATCCCTTTGCTTTATCAGCCTCGCCTTCACGTTGACCTCGCACGTTGTTCAGACCATAGTATCGTCAATTCTCCTTCGACCCCACCCTACGTCCGCTACTATGACCATGCTGCCATCGACCTCACCCATCCGAACCATCGTAGAGGATGCCCGTGTCGATCTCCTAAAATACATTCGTAAGCGCTGGATGAATATTAGGAACGAGGGAGGATTCGATGCTCTGGACAGCTGGAGTTTGAAGGAGATTTCACAAGGTGGGTGGCATTCGACGCTGGTCATTGTGCCAGCTGACACGCCTGCCATCAACAGAGATAGAGGTTGCCACCGAGGACCTTCTATCCCCTCCCAGTCACTCATCCCATTCTCAAGGTGGCACCCTCCGCTCCCACCATTCCACGCATCTCTCTCGGGCTCTTCGTTCATCGCTCGTCCGTGGGGCAGATGCGGATTCTGATACTTTGTCCGTGCATTCACTCCGCGCAAGTGTGCTATCCAAAACTGTCGGTACGATCGGACGAGATTCTGGGGCCAGTTCGCGCACATTGAAGGGGGACACAGCTTCCATTCGATCAGTATCACGCACTACAAGAACCCGGAACCAAAGCACGCCTACACCAGCTGGAGCTCTTACACGAGCCAATGTCGCAGCCCACATTCGAGCTCACTTGGATGCAGATGCAGAACGTCCAGATTCGAAATTGACCCCCGACGACGCCACCAGTGTCAGGAGCATGCGGTCAAGTGCCACGGAAAAAGCACGTGCACAAGGACGAGCTCACAGAAAGAGTTCGTCAACATCTACCCTACGCACTACTGACCCAGTCGAAGAAACTATGGATGACTCCAGCACCACACCCAGTGTTTGCGACCGTCCACGATCTCCGTCACGTCCAACACCAGGCTTCGGCCCCAGCGGCCGTCCACACTTGAGCAAAATCGTTACAACAAGTACCACATCGATGCGATCTACTACTTCGACACAGAAGTCACTTGCACCCTCCATCCATAACCGGGCACGGCCCCATAACGTCCGCCCCACGCCCGGCGTTTCTGGCACAGCACACCGCAGCCACGCGGGCTTGTCCACCTTAAGAATCCCTGGTTCTTCCCGCCCGACCTCGACCTTGTCCTCAGCAACGAGTGACACGGGCACATTCCGCACAGCGCAATCTGAGATCCTGACTCCAACGTCGGCAGGCTCTGGAGGCTCGGGCGGCTCAGCTTCCGGTGTACGCTCACGTAAAATATCGAGTGGTTCAACCGTGTCGACCGTATCTACGCGCACTGTGGGTACGACTTTACGGACCCCGAATCATGCACATGGCTTGCGGGAGCGGGAAAGATCGCGGGTTTCGTCGGGTGTGTCTATCAATTCTGTTGCGATGCGGCCCCCCGCACGTCGTACTGCAGATAGGGATGCTGGTAAACGCAGTCCTGCCGCAACCTCGAAACGGCTACCGCCCGTCAGCTCTGCTACGCCAGCAAGCAGAGAAACGACGCCTAAGAGCAGGTCGATAAGCAGGACAACGTCTGATCAGGGGTCCTCTGAGATCTCTCCGCGGGCGGAGGCGAGACAGCTGGAAAATGAGAAAGATGGCAGAGTTAAGAACAAAGTCAACGATAAGGAGAATCAAGTGCCAGCAGATACCAAGCAGAAGAACATCCCAGTCGTCGATATCATAAACGAACTTCCAGAACGGCAAGACCAGGTCGAAATGCAGAACAATCTCCCTGCGGACGACGACCCTGTCCTCGCTCGTCGCGGCAGCGCAGATACTATAACTGCCGCCCCCCTCCCCACGACAGCTCCGACTTCCAATCTCCAATCTCTCACCTTGGAGAACCTTGCACCACTCTCCCCGCCCGGCGCATCCCTTGAGATTGGCATTCCATGTATCATATCATCTAAACGCCGGCGGTTCCGTGCATTTGCACGTTATATTGGTGAAGTTCTGGGTGAACACGGGCCTTGGGTAGGCGTCGAAGTACCCATGGGTGCAGGGGATGCTTGGGTTGGAGACACCGGCGATGGTCGAGCCTGGTGCGATGGAACGTGGGGCGGTGTTCGTTATTTCGACATAGGCGGGTGTTGTTCCGAGTGGGAGTTTGGTGACAGTAACAATGGCAGAGGTAGAGATGGCGCGAGACGACGAACGGATGGTATTAATGGTCTGTCGAAGTCCCGCAGCTCTGGTAACCTGAAGAGAGAGGGTGATCATTTGTCGGGCGGCATCGACCGGTCGAAGAGGCTCAGAAGCTCCTCACCTACTGGATCCGACATATCGACTTCGGAATCACGAGGTTTGTTTGTAAGACCACAGCAGGTACTCTACGTTGTCGACGCTGTAGGCGCTGATCTCTAGTGTGTTGGATTGGAAGGCCGTCGTGAGTAACCGAGTCACCTTCATCCATTGCCTCACCAGCTGGTGAACATGGCTACGTATGCCTAGGTCCTTTCTTTGCTACTCCTGGGCTATTAGGCGTTCCATGCTTGCTTTCGAGTCGTTTTTTTTTTCTTGTTAACCAGCAACTGAACCGGCATTTGTCATGCACAGGATACCACATTCGTTATTTGCATTGCCCCTTTCGATTTTATACCACAATTTGGAACTTCAAATTATTGTTGCTGCATACGCTCCTTGACATTTGTATCTACCACTGACAGCGTTCATTGAAAGATTGTTGCACAGAACAAATCACCTCTGCCTGATTTTTAGGGCGTGCACCAGTAAGAAGTCCCGACGATGCTCTGCACTTGGGGAGAGGCTGCGTTTTTTGGACGATGACCCCACAGTTCGCCGGCTGCACGGACCACTGTCTTAAGCAATCGCTTGACTCGATATGGCGGAACTCCCCAATTCACCGTTGCATGGGTGTTTCAATAGAAGTACCGTACTGTTCTGTCGACTAGCACACAGGATGGGTTTCATGGTTATTACTTACCAGTCGGCTCACGACCATGGATCGGATGTTATGCTGCTTCATTCATTCAGTCAACCAGACATCAATGCATCACAAGTCCTTGCTGATTCGCGAGCCCCACAATTCGCGACCGCGGGTCTATCCACCAAGTACCTGGCTCAAGTATACAGTGTCAAGCCCCTAAAGTACACACAGACAATAGGTAACAGTTGAACCGCTGAGAAGCTCACCCTGACCGCCGTAACCATCGCTTAAGAAGAAAAGGGTGGTCATCAGGCGGATGGGCTTATCAGCAAACTTTTTTGATAACTTTCCAGATGTCAGCAACAATCTCAGAGGTTGTTATAGGAATCTACTGGTGTCGCAGGTACTGTGCTGTAACAAGGAATCAGATAGTGAAGCATTGAAGAATACCGTACTGACCAGTGACCATAGCATGGTCCCGCTCGTATGGTTCGAGCGTAATTTGTGCGATAGGCTTCAATTTATATTCTCGCAGTTTCTGCACTTCTTGCACAAAGACCGCCGATGGTGCTACCGTGCAATCGATGCAGCTCGCTTTTATGGAAAGAACGACGTAACCTCCATCCTTGAGGAAATATTGAGCATTGTGCGCAACAATACGAGCCTGATCAGGCTGTGCAACGTCCGCAAATATCACGTCGACAGTAGTGATGAGCATGCGATATCTGTTAGGCAGACGAGCATCCTCGATAATCGCTGGAATTCATGATATGAGAAACTAAGTTCTCTCCAACGATGACAGGAAACGCACGGATGACGTTAGTTCGCTTCTTCGCCATGTTGATTAGGTCTCGACCAGAGCGCAGTGAAAACTCAACGGCGTATACGACTCCCTCCTACAAGAACTTGTAAATACCACCTTAAAAATAAGAATAAGAAGCTTACAGGACCAACGATGTCTGCAACATGACTGACACTCGTGCCGCTAGCAGCACCGATGTATAACACCTTTTTGCTCGGCCCAATGTATATGTCGTCCATTCCACCAAGCACTCCTGCCGCCAGCTTACTCCGGAAAGGATTCCATACTCGGTACTCGATTTTAGGTGTCGTCGACCCCGCCCTCGACCGTAATCCGCTTCTCGCCATAGACACTTTCCCCTGGTACGAGATTCTTGGTCACAAGCAAGTGGTCCTTGCCCTTTGCGATAAACACCCCTGGGTGTCTGTGGGGTTCAAGAACGACTTTGGCTCCACCCCTGGGTTTACCCCTCGCTCCACCGCGACTGGCTCCACGACCTCCTCTGGGAGCACCGCGACCTCCCCCGCGACCTCCACGAAGTTGAACCTCCTCTTCCTCCTCCGCCTCTTGGGGCGCCTCGACCGAACCCTCCACCTCGAGGAGGACCACCTCTACCACCACCACGTGCACCTCTGAATGACCCGGGAGGCATGAAGAATTTACGTCTGTAAGCGTTAGTTGTGCAGGCTCAACCCGTTGGAAATTTTCTTTGAAGCAAGGCTTGCGTCGCAAAAACACGCAGGTCACACTTGTGACGCGTGACAACATCGTAACGTGTTGTGTACTTTTGAGCATCGAATTGACCAACCACAGACTGGCTTAACAATGGGCTATTATTCGTATTACTCTCTTGGTTTCCCTTCGTTCGTCGTGGTCGTTGTTGCTTTATATCTCTTGTTCACCAATTCAGGGGAAGCCTTCAACGTTGGACGGTTCCTCGAAGAAACAAGTCCTTTCGTGTGGGGTGCACTTGGAATCGGCCTCTGCATAGGTCTGAGCGTTTTGGGAGCTGCATGGTGTGCATGAAAGTTTTCCGCCTTGACCTTCTGACAGGTAAACAGGGGCATCTTTCTGACTGGGCCGTCGATACTGGGCGGGGGCGTAAGGGCACCGAGGATCAGCACAAAGAACCTGATCAGGTATTTGGCATACTCTCTTATGGCATCCATCGTGGTTGATTGTTCTCTTAAGTATTATCTTCTGCGAGGTCGTCGCAATTTATGGTGTGGTGCGTCTTGGACGTGATTCCTACAAGCACGCGACTGAACATTTCTCCTAGATTATGGGCATTGTTTACTCCGCTAAGTTGCAGAGCGTCCCCGAAGCTCAGCTATACACTCGCAACAACTTTTATACCGGTACGTCACTCGGGGTAATGCTCGGGTACAAGTTTCCAACGCTGTTCTTAAAGGCTACGCGCTATTCTTTGGTGGCCTCACAGTTGGTCTGTGCAACCTTTTCTGCGGCCTCTGCGTTGGTATTGCTGGTAGTTCAGCGGCTCTCGCTGATGCCGCCGATCCCGGGCTTTTCGTCAAGGTCCTTGTGATAGAGGTCTTTGGCAGCGTGTTAGGTTTGTTTGGACTCATCGGTGAGTTGTAGTCATTTCTGCACTACAATTTGCTCATGTGTTTTTGACAGTGGGCTTACTGATGATCGGAAACGCAAACGAGTTTGCTGCAGGTGCTCCAGCTTCTTCACCCCTTGCGCGAGCCCTCGCATCCCCATACGTGCATTAACAGTTCGTTGAGTACTTAGCACATGGATAGAATGACTCAATGGATTTCTCACGCTCTCCTACGTTCACACCCATCTGTTCGGCGCCCAAAATTCCCCATTGCTAAGGGGAAACTTCAAACGTCGATTTCTTATCAGGCCAACGGTACAACTATCAGGACGGTAGTGACTATTGAGGACCGCAGGCCCGCTGTCGCCCGACGCGAACTTCATTCTTTGAATATGCTTCTCATCCTGCCGTGATCTTGTGTTCGTCATATTGCGAATGTTGAGCTGGTTGAGAGATCCAACGATATTAACTTGCACCGTCCTTGCAACCCTTGAACATTGAGATGGGCGATCAGCTTAGATTCCAGTGCGAGAGGCTCTGCATGGATCCTCAAGAGCAGGGCCTTAACACGCAAATGGGCACGCTTACTGAGACCGAAGTTTCACGCTCTGACACTCGAACTGGGACTCATCGACGCTCTTGGGAAGGTCCTCTGTGTATACCAGGACCAGATCATAGGGGCTTTCGGACCTCAGTTTTCGCACAACTCAATTACTCAGCGCTCAGTTTTGGATGATTGTTTCTTTTGATATTCCCAGAATTGCGGACGGGTATTGCACTCATGTAAGTATAGGTACAAGTGCACATGATATACTTATTCGTTACGTGTAAATCCACTATACCGGGATCGCCGATTTGCAGTCCGGTCATTCAAGCAAGATTTAAGTCATCTCCTCAAAGTTTAGTGAGTTTCACAAGACTTGGTATGCTGATGGCGAGATCCGCAGGTCCCCGTGCGATGGTTGATGCCCCAAAGACCCATCTGTATTCCGTTCAGGGTCTATGTATGGTGGCGGGGCACCGAAGGCATTGTGCACCGAAACAAGCTCTTCGCTACGAGTAGAAAATGAGTTGAGACCGATCCGGCAGTCATCTCTAGCAGCTGATCAAACGTCAGGGGTGACATGCACTTGAGTAGCTGATTGGCACGATATGCCAGTAATGGAGTGTTGTTTTGGGAAGCATCATGGTTCTTGTGATAAGTCAAAGAGGCTCGAGACCTGGAATTTGCGCACCGATAATTTTGCCACCTGGTTGAGGCAGGAAGGACACGTGAGGAACAAATAGATGAGAAACAATATGTTTTTCCAAACATGCAAGAACATTATCAATATAACCAATCCTGGTGCTCCCAAAATCATGGTATGCATGAACCACGACCATTCGCAGACTGGCAAAAGCTGGGTGAAAAAATATGACAGTCAGTCGCCTGGCCTGTAATGGGATTGATACAGCCCCGATGTCCACAGTGGTCCCCGATTTAGATTATACGGAGTGGGAGTGGCAGGAACAAAGGGACAGCAGCATGAGAACGAGGAGGATAGGGGCACATGCGGATTTGGGCACGACAATTTTGAAATTTAGGGGCTTTTAGAACTCAAGATCTCAGATTTCGCACGGATTCGATAACAAAGTCGGCACATAAAATTTATCTCATATACATATGACCAGAACGATATCAGCATGGTTCAAGCAGTTCACCACCACAGGCCGACTCTCAAGCAGGTTTGTCATGGTCGTATGCACCTTGTTCACCGGTCTCAGTCTGAAGCGATCCGACGTAGCAAAATAAACCCTTCAAGTCAAAACATGCGACGAAGTCCGCGCTGAAAGACATTGCCAAGGGTAGGGATATCAATTCATGCATCGTGGCAATCATAACGTACTGTAGGGCGTACTCAGCGTCCTTCTCCAAAATCTACCGCAGTCAACACCGCTGCGCAACTCCGATTTAACAGGCGAAACACTCAGAAACAGATACAGGCTGCCAAGCGTGCTGCCCTCGTAGCCGCCACTCGTATCTTCAACGGTACGGACGGAGCGCCGAGAATTGTCGCAGTGATACCACTATGTGAGGGAATTCATACAGAGGACGCTATCCGCGCTCTTTCTTCTGTAGTAGGAGAAGAACTGGAAGGTGTACAAGGCAATTGTATAGTGTGGAGGATGAAGTGCGGTATACATCTACAGGATAGTCTTCGATCATGCTGACAGCTCTCATTTGAAAGGGCGCATCGTTTCAAAACGTCGCTTATGTTTCTTCCTGTTCAGTATGGAAACTACTGGGGTGCCCTCGACGCCGCGAAAGCCGCAGATTATGTTTTCTTTTTGTTCAGTCCGACCGTGGAGGTTGATCGGAAGGGTGACACGCTCCTTCGCACGCTACAGGCCCAAGGTTTACCAACTGTTATATCTGTCATTCCTCCTGACTCACAAGCCCACTCCATCGATCAAAAGTCTCGCTCGGCCATCCTCAAGTCACTTCTGTCCTTTATCCAATATTTTGAGCCTTCTCAGACCCGAGTCTACGATTTGTCTAACTCATCAGACTCTTTGATTGCTTTGCGTTCTCTGGCGGAAGGCCATCCTCGAGAAGTAAAATGGAGAGCGGGACGACCTTGGGTCGTTGGTGAGGAAGTAAATTGGGAGGATGGGATTCTCAAAGTTACAGGCATCGTTCGGGGCGCACGCCTTAGCGCAAATCGGTTGGTTCATGTCCCAAATTTTGGGGACTATGCAGTATCCAAGGCATGTCCACCTTCTTACCGTATAGGTCGTCGCTGTTTCTGAACTACCATTCCTAGATAATGTCTGCTCCTTTGCCTCGCGATAATTCCCATAAACGGATATCAATGGACATCGAACCCCAGGTTCTGTCGGAACGAGTTCCCTCGTCTGCAGACAGTTTGTTATCGACTAATGTTCCAGATGATATGGCCAATGAACAAACTTGGCCGACTGAAGAAGAGATGGACAACGTAAAAACGCAAGAGCATCACGTACCCGAGAACATACCGGACGCTGGCACAGGTATCACCCCAAAGCGAATCAAACACATACCGAAAGGAATGAGCGAGTACCAAGCGTCATGGATCGTCGATGATAGCGACGACGACAGAGAGTCTGAGGAGGGCTTGCACGATGATGCAAGTGATCAAAGGAGCAGTGCTGAAGAGCAAGACCATGATATGATACCACTAGATTCGGTGACGGACATTGAAACTGACCGGAAGAGCGTTGTCGCATTCCACGATCTTGATGCGGAAGAGGAGGAAAGACAGTGTGTACTTCCAATCGAAGTTGTCTTCCACCGGTAACTAATCCGAGTAAGATTGAAGGAGTGGCGGAACCGTGTGCAGGAGGAACGTGACGCGCAACAATTCCCTGACGAACTTGACACTCCTCAAGATACCCCTGCCCTCACACGATTTGCTCGCTACCGCGGGATGCGCTCTTTCCGTACTAGTCCATGGGATCCTTATGAGAACCTTCCTAGGGATTACGCGCGGATTTTCGAATTCGATGATTTTAAGCGCACGCAACGAGACGTCCAGAAGGCTGCTGAGTCAGAAGGGGTTGAGGTAGTCTTTTCCCCTTCACGTCTCACAGCAGCCTGATGCTGCCTATAGCCAGGAACGAGAGTCACTGTCTATGTTGAAGGTGTCCCTGAAGAGGCCAGCGTCACCCGCGGCCTTCCTCTCGTTATCCATGGACTACTTGAACACGAGCATAAGAAAACAGTTCTCCACTTTACTGTGCAGCGCAACACTGAGTATGAAGGTTCCGTCAGATCAAAGGTACGCCTTTGTACGCATCACCTGTCATCGTGACGAACTATTTCTAGGACCCACTCACTCTTTGTTACGGACCGCGCCGTTTGCGCGTAAATCCGGTGTACAGCCAGCACACGCGTGGGGGCGGAAAAGGCGTGAATAACGTCCACAAGTTTGAACGGTTTCTCTGGCATGGGACCACCATGGTTGCCAGTGTCTACGCGCCTGTCGTTTTCGGTAGACAGGCGTGTACACTGCTGCGGGAGACCAAAGGCGTCGAAGGTACGTGGTTTATGTGTCGTTGCTAGCTCCGGTTAATAGTGAGCGTAGTGCCGGAACTTGTCGCAATGGGCTCCTTCATGAACCCTGACACGACAAGGATTATAGCCAAGAGAATTGTCTTGACGGGACATCCCTTCAAGATACACAGAAAATCGGCGACCGTGCGATACATGTTCTTCAACCCTGGTAAAGGCTATAATATTTTCCCGCACCAGCCCTTGCATCTGACATCAATTGCTAGATGACATACAGTATTTCAAGCCCGTCCAGTTACATACGAAGCATGGGCGAAGTGGGCACATTCGAGAGTCATTAGGGACCCACGGGTACTTCAAGGCACACTTCGATGGACCGATCAGTCAGATGGATACGGTGTGCATGTCGTTGTATAAACGCGTGTACCCTCGCTGGAGCGAACCATGGAGACCGGAGTCCCGTGAACCGTTGGATGGTCCTCCCAGCAAGGATGAAGATATTTTAATGAGCTGAAGAGAGGCTCAGCCCTGTTCACGTGTATGCAGAATGCATTCTACCGTACTCTAAGCTCGGCACAACCTTCCATCTAACGCGTACATACGATGTCTGTACAATTACACCCATGCGATTCTCGAGTTGAATCACGATCCCGTCTCTGACAATTTACTTAAAATGGAGAAGAGCACAGTCTTCGTGCAGATTGATAGACTACGTAGGGACTCGATGCTCATCGACATCGCTGAATGTATTTCCCGAAGTTGTTTGACACTGTACATAGGGGAATGTATTTTTTTGGTTGCCTCATGCATGCACCACTGACGTAATCAGTTCTGCGCCACTGATATTGAACTCTGTCCATCCACACTGCCGACAAGACCTCCACCGGCGTATTCATCAAGATCATGAGCGTAAGCATGCCTTTTTTTCGCAACTGGCTCGCTATCGGGCCCGCCGTACAGTGATTGGTGGTTTTTGGAGTTGAGAGGTTGATGCCTACGGGTGGATGGGGTTCGGGTGGACCAGATGCACCAGGACCAATGAGCCAATCACTGTACCGGCACGGTCGACAGCAGGATGGGCCATTCACTGCTAGCAAGTTCTGGTGTTAACACCCTTGACAGTCACAGGATTCCAACTTCAAACGCTTTGTCGAGGTCGGGCGAGGTGAGCAGGTTCATCTTCAAACATTTAACCAGAGCTCTCCTGATGGTACTGTTACAAGTTGTCCTTCTCAACTCTGGCCCTTCTGCCGGAAAAATTGCTGTAATAGTAGAAATCATCGACCACAACCGGGTAAGCGAATCTGGTAGACTACCATCTTTGACTTTGCCCTTACTATGGTGTTTCGAACGCAGGCGATTATTGATGGACCTCTCACTTCTGTACCCCGACAAGCATTTTCCTACCGCCATCTCTCGTTGACGCCGCTCCGCCTAACGAACCTTCCGCGTGGTGCAGGCGCGGGTTGCATCCGCCGCCAGCTGGAAAAGGAAGGCATCGTCGCCAAGTGGGAGAATTCGTCGTGGGCGAAAAGGCGCGCTGCTATGGGGAAGCGGAGAACATTGAATGACTTCCAACGGTTCGAGGTTATGCTTGCTAAGAAGGCTAGAAGGGATGCTGTCCGCAAGGCCCTAGCCAAGGCATAGGCGGTACTGGTTACCATCGACATAAAATGACGACTGGGGAGGTGTTGTTGACTTCCCTTTACCACCATGCTTGTCGTTTACTTGTTCTCATGGATATGATCATGTTACTCGTCCAATATCCACGTCAGCTTTTCAATGGTCACGTTGTAATTTGTCCGTGTGGTCTGTCTCTTCCAACTTAGAGGTAACCTGATATATCCCTCTGCCCACTCACGGAACGTTCTATGCCTTGTGGAACCTCATTAAATGATGAATTTGACCGATCTTGCTGAACGGCATGGGACGGTCTCTTGACTGAGTTGTTCCGTGACTACAGCCTTGATTAGCTCCGCTGTAAGGTAGGTGATACAACATGAAACAGATCGGCAAACTAGATCGCCATGATGCACGGGAAATTGTCATGCTGGAACAGTCAAGAAAGGGCGTGTCATAAGTAGGGTGTACTCGGTGCACCCCGCAGACAAAGGATAGTCTATCTCTATACCGTTTTCTCTTTACTGTGTGTGATTCCTTTAAACCACTGTAAGACACCTCCTTTGGCTTTACCCTCTGGCAACGCTGTCGGCACTTCCTTGCCTGTGCTGACCGCGGAAGAAAGACGGTTTTTAATCCGTGTTTCACGCCAGCGTGGAGATGGTGCGCCCAGTGTGAGCGGCATCAAGGAGTACAGGTCCTTTCTTTGCGAGGCAGTGACATGGGTCTCAGTGTGCACGTAAGGTTTGAGCTAATTCGCACCAAGGATGAGAGGCCGTTTGCAACAGGAAGATTGGGAAAGATACCTCGCATTGGTTGATATCGGTGACGTGGGGTGCAACAAACACGCGCACTTTTTCGTCGAGAAGACGGTACTTGCCTGATCCGCGGACGATGAAACGACCTGGGGCACCTGTCCTGTGGCCACCTGGGAGGGCAGCCTGGCGAGTGCCCTTGTAGAAGTCTTTGTTGCCCCGCTTTGGAGTGAGTGGCCTGCGGGAGGCTTTGGAGAGACGAGCGGCGGTGGGGAACATGGCTGATCGCCTAAATTGGGCAAACCCGGATCTATACCGGAACTGACGAAAATCAGGTGCGTGAGAAAATCACATGGCCACGAGTCACATAAAATGCCACAAATGACGACACAGATATTAGTGGGGGCATGCCTCGTAGTCGCTGTCCTTGCCCTCGGTCGACCACCAATTACTGTCACTCCAACTGACGATCCTTACAGTCCATCTTCATCATGAGTGCTGGGTTCCGCATCTCTCCAGCCCTCTGGGAAAGAATCCACTACTTTGCATCCTTCCCTCAGACCGGAGGTGTGTGTCCATTCCATTCCCTGCATCCCCTTAATCTTCCTCATTCTTCCCCAGTCTCTCTCCAGCAGATGGTCTTGTTTGGACAGCATCCAAGCCAGGGCACCCTCCTCAAAGCAAGCCAATTCCTATCCGGTATCTCGGTATCTTTCTCTCCCTCTCATTTGCCGCTAACCAATTCATTCTTCCGCTCTTACTCCGTATACCATCCCATTTCCTGATCGATCTGAAACAGAGGAGCTTCCCGTCCGTCTCGCACATCGCGTGAAGGAACTCGACGCCTTGCCTTGCAATTTGAGTGACATGCCCTCCATCCGCAAGGTCAAGAATTGGTATGCACAGAGCTTCGAGGCGCGTCACCATCTTCCTTTCTTGTTCACAAACTCATCCGTCCCTTGATCAGGAACTCATCAGCTTTCCACCGCTAGCACTCTCTCCGTCAGCGCGTCAATCTCTAAACGCCCACTTAAACTCCTCCCCATCTCCCTCCGAGACTACTGCAATGGGTCACTCCCATGACCTGTTCCTCCCTCCCAGCACTCCAAATCCAGCACTTTCACACGAACAGATGGACGCGGACGATATGGGCACATGGGCTTTCGGTGGCGGTGAGGCCAACGGTCCATACGGGGAAGGTGTCCCTTATAGGCAGGCGGAGAGGGTAGACGGAACTCCAAAGGGAGCCGCAGGCAGTTGGAAAAATGGAAGCGGCACCGCCGTTAGAAACGGCGGAATCAGGCTGAGGGCCCCAATCGAAAGAAGGTGGGTCGCATCCTCTATTTTCAAAGATGATAATTCCGACCGCAGTAGATATTACGCGCACACTCCTTCCCACATCTACCCTCCAGAAGTTCACGATTACAACGCCCGGTTCACGCGAGCACTCGAAGCCATCAAACGTAGGCATGATCCGACCGTCGCGACCGTTGCACAAGGTGTGCTAGAGTGGCAGCGCACAAGAGGTATCAAGTCAGGGTCAGGAGTGGGCATCGGCGAGGCAGGCGCTACGAATGGAGGCGGGGTGGTCCAGGCGTGGTTGGACAGATTCTATATGTCCAGAATCGGCATTCGTTTCTTGATTGGGCAACGTGTGTTTCTCAGGTATCTGACGTAGCATTTGGTGCTGACTTACCGCACAGACGTCGCACTGAACACTCAGCAACCCCATAAGGACTATGTCGGGATCATATGCACACAAGCAGTGAGTTTTCATTCATACCTTTCAGCTCTAGCTCCAACCATCATTCCAGAACGTACACGATATCGTGCAGGAAGCAATCGAAAACGCACGATACGTCTGCGAGGAGCACTATGCCCTACTGCGGGGACCACCCGTACAGCTTATATGTCCACGTAACCTGACGTTTGCACACGTCCCCGGCCACTTGTCGCATATTGTTTTTGAGCTTCTCAAGAACTCTCTGCGTGCCGTGGTAGAGAGGTTTGGGGCAGATGCTGAGGACAGAGGGGGTGTGTAGCTCGTCCCGTGATGTGACTGTCTCTTTCAAGACATTGACTGGTTGCCATTGCAGTTGGGTATCCCCCCATCAAGGTAATTGTTGTTGAGGGTGGCGAGGATATTACGATCAAGATTTCGGATGAGGGCGGTGGGATACCGAGAAGAGCCGTCCCACTCGTGTGGACCTATATGTACACGACCATGGGTGGCCAGAGTATCGACCCAGATTACCATGTATGTCCTTCCTTACCTGCTCTCTCTCCCAGGTACGCTCACGCGTGCGACTGTGACAGGCAGGAGACTTCCAGGCACCAATGGCTGGATTCGGGTACGGACTGCCGCTTTCGAGATTGGTGCGTCATGTCCGGCTCTGCACTGGGTCTTCAGTCCTAACAAAGAATGAAATAGTATGCTCGTTATTTTGGTGGCGACTTACGCCTGATCTCGATGGACGGGTTTGGGACAGATGTTTACATTCATCTGAACAAATTATCAAGTAGTTGTGAACCCTTGCCATAAGGGTAAATGGTTCTCCGCTGCTTTGCTCCACTTCCGACCACCGTGAGGATCCAGCATTTACCCAAACTCGTGCATTGCTTCCCCCCACCCAAGTAGTTGTACTACTAGTGAGTTTGACCTTTCTTCCCATCTGCGGGATTGGGAAGAGAGGAGTGTGGTGGTGGGGGTGAGTTCCGCGACCTTCCAGCAATTGTATATATGAGCTATTGTATGGTAGTGGTCTAACACCTTTGTGATACCATTTGTTAATTAAATGTATAGCTATTAGCTGAGCAAAATAAACTTGCTTCGACGAAGAGGTTGCAGTGCATTATGCGGTGGAAGCATGTAGAACGGGAATGGCGTGATCAGTTAATTCAGTTATAATATTACATTCGATGATCGAAGTTCCGACGAACGCCGTATAATGATTATGATACCAACGCCTTCATGGAAAAAGAAAGGAAACCAACTCACCTGAATGTGATTGTATCAAGGTGGACGATGTTGATGTGGGGAAGTATGCATACCCATACTCAATTACATAGGATCGCAGCGAAATTGATTGTGACCAGTGACTACAACAAGTAATTTGCAACCTTACATGCCACTCGAGCACAGGTTAAGCTTAAAGTTGGGCATGTGTCCAATCAAACCGGTTCCATCACCTTCATTCACTACTTCTTTTCACCCGCCTTCGGGCCTTGACTTGCCATTTCATGTGCTCTGGCGCAGTGTTCTTTCACCTTCCACTCATCCCAGTAAGGCAGATGAAAAGAAACCCTGAACCACTGTTACTCACCGCATCACTGAAATATTCTATTTGTCATAGAGGCATTCACATTAATGCGACGAAGACCGATACTTGATGAGACTCCTGACTTACCTTCTCTCTGCTGAACGTCTTTCATAGGCTTAGAGCAACTCCCGTCGATACAGGACACTCCCATCGGATTGTGAGAGCCAGTCGCTTCAAGAGGAGGTGATTGAGTTCCAGAAGACATGATGTTTGTGGTTAAGTGCACGCAACCTTCACGATATCCACACTTTAATTCGATGACATCATGGCAACACGGGTTTCGCCGAAACACACCGTCACCGTGCGTAGCGCATTGCAGTGCACCCAGACCGCCGTCGCGTCGCATACTATCGTCCTTAGCTTGCATGACAGTTCCGAAGCACCGTATGTGTCCATCTCCGTGTTGTCATCACTTCGTTGCACGGGTCGACCTTTTATCCTCATACCCCGACTCATCCACTTCCTCGAACTTGTCAGCAGCACCAATGACCGGATATGCATGACTGAGCACAAATATACGATAGACGAGACGCCGAAACCTGAGAAGATAGCTCGTATATCCACGTAGCAATCAGAGGCACCGTGTGGCCAGCTACAGTTCCATTCCCCAGACGTAATTCATCAGCACAGCGAACGCGACGCCTTCGACAGCCGTCTGGAGACAAGACAAAATACGTACTCGCGCCTGCGAACCCGACAACGTTGATGAGGATTCCCGTGATGACGCTGCGTACGCAGCATGCACACGGAAAACTCGACGGTGAATTATCAGTCAATCTGGGCGGAAATGAGCAGAGCTACCGCAGATTTTCTACATACATGTACCAATACCACGTACCGCCCCGGTAGCATATAGGTCTGCGACGTTGTAATGGCCCTCTCTCATCACATAATAATCGGTAGCCTGTGCATTGACCATATGTGAGTGCACGCGACAGTGTAGCTTTTCGGTTCACAGCTACCATGACACCCGTAATAGAGCTCAGGAAGACGCAGTAAGCAGACGGGTATGATGTAAAACTATTGCTGCTCTTCATCGGATTCCACGGGCACATACAGAGCCCAGCTACGGCCGCGACATACTCGCCTTGTCGGATACTCTGTTCCGAAAGGCAGGGCGCATCAGATTATGTACGGTGTCTTAAGGGAGGACCGTGAAGAGTAGGTGGGCACACAATGAAACGAGGGAACAATGCGGTCAGATCGCATCCAGCTGATGCAGAGTTAGCTGAAATGTTCGTCCTGTGAGGCGTATTGAGTACTTTCAGCTGCATGGGACTCCGTTTGTCTGGGACATACCCGATCTAGACCACGATCGTTGAGTGTTGCCTCCAATAGGAATATTGACAATAGACCACGCACTCGTACGATATTGAAAGAGGCGGAGATTAACCAAACCTAGACGTTCGGGGGTAGTCAGGATAACACCTACGTCGGGCAAATAGTTATTCTATGAACCCCGGGCCGGGCCACACGAGATGGATTGTCGTCTAAAAACCTTCCCAACAAATCGATAGGCAACCAAATGGCTTCTCCGGATATCACCTGTGAAGAGTAACTAACTAAAATACCCATCAAACACACGATAGAACAAGTCAAAGGAATAGCAAAAAGCTGTGGATACAATGCGGCACTAGGTGTTCTTGCTCTGGATGCAAAATCTAGGGCATTCCTACAAGAAGCTGATGTGAGAAGTGAACGCGGGATGGCGAAGATAAGTCCTACGTGACGAGTGTGGCCGAGTTACTGATGCAGGCCATCAGGCTCACGACCATTGCCCAGGCCAAACTGGACCCGTGAATGCTCGAAGGCTGGTACACTACCAGACCGATGCTTCTTGCCTTCACGGTGCACCACACCAAGAATACTATTGTCGCAGCAACGGGGATAACGATCATTTTCACGACGAAAAAAATAACGGCTGACGTCGCATCGATAAAATGTAAGCCCTTCGCAAAAAGTAACTCCCTCACGGACATTTTGTGAACAGGGAACCATATCAAAGGAAGCAATATGAATCAGAACAGGAAGAAACACATAAAGTCCCGAGTGTTTATCTCCGAAGAGGCTGGCATTGAATTAGCTATGTGTAAATTCAGGTCGGGGTGTATCCTTGGTTAAAGACGTGTTGCGGTCACCCACCTATATCATTCACACTGGGCCATATAATCCGCAGCATAACAAGGACACAGGTTCCTCCTATGCTAGACTGCACACCATACCATATGCTGCAGAGTGGACACAGTCAGTCATGGACTGTTACTACGCGGAGGGCATGGCTTCATCACGAACGGGCACCACACACTACGCCCAGATTAGAGATACACCACAGGCTTCCAAATATGCCGAAGCTCGTACGGTTAACGACAGGGAATGTAACATGGAGTACAGCACTTGGACGCGCATTCAACACGAGGAACGGTGTGGCTATTCCATACCCCAGCCAGACGCAAATCCAGGCTTGCCACCATGACATGCCTAGTTGTATCATGGACGATACGATCATCCATCTGCAGATGACACTTGAAGGGCCCGGAACAGAGTGTCAGAAGACAATTGAACTCACCTATTGATATTAAACAGATCCACAACCCAGCTGCCAGAATGTCAGGGTGACAATTCAGGCGCGAGGACAACCCGCAGTGTGCGCACAATGGAGCGTAGTCGTAGCTATACCATGTCCTCTGTTCCACGATAACGGCCAAAAGGTCCCCGGGATTGGTCCGCCGATGAGCTATGAGGATTACAATCGGACCACTTACAGTATTGGGCTGTCGAGAAGAGCTAAGCTTGGGATCATGTCGAGGCGCTTTAAGACTTGCAGCGAAGTCCACGGCAACCCCTTTCAGCGACATTTGGAGGCCGCTTATCTTTCGATAGGGACCAGTCGCAGTCCCTTTGCTCCAGCATTGTGATAGGTTTACAATACTATGTAAAGCGAAATCCACGAACTAAGTGGATATTCATAGTCGATCGTCCAACAGGATGCTACCCTATTGGCCATGAACCATGTGAAACTTGAAGCCAGTTTCGAGGTCCGCGAACACAAGACAAATGTACAACAGGGTAGCCCGCCACCAGGGAACTACCTGCCCTTTACGGAAACGACATGCGTCACATGGGGAATTGTAAAGCTCGTTGTACTGCCCAACAACTTGGGGGCAAGTAGGCACAGTAAATGGCTAGACGTGGGTATCATATACCAGAGCACATGCGGGGTTGCGTGGAGATGCTAAATGCGAATGGATATAAATGTCGATTTACATAAAAATGTAGCACAGCAAAGGTATCCTGGTTAGGCAGATGCAAATAGTATGTAGTGAGAATCAAGGCGGCTCGGGTACGATGAATTCGCGTTAGTCCGATTGCGAGTCGACATCATCGCGGTGTGCTGACGAGGGATGGGCTTTTCTGAAACGCTCAGAGGTGGGTGATGGCGAGGAGAACGTGAATTCGGAGGACATATGTTTGCGCTCGGGAGTCGTTAAGTGATGCCGTGGGGAATTGTGATTAGTCTTGGGCTTTTCTTCACGTATTGAAGATTCCTAATATATTTCATGTTAAAAGCATTAAAACATGGCGCAGGTCATAAGGACGTACTCCATTTGCATGGGAATCGAAGGAAGTAAGGTCGTATGCCTCTGATACGTCCGCTAACGGCGAAACAGTGAGTTCGTAACATCTCGAATCGATGTCAGCTTGGAGTGAGGGGAGACCACCAGCTTCACGCGGAGCATCCAATTCTTCCTGCACAGAAGGGAGAGGAGATGTCCTCCGAGATGGATGTTGTTTCTTGCTCGAACTGGTCTTCTTTCCACTAGAAGTTTGTGGCTTCCCAGAAGCGCCCAATGCTTTGCGCTGCTTCTTCGTGAACTCGGATTTAAGTTCCTTTTTCTTCTTGCATGATGGGGCCACCACCAGCTTCGTCGAAAGGACTGCTGTCTTCCTCTTTTTGGATTCGGAGGGTGCAGCGGGACCTGTGCGTTCGCCAGTAAGAGGGTGAAGGTTCTCCTTCTCGATAGCGGCAAGAGTGGACACTAGTGAGGCAGTGGCATCCGTAACAAGGGGGGACTGGAGCCCTTCACCAGGACGATCCAACTTGGGGATCTCGGCAGGGGAATCCTGGAAGACGGTAAAGGAACGGACGGTCATAGAGATGGCAGTGAAGTCGTGCTGGAGCAGCGGGTGGCTACGCAGAAAGTGGCGAAGTGCTCGCGGCTGCGTCGGCTACTGCAAGTCGCGTGAACTGGCTGGGTCGACGCCGTGCAACACGTTGAACAAGATGAATTCGGCGCTCTGGCTCGCTTAAAGCCTTAAAACGCGCTCTCCTGCAATTTGAAATCCCGCCTGCTCCGAAACCTTAATTGGACGCGATCCCAGTCACGTGATGTACATGTCCCCCATCATGACCGTCCGGTGGTGAGCGAGGCCGGCACAGTGCACACGGTAGATCGTCCAGTTGTCGTCCACACATCATATCAGCGAGTCGTGGCTTTGCAAACGTGACTACAGACCGGATAGCAGCATAATCCCTCATGGTTGCGCAATCTGACAATGGCTGCCTGGTTTCGGAAAATCTTTGGACCCGCTTACATTGTCACTGCAAATTCCTCGACGAAGCTGCTTAGTGAGGCTGCGGTGCATGACGCGATGCATGGATTATAGGTGAGCAGATCCAGGTACAGGATATCGATATCACGCTATACTACCGGTCTCACCCCGCCTCGACGATATCCACTCCTGCGCCAAAATGTATCCCCTTCGATACTCGAGAAGTTTTGGATATATTTCCAGTGTGCCGCTGTCGATCGCCCGATCGCCGCGGTTTTCTGACACCAGAATATTCCCTTATATCGGAATCCTTCTATCTTTGCACTCATGCTCGTCGTATTCGAAATACGTCGCTGCATCTCGGCTGGGCAACCTTTTATCAAGGTTGTAATACTCGAGGAACCCATTCAATACACGTAAGAATGGAGAGTGCTCTGATCACACCCGTCTGGCCTGTTTGCCTTTTAGGGGGCTACCCGAAACGACTCCATAAATGAAATAGCTGAGTGATCAGTCCCAAAGCTCGTGTTTTGGCTTGCGTGGGTGAAGCTAGAAAAAGCAGCCATGACATATGCACCGGACGGCTACCCTGCGGCGTGCCCTTCCTGTTCGTCTATCACCAACAGCCGCCACCATTCTGGAGCCTGGCAGCCTCATGCTAGCCACGCCGCAACGGGACGCCAGTCATTTATATTGCCGGGCTATTCTGTTAGCTCTTCGTTTCCTTTTCCACAGCTCTAGCGCAACTACTCTTGCATCTGCGAGCCCTCTACACGACCCCCAGGGTCCCTTTCCCCTCCACCCGTATTAGGACCAGCGCACGCCAGGATGCCGTCCAAACAGTCCTCTGCGAAGACTATCCCTCCCCCCCCTGTCGGTACTCTTATCGACAACAATACTCTCGAGCTCGTAGAGGTCCTTGGTGTAGGAGGATACGGTGTCGTGTACCGCGCAGTCGACACTCGCGACCCCATCGCTGGTGTCTACGCCGTCAAGTGTCTCATTACGTCCCAAATCCACAGTAGCTCCCGCCAGCGTCAGCTTCACATACGCGAAATAGCCCTTCATCGCTTGGCATCCGCCCACCCTAACGTCGTCACCCTCCATCGAGTGGTCGAGGAGTACAACTATATCTACCTCATCATGGACTACGCTTCTGATGGCGACCTCTTCTCGCAAATATTGCACAACTGCCGATATCTAGGGCAGGATCACCTCATCAAGCACATCTTCTTACAGTTGCTTGACGCAGTCGAATACTGTCATTCTTTGGGGATCTACCATCGCGACCTCAAGCCCGAAAATGTGTTATGCTATGACGGCGGCTTGCGGATTGCCATTACGGATTTTGGTTTGGCCACTACAGAGCGGTTCAGTGAGGAATTTCGTACCGGTAGCGTCTACCACATGAGCCCAGGTTCGTCACATATCCCCATTCTAAGTGACAGCATCCCAACGTCTTCGCGATAGAATGTCAAGGGGGAGAGTTCGCACCGACAGGGTCCTACTCCCCCCTGTTCAATGATATCTGGTCCCTTGCCATCATCTTACTTAACCTAGCGACGGGCCGGAATCCCTGGAAGTCAGCCTCCTCTTCCGATCCAACCTTCCAGGCGTACCTGCAGGATCCGTTGGATTTCCTTCCCACAGTTCTTCCTATTTCGGCCGAGGTGAACCGAATCCTTGTTCGTATGCTGGAAGTCGACTGGAGACATCGGATAACCCTGGCGCAAGTCAGGGCTGCGATCCAGGAAGTGGAAAACTTCTACGCCGAGGGTGTAATATTCGATGGCAGCATGGCACGCTGTGCATGGGAAGTCGATATGGATCTGGAGAGTGACAGTGACTCCTCAACCCACGAAGAGCCTGTGGAGCAGTCTGATGGCTTGCGGTCGCACTGGAGCAAAGACAGTGACTCCGAGATGGAGTATGCCAACCACTCTCTACCTTGGAATGAAGAGTACTCCTCCTGCAACGCCACTTGGGCGATGGAGTCTTCGATGCATGCTCATTCCTCCACGACGATGGAGCCGCTCAAAATATACGAGGCCCCTCGCACGCCATCCGCGACATATTCCCCGCTTTCACCAGCTGCTTCTGGTTCGCTGCCATCTGCTCCGCGTACTCCCGAGGGTGTCAACGTTTTGCGGGGAAAACCGAACCAGACGGCGTCCAAAGTTCTCAAAATTAACACGGCATGTGGTCGCCGGGTCTTTTTCACCGGCAGCAATGGCTCCCACACCTCTGTTTCGTCGATGCACACTGCGGTCGAAAACACCACACCATTCTCTTCTTGCTTCTTGCTTCCAACCCCTCCCTCCGTTTCGAAGATCTCCCTCCCTTGGACCGCCTCCCCGTCCCCTATGCCATCTTCCGTTGATCTAGGCGTCTACGCCACACCAGGCAGTCGACATGTGGACTCATCATGGGAATACACGGACACGGATGTCACTTCGTCATACCTTTCCACGTCGGCCGACAGCGTCGTCGGCTTGGATCTAGACGTTTCTTCGAAATGTACTCTCGAGGATACCTCTACCTCGCACCTCGCCGTCTGGCGACGCGAGACTTTCTCTAAAGTTATTGATCCCGTCGCTCCTGAAACCACCGTTCCTTGCCCTGCCCGAGTCGATTTTGTTACCCCTCCTGCCTCGTCCGCTCCAATCAATATTCCAAGGCGTTCGAATGGTGAAGGGCCGGAGAAGCGCTGGTCTACTAGCCTATGGCGTTTCTCGTTTCCCCGCTCATCCTCGCCTTCGCGCACCACAAACCAGAACGATGAGCCGCGGTCGAGGCGGGGCTCTCTTACGGATGCTTTCCCCTTCCATTCATTCTTTTCCTCAAGCCCGACGTCCGGCTGGCGACGGTCGCCTTCACCACCCACTCCGGAGCATTCGCCGCCTGCGTCGACGAACACACACGAACAATGTCGTCAAGCAGCACGGCCGCGCACGAAACGCCATTGGTTTTCACCTGGAAAACTGTTTGCCACTGCGGGTGCATCGTAAGGAGCCCCGTCTAGGACTTGCTTCATATCTTCCTATTCTTGACTACGATCCCCACTTTAGCATGGTTACTAGGCACATACTACCATTTCACGAACTCGTCATGAAAATCGATCATTGTATACTCCGCATTCCATCAACCTTCGAATTCTTCAGAAACCTTTTTCCTGTTTTGTTAAGCTGTGACCGTGTCCAAGCACTTATGTATGGGTACCAGGTGTACACGCTTCCTCACATATGTATCGATCCCCGCAGTCGTTCAGTACATTTCATGCACTGGCGTGCAGGTCACTTTGACGCGGTCGAGGCACCATGAGGGGCTAGACCGCGGGTGCGACGGGAACTGAGACATGTTTCCACCAGAAAAATCTTGCCCACAGGTGCCCTGGACCTGAGGAGAACGTGTGACGACACTCAGGGGGTGTTGGCTTCCGTAAATTCTGGGGCTGTGCTTTCCAAGGACATTGTCAATGGAAGCTACCAGGTGCCAAAGCCGAGATAGCCCAAAAGTGAGACTGCCACACCATAAATAGTCATACGTGCGTTAGCTGTTTCAGATTTCTTGCTAACCAACGTGTCAAATAAAGATTCCGGGCGGATATCCGAGATGAACATCTGCAATGACCGATACTGCGAGACAAAGTAAGTTAGTATGTGAGGAAGACGGATGATGCGTGTTACGGATGATGATTTTGATTACTGTAATGGACGTGTTGCTGAACAGCCTCGTCTCAACATGTCCTCAAATCCACTAGTTTCCTTCCGCGATCGCGTTCGACGGCATCTTTACCGCGCAACCCAGAACCCTTATCTAGTCGCCTAGCCCCGCCACCAACTCCGTCACCCATTGCAAGGGGGGCGTTTCCTGCATGAAGTATGCGGAACAACGTCTTAATGACACTTAAAGGATTGCGACTCCCCCATACTTTTGCACTCGCATCCTTAATACCGGCAGCTTTGAGTACCTGGTGGACGTTGGGATTGCAATGCAACCCGAACCCGACTGGACGCGGGCGCAAGATGATGCGCGTTGCACCAAACTTGGCTTCGACGTCCGTCCACAGCGTCCGATTCTCGAAGCGCTCCACGTAATCGAGGTTTCGAAGAGCCTTCGCATACGCTTTGTCGCGCGCAACGGGCATCTCGTCGTCCTTGGCCTCGCCATACCCTACAAGTCCGTCGCCATTCCCGACGACGACTAGGACGTACATGGAGTGAATCTTGCCCTTGCCGGTCTGTTGCGTGACGCGACGCACGATGAGGGGGTAGACGTGTAGATTGCGAAGCTCTTCGGAGGAGAAACGCGAGGCGGACGCCATTGCGATGACGTTACGTGCCTCGTCCTGGTGTCTGTCCTCCTCTGCTTCTGCGACACCCTCAACCTCCAAGTTTCCGCCGTTCTTCTCTACTTCTTCCAAAGAATCCATCATCTGTGCCCACTCGAAGATAGAGGGATCGTTCCGTGCAACGAGGCGATTTCTAAATCCGCGTTTAGTAGGTTTCCAATTTCTGATGTCTGCCGTATCGAGGAGGGCATCGGGTTTCGAGAGGTCTGGGAAGGGGTTGCCATACTTTGCACCCCCCGCGAGTGCCGCTGCCCTTTCTAGCGGTACTTGTTGTCTGCTAGAAGAGGGCCGCTGAGAGTCTGGTGAGGCGGGTGGTGATGATGAGGACAGCGAAGTGTAGGGCGAAGGGGACGTCGCATAACGCCTGGAAATGTTGCACGTCGACGTACAGTAGCGAAGCGTCGGCGACAATCCGACGCTGGACAGTCTCTGCATCGCTGCTCTCAACGACAGCGGCGAATAATTTTGCACGAGAACCCGTGTTTATGTCTATTTGTCACATGTCTACATATATACATGGAAGCCCCTCAGCCTGGCGTCGACCAAGATAACAACGACGAGGATGGACCAAGGCCCCAACTCAATTATCGAAGAACTGAGCGATTCAGATCACTCTAGCTTATTCTCGTACATCGATAAAGACAAGTGAGCGCCCTTCACTAAGCGCCCCTAGACGGCCTGCGTTTACACCCGTCTTTCCCTCGTCGGCATCTAGGGTGTATGGTCTGAATCTGGATGTGCCAGAGCGTGCAAAGGACATAATAAAACCCTGGGCGGACCGCGAGGATACAACGCTGTTTGCTGATTCGGGCGTCGATGACCAGGTGTGGCAGGGGCTCACGTCATCCCTCGACGCTGTCGTCCGCTAACCGCGTGCAGATGATAATTCACGTCCCGTTCTCAGAGAACGTTCGAATTAGATCCGTAGTTCTTAAGCTCGGTAAAATACCCTTACATGACCTCCACTCGATGATGCAACTGACACAATCCCGCATTCACGTGTGATGCAGGCAGGGGTGAATACACGCCGCGTCATCTTAGATTATATGCCAATTACCCGAACATAATTGATTTTGACGACGCGGAGAACACGAACCCTCACTTCAATATCAGTCTTCTAGAAGGAGAGACTGGCGCAGTAGAATACCCCCTACGGGTGGCAGCCTTCAGGAGCGTGCATTCTTTGAGCTTATATGTTGTGCGTTCTTATCACTCCAATTTCCTTTGGTAAACTGAACCCTATTCCCTCGCAGGGAGACTCTGTTGGTGGGAATCAGTCGCGGATTTACTTCATAGGATTCAAGGGTGACTGCCACTCACCCCGGAAGGAAGGTACCAAGAAGATTGAGGTACCCGCCCCCAATGCTGCAGATGCGTCCTTGGTAGAAAGACTGCTGCAGCGAGCCAGAGGGCAGCAAACGACAGCTCGATGATTCCAAGTACTTGCAGGTAGCTCGTGAGACAGGGGTTATTCACCTAATAGCACGTTTGATTACGTCAGCAACCTGTAGTTGTGTCGCGCGTGGAGTTGAGAATGCGAGAGCAACGTGTGCCCCGACATCGCCATGGACGTTGTGAGTCTTTAAGCCAGCAGGTTGTCAGCCCTGCCTCTACAGCTGACATGATCTTCGCCAGGACGATACTAGCACAGTCGCCTACTGGTTCGCGTTCTTTGGTGGAGGCGAGTTTCCATGGACCGAGCTCGAAGTCTCAGAAATCGAATCTCGCAGAGCGCGCATGGCAGACCTGCTGCTATTCGACGTCCTGCTCATCCGGGGTGGAATCCGTCAGCCAGACATGTATTATCCCCCTGTAGACATATCTTCCCTGCGTCGCTTACTTCGTGCCATCGACACATCCACCTATGATATCTTGAAGAAGGACTGTCTCGTTTATATTCTATTGAAGTGGTACCAAGACAATCGCGTGGCGCGTTTTCAGGATGAAAAATGCATACCACCACAGTTTGCGGCTCTTGCAGATGCATACTGGCATCTCGACACGGGCCATCATGTTGCAGTATGCAATTTTCTCTGCTGCGTGGTGCGCACACTGAACTTTCAACAGAAAGCCGTGTCCATACTTGCCGACGCCCGCCTCAACAGGGATTATGTCTCTAAAATCTTACAGGCACTGGCTCTTGACGATCATCCTTCGCCACTGGTCGTGAAGTATGTTCGTACTGCAAAACCACTCCTGACAGAACCACAAGACATCGATTTATACACGCTTTCGCTTGCAGATTTGAGCTTTTTAGATGCTTGGCAATATCAACGCACTTTTCCCGAGTCCTCGCCAACTAGGACGCGGCTTCTCCATAAACTGCTTGAGTGGTGTCTTTCTCGTGAGTGTCCGAGTACCTGCGTGTCCACGCCTGACCTCCTGATTATTTGGATGCTAGCTACTCCACGAACCAGCCCGCTCGTACAACTCATTGGTTTCCCGCTAAGTTCCTTCGAACAATCCCAGCTTACGTCCTACGCTCTAAACCCTCCGCCGTCACTCCCTCCTCACTCTGTGGCTGTACTTCAAGAACTCGTCTGCGTCCGACTAATCCAATCCGCTGATTACGTCGAAGCAATCAAACTCGAGCGCCAGTTCGCTGCCGTGTCCGGGTCCTCCAGCAAGGAGCGCAAACAGCTCATGGATGAGATCATATCTGCTCTCTCTCCCGCTGAATGCTGGTCACTTGAAGCTGAAGTAGGCCAGATTGCAACTGGCGTGCGCGCACCCCTTGCGTCCAGCTCTGCGATTGCCCAACGGGAACGAAGGGTTTCTGGGAGACCCCGAGTACCTCTTGGGGAGCTGAGCATGTCCTGGGAGGAAATACCAATCAATTGCCCTTCCCCATCCCTCCCTGCCTCGATCGCCAGTGATCGCAAGACTGTAGGTACACCCACTACGGCGGCCGTCAGCCCTGGTCGCTTCGATTTTGGAACTAGCAAGTCCCAAATCCACATGAATGTGTCTTCTCTATCAGCTAGTCAGAGTTCTTTGATGTCGGTGCCACACCTCGGCAAGTCACCTCAGCAGGCCGTACAGCCGTTCGCAGTACTGCCGCTCCGCCAATCGGCATCCGCTATTACTCATGTTCGCCCTTCAAGCAATGCGCTTCCCGCTGCTCGTGATACCGGTTCACCGGCTCGTGCCATGCCCCCGCAGGTATCGCTGTTCGAGAAGATGGGCAGTGCGAAGCATACTCCGAATGCATTCTATAAGCCACCTCCCAAAACCAGGTTGTCTGCCGGAACTTTGCCACCCATTCCAGCACCACCGTCGAAACCCGTAAAAACGGATGCGACCACAGCCAAGCCAACAAAAGGAGACGTTAGCATGAACTCTCAAAGCGCGCCAAGTGAAGACGAGAGCGAAGCTGAAAAAGGTAGTGATACCTCTGCCGAGTTCAAAACCCATGGAAAAGAAGCCGACATAACCGTCCTCTCCGCTGATACCGAGGATATCCCGAACCTCAGCTTTTCCGTGTTTGGGAGTTCTACGACTCAGAGGCCAAACAAAACAGGCTTGTCACACGACCAGGATGGTCACCCTTCTACGGATCAATTTGTTCAGGAGGACATGCGACGCGTTCCTCCTGGTGCGTTCCACGATGTGGAAGACGAGAGCGACAGAGAACCCCCATCTCCGCAGCATAATGCTCGTACTCGGTCTCACCTTGCCGTCGCTCGATCTTCATCGCGGAGTCCGCCACGCCAACCCACTCGTGGGAGGCGTACACCCAAAAATGGAACACTGTCGCAGAGTATTCCAGGGTCTCTAATTGATGAGGATGAAGAGCATGAGGTAAATGTCAAAGAAGAAGAAGACGATGTAACCCCTCTGCCATCTTCCCGTCCGGCTCGCAAGTCCCGTACCTCCAAACCAAATTCGTCCAAATTGGCACCCCAGCCCAAGACTCCTACTAGGCGGTCGTCGAGGCTTTCGACGGCGTCTCTGTCCCCTGAAGGCCCTGACTTGTCGCCGCCGGGGCTGACCAGAAGTAGTCGACGCAAGAGCACGAGGACCACTGGTGCAGCACCGACTGTTGCGACGAGAAGCAGCACGAGACGGAAACGATGAATAACTATGACTGACTTGTATGGTGGTAAACAGGATTTGCAAGATTCTGAATAAGAATTCACTGAGGTGCACGGAATATCCGAGCTTGACAACAGGGATGACAATTCACAAGTGTTGTCCACTGAACCACGGTTGTGTAATATCTCACGTCACTGTCCAAGCCGAAGTGTTGTCCCGGGCCAGCCCATATGTGAAAACTTGCAAGATGCAACATCGTGGTATGGCCCCAACGTGACAAAACCGTTGGGAAGTGATGTTACATCCGTGGTGGACAGATTGGGGTGAAAGCAACCATCGAAGTTCGGTACCTCTCGTAAAAGTGGTACCTTGCTGGGGTGATTTCACTCCGGCTCCCCCGTTTTTCCATCAGACTTAATTATGGTGCGTAAGAGATAAGTTTGGATCCGACAACGCCTGCCGTCATTGCGGGTGAGCATGCCTGTAGATTAGATGTTTCGGAGAGTATCACGATGCTAGTCACGGTCACGATCATATTACTTAGGTGCCGAGTTACAAGCCGGATTCCGAAACCACCTTTGTATTTATCTACCACATACCCTTTGAAAGTATCGTCCATCCGTCCATGTCTTATACTGACCTCAGGCTCGACAGCTTCTGCGTAGATGGCACGTATCAAGTACTCGATGTCATTGGCGAAGGCGCATATGGTATCGTCTGGTTAGCATTCATCCGTTCTGCGATGACGTTGCTCTTGCGCCGCTTGCTTACTCCTTGTTCTGCCCGCGCAGCTCAGCCATTCATATACCCTCTCAACGAAAAGTAGCCATCAAACGCATCACTCCTTTCGATCATGCCATGTTTTGTCTCCGTACTCTCCGCGAAATCAAACTCCTCCGGCACTTTTGTCACGAAAACATCATCTCCATCCTTGACATACTCCAACCACCTTCTTTCGAAACGTTCAAGGAGGTATACCTTGTCCAGGAATTGATGGAGACAGATCTGCATCGCGTCATCAGGACCCAGAAACTCAGCGATGATCATTGCCAGTACTTCATATACCAGGTGAGCGGCTCCGTTGAATGATAAAATTAGCGCACCTGAATTGCTGTGTGGACGCAAAGACGCTCCGCGCTCTGAAAGCACTACACTCGGCAGATGTGCTTCATCGAGATTTGAAACCTTCCAATCTTCTCCTCAACGCGAACTGCGATCTCAAGGTGAGCCGCTTGTATGACCTTCCTTTATTTTCCTCATTTGGGTACCTCCTGTTTCCTTCCAGCTCTGTGACTTTGGCCTCGCGCGATCAGCACAACCGCCACCAAACGTAGCAAACGATAGTAGCACGTTCATGACAGAGTATGTTGCGACAAGGTGCTCCTCACTCCTTCATCTGGCGACCGATTTCTCAATTCACGCACTTTCATCTGCAGATGGTATAGAGCTCCTGAAGTAATGCTGACTTTCAAGGAGTATACTCGTGCCATCGACATGTGGAGCGTTGGCTGTGTGCTGGCGGAAATGTTGAGCGGGAAACCATTATTTCCTGGCCGTGATTGTGAGTTACCGTTTCAGGTTGGATTCCATTCGTGGCGTATGTTCTTGATAGTGCGGACGATTTACTTCTTTAGACACGATTTCCATTCATGCCTCTGTGACACAGATTGACACGTGTTCCAGACCACGACCAACTTTCACTCATTCTTGATGTTCTCGGGACACCATCCATTGACGACTTTTATGCGATCTCGTCGCCAAGGTCTCGCGAATACATTCGTGCGTTACCATTCCGGAAGGGAAGGGACTTGGGTTCCATGTTCGCTGGTGCGAATCCATTGGTAGGTCCCTAGCCTTACCATTTTTATCTCAGCTAACATTTGCGATTCTTCTCCCTGTCTCCTGCGGACTGATTTTGCATGTTTGTGGGTTGTGGTTGGCTTAGGCAATTGACTTCTTGGAAAAGTGCCTGACGTTCAGCCCGCGGCGACGTATTACCGTGGTTGAAGCCCTACAACATCCCTATTTTGAGGTGAGAGCGCTGAGACCTAGTGAACTCGCAGTGGTTCACGACATATACGTCATTTCAATCTCTAGCCATACCACGACCCGGACGACGAACCTGTGGCAAACCCAATCGATCCATCTTTTTTCGACTTCGAAAATGGTGACGAGCCACTAGAGAAGGAAGAACTCAAGGGTAAGTTTAATTTGTGCATTGTAGTTCCGTGGTACTGGGTTACGTCGAGCATGGCGTATCGTCCTCGTTCTCGCACTTGTACCAGCGGAGATGTCAAAGGACATTAAATGCTACCTTGAGTGTATGTTCTCGGCTTTGCAGAAACTGACCTGTTTTTCTCTTGGAAACAGCGCTTATATATAAGGAGATTACCACCCCGCGACCTTAACGTCTGCACCTGTCGATGAGTGAGACGAACAACATCAGGAAGCGAAAAAATGGTTTAAACCTGTTTAAACCTGTCACTGACTGGTCGTGACCGCGATTCTGTCATTCCCCGTTTCTCTGATGAATGTGATGGTTGACTCCAAGCTTTGCATATTTGTAGCATGCCCAAGACAGGAGCTGGGCACATCTTTGACTTGACAAAAATTGTGGGACATCCTTGATCCCAGAATTCCGGACGAGTATTACCCCCTTTATACCAACACTTTTGTGTAGCGATGTTGTACTCATGTAATAAGTATAGGTACAAGTGCACGCGATATACTTATTGACGGGCTGCGCTTTAGCTCAAATGATGTCGACTGCGATGCTTCACGGCACCATGTTTCCCGTGCATCTGACATGTATCGCAGAAAATGTTGATGAACAGGGCGATGCTCACCACATTGGCGATCCTCCCTGCAATTGGTAAGCGAGGCTGTGGTTCCATCTTGCATGGCATACCGTGGTTTCGCTAGCTCTGAAGTCCATGAGTGTCAATTGTCCATAGCTCAGAGATCAGCGTGATGAGATAGACTCCCACTGACATATTATGGGTCCATATGTCCTCGGGAACCCGAACACCTCAGCCGACCTCAACTTGACCTTGACTGCTGTGGCTGCGATCCTCCTATAGCAGGCGCTGCGGTTCGAGTGGCTAAGCCATTAGCCATCAAATAATGTTGATGCGTAACAACGATGGATGGCACTGTACAGCTCCCAACCTGACAGTTGAAAGCGCAGTGGTTCGTTTTACTACATAATAGTGGCGACAGACTCAGCAAGGTATCCATCTCCCCCCCGCGCCCACCCCTGATTAGATCACAGCTGATCTTCGAGAAGTGGCTAGAATAAACCGACGTTCAAGGATCAAAAAGGTACCATTAGGAAAAGAAAAAGATTACGATCGGAAGGCACGTTCGAAATATTAGGTCAGGACGACTGGTCATTTAAATGACACGCAGCAGGGATTAGGTTACGATGAGCCTGCCTCCTCGCCCAACCTCGACTTGCCAACAGCAAACCAGTGCCAGGCGCGCAGATCAGCCGCCTCCCATTCCTCCTTTTCCTCCCGAACTTCTCGCTCAGTCAAGATCGCCGTCATCGCCTCAGCCACCACCTTCGCTGCCGCATTTCGAACCACCTTTGGTCGCACCAAGGCCCCATCGCGTAGACCCTAATCTTCCTGCTAATGTACGCCTCATGTCTATACCATCCACATCGTGTAGCTAAAATGTGTTCGTTGCGCCGTCTTATTATATAAACAGATGGCCAGGAACCTGGACGACCAAGCAGCCGCATTCAACCCCGGTCCGTTTCCTGACCCTTACCGTGTTTCTTCACCTTCCGCTCCTCTACGTTCACCTCCACAATACCCAGTTGATTACAGCCCAGGTGGATTCACTCAGCCGCAGCAACTTCCAGGCCGCCGAACCTCAGCCCAGCCTCCACTACTTAATCCGAACGACAGGTCTACTTGGAACACTGCACCTTCACAGCTTGGTCCTCCCCCTCCCTCCCGACAATCATACCACCACTCATCGCTGGACCCCCAACGACTTTCCCATTCACCCCCGACGGCGGCCACGGCTTACCACCAATCTCCACAACCTCCCATTCACCCAATGGCTTCGTCCGTTCCTTCGTACGCTCCTCCAAAAGCTCCATCGCCACCTAGGCAAGCAAATGGCGCACCTGCACTCACTGCTCCTCTCCCAAGTATTCAATCTCTAACGAATGCTCTACCCACCATCCAACAGCCAAATCATGACCCTGTTCACAAAATGAACTGGGCAAGAGACATCTTATTACTCGTTGATCGTGCCCAACAAAACCCATCAAGCGACACTCCCGCAGTTGGACCTGTCACGATCCACGATCCTCAACTGCAGCGTCTCGTACAAGTAGCTGTGCCTACAATTCTCCAAATCGCGTCTGTGCAGACCCATGCCCCGCCGCCGGCATATGTCGCAGAGGCCCTGTTTTTCCGTGCATCATTTGCAGCGTCTGGCGCTTATCCTGATCACATCCAACACAATCCTCGTCTTGCTTTCCGCGATTTCGAAGCAGCCGCGAGGTTTGGGCACGCTCAGGCGTGGTTCAGACTCGGTCGCGATTACGAAAGTTTCAACGATCTCCAGCATGCTCGCGAATGTTTTGAACGAGGCGCCAAACGCAACGTCGAGAGCTGTATTTACGTGAGTTCATAGTGTAAGCACGTGACTCCATTTTTCTCACGCTTCAGTAGCGAATGGGTATGGCCCATCTGATGGGTCAACTTGGACTGCCTGCTCAACCTGAAGTCGGGATACCCCTCCTTCATCGAGCGGCTACCCTTGCAACCATACAATCTACCAAACCCTGCGTATGTGTATGGTCTCCTGCTCCTGGACGAGTTTGCTTCCTGTCACTGTTCCCCAACAATTCTTTGCGCCCTTCATTCCACCACAGTCAACTGTCCAGCACGAGGCTCGACTCCATCTAGAGCGCGCTGCCTTTCTGCATTTTGCACCTGCACAATACAAGCTTGGACATGCGTATGAATTTGCAATTCCACCCTTCCCCTTCGACCCCCTCCTTAGCGTGCAGTATTACTCCCTTGCAAGCCAACAGGGCGAGGTTGACGCCGATATGGCTCTTAGTAAATGGTTCCTGTGTGGCGCTGAAGGTGCATTCGAGAAAGACGAACACCTTGCATACACTTTTGCCGAGAAGGCGGCACGCAAGGGTTTGCCAAGTGCTGAATTTGCTATGGGATACTACCAGGAAGTTGGCGTAGGAGGTCCAAAGGATATCAATGCCGCTCTCAACTGGTATCAGTTGGTAAGTTTTCATTCCATTTGTTTTTGTTTTTAGTCTGACGAATATTATTTGAACTGAAAGGCGTCAGACCATGGCAACGCAGACGCCGTGCACCGTCTTGCGGCATTACAACAACCATCGCCACACGTGTTGTCTCGACAGGAGCATGATCACATCACTGAGGACAAACTCGTTCGGAAGCGCACTCAAGCCAAACAGCGCTCGGAGCGCGCGAGTGCGGATGGAGGATTTAGTAACCCGCGGCCATCGCTTGAGGACAGCCAACGTGTCGTCGACCTGATTAGGAGAGACTCGATCGCGCGCTCAACTGCACCGGATCCACAGTCACCCCCAGCTCCTGCCCAAGGGATGTCTGCCATTGTTGAGAACGTTCCACCCGCCGGCGTGAATACGAATGCCCACTTGTCACAGAGTTCTAGACAGTTTCCGAACCAGCACCGATATACGCTCGTGGATCCCGGCTCGGCATCCTCTCGTGGTCCTTCGCCTCCGAGAACCCAGTCACCGCAGTCGCCGACTTATGCACGTCCGGCAGGACGTCCTCCCGCTCAGCGTACAGCAAGTGCTCCCGCTGCGGGTGGGCTACCTACTCAAGGTGGACTGGAGGGTAGTGGTGGTGTACCTCCACCATCCAAGCAACGTCCGACAGCGAAGGGACCCTCAACGTTCGCTGAGATGGGTATTCAGGGCGCGAGGCTTGAAGAAAAGGAGTGTGTGATTATGTGAAGCATTCATACATACAAACGCAGTAAGTATGGTGGATATCACTGCGTCCCTTCGTTTTTTCTTCTTCTGTTGTTCGTCGGCTACGTGCATCGTGCGCAGGCAAACGCATTCCGGGTACTAATACATATACACATTGAATCGTTCGTTCAGTTCAGGTTTTGAGCCCGCCTTCGTCGATGCACCTGTTCCTACGTATGCTATTTATACCCAAGCATCAAGATAGACATCCACCTGTTGCATTGCAGATGAACCAGCCGCGGTAACTGTTAACAAATGATGTTAACGCCTCGTTCAATTCCCCCTTCTCAGGTTGCAGCTGTCTGTCCCTAGCTTCAATTTGACATCTGCGCGAATGGCTTTACAATCTGACTGCTCAATGCATACGATACTGTACAAAACAGATACATCAAATATGGGGCATATATATATCTCTAAACCGATCGCTGTAGGGGGTACTGTATATTTGAGGTCTGGTCAACAGGTTCACCAATCTAAAGTGGAGTCGCCACAAGAATCTCCATTACATCCTGCACCAGTAGTGGCAGCTGGCGGCCCATCTAAGTGGTCCGCTGCGATCTCGATACCTTGGCCACCACCGCGAGATAGAATCTCGGCCGTGGCCTGCTTGATCATCCATTTGCTGGTGCCTATGACAGCATCTAGTTCTTCAGGACTCGGGAAGCAGGAGCTGCAGGTCGTCCCCTTCTTGTCTAATGTCGAATGAAATGATTGAATACTGCATGTCGTTCAGGCAGGTACCGTCGCTAAGGCGGAAGTTACGCTTGTGTAGCGGACCTGTTAGGAACGTCCCTCAGTGATGCCCAACAAACAGCGAAAGAGAGACGTACAAGAAACATAAATGTCGCCTTGTTTATCGTCGCCGACGATACCATGGTCAAGCACAAATGCACGTTTGTGAGGGCACATCTCGGTTCAATGTTAGAAAGTCTCATTGACCTCAAAAAGGGTTGCTCTACCTGCTGAGTAGCGAAGAAACCCTTCTTTGGTACGTGGAAAATGGCCAATTGAGAGTCTCCGTATTTCACAGCTACAGAACTGCTTCACCCATTCAGTTCTGTACGCGGAGATGCGGCTAAGAGAAAGAAAACCCACGAGGTAGTATCAGAAAGCTCTAAGTCTTGGACTGTGGCCAACTTGCGCCACTTCCACTCGGACTTAGGGCGTTCCAATGGCGGAGGAATGGAATTTCGCCGGGGGAAATTGCTTGGGCCAATCGGCGGGACGCTGCTGTTCGCGCTCTTTTATAATCTCTACCTGCTGTTGACGCTCATCCTGGGCTACTTAAGAAGTGTTGGCAGGAAAGGAAGAACAAGCTTACTGTGTTTACAAATTGGCGAAACTGCCGCCGCCTGGCAGGATCCTTGACTACTACACTCCACTCGTCATGGTACGTGCCGACCAAGGTAGCCATCTCAGCCTCGAGCTCATCACAAATCCCGAGTTCATCGTCTAACAAGATCTTCTGAAGTCTCTGGAGCCAGGATTAGTGAAATCAGGCATAAACTGGCAATGCTAAGTATGCGTACCTCGATTCCTCCCTCAAACTGTTCGACCCAGCGCGCAGTGCGCATAAGCTTGTCTGCTGTGCGAATATAGTACATGAGGAAACGGTCAAGAATTCGTATGACTTTCGAAGGCGGTACATCCTTCGCGAACAGTGTGGCATGGCGAGGGTTCGTGCCGCCGTTCCCAGCCAAGAAGACTTGCCAACGACGATCAGAGGCGAAAGAGAAACATAATCAATTATCTTACTGTTCCAGCCCTTGTCTGTGGCGATCAAACCAAAGTCCTTTGACTGCGCTTCTGCGCACTCTCTGGTGCAACCACTGACCCCGCCTTTAAGTTTATGAGGCGAGCGTATACCTTTGTAACGTTCCTCGAGACGGATCGCCACTGACGAACTATTAGGCAGGCGAAGCAGGAAAAGAATTACACAGTGACATACTTCCGACTGAATCTCCAACACCGTATCTGCACCACGTCGTGCCCACGCAGGATTTGACGGTACGCAACGCTTTGCCTGCGGGCTGACTCAGCATTGAGCGGGTCTAATTCCTCTGGGTTACCTACCATATGCATGGCCACTCTCAAATCCAGCATTAACTAGTTCTTCCCAAATGTCTGGGAGGTCTTGCTTTTGCGCACCAAACAAATCAATGCGTTGTCTGTCAGAAGTTCGATGTCAGATACAACTTCACAAGTGTAATGCACTGCGCTTCACCCTCCCGTTATCTTCGTGTATAATTTGTCTGCTCGTTGTTTAAGACAACTGGGCGTGAGGATGTAATTATGAGAGCCACGTACATTTCTTTGCAACTTGTCCAAGAACAATCAACTTGTCTGGAGTGATCTGCCCAATAAGTTTGGTTGAGACCAGACAGGGGAAATAATGGCTCCCAAAAATACCTCGCCTCCAGCAACTCGCGGCACCACGGAGAATGTACCTAAGGACACGAGTAAGAGCATGAAAGAACAACTAGAGGGAATTTACCATCTCTCTGTATGTTTGCCAGGCACCTACCCGGTTTAGTAATGAGTCCACGGGGAAGAGTGTATTGACATAAATTCCTACCTGTCATTGGTGTCTTGGTTAGAATGATGTGATGGGGCGACAACGAGTTCGTTGTACATTGAAGATAGGATAGATGCTGTATATATCCTAAGCGAGGGGAGAAATTCAGTGTAAGAAGAAGGTACGTACCAACTGCAGGCCTGCACAACTCGCAGCCAACCGAGTCTGGCTTAGCTCCCGCAGATTGCATGACCTCAGGAAACGTCCTCAACTTCCGTAGTCTGCATAAAAATATGTCAGACGTAGACAGGGACCAGATAGACGCCTTACTTAATGACAGTGAAGAGTTCCTGACGAGACATGGTGAAGTGTGTGCAAAGGTTGTTAGACACAGCGTGTCCAGCTTTCTTCATTTCAGACTGGGGCGTGTGATTAAGCTTGCGAGCCTGAAGTGGGTGATAACTACCAACCTTGAAGAGATTGGTGACTAAGGGCATGCAACCGCCGCAGCCAGTTCCAACTTTGGTTTTGCACTTCAAGTCCTCCATGTCCGCTGATGCCTTCTTTGACACATGCCACAATAGCACCCTTCGTCACGTTCTACAGGGGATGATGCGAAACCGACGTTGACAGGTGTGTAATGACTTACATGACAACTGCAAACTTGAGTGTCATCATCCAGGTCGGCGCCATCGTCCTCGCCTTTCTTTCCGACTCCAACAATGAATTGTGATGGCGGCACATCGATAGCTTTCTGATATGACTGAGAAGAGGAAGGTCAACTGGTTTTGATATAAGCTCACCTTTTTCTTGACCAAGCTAATAAGTTTGACATAATCCGAGGTGTCCCCAACCATCATCCCGCCTAGCAGATGTTTGCCGTCTGCAGTGAAGATGTACCTAGAAGCAAACTAAGTTCCTGCACAGGAATTACCTACGATGAGCGTACTTTTTATACACAAAAGAAAATGGATCCCTATAGGTCAGACATTCTATAGGTTCATTAGAACCGGAGCCGTGTCTCTTCGAATTATCTTCGCTCGTGGTCCGTAATTGAGGAAACCTTCTGCAGAGAGACGCTACCCGATTTCAGTATGTGCTGCTTGTTGGATGCTGGGGTTGTCGAGGCATTGGAGTCGTCGATCTTAATTTCCCAAGCCGGCTTTCCGTCTTGGGCAGATCCGGCACGTGAAAGCTTGTCAGCTTGGGTATCTTCGACCTTCCGACTTCTGGTAGCCGTGCCCCGGGGTACTCGCTTATCTAGAAAGTAGTCGCCAAAAGAAGCAACCTATAGCCTACTGTCAATTTTACCAATCAGACGCTAACTTGGCACGGACATCAACACCCATGAGCTTCAGCTTCGTTGACAAATCAGGCATGTTCTGTCAGTCAACTTAGTTAGGCTAATAGGTTGTCGGAGCCGATAATTACAAACCATTTGTCTAGGTTTAAAACCTCCGACGTCGGTCTGCACTTGAGTAAGGTTGAAGGCCAGGATGTCCGCCATTTCGACTGTAAAACATGAGCACACACCATCTGAGGGAACAGTTTGAAATGATGTACCTCCTGGGCCAATAAGACCGAAGGTATTCTCTCGCCAGCTGGCACACTCTCCGATCGCGTAGATATCGGGAATACTTGTCCTTAGGTAATCGTCCACAGTGATTCCACCTCTCACCCCACATTTTAACCCTGCTTTCCTTGCTAAATCATCGCGAGGGGAAATCCCGATTGCATAAACAACCATCTCGGCGTCCAATTGATCATCGTTTGATAGGACAAGTCCGGTCAAGACGCCCTCCGGAGTGGTCACGAGACTCGTTACAGACGTCTTTGTAAGGACTTCAACTCCCATGGCCTCAATGCAACGCAGGACAATCTCGCCACCCTCGTCGTCAAGCTGACGAGATAGAGGATATGCCTGGCGATTGATTATAGTGACTTTCCCGATGGTTTCTCTGGAATATCCGGTACATCAGTTCCTCCCGAGAACCAACAGGTAATAAAAAAACGGACAGATCAAAGACAGCTTTGGCAGCTTCAAGACCAAGTAGACCCCCGCCAACAACCACAGCCTGACGAAGGTAAATAACAAAGCTCGGTATACATTCGTGCAAAAAATTTAAAACCACGAACCCGGCCGCCTCTGACATGATTTTCTTCAGAGTAACTCAAGATCTTATCGAGGTCCGAAATGTTTCGATAGACGAAAACACCCTTGGTCTGCGCGACACGTTCCGGGGGGATATACGGTGGCAGTGTACTCTCAGAGCCTGTAGCAAGCACGCAGTAATCGTAATTAATTAGACGGCCTTTGCTCGTCTTTACGAAGTGCGCAGCGGTGTTCATAGATGTGACTTGTTCGCCGGTATAAAAAACAAAATGCTCGGGGTCCTGCCGAGCGTACCATTCCACTGTCAATATTTTTGGAAGGGAAAAAAAGACGAGTCAACGAGGGCAGAAATGATAAGCAGGGCTGTTTACCTTGATTAAGGTAAAGCTTCTCCACGGAGCGGTGTTGAAAATATTCTGTAAGAGCCACGCGATTGTAAGCCAGGTGCGTTTCTGCCGCAAGACACCCAGGGTGAGCCACATATCAAAGAGATAAGAGCCATACACAAGTATAACAAACCTTCGCCACAGGTTACCACCCGATAGTGTTTGGCCTCATCTAAGTTGAGTATCTTCTCAATAAAGGCTTGAAATTGGGAGATATCAGCGTGCATATATAAAGTTCACGATTTTTTTCCTCACCAATGCCCACCATTCCCAGTCCAACCACGAGAATGGTCTTAGGTGTCCCGAGTGGTTTGGAAGCATGGGATGCTGGCACACCAACGCAGTCACTCTGGTCTAGTGTACTGTTCATCATGGCACGTTCGACTTCTATCGACACAGTCCTCAGTGTGATGGGGGTTCGGGCGGGAGAGTGTGGTTGAGGTCAGTGTAATGGACAGCTGCCTTTCGACTTGACTGATAGCGTTTCGGTTATGATAAGGCTCCAACCGAGTCGCAAAAATGACGAAACGATGTCTCCCCGTCGCATATCCAGATATCAGAGAAATCAACTCCATTTTCCTTCAGAGTTCCTGGCCTATTCCGAGGTGAGTCGAGGGGCTTATCTCCGAATATCGCCTAGTAAGTGCTGTCGCACTGTCACAGGCACGACGCAGAGATAACGAGGATAAGAGCGCTGGCGACCAAACATTTTGTTCTTGGTTACCTTCCGCATTCATGCTTAAGGGACCCCGGACACTGCGCTTACTACCCTGATGATGTTCCTCGACCCTGCTTGGCACCCATATGCGGGTAAGTTCAAAGAAATTATTGACGACCGAGTGTCAGCGAGTACCTCGGCTGAGGGAGCCTAGGTATGTTCATTTCAGGTGACGTGCACTGCTAATCCATTTATCGCGGCTTTGGTTGCGCAGAGCGCTCAGGGGTTGCTCCCGAATTTCTTGCTACGTATTTGTTTTTACAGGAAGGCAAAAAAGCACTCCCACGAAGAAACTTATCACCGTAATATCTCCTCTGCGGCACAATCTAAACTTAGGTGTGGGGAATCAAAACTTCGATCCGTCGAATACCTTCAAGGGATATGTCGGACCGCGAGCGCGATTTCCGTTCATCCGCACAGGTTGACCATGGTTCCTTCGGAACCCAGTTGCATTCGAATTTTTTTTTCTAGTCTCACCGTCTCACGACCTTATCTTCGGACGTTTCCCTTTCCTTATCATTGCTGTGGCCCCACTGACAGTACCCGTGTCGCTCATTAAGGGGAGCCATCCTTATCTCTGACATGTCTCCTGGTCGCGCCAGATCCAGGCTGCATGCACATATCTCTGCAATGCCGTAAGTGGACGTCGCCACAACATGATAACACCATGTTGGACCTCTCCGCTATAAAGCGCCATAAAATACAAACATGGAAACAGAGGCCTAACGAATTCTCTCGAAGAAGCAGATCAGACCAACATGGCGTCCTTGATTTCCCCCAGAATCAACCTCAAGGATGTCGTTGTTAATCCTGCCAATTTGAAGTGCTCGTCTTTACCATTGTTCTCTCTGCGAAATCAATATTCCGTCAACTTCCATCTGTAGGTTCCCGTTGACCTGGCTCCGGCACGAGTGCTAACCTTATACACATCACAGCTCTTGGCTAGGATTTTTCGTGGCTTTGTACGTCCTCTGAACGTTCATTATCTGTCGTTAATGACAAAGTCCTCGGTTTCAGTCTTTCTTGGTTTGCCTTTGCCCCCCTCGTTCCAGACGTAATCAAACAAGATCTTCAACTGACTTCTGCGCAAGTCGGTAAGTACACACTAAGCCATCGATGATCTTATACACTGACTTCTTCCGTCAGGCAACTCCAACGTGGTCTCACTATGCGCAACACTTCTTGTGCGGGTCATCGCTGGGCCACTGGTTGATCGTTCGTAGTGTCCAATTCGTGCCACCCGGACCCTTCTCATTGCCATCCGCAGGATTTGGCCCACGTAAGGTCATGGCTGGTTTGCTTATATGTGGCGCCATCCCTTCGGGCCTGGCTGGAACTGCACACACAGCGAGCGGGCTCTACATTGTTCGTTTTTTCATCGGTATTCTAGGGGGCACTTTCGTGGCATGCCAGGCTTGGACCACGGCGTTTTTCGACAAAAATGTAGTTGGAACTGGTGCCTGGAGTTTATCCCATGTACACGATATTTAGACTGACATACAATTTTAGCGAACGCTCTGGCAGGCGGGTGGGGCAATGCAGGCGGCGGATTCACGTTCATCGTTATGATTGCTCTGTATAACTCCTTGATTTCAGATGGACTCACACCACATGTGGCGTGGCGTGCGGCGTTTGCAATCGTACCAGTGCCTTTCCTCCTGACTGTTGCAGCCGCCACTCTGGTATTTGGGACGGATCACCCTGCTGGCAGGTGGAGTGACCGACACAAGGCCATCGCGCATGGAATCAAAGATGCAGATGCACTCCCCGCTTCTCACGAGCATAAAGACGATGCGATCAAAAAAGAGGGTTCCAGTGACATTCAGGTTACCGTATCCGCTGTTCAGGGTTTGTGTCTGCCGTCACTTCATAACGCGTATGTACTGATGTGATTGATGATCACTAACAGCTCTGGAATCTGAACTAGACTTCGCTGTGAACGAGCCAGTCACATGGGCGCTTGCAGTGAAGGTCATCGCTAGACCTTTGACTTGGTTGCCGGCGCTAGCGTACCTCACAACTTTTGGCTACGAGCTAGCCATCGACGCTAACCTGGCGAATGTGTTGTTTACCCTTTACAAGTCGCCTACATTCGGGCAAACTAAAGCTGGATATGTTAGTTGCAATACAAAGCCATTGCCCATCTTTGACCCCCTTCTAGATCGCATCTATCTTCGGTTTCTTGAACGTCCTCACCCGCCCCTTAGGCGAGTTCATTTTATAATTGATTCCTCTGTTATTAACTTCAAGCGCAGGTGGATACTTTGGTGACTTGATTTACGAAAGATTCGGCGTTCCGGGAAAGAAGTACCTCCTGATAATCCTAGGCGTCACGCAAGGATTATTATCCATCGGTCTTGGGTTGTATATCGACAACAACCAACACCCTTCGTGTAAGTGTTTTCTCGCTCGACGTGCTTGAGTGAACTGACTGGAGGCGCAGTGACAATCTTAATTGTCTTCCTCATTTTGGCCGCTTTCGTCTGCGAAGCTGCTAACGGTGTTAATTTTTCCCTGGTACCCCACTGCAACCCTTGTAAATGCACCTCTTTTGTTGAAGTAAATACATCCTCACAGCGTTTTTGCAGGTTCTAATGGTTTCATGGTGAATAATGAAGTAAGATTCTGTGATACATGCAGCTAATAGCCTACAGAGTGGCATTGTAGGGGGTATGGGAAACTTCGGAGGCATCGTGTTTGCTATGATTTTCCGATTCCAACCTGCTCCCCTTGGCAAGGCGTTCTGGATTTCTGGGATTATTGCCGTGGTATGTGGCATCCAATCTCTTTGGTGTTCCTCTTCAATCAATTCATTTTGGGTACTAGGTTATCAATCTGTTCATCACGGTTATTCGCGTGCCACGGGTCTGATAAGGAGAAAATTCGTACTATGTATAGTTGTCTCGGAGAATGGAGATGCTACGAATAGTAGAAAAAAAGATTTCATGCATTCCTGATATATTGAAATCATCAAATGTGTACCGTAGAAACCACGGATCACTAGGATGTTAAGTTTTGCCCATCGGCCGAGTTCCAGTACCTTGCGACTTATCGTCCAACCACAACCGCTGCAGAAGTAAAGCGCGCGGAATCAACACCAGCCTAGGCCTTAGACGAGTCAAATCGGGATCAACTTGACATGTCAACAACTATCAGTGATCGAGATCCACTACATGAAAGGGAGCGGATCTGCAGGTCGAGACCCCGGAAACCGAGATGGCATTTCAAGCGGATAACGGGTACCCCTTAGGATGCCTCCGGTTTATTAGTTTCAGCTTGCGAGGTGAGGAAAAGTGAGTCCCAATTCCCCAACTACAAGATATCTTAAGAATGTTTGACGAATATGTCGACTCACTGATCTTTGAACAGTCTTCGTCGAGCAGAAGCAGCAGCTCGCCGGAGTCAACTCTGCTGTCCACTCCTTTCACTTCCCCGCCTGCGTCACCCGAACCTTCACCCGAGTCCTTAACAAAGGGTGGCTTACAACTCCTTTCAGCAACATTCTTACCAGCATCTCTCCACGACGGCTCTGCAAGAGATGGGCCCCCCTTACCTGAAGCCCTCCCCCAATTGCCACTTAATATGACGCCGGAGGAGGTTGCCGAGCTGGTGTGCTGTCTATTTACCCGATTATCGAAGGCGCTTACGATGTCGGACGTAGGATCGCGAGACTCCTGACAATTGGGTAAAAAGAGTGAGCGTCTCCAACTGACTTGTTGGCCAAACCCACTCACCCACTCTTGAATCTCTTCCAGAATCCAGACCTCGTCCGTTTGACTGGAAAACACCCTTTCAACTGCGAAGCACGGCTCTCGTCGCTCTTCGATGCGGTAAGCACGTCTCAAACCTCTTCTTGTTAGCTAAGTAAAACGGCCAATGCACAGGGATTCTTGACACCAGCCCATTTGCACTACGTTCGGAATCATGGAGCAGTGCCTCGGGTCAGCGAGACAATGGCCGTCGAATGGACCATACGCATCCATGGCCTTGTACAGCGCGAAGCAACGTTTACCTTGCAACAACTAAGCGAATTGTTCCCCGTTGTGACACTACCAGTGACGTTTGTGTGTGCCGGGAACAGAAGGAAGGAGCAAAACGTCGTTAGGAAAACCCTTGGATTCAGCTGGGGAGCTGCAGGATGTGCGGTATACTCGTGAGAAGCTGTGCATCAAACTAACATTTCCGCTTCAGTATCCACCGCGCTATGGACAGGCGTCTATTTAGCAGATGTCTTGGCACATCTTAAACCGATACGCAGAGTGGCGAAACACGTAATCTTCGAGGGAGCAGACAGCCTTCCCAACGGCCATTACGGAACTTCTCAACTCCTATCTTGGGCAGCGGACAAGAACAAGGGGATGCTTCTAGGTGACGAAGCTCTCCAACTGTGCTGTCTACTCAAAGCTGAAGTGTACTTTAGCATGGGCCATGAACGGCCTACCTCTCGAGCCAGACCATGGCTTTCCATTAAGGGTTGTCATCCCCGGACAGATCGGAGGCCGATCCGTGAAGGTACTGTCCTCGGTAACCACTAGATAGCGGCGCTGGGGTCTGACTGTCTTCGACTCTTTATAAGTGGCTAAAGCGAATCGAGATCAGTGATCATGAGAGCCAACATCATGTGGGCGCCCCTCATTTGCAAATATATATCTTGGCTGATTCCGATTGTAGCTACATTATTGGGTTAGGGCCGATGTGACTGCCATAATAGAAGGTCGTGTACTTACGACTTGCAGGATAACAAATTGCTCCCAAGCCAACTCATGCCTGATCAAGCACGTGCTGAGAAGCACTGGTGGTATGATCCCAGGTCTGTCTCATGAAATAGCCTTCGAAAATGAAGATGAAATGACGAACTGCGATCACAGATATATCATTACGTATGCCGGTGATACAAGTGTTCATTAGCCGAAGGCTGACCATTTGACAGAGATCTAAACGTGAACAGCGCAATTGCTAAACCCGACCACAACGAGACATTGGTTGTGGCCAAGCACTTACTATCGGACGCTGTCGCCCCTTCGTACTCCATTCGCGGGTACGCTTACGCTGGCGGCGGACGACGTGTGACTCGGGTAGAGGTATCACTAGACGAAGGGACAACGTGGGCCTTAGCGGATGTGTACGTCGAGGTCTCATTCGATTTTATCGGTTCTCACATAAGCTGCACAGCGAATACCCCGAAGATCGTTTCCGTGAGATTTGCCACGAAGGACTCGACATACGGAATTCTCGACCTCTCTGAGAGAGATACGTCATTGTAAGTGAAGACAATCGTTAGGACGTAACTTTACCGACGCATATTTCAGCTGCTGGTGTTTCTGGTCCTTCGACGTGAAGTACGATGCTCTGACAAAGTGTAATGCACTGGCTGTTAGGGCATCGGACGAGAGCAGCATACTTCAGCCACGAGATATGTAAGGAATCAGTGTCTCGTAACAACTTCGCAATTCTGAATCTGGCAGGTATTGGCACTCGTTAGGCATGATGAACAACTGGTCTGCACGCACATAGTGTAAAGCATCTGTTCAAGTATTGACGGACCTTGTGGGCAGGTGGTTCAGGGTAGCCGTGAACAAGACCGAGAACGAGAACGACATTGTTCTGCATTTCGAGCATCCGACCCTCGCTGGGACAGCAAGTGGAGGCTGGATGGAAGTATGTCAAGGGTATAAATGAGTATATCGCACTGCAGCTTACACCACTTCAGCGATTGAAAACGTCAGGTCAGGACATCACGAAACCAGTATTCGGGAAGACTGGCAGTTGAAGAGAAACTCGAATGATGTCAAACCAAAAGTGGAGGAAGTACCCTTAACCAAACCAGGGGTCACTCGGAAAATTACCTATTGAAGAGTTGAAGAACCATGATCGGGCACAGCCCTGGTTTGTCGTCAACGGAGAGGTTTACGATGGAACGCCTTTTTTGAACGAACATCCCGGCGGCAGCGATTCGATCACCCTTGTCGCAGGCGAGGATGCTTCCGAGGACTTCTTCGCGATCCATTCAGCGGAAGGGAAAGCAAAACTGGCGCAAGTAGGTACGACTTGCAACAGGAAGGACCTAACTAACGGGCCTCAGTTCCACATCGGGACTTTAGTAAAGTCAGGAACAGGAAACGCGGATCCTGATGACAAAACAGCAGATGGCGAATTTCTGGAGCGAGCGAAGTGGAAAGATGTCAAGCTGACAAGAAAAGTTCAAGTAAACCACGACACCTTCCTCTATCGATTCGAATTACCACGGCCAGATCAACCACTTGGACTTCCTGTGGGGCAGCACGTATTCGTTCGTCTCAAGAGAAAAGACACCGGCGAGCTTGTCCAAAGGGCGTACACTCCTGTGACACCAGAGGGAGCTGTCGGGTTCATCGAGTTATTAGTCAAGTTGGGTTTCCTGCCGTTCATCGTGACAAATGATTCTGAAGATATGCAGGTTGTACCTACCGTCCGCAGAGTTTCCGGCAGGCGGCAAGATGACGACAGGATTCCATCAGCTTGAAGTAGCTGACACTGTGCAACTGAAGGGCCCGCTGGGATCCTTCATATGGAAGGGGCTGGGCGTGGCAAATTGGAGAGGCTCCGAGAGGAAAGTAAAGGAGGTTGGAATGATATGCGGTGGAAGCGGTATGCGTTAGAAACCACGAAAATCCTTCTGGCTGATCACAGACGATATAGGTATTACGCCAATCCTCCAGGTCCTGCGCAGCATCTTCCTTGACACCAGCGATACAGAGACGAGAGTATGGGTGATAAGTGCGAATAGGACCGAGGAGGACATTCTCTGTCGTGCTGAACTTGACCTATTGTTTGCACAACACGGCCCACATCGCCTCAAGCTGCATTACGTCCTCAGTAAGGCACCAGCCACATGGGAAGGGAGTACTGGCAGAATCAACGAAGAGCTGCTGAAAGCTCACATACCGGGTCCGTCCGAACACGGTATAGTCCTAGTGTGCGGACCAGATCCAATGATCAACCAAGCTGTGAAGCCAGGACTCAAGGCCGCTGGGTGGAATATCGAGAACCACCTCGTAGTATTCTGAAATCAAGCTTACAAGTACATGATGCTATAGCACGAATGTGATGCACCATCTGCCTGTGTTTGCTGTATAGGAGCTGTCAGTACGATTCACACTTCCATCGTTCTACATACCATTACTGCTGAATAACCCATGGATACAATTTGCTTAGAACACGCTGACCTTCCGCCGCGCCACCGTTCTACTGAATTGCATTCATATAACCGATCCACCACTCCTCAAACTTGCAACAGCCCAAACTGCCCTCCACACCCAGTTCTTCTGTCTCTTTAGTGGACAGACGGCAGTCGCGAGGGCGGGGAGTGGCGTCACTGGGTGGTGAGTCGTCTGGAACGATATGGTGATGAGGAAGGCCCAGAATTTTGGCGAACATTAAGCATATCTCGTATTTGGTGAATGGTTCTGGTGCGGAATAGTGAATTATACGAGGGAAGCGGTCTGTTCAGGTCTGGGTAAATGCTTTTTGAGCCATCGGTCGCATATCGAGAGTAATCGACTGACCCAACAAACGAACCAAAAAAGCGGCAATGTCTAAGACATTCGTAGGGTATCGAGTAGCATAGTGGTCCATCTTGTATTTCTTTCCAGACTGATCCTCAACGACGTCAAGGAGAATATTGATTGCAGAATCAGAATTTTTGGGTGCTGGGCCATACCTGTTGGGAGATGTTGGATTAAATCCTTTAGGATTATAGTGAGACTTGCAATACGGGGACTCGGAGAACAATAACTGTTGCAGCATCAACAGAGAGGGCGGCAATTTCGCCATCTCGCTTGCTCATTCCATAAAGCTGCAGTGGGTTTGGCTCTGACCATGGGTGATAAGGGGGCGACCTGCCATCGAAAACGTAATCTACACATCACACATAAGGATAACGTGACCATTGAGTATTTGAAGTGATCGCTCACCAGTAGATATGCACACCAAAGTAAAGCGGAGGTCGTTGGCCAGTATAGCAAGGTGTCGAGGCACATCCACATTCAACTACAACTGGGTTATTGATGGCAAGTACGGCTCTATTATAAACAAACTTTGGCAACGCCTTCGGGATCCTAGGCAACGATGTGTCAGACAAGCGTGAGACTAATCCGCAGTTCATACTTTCTCGGCGACGTCTGGCCTCCTCTCAGCTGCACAGTGAATGACCCCTCGAGAGATGTCCAATGAATTCGACCCAATCGGAAAGGTAATTCACGCACAGTCTGGTTTGAATTCTTCGAAAAGCCGTCTGGTATGGTCTACCTGGGTAAGATCAGCTCGTACCAGGTTTCCCATAGCTCGGGAGTGGGAAAGACCGAGAACAGTGTGGGGGCCAGCACGGAAAGCGTCATATACAGCACTGCCGAGAACTCCTGAAGCTCCTGAAAATCAAATCAGATAACTGAATCGAGCCAGTGATACGATCGCTGCAGCACCTGTTACCAAAACTCTTTTCGCCATGTTCGACGGCCGCTGGAGCTTATCGCAGGTGGTGGATCCGTGGATGAGCTTGAGGATTGATTAGCAACATGCGAAGGCCGATAAGCCCCTCCCGATGATTACGTAATCATCGGGTTCACAGCCCCTCGAAGTTCGAATTGATGACCTCTCACGAGGTTATGTACATAGCAGTCGGACGGGGGTCTTACCTACAGTACTAGTAGGCTTTCACCTCGTGTCTGACAATTTGGCCCATCTGCACTATACGAACTACAACGTCACTGTGTTTATATTTTCCTAATGCTTCGGTTTTTTAAGATCAACTGTTGATTAGTAGGTGCAAAATTGCTGCAAAGCATCATCGAGGTCTAAAGTCACTTGGTAATTAGATCATGCGGTTCTGGTAATCGGTTCCGGATCGGATTATCAACAACTTCGCTGTCGGACTGCGTAAAAACCAGTGTGGTACTTGCGACCCGGAGAACCATATGCATACATTTCCTGGACCTTGGGTTACCTGCTCTTCATTTCATACCGTAAAATGCAACAAGCATGCAGATTGCATCAAAACTGACAATCAAATGTTGTGGTTTATTCAAGGTTTTACACTGGTGTGATTGAATGTAGGTATTGGTGCTGGGTACGAAAATAGATTAGCAGTCTCCGTACCTAGGCTAGAACCTTGCATCCTGACGTTCTGACAGCACAAACCAAACCTAACCCTCAAAGCTGAAGTAGACGACACCACCTGCAGGAGTGGGTACTACATGTTACTTAGTATCTTTATCTCAAGAAATATACGAGGTGGCGGGTAGCACGGGTCGCATGGGTGGGGGTCATCTCGGTGGTGAATTTCAGGGGTTTGCAGCAGTAAAGCTGTCACACTGGTCATTAGCCAGGGAGAAGAGCGAACCGAGGATCGGGACTAACCGATGTTATTGCGTCAAGTGGCACGTGCTCACGCACTGATTGCCGGAGTATCTGATGACGTCGGAAAACGACTACCCGTTTATGGCAACATGTTGCTTGGTTTGAGTTTGGCTGCCTTGCTCGAGTATTTCATTGACCCACTTGCTCCTTCCACTCGTTTCTGTCTATCCTCTCCCCTGCGGCAGCGATGTAGGTACTTTTTTTCCGTCGTTTTTCTTGCCATTGTTCACTTCGCATTTGTCCCCAGGTCTAGCACCTCACAGCAGGTGGCGACTTCGGCTTCCACGGCTACCTTCGTCACTGCGTTGGTATTCAACGCGGCAGTCTTTGGAGCTGAGATCGTTATCTTTACGCTGCTACGTCCATATTTCAAACAAATATACGAGCCCCGCACAATTCACCCGATCGAAAAGTATGTTTTGACTACACCACTTTGCCTCGTTTCAATTTGAACCCTCGTTCGCAGCCAACGCGTCAAACCTTTCAATGGTGGTTTATTCTCTTGGCCTATCGCCCTCTTCAAATCCGACTATCGTGATGTCGAACGCGTTAATGGACCAGATGCTTATCTTTTTGTACGATTCCTCCGGATGATGGTCCGCATCCTTTTGCCTATATGGATCATATCTTGGGCTGTACTCCTACCTCTCACCTCAGCCAACAACTCTGTTGCTGGGAAAACTGGTCTTGATCTGTTCACGTTTGGTAATGTATCTCCATCCAATCAACCACGGTACGCTGGACACTTGGTTTGTGCCTACCTGTTTACTTGTGAGTATTTATGCATCTGCCTCATGGATGCTTCTTCTATTTTACTGATTTCCTTATTCAGTTTGGATCTATTGGAATATCAAGCGCGAAATGCGCCACTTTGTGACTGTTCGCCAACTCCATCTCGTCGACCCCAAGCATTCTCGTTCCTCGCAGGCCAATACGGTTTTGGTCACCGGCATCCCAGCTAAGTTTCTCTCAGAGAAGGCTCTAGAGCAGTTATACTCCCACCTTCCAGGTGGGGTGAAGAAGGTTTGGCTAAACCGGTGAGTCCACGTGCGTTTGGGGCGCATTGACAAACTTATCGCATGAGTTCAGCTGACTTTTTTGTCTTCACAGAAACTTAAAAGATCTACCTGCTGTCTATGACCGTCGCCTGTCGGCATGCAAAAAGCTGGAATCTGCAGAAACAAACTTGATTCGCACTGCCATCAAGATCCGTAATAAGAAGTTGAAGGGGGGAGAGAAAGTCGACGAAGCCTATAACATCAATCCGGACCAGGCTGAACGTGATGTTGCCCTGGCGGAAAGGCTCGTTCCAAAAGCAAAGCGTCCCACCCATCGCCTCCCTCCTCGTTTTCTTCCATTCTCCCTTCCCTTTATTGGCGAAAAGGTCGACACCATAGAGTGGGCTCGCAACGAGATCGTCATTTGCACTACTCAACTCCGCGAAGCTCGTCAGGTTCTCGTAGAACAATCGAACCTGCCTGCACCGGATGACGTTGACGGAGATGGCAGGATCACCCGTGAAGATTTACCTGTTCAAACGTACCCTCCTCTCAACTCGGCCTTTATCACTTTCAAGAAACAGATTGCCGCGCACATGGCGTACCGCATGCTGACACATCACGACCCTTACCGTATGGCCGATCGTTACCTCGAAGTCTCTCCGGTGGACATCATCTGGGGTAACCTTGCAATGAATCCATATGAGAAACGTGTTCGAATGGCGATCAGTTACGCAGCTACTGCTGCCTTGATCATATTCTGGGCGATTCCCGTTGCCTTCGTTGGTATCATCTCTAACATCCACGGGCTCTGTGTTCGTGCTAGCTGGCTTGCATGGCTGTGTACGATTCCTTCGCCAGTTATCGGGATAATTCAGGGTATCTTGCCCCCGGTGTTGCTCGCCGTCCTAAACATGCTACTCCCCATAGTTCTCCGCATGCTAGGGAGCTTCCAGGGTATCCCAACGCGTACTGGCCTGGAACTGAGCTTGATGACACGGTTTTTCATTTTCCAAGTTATTGTAGGTTTTCCGCTCCTGGGCTTGGTCATGTATGATACTGATGGCCCCGGCTTCTAGCACTCATTCCTAATTGTAACCTTGAGTTCCGGTATTATTGCTGCACTCCCGTCGCTTTTGCAGAACCCGAGTTCTGTGGCAACTTTGTTGGCGGCGAATCTTCCTCAGGCGTCCACCTTCTTCCTCACGTATGTCAAACCACGGCTTCTGTGCTGCATTACAGTGCCTAATGTCTTTACTCTCTCAGGTTTATTGTCCTACAGGGACTTTCCGGGGTGGCAGGCAGTTTTCTGGCTGTTGTCCAACTCGTGTTGTACTATGTCAAGCTGTTCATTCTGGGAAGTACCCCCCGTTCCATATACGACATCAAGTTCGGGCCGAGGAGTGTTGCGTGGGGCACGTTGTTCCCTTCGATTACATTGCTGACCGTCATTAGTGGGTTATCTCGATTCCTTGCGTCGAGCACAAACTAACGTCATGATCTGTTCCTCCACAATCTCTCGTGTTAAATCGTCACCTGATCTTTGTCACTCCCAGCTTTCGCTTACTCTGTCATCTCCCCGATCATCAACGGATTTTCCGTAGTCACCTTCTTCCTCTTCTACCTCCTCTACAAATACTTGTTCCTGTATCAATACACTCAACCTCCCCAACTGGATACGGGTGGACTCTTCTTCCCCCGAGCGATCCAACACGTATTTGTGGGCTTGTATGTACAGCAGGTCCGCCTTTCAGTCTTGAGCTCATCCGTCGGATCAGAATTGACGTTATCCATGTTAGATCTGCCTTTGTGCGCTGTTCTTCCTAGCACAGGATTCGTCTGGGAAGCAATCCGCTATTCCGGAGGGAGTAATCATGGTGGTTCTCATCGCGTTGACAGTGGGTTTCCTGTTGTCGACGTCTGGTTTTTTGACTGACTTCTGTGGCAGGCTGGCTACCACATTATTATCAACGAATCTTACGAGCCACTTATCAGCGCTCTGCCACTTAGCATCGCCGATAAGACAGCCACCGATCTTGAGGAACCCGCCCCCAGCGATGCACGCGCGTCCACCTCCGCGGATGCTTCCAGTAGCAACAAGTGGAAGGCTACCAAGGGCGATAACACCACTGACGACGATAGGGAACGCGAAGAACAAGAGCTCGACGACTACTACTTCCAGAAATTGTCGGATGGTGCTCTTGATTATGGCTTTGCTCATCCCGCAGTGTCTAGGCCCCAGCGTGCGGTGTGGATCCCCGATGATTCAGAAGCGTGGGCTAGTGCTGCCAGTGAAGGCTCAGCAGAAGTGGAGGGAAGCGGACGCAAGAGGGGTCTCGGTCCTGCGGAAGTGGAAGCTAACTCCTCGCACGGTGTCTTGGCAACGACTGAGGGCACTCAGATGGACGCCAAAGGACACTTGGAGGTCTCCGAGGCTCCGGTGGACATGGATAAATTTTAAGGGTTGCAACGAGTAGGCGTTTACGACTGAATTGTGTTCATTGATTTGTTGCATAGTACTAATTTTTCTTACATAAGTTCACGAGTTCATGAAAGTTGACTGTTTTTTCTTCTGGATGTACGCGAATTGTAATAGTTTAGGAATGCATTTCGCTGTGTTTTGGAAGCCACTGAAGTTTTACATGAAGGACTACGCGCGAATGACATCCCGATAAAAGGGTAAAGGAAACTACAGCTCGTCTCGGGCAGAGCTTACTAGGCCGGTGGCCCGTACTGGAGGCTCACTAGGCGCAGATCCAGATTCAAAAGCAGGGTCGTTTGGGAAGAGGGTGTCGGTTGCGCTTGTGACCGCGTCGTAGGTGGTAACTGGTATCGACCCATCCGCCACTGGCATCGGAGTCCTCGTCTCCGTAAAACTCAACAGTGTCGCAGGAAGCGTCAGAGACGTCGCGGAAGCGGCAATGACTGCGGAAGCCGTCGTGACTGCCAGGACAGATTCAACGCCTGTAGCAGTTGCTTTCTCCACAGCGGATACATCACCCACTTTCCCAGAATTCCACCATGGCATGCTTACGAACCTAGTCCACCAAAATGCGATTCGGAAGCCCTTCTGTAACACTCGTTGCTCCAAGATGAAGAGTACGACAAGGCAGAAGAAGACGAGCGCCGCCATGATAAGTAGACGATCGAGGGTGTCGGTCTTCTCGAGGGCACTGATGAGCTGACGGGAGGAACCGAGCAGGAGTGAGAGACCGTCATGAGTTTGAGCCGTCGACTGCAGAGTCGCGGTGGATGATTCTTCGAAGACATTTTTCGTTAGAGAATCCGAAATTTGCATGGTAAACACGGGGCAAGAATGCCTGCTGCGTACCAATAAGCTGCGTAGAAAGGACACTACGTTCCAGTTCCTTCTGCATCAAACCCATCGTTCTCTGGAGGGTCTCGGTGACGTTGTTTGTGGCTGTCATAAGCGCATCTTCCCTGTTGTATCCACGGAGAAGAAAGCAGGAAAACGGGCCGAAATTCCCAACCGGTTCTTGAGCATGAATGCAATATCAAAATGCATCTGTACGAACTTAGTTTTGCCATTCCCAGACAACACCTTCTCGGACGTTGAGGAGGGTGAACCAAATAATTCCTCCCGTTGGGACTGCCGCTGTGCATCTATAGTGCGTTTCGACACTAGGATCGCTCCTCGAGCATCATTGCGAAGTCTGCAAATATTTAATTGTTGGGAGGTAATAGAAACAGAGGGCTTTGTAGATACGCACTTGTCCAAGGTATTTCGAAATGTATCGACCCGTACTCTCAGTTGCCTCCGCGCCCGTTCAGTTCTCTGGTCATCAACCAGGACGTCCAACTCCTGCACTGAGTCATATGGCCCGTCAGTACTGAATAGGAGGTGAATATAGCTAACACCGGACTTCGATTTGCCTCCCCACCCTTTCAACATCCTCCCGGATTTCGGCTGCCAGGCTTTGTTGCGTAGCAAGTGGTCCCGCACACGCCTTTAAATGCGGAATTTGGAAAGTCGTCAAATCATTCAGGCGTCGCTCGATGAGCTCAATGAGAGCCAAGCTTTCGGGGTCAACTGCAGTAGGGACCGGTGGCATCGTGGAAGTCAAGCAGTAGCGAGTGAATGAAAGTGATGTATGTCTCCGGACACGCCTCCACAGTATCAACAACGGTCCAAAGTCAAGCGCAAGGGAAACACGTGGACGGTCCTCCGCAAATTTCGCTGGAGTAAAAATCAAGCGTGGTCCACCTATGATCAAAAACCATCATAATTGACTTGTCGCCATACTTCTAATGAGCTACTTGGGTACAATATTAACTACGGGAGAACGCCAGCGAACCTGCAGATTAGCAGACATGGCGAACGTGATACCTTTACAAGTACGATATGGAAAAAAAAGCGTGACGTAGCTGAATCGAATGGTTTGAAATATTCCTGCAGCAAAGGTGAGCAACAGTCCTGACCAGTGGAGGTTGGTCGTCGATTTAACAAGGCCATCCAGCTGCCGCTGCCTCGCTGAGAATTATCAGCTCCTCACTCAAGTCCAATCCCTCACGGCGTGCATCCTCCTCGAATTGTTTGAGTAAGTTGTCTGCGTGCCCAGTGACATTGCCCTCTGGAATCCAGCTCGCTTCACTCATCGGGTAACTGTGGTCCGAGATAAACAGTCATACGAAAGACTCGAGCAATGGTTCTGCCGAAGACTTACCCATCCCATTTCGCCAACCAGCGGTAGCCAGCTTGCCCAACCGATTCCCGCCCGACAAGACGTTCGACAAAGTACAAACCATCTTCTGCCTCTGCTACATGTGGACAGTCAGGTCGTGCGCATGTCTCTGTACGGTTCCTGGTGGTCTGGCGCCTGGCAACTGCAAGGTCTATTATAAGCAACAGGAACTGCATCATGCAACGAAGAGTTACTTTGAACACTAGAAAGCAGCCATGTCAACAAGGCATTATCCACTCGTGCAAGAAGTCCAACTTACAAACATAAGGGACATATGAATGCGGCTTCCGAGTCCAGTCGTGGGTCATCCTTTTCTACACCAACGCACCCATAGTGATACCACATGTCGCAACTGCACCAAAAACATTAGCTAAAATCCGGTAGTCGCTCTCGGTACGTACTTGTCACATTGGATGAGCTGATTATATGGCAAAAACGTTACGGTAGGTCCAGCCTCAGAGGTTAGTCAACGCACCTGTCGTTCCCAACTGTCCGACGATCGTTTGATTTCCGGCCAAAACTGTAAAATGACCGTCCTCTGGTGGGAAGGCATATCGGGCAGTGCCGCCGCCGTTATCGTATCAGCCAGTTTTCTTCGAGAAGGTCTCGACGTCGTTCCTTTCGCGTGAACTGCCGACTTCCGCTTGCCTCTTGGTCTTGCTGGCGTCTCACTAGGCGGATGATACTTCGCTCTAGCAGTGGATTTCAGGTCAAAACCACCGTTGTCCCGGGACAAATTAGAATCCATCCTGACCACTTTCCCGTTCAAAAGAACGTATCGTGGGCGTATATCCCTGTTGAAAGTACCGTTGGGGGAACTACCTTGGTATTTAGAAACTTCCGATTCAACCATCGATGTTTCTCCTATCTTGATTCTCTTTTTAGCAGGGATGATAATTTTCAATGAATCTGTCCCACGAGGGACAAGCTCCCCGCTGTGCTCCGCTAGAGAAATAGCGTTCCCTACAGGTTCGGAGTCACACATCGTTACCCCCTCAAGATCTGCGATGTTAATCATACCAGCCTCCATCCCAGGGCCTACGGCAGGCTGGGATGAAGATGGGTGGGTGCTGTTAGTGACGTCCTCGTCCCGTGTTCCCTGCTGGCTACCTCGTCTTCGCTTCCTCCCCTTGGAACCTTTCAAATAGTTCGCTGGCGATTCGCGCCGCGCCAATTGCATCAACTCCGATAGCGGAGCCGACGGGCCACCGCACTTTCGGCTCAAGGTCAAGTCACGAGAGTGCTTGGCAACGTAGTCTAAGAGTGGCGTGTCGTCTTGTAGACTTTCGGCTTCCGATGGCTCTCTGTTGGCTGTGATAGGTGTCAAAGGTGAAGGAGGTGTGGAAAGTGGGGCATGTGTTGAAGAAGTGGAGGACAGCGATGACGATGGTTCCCCGCTCGACGGCGCTGACTGAACTACCGAATAGGGATCGGGAATGTCTGGGGCCGGATCACTTTCAGGAAGCACAGACGATACTTCCAGCTTTTCAGCTTGCTGCGAAAGGTCTCTCACAGCACCACTGTGTGGTACCACAGAGGGGCACCTGGACGCTGTCATCGATGGCAGTATGAGCGAAGGGACTGACGCAGGGGACATCATTGCCGTAGCTGGCGTTGTCGGGAGGAGTGATTGCAGAACATCTTCTTCCTCTTGTGTATGCTGGCTGTCAGCCGGAGTGTTTTCACGTCCGCCGTCAGTCAACAGGAGCGACGAGCGATGCGATGACACTGGATGACGGGGATCTACGGGGGAAGATGAGGGTGTGTCACTCATAAGTGATGGTTTCCCTGGTCAATAGCGCACCTGTGTTCACACTTGCCTCTGAGTGGCTGCCATGTGGCAGTTTAGAAACAGCCCAAGGTTCAGACGTGCTGGCGTCCGCATCGTGGTTGCATTGAATATTACAGGGACTGCCACCATGCTGAACAGTATCCGCAGGGCGCTCTTGATCTTCCATACGTACGTCACTGCTACAATCTACGCCGAAGCTATCCGTCGCTGTCGTACGGGTCGACGCAGAAAGCGTAGCTTCCGCTGGTGTCAAGTTGAGACCCGAAGTCCCAATACCCATACTTGCCCTGTCGGTCTGCATATTTACGGGATGAGCAACTGGGCTGATAGTGTCCACAGACCTTCCCGCGAAACCGGCGATAGCCTTCAATAACTGCTCTGCAAGTGAACTAGAAGAGGCGGAAGAGGTAACTTGACCTGACAGGGCTTCCCAGAGCGAACTTGACTGCAGCTGCGGTCCATTTGAATGCTCAAAAGATTTCACCGAAGTACCATTCAGAACACTGTTGTCAACCTCTTGGTTCCGGGAGTTGTCCATGGAGGCGCGATGGAAAACATCAGGAAGGACTGGGGTGATCACATGGGCTCTAGATGATACACCAGCCAAGGCACCTGCGCCAGATACGGACGGTAACACAGAAGAACCCACAGAAATCGAAACATCTTTCGTAGCAGGAGCGATGTCCACAAGCGTGGACGGCGTTGCGGAATCAAGCGGAAAATGGGTATCAACCTCCGCTAATATTGAAGGGGGTGACGCGGGCGGAGTAGACTTCGCAATATTGGGAATAGGTGCGGACGGCGGCCATGGCTGGAGAGAAAGGAGCGGAATTACGAGGGATCCAGGCGTGATCCCTGACGACGCAGTTACAACTTTATCTATTGAATGTAGCCCGTCAGATGGACACGCTGGGTCGTGTGAGAGAGATCGCTGCCTGGTTGGGTCGACGGAGCCTTCGCTGCCTTGCGCTGAGGAAACTGGGTTGAATAGGAGTTAGCGTATCCCGCAGAAGTTAATCCTGAACATTGCCAGCGGGGGAGGGTAATTTATAAGCAGGCGGAAGTTTTGACTTACCGGAGCCACTTTCGTTACTCCAAATCGCAGGTACAAAAGAAAAATGGCACTGCTCACCATGCGCCAGAGCAGAATATGCAGAACGCGAATCGCAGACTTGAACAGAAGCGTCTATAAGCATCAAGTTCAGTATCAGATCCCAAGTAGAATTGCAAGTGCGGCCACGATGTGAGAGGATATGTCTGAGTCTGCTTGTGAGAAGCGACAAAATGCAGGACATACGTTTTACGGATGACTGAGTTTCGGTTGTGGAGGTATGTGCGGGTTTGGATTGATGCGATAGCGTTTCAGAAACTGATAACGTTTGAAGAGGGATAACTTGTGCAGGAATTGAATGACCGGCTCCTGCGACGGTAGTATCGAGTGGAAATGACGCGGGTGGCGGTGATGTTGCTGCATGACGGTGAGTGGCTATGTGCCAACCGCACAGCTCAGCCTCAGACGAACGACGGAAGGAGTACGAGATCAGACGCACATCTCTCGCAGCTCCTACTCTCCATACGATCGAGCAACTTCTCTACAGCGACTTCAATCGCGCCCAGTCTGTCGACGAGGTTGGCAACAGGTGTCTGGGATGTCTGGTTTCCTTCCTCGAGAGCACCTACTTCGTCAGTTGCCTTGTCTTTCACATTTCCCTTGCTAGGTCTACCGCGTACTTGTTTTTGTCCGGCCTTCTCGTGGCTGACCCCGAGAACCTCTTCGAGTGAGTCAACTCTGTCCACTAAGTTCTTTTGCGTGGTTTTGATGGTGCGCAACTCCTTGAGCACGTTTTGCACGTCCATCTGCATGCCCGACATATTTGCCTGCAGGCTATTTAATGGTGAAAGGAGCGATGAGAAATCAGGAACGGTGGGAGCCGGGGAAGGAGCATGGGCTTGTTGCAACTCATTCGTTTGTGCCGACTGAGGACGCGAGTCGCGAAACACGCGGGCCAACGAGGGAGGGTGTGACACAAACGGGGTCCAAGTGGAAAACTGGTTGAAGCTCGAGTGATCAGGAGCGACGTGGGCTGTAGGCAACCTTACAAGCGACTCAGAGATGAGCCTGCCGTGTATATCGCAGATCGAACTGCTGCAGTGCTCGCCCAAGTGAGGAGCATGGGCGTAGTTGCAAAGATGTCCACTGTAAGGAGTGGGAGGGATTGCGTACCGGAGGTTGCTACCTACGTGGGGTGGCAGAGACCGTCGCCCCGCTGGATGCGACTCTGAAGAATGGGACATCGACGTGGGCCCAGACGGAGGGCAGCCAGCAGAACTACACATCATCAACGCTGCGTCCTTGCACCAAAACGAGTGGAATTGGATTTCGGAACTTTCCTGTGTCTACGCATCACTTAGATTATCTTATCTTGTTGTCTGGTTTATTCAACTTGTATCCACTGTCCCTGTAATATTATGTAGAGTGACACGCAGTTCGGCGCTCCGCTGAAGCTCGAATGCGGGGGTATTTGTTGTTACCTCTGTTTTGGCTTCTCCCACCTTCGAGATGTCCAACTCGTGAGTTGTAGCCCTCACACGCCCCGCTGACAACTCTCAGACTTCAGTTAGTTCAGACTGTGGGCCCGTAGAGTCGAACATTTTCTCACCGCTCACTCTGCCATGTGGACGCACCGTCACCAACCGACTCGTTAAAGTGCGTCACGCTGTTCGTTTTCACGACCCAACTCTAAACCGTGTTTCCCGAAAGGTGGCCATGTATGAGCACCTGTCCAATTTTTCAGGGGGACCTCCGAATATCTATCACTTCGCACTCTACTCTGAGTGGGCGAAGCATGGCTGGGGAATGGTCATCACTGGCAACGTCCAAGTCGACAAGCACCATTTGACATTGGGGCGTGATATGGTGGTACCTAACGTGCTGAACGACGAAACACTAGCGCCCTTCAAACGATTAGCGCAGGTCATCCATGGTGACGCTGTCGTGAAAAATGGAGAATACAGTCACAGTTCTCGCTACAAAGTCCGTCCTTTGGCTATAATGCAGATTTCACACCCTGGCCGCCAGTCACCTATCGTCGTTGGCGGTCGTTCACCCTTCGTACCGCCTAAAGCTCCGAGTCCCGTTAGAGTTGGATCAGTCGCTCAGAAAAGTGCAGTGCGCCCCGAAGTTAATTTTAGTTCCTCGATACGGTCTACCGAAGAAGGACCGGCAAAGGACATGCCATGGACAACTGCCTTGTCCCTACGTACCCTCTTTCAAATCCCACAAGAAATGACTATCGATGATATTCGCGACGTACAAGCAGGGGTTTCTCAGAGCCGCCCTGGCGGCTTCGAAGGCTGGTTTCGACGGTATCCAGCTGCATTGTGCACATGGTTGTCAGTGTTAACATGACCCGCTTCTTTAGACATTGTACTAATGCGGGGAATCGCATTTACTGGTTAGATCTCCTCGCCCAATTCATGAACCCCAAGGTAGTTGTTAGTTTAAGCATGCCCATGTACCGACCCCTTTCCAGACAAACATCCGTCAAGACCAATACTCCATTTCCCCACCTGTCAACTCGCTCCGCATGCTCCGTGAGATCGTTGAGGCGATACGTGCCATGATGCGTCGGGATTTTGTGGTAGGCGTCAAGATCAACTCAGCTGACTACATCCAGGCAGGGGAACGTCCGTCAGATGCTCGTCTTCAGGTCGAGACGAACCGCGTACTGGACCACGTTCGTGCGATAGCTCATTGGGGCCTGATCGATTTCATTGAAGTTAGTGGGGGTGATTACGAGTCTCCAGGCAAGCATACTCTCTCCCATAAGTGTTCCGCGTGCTTCATTGTCTTCGTTTAGAGTTCATGTCATCGAAACCAACCACTCCACGTCAGGCATTCTTTTCCCACTTCTCGAGGATGGTCATAGAACACATTAACCGCGATCCGGCGCCATCTAAACCAACACCGGTTCCTGTCATCCTCTTAACTGGTGGTCTGCGTTCTCCCGCACATTTACAAACTGCCCTTGACGCAGGCCACGCGGACCTTCTTGGCATAGGCCGAGGATCGATTACATGCCCAGATTTGCCTGTGATGCTGCAGAAGCGATTGTCCTACGGGGAAGATCGGGTAGAATATCAGTCCAAGAAAGACACCGAACCGTTCGCGTGCGATCCCGGTGATGATCTTAAGCCACCTTTTTGGCTTCCAAAGGTTGGGCTAATCGGTGCATCCTTCCAATTGGCGTGGTACACTGTTCGAATTCGGAGTATCGCAGAGTCGCGCATCCAAAATGGTCCCCGAAATGGAAAGCCGGGTGCTGACTCGTACCCACACGGCATGGGAGCAACGGAAGCAATGCTGAAAATGTGGATATGGGCGAACCGGGTACAAGCTGGTGGGTTTTGGTCTTCCTTCTTATGATGATTCCCGCTATGGTCATGCTACCCACTGAACCGATGGTGTCGAGACAATGTGATACCCATACGAAAGACATTTATACAACATAATACATGTGCAGAAGAGATCTGCTGCCAACCATTGAAGCTTACTTCAACTCCGGAGTATCTGCGTACAGTGTCTTCATTCCAGTGGGCGGATGCCGATCGCCAACTGTCAAATTAGCTTTCTCGACGAATGTACGGATCTCTTGAATTTCTTCCGCCAAAAGGTGTACATGAACGCTGTCAAGATTCTCCTTCAGGTACTGCAACAGGTTTAACGTGACGGCTGAGTTGTTGAATCCGAGCGAGTGATTTATAACACAGTACCTTGATCCTTTTTGTCCCCGGAATAGGGATAATGTCGTTACCCTGCGCAAGATCCCATGCAAGGGCCACCTGCGCAGCCGTAGCATTGTGATGTTGACCCAACTCCTTCAATTTATCTGCTAACTTTAAAATGTTTGGGAAGTTCTCCTTCGAATACCTACAGTGCTTTCAGTGTCGTCACCGGGGAGACACGGCCATGGAAAGAGGCCTCACCTAGGAATGTGTCGTCTATAATCATCTTCAGCAAAATCATCGGGGGATTTCTATCGTTGTCATTCAGCGTTCTCGTTCATGTTCAAGCGATTCAACTCACATATTGTCCAGTGAGTAACCCTCTTCCGACAGGTGAATACGCAACAATTGTAATACCAAGCTCGCGCGCGGTCTGCAAGAGGCCTATCTTGGGATCCTCGATATCCAGCGTAAATGGCGAGTACTCGACTTGGAGGGCTGCAATCGGATGCACGGCATGCGCACGGCGGAGGGTATTCGCGCTGCATTCACAGAGACCGAGGTATTTCACCTTCCCAGCCCTGGGAAGAAGGATAGTTTCTTCTGTAGGTGAAGATCGAGTCATTCGAACTTACTTGACAGATTTTGCCATAGCTCCGACCGTCACCTAGGTCGGCGAGTAGTTAGTACCTCATCCATTGCCAACATTTATGTGCGCACTTCAATTGGCACTTCAGGATCGGGACTGCAAGTCGCGTAGGTGGTAGGTCACTCTTCCACTGTCATCAAGAGTGTCACTGACCGATGCAAGTAATATAGGTCGATCGTCTCTACACAGAGACGACTCAACGACGCCTCTAAACAGGCTTCAGCATGTTCCGGAGATCCGTTGATACCGGAGGGTTTGCTGATGTCAAACCCGAACTTGGTAGCAAGGAAGATCCTATCGCGCTTGCCTGTGCGCGTGAACCTGGCTAAGTGTTATGCGCCGACTCAACCACATCGACACGGGCAAGATCGCACCATTTTCCGATGAGTTCCTCGCTATCTCCGTATGCGTTCGCTGTGTCCCAGAGGGTGCAACCATAGTCGAGAGCGGCGTCCAGAACCTGCAGAATAGTTGCTTAAGATTTTCGCTACTGGCGGTAGAATGGGCGTGGGTCATTATGCCATTAGGCTCACCTTAAAACGCTCTTCGTCTGGCTCAGTCGGGCCGTAGAACGCAGATAAGCCCATTGCACCGAAACCGATGGCAGAGACGTCAGTATCGCCAATATTGCGTGTTGGATAAGACATGACGAAGTTTCTGTGTCTGGCCTAGCAACACGATAGAAGGTTAGCATTCTTTTATATCTACTGCAGGTATTATGTATGAACAAGGGATGAAACAATGACGTCCCCCGGCCGGCTTGATATCGTCAATCAGAATTACGCAGTGGTCTTGACCTACATAGAAGTTCTCTAAGGTACACGCCTACGTGTCGATTCGGCATGCTCGTTATCAATCACCAATCACACATACTTACGATAGCCCGACACGGCGGTAAACTTTAATTCAAGTAAAATACATGGTCAACGAACGGGAGCCGATTTAGGGGCTTTTCAGACTAATTAAATCATATCTGCTCAGATAAATGTGGTAAGCAGCTAAGGGATTCTTCTGGCACTCCCACTTCCTGAAAGCACATTACAGGTATTTACGATCATTGTGTTGCGAGGAGGAGCAAGACAACCATCCCAAGCAAGATTGTGCACCACCTGTGGCCAGCACAGTATCTCACGGAGTACAAATCAGAACTATAAACGGTCAATCCAGACATAAAGCCTGAAGACAAGCCATCAAATATGGATGAAATGGAAAGTTGCTTAAACTGCTATGTGCTACCCTTATCACCTGCTTGGAAAATGTCTGGTGTCAGTGCACACACCAAACCAGTGGGGCAATACAGCCCACAGCCCCCCAAACCGCAGACATCTTAACCTGGGTCCAGTCCGGATCAACAACCACAGCAACAACGATCGCTGCACCGAAGAAGTATGTGTTGGGAGGAAATAGTCAACAAGTGTGGCATAGTGGGTAGGATTTCCTACTTGCCCAACACAGAAAAGTACATGGGGGGATGATAGCATTGATACAACCACGATGGACCAGTTTGTCCAGCAAGCCAAAACCAAAATAAGGCTGATCTTGTCTACTTATGAACCAACATAGTTGTTGCAATGTTTGGGCCATGATGATACTGAAAAATGCCAATATGATGAACCAGCAACAGAAATGTTGAGACCAGATGATAATCCAGCAATCAGCATTAACGATGCCTCAAATGACTAGAAAGCCTATATTAGTTGCCAGGAGAATCAAGGGCTGCAAATGTCAGTGGTTGACCGATAGGCACCCCGCTAAACAACTTACTAGGACGCTAATGATCTGCACGTTACCCGCAACCATCTCCATCAACGCAATGAGGTCCGTCTGGTAGTGACCACCATGCAGGCGTTGGATCTTCCAGAGCTCATGCCACATCCTGTAGATATACCCCAAGGAACACAACATCGATATCGTGTCCAGCAGGGAACAACTTCGTCGTAGAACAGAGCGACGTGCCACAGGGGTCAGAACGCCACCCAAGTGTGGATGTGCGTACCGTCTTTAAATCTGGAGATTGAGATCAGCATCTACTTCACTGTTCGGACCTGGTGCAGGGTTTGATGGCGGGGGAGGTGACACGCCTGACATAGCGGGAGGTGGCGTGTTGGCGTTAGGAGGAATAGTAGGGAGAAATTGTAAGGGGATGGCAGGCAGGGAAGTCGGGAGACCACTTTTACCTAATGATCGTAGTGGTCGCGGGTTACTTTAGTAGTCGAACGAGCGGGCTACCAGGATGACCTGACAACTGGCGAGTCGAAGGTGAGTCACTGTGAGTTAGTAGATTGACGGACAGCCGACCAGTCTGGACCTGCAGGCTAGAACTGCTTCCTCGGTTGCCGTCAACTCTGGAGGAATCTTGGGAAGACCGTGGTGTTGCCATGGTGGGAGCGCTTATGGACGGAGAGAAGAGGTGTGTTTGGGGATTGTTTGCTACACCAGAACGGTTCAACAAGTACTTATCAGCCGTGGTGGGGCGATATACGAGAGTGTTCAGCCAGACCACCGTCAGCTCACTGAAGGTGCCGCCGGTATTCTAAGGTTTCGTGTATGTTCCACATAGCAAGATGAAGGTCTGACCACTGGTTAGAAGAATCCACGCCTCACAACTACTGGGTGACTTACCATGAGCTCCATGGATTATTTCGATTTCAAGATGGAAGGCTGCCGGTGTACCAGTCCCAGCCTCTCCCCCCTCCCCGAATAACGAGCACCAATGGTGTCAGTGTCATGAGCGCACACTCGCTAAACGTCGTCTCTTGGCATTTTTCAACATCAGATCACCCTAATACCTCATCCTTTGATTCGTCGGCTCGGCAAGTACTCGCAGTCTGGTCACATTCAGCTATATACATAGTAGGACAAATCTTACGTCCTCAACGTGTGTTATGCACCCGAATATCTTGTCCTATAACTGCCGCATTCAGTGCAAGTTCAAAGTTCCGATTTATTATGATCTTGGTAGGGAACTCACCGTAAGTCACCCACTGGTCATGAATATTTGGAGGTAGGAGAGGGAGTGATGGAAGGGAAAGAAAGACGGCAAGCAGGAGACGCGGTTAATGGATAAGGCCGATTGTTTTCGGACCAGAAATTACCGATCGCCAACCCCCGTCCAATCAGCTTTCTCGACGAATCTATGAATTCCCTGAACTTCCTGCGGTGCCGACCAGGTTCTGCTTCAAGTACTGCAACGCGTACAACAAGATCCCTGAGTTCGACAGGTCCAACCGAGGGATAAGAAAACACTACCTTGACCATTTTTGTCCCCGTAATAGAGATGATGTGATCACTCTGAGTTGACCCGTTACCTTCAGCTTGTCTGCTAATTTCAAGATATTCGGGAAGTTTTCCTTCGAACACTTATATTACGCCTTGCCATTACCGGGGAGAAACGAGAAACATCCATGGAAAGGACCCTCACCCAGGAACGCGTCGCCTACAATCATCTTCGGCGAAGTCTCCGGAAGATTTCTACCGTTCTCATTCAACGTCTTCATTCATACCTAACTGATTCGGCTCACCTGTTGTCCAGTAAGTAACCCTCTTCCGACAGGAGAATACACAACAATTGTAATACCAACCTCGCGAGCAGTCCCCGAAAGATTTATCTTGGGGTCTACGGCCTGTGCCTGACGGAGGGTGTCCGCGCTGCACTCGAAGAGACCGAGACATCTCGCACTCCCGGCCCTGAGAAGAAAAACATGGTTACTTCTCTAGGTGTGTGTATGGTGAATTGCAACCTTAGTTGACGAATTCTTTCATAGCCCTGATTGTCATCTGTGCCAGAGCAATCAATTAATACCCCATCGCGACCAACATTTGTATGCATACCTTAGTTGGCACGTTGGGACTGGGTCTACAAGTTGCGGGGTCTGTAAGCCACTCTTTCATCGTCACGAAGAGTCGCTGACCGATACAGATAATATAAATCGATCGTCTCGATACCGGGGCGAATTAATGACCTCTACAAACAGGTTTCAGCATTCTCCGGAGATCCATCGACTTCCTGGAAAGTGCGACTATAGCCGAATGCGGTATCTAAGATTTGCAGAGTCGTTACTGTCAAGTGAATTACATTTTCATCGCGAACGGCAGATTTGGCGAGGGACACAAGACTCACCTTGAGACACCCTGGAACACGGATATGCCCATGGCACCGAAACCGATGGCGGACACGATCATCACCAATTTTGCGAGCTAGACATGACATGACAAAGTTTCTGTGTCAGATTAAGCAAGTCGGCGACTACCAGGTCAGTCAAGAGGAAGGAGAAGGCGAAGTAACAAAGTGAAGTCGATATCTACCATTAACTGTGTTCATGACTAAGAGATGACATCGCCCAACTTGAAATTCTCATTCTACTCAGTCATGCGACACGCAGAAAATACGTCACACGGGAAATTGCACGATGGGCACACATGGTTATGGTTATATGTGGAAAAGTGTATTCGCTCGAGAGTCTGTTTATCTGTGAACTGGCGAGTGGAATAGAATACACGTTCCCAAAAAGCCCAACAAAGGAGGGAGCTAACTGTGGGTCCGGACCTACAGGAGAAATAAGTGCGTGGGCATGGGTTATGAATCATCCAGAACGGCCCGAATGCCTTCCAAGGACGTACCGTTACTGTCGAGTGCAATGAAGCCTAGACCTTGTACTTTACATGCACCGGTCGTCAGCAAAGACAGCAGGATTCCGAAGCCATACAACGTCTAGGCTGCTCTAGCTCGAGGCTTCTCAGAGACTACGAGTGCAACTGGAAAACTTCGAAGTACACAGTATACTCGTCGGGCGTCATCGACTCTTGGTCCTCTTCAGTGACTTGGGAGAAGGGCTTCGGTACCCCGTTTACTAGGGAATGGTTAACTTTCAAAACCCCGAATACCCACGAAGATACCGTCGACACATACCAAGGACGAAAGGATCACGCTCACTGCTATTCACAGTGTGAGTCTCCCGCTCCACGACAATGTGTTCTGATTCTATTTTTGTAAGTTTCGTTGCGGGAATGCCAACATCCTCGACGGAACGGGACCGCTTGCGAAACTCGTTCAGCGAGTCCAAAAATCCGATGGTCAGCTTCTGGTCTTCATCCCCCCCAAGCTCCTCACTCGCGAGTGCAGGCGGAGTCGCCTGAGCGGATGCTGCGTTTGACGCTGCTAGAGAAGCGTAGTATTGTTCGTAGTCTATCGAGCTTCCAAGTGTAATTATCGTCCCATCAGTTCCACGAACACTCACAATCGAATTCGACGTCAACGGCTGGCTTAACATCTTCAGCCACCACCGGAGACGCCTGAGGGGCGCTTTGATGGCCCAATGGTTCCCAGGCCCCTTAGCGTGTCATCAGTGGATATCTCCATAGCATTTCCACTCGTAGTCATAGAACGAGCGCTTTCTTGTATCCCGAGCGCGGTAAGATCGCCAGTGATGGTGCTTTTCAGGTGCCAAGACGGCATGATATTCTGCTGCCGCTTAGCTGCAGCCTCCGCGTCCCGTTCTTGCTGCCTCGTCGCTTCATCCTTGTCCAGCGACATGATGATACCAACTCCGTCATCTTGCTTGGGCGCGGACGAGGACCCGGCGACCTTAAGTCCAGGATATTGACCAGCCTTTTGTTTTTCAGTATCCACAGTGTTGTTCTTAATCCATGCAGGCACATCCAGCCTGGAAGACGCGTAAGCCTGCATGCAAGAAGGAGTGCCAGACGTACGCGGGAATAACCATGGACTCGGTCTTGCGCAACCCCTCGATTATGAACCTCATTTGTCGGTTGAAGCGTTGCATCCGATCCTGACTGCCCTTGACGCTCTCAGCATTCTCGTTATCCACGACCTCGGCACCACATATCTCGCAGATGAAAACACCGAGATAGAAGTTCATAAGTTTGTCCACTTCTAGCGGCGTATACGACTTGCCGCATCGAGGACAGAGGTAACCCTTGTTGTCGAGCTCCTGTAGCCAGAAAATAATGTAGATTGTCGAAGATGATGAGAGGGTTTCGCAACTGACATTTCGCAGGCCCGAATCAATTATCCTTCGCATCTCCGCAATGCGCCACTTGACTACGTCACAGAAATGCTTGTAGTCTATGTAGTAATATTGTCTGCCCACTGATCTTTGAGCACCCTCCTTGAGCTCGTTTTGGCGATACCTGAAATTCAATCAATGCTGACGCGGATCAGAGACGTTGTAGACTCACACATGTATGAGACGATCATTTCCAAGTACTGCCATTAGTTTGTTAAGCTCTTTTGCCTGAAGACCCATTCGGCCAGCCAGGTCATCGTCCTTGAGACTGGTGGAATTCGCAGTCCGTTAGGGTTTGACAGGGTGCAGGGGATACTCACACTGGATGGCGAGCCAATTGGTCTAAGATAATCACATACTTGGGTTCATAAAACGCCCGGGCGACGTGTTGAACGAGCAGACGAAGGGTGTCCCGTTCTTCCTTGGTCGCCATCCAAGAGAACGCTGGAAGACGCTTGATTACTAAGCAATAGCAAATATTATACGCGTGTTTAGGGGGATGCATTGCTCAAAGAAGGGCACGGCTACAGCACTACGCTACAAAGCCCCAGGCGTACGGTCCCTCGGAGGTGAGATAGCGGTGCATTCGTACGCAGATAGCAGATTTGTGTAAATTCAAACGTGGCAATCAGAGGGGAAAAAAATGTCATCGAAAAGCCCATAATGGCATGTACATAGCAAAAGGCCATACATCGTAGAGCAGCGTTTTTCGTACGTACATAAGTGTACCTTTTCACCGGTTGGACTTGGCGACACGCTCAAGTTCGTCCTTTTTCTGAGTGAGGGGAAAAAACGGTGTCAACAGGAAAAATGTGCAACCGTGACCAATTTACCTTGATAGCGTACGAGTTCGAAGAACCCTTTGCAGCATTGATAAGTTCATCAGCAAGGCACTCCGCAATAGATTTCACGTTCCGGAAAGCGGACTCTCGAGTCTAGACACACCAAAAACAAGCACGTACAAGACAGAACAAATTTGAGACATCTGGACTGAATGAAAAGGAATGGACTTACACCGATGGTGAGGAGGGCGATTGCCTGGTTCACTCTCCGCAGGGGTGACACATCAACAGCTTGACGGCGGACGGTACCTTGGGAACCAATACGGGTGGAATCTTCTCGGGGGCCAGTGTTTACGATAGCGTCAACAAGGACCTTTTGCGGCACAAAACATGGTTCATCGGTGCAGCGTCCGTCTAGGGAAATAGAAAACCCACCTGAATAGGATTCTGGTCCGTAAGAAGGTGAATAATCTCAAAAGCATGTGCGACTATGCGAACGGCCATTAACTTCTTTCCGTTATTCCGACCCTTCATCATCAAGCTGAACCCCGTCGTGAGCGAAATACATTGAGTTACCCTGTCGTTTGCAGCCTAGACATATGGAACACACCTGTCAACAAGACGCTCGACAATTGGCATCTGAGCTTTCTTGAATTGCTTCTTGGCGTACCGACCCGCTGTGTGCGGGAGGTAAACGGCATGTCGGACCTGAATGTAGTCAGTCAAGGATATATCCTTGACCTCGACACTGAGACCCAATTCGTCATTATACCACAGTCATGGTAGGCATACGACAGAAGAGACACACTCTTGGGTATCCCACTTGCCGAATAACTTGATCTCCTGACCAAGTTTCGAAACGTCCTTTGGGAGGGTCTGAACTTCAGCGGCCATAGTGTCCTGATCTTGCGGAAGGCCGGAGTGAGCCTTTGATGACGGAGGTGCTTGTATTTGTAGCTGTTATGCCTTGCCGCCTTGCAGTTAAGGTTTCACTTCAGCACGGATGTAGCCGAAAACATTATAGTTTTCGGTTACCTCCGGAGTACTTACGGTGCTGGCTTCGCTTTCCAACTCCGCCCCGGCATGGTTCGGCAAGTGTTCACTCACAGGTCTTCGCCGAGTCGCTTGAACTTTTGGACACATAAAATAAAAAGCAGGCCTATACTACAAACCGTTGTATTCAATTTTTGAGGTTTTGAGGGGTCATTGAAAGGAAATTCCATGAATCCTGGCTTCCAACATGACTACAAGCCTGGGAATATATGCGTGGTATACCTCACGTCCGTGACCCCGTCGCCGAAACACGGAAAACCAGATTGGGATGTCTCTTCAAAACCGGTTCACTACGAATTTAAACGACGGATTCCAAGCGGTGGAAGGCTCCCAGATAATTGTAACTGATATCGCTTTCCCCTACGGATACCGATTCTAACCTATGGCGTCTGTCCTGTAGTTCATCTCTTTATTCCAAAAGCTGCTGAGGCTTGCGCGTAAGCACTCGTTAGTGGGCGTTCTTTTCAGCTTGTTCTCGTTCTTGCGCCGCCACCTGCTCAGGGTTGTAGCCAGAGGTGGCCAGTGGAGAGCGCAGCATCGTTCAGGTGGGCCAATCCCGTTAGTAACTGCGCTGGTCGGGAGTACTACCGGTACCCAGACTATTTTTGCTTCTCGTATTCCTACAAGAAATGTGGCACCTCGTGGCGATGAATCCGGGTCTCCGCCACCTTCGGACCTGCCCTATCAAGAAGACCGTCAGACAGGGTCTCGGCGCTTGTCAGCGCAAGACCTGGAGCCCTCGTCGGCGTCGGCGGACCAACCCAACGGCTCTTCACACTGCGAATCCGGGAACGGGCTTCTATCACCCCCACTTGCCTTGTACGAAGCAGTCCAGGCACACCCAGGCGCGTTCAGTCTCCCTGAGGATTCTCAGGACCTTCACCCGAACCTTGAGGACAAAGATGCATCGGGGTCCGCGCCAAGTGCGCCTACCATCCGCATGCCCGTATCAAACTGCGACCTGCACCCTGATTACTCCCTGTCATCTCAAAACCTTGATGGCGGACTACCTGGCACACCGTACGTGATCGACCCGCTGATGCACCGTGGATATCAAGCTGCTGTGTCACGCAAGAGCGGGGGATCCAACGGAAGCGTGAAGTCCTTTGGCAGCCTAGCATCTGCAGGGCGGGCATCATATCGACAGCATACGGGGCCAAAACCTCACAGTCGGTCACCCAGCATCCGCAATTCCCATTCTATGGTTCAATCTGCCGCAGTACCGGGACCGCACGTAGCAACACAGACCGAGGCAACGTTAGTTGAAAGCGGCGCCCAACGTTCAAGCCATTCTTTCCATGCTGTTGCTATGGAACCACATCCTACTGTAGAAAGTGAACATCCACGATTCGTGCAAATGACGAGTGCAGATGTCAAGCGGTACCAGCGCAACTGTTTCAAGTGAGTGTTCCAACCTATGTACCCGCCAAGAGTAACCAGCGAGTTGGGCGTACTGAGCAAAAAAGTATAAGGAAGCCTACTAAGGGTAATTACAAGATAGATGCGATGCAGTACAAGTACCCACTTCATGAGTGAGTATGGAGATCGGCATACATGTATTGCCTACCAACATCGTTACCTGAAACTGTCGGAACAGTAATAATCTCCCGGCCGAGTGGAAAGCCCATAGGCATCCCGAAGGGGCTCTGTTCTACTTGCTTGATCGGTCGATCGCTGGCGGACGCCAGCGAACGTTCACCGAGGTTGATGTAAATGATGAAGACATCCGTGGTGATGTGGAGTACTTTAGTAGTTTCCTTTGGGGCGAACTACGACACGAGGTGGGGGAGAGAAGTTTGCAAGACTCACTCAATCTCGATGAAGTACAATTGGTGGTGGAGCCACGTTCTGACGAGAATGGGGTTCTGTGTTGTTACTACTTTGTGGATCCCACAAACCGGTCACTATTTTGGCTGGATGAGTGGGAAGCACATGATGTCTTTTCTGCCTGCAAGGGAGTTAATACGCTTTCTCATAAAGGTGAGTTAAACTTTCTGTTGTCTGTAGACTCCACCTTAAGTTTCACCTTCTCTGGTGTCAGGACTAGCAATTCAAGCTCACTACTGGTAGATCGAAATGGTAAACTTGCATTCGAACTATTAAACTGCCATTTGACTGACGTTTTGTTAACAGACTTGGTGCTTGGATTGATCAACAAAGTATTTGCAGGGGACACTGGGATCTATACCCTACGCTATGCAAGGTTACCGAGGAGTTGAAGCAGGAAGCAGTAGATATGATTGTGCACGCTATCTGTGGTAAGTCAGTCTGTCAAATATACACTCTCAGCCGCCTGTTTAGACATCTAGACCATCTCACTTCGAATGTATCACCGGCTCCTCTTAATACCGGAGAACTGGAAAGCTTTCTTGGCTTCCTCACTTACGTGAAGCGTATGTATGATGGTTTTGAACACTTTCGTCAAACTCTGATTACATTATTGCAGCCCATGACCGAGGGCATGGTGCAGTCGTTTTTGGTATTTCATTTCTTATTCATTGCAGCGGACGCTAACAGCTACTCCCGCTAGGCCGCATCATGAAGATGTTCTGTGAGACATTTACTCAACGCACACCATTCAACTGATCGATCTATAGACCTCAACTACTATCTAAACTTTCACGGTGAACCATGCGCTCGACTCAATTTTGACCAGAGCGTCCATGGTTGGAAATATCGTCCTTCGGTAATAATGACCGTCTGTACCCCACTGCTGTTCTTTTCGCCGATGACCAGCATTCGAAACCTTAATTCAATGTTTGTAGATGGCATTGTCAGCAGAGAAAAGTGGAATGCATTCATAAAGCGGATGAATTCATACTTGACAAACACTAATCTTCTGGTATGTCTTCCCCCCTCTTCTATCATTCCGCTTGCCGTCTATTTTTAACCGACGATCGTGCGGAATGGTAATAGGCAACGGTACTGCTGAGCGCGAACGTTGGGTTTTTATCTATCCACACAGTGGATGATGGTAACGGGACTACCTTGAGGCAGATCTCTAGTTATCTGTCCCTCATGGCTAGCTGTTCAAGTATCCTTGTCGGTTTAATCTTGGTCCGTCACAACCGTACGGAAAGTCCCAACTTCGTATTTGCTGCTGTAAGCTCAACCATTGCGATTCTGTAAATGATGCCTGAGACGGTGGGTAGGCCAAGTTCTTGGATGCTCTGTGGCATCCAGTACATGGACTAGAGATTTTGGCTATTGCATACAGCTTGCCACACGCATTCTTACTTTGGGGGTAAGGTCCTGATATCTTTCGCATTTTCTACGACTGACTTGTGCACACCTGCTACTCTGACTGAACTCGATACTCGCACTCATCTCCACCACAATCCTGTGTCCTAGCATGATACTTTTCTTTATCGCCCTCTCTGCTGAATGGTGGAACCCAGGTAATCTCACGTCGTGGGTGATCGTTGGTATAGCGATGTTGGTCACCTTATTGCTCGTGGGTTGGTGCACGTGGACTTCTCGGGACAGAGTGGGCTATTGGTGGTTCCAAGCGGATCCGGCTCAGCCCTGTGCTGACGATGATCGCGAGGGTGATCTGGGTATGCAGGAGATTTCGAGGGCAGACCAAGGCGGGTAAACGGCGAAGGGACGAGCCTCTGCTTAGTGCAAGCGGTCAATTTCGATCAGGGCTCTTTTCTTTTCACCTTTCTCTCTAGCAGGCCTGCGTTACGCTAGTCACGTATTGACATCATGCATATATATTTGGTGCTCGCTATACCTGACTAACTTATACCGAGAATTCGGATGGCCTTGATTTTTTGTGTACGCTCCACCATTTAGAACAGGCCCCCGGGCAATATAAGTGGGGTGGGAAAAACAGGGAAGTGTTTTCGACCCACCTACCCACACTCGACGCCCAAACATTTGGAGATTATGTTGGGTGCGCGGGGCTAATTCGGTCCTCGATCCCAAGCATCCCGCAGAATGCAACGGTTTGTGGATTGGTATAAGGTGTTGCTGTAGAATTTGAGCCGGACGAAAACGAGTGAGGATAGTAAAGGAAGGAAAACTCACGCTGCCTGCTGCCCCTCCCTTGTCCACCTTCCGAGCCAGGCCCAGGGGCTGTGCATACGAATATTTGATGTTCACTTATCACTAATTCCCGTGTTGTTTCTCCCGTACCATCTCCGTTTGACGTGCTATCACCACCCTCACTGGTCTCCGCCTTGTTCTGCACTAGATTCGTCAGGACCCACTCCAACTCCTGCGATACCCTTGACCTTGCAGTCTCCTCGTCGGGAAACTGCGCCTGGTTTTGCGACCTCGAGAAATACTCATCGAAAGCGCGAGTTATGGCAAGCCATTCTGAGTCATACGTTAGCTTGGGTGGAGGTTTTTCGGCATGCGAAGATGCGGAGGATGTGCTCGAAAGGGACTCAGAAGGAAGAAAAGGCAGATCGAGCGGTGCGGGGACATCTATTACCTGTATATAATGAATAAGCTGGGCCAGTTAACAAGGTGAAGGTACGGGGAACGAACCTCCAAGAAGTCTCTTCGTGGAAGGCACTTATCTAATGCGAGGAATCGTGTTTCTGACCGTTGTAAGAAGTCTGCTCCATTATCCACTGCCAACTCGCTTGGATTTGGAACCGCATTTTGTGCGACCATTGTTGCGGGCTCATCATCGTCATCATCGTCTATTTCGATCTCATCTGGATTGGCCTCCTTCTTTGCAGCTTCTCCCGGCCCAGTTGTGCTCCCATGTTGAAAGACTCCCTCGAATTTGACATGTAGGTGTGCGGCAAACCACCACTCCGGCTTCAGCGTCTTCAGTAAGCCCATAAGTGGCGGCGAGCCCAATCTCCCACTTTCAATGTCACTTTTGAAGAACGGTTTGCGACGAAGAAGACCAGATAAATCGCCGTGCTGTTCGATCGCGCAGGGCCAGTCATGAGACAGGAAAATGTGGGGCGACGACAACTGTCAAGACACGGATACGTCAGAAGAGGAATATGGTGCGAAGGGCACCAAAAATGAGACAGGGCCTAACATACCAGAGATAATCGACGGACGTTGTACTCTCTGATGTGATATACGCTTCTCATAGAGCCGTGATCGTAAGGCATGCGTTCGTGATGCCCTGTCCCCCAAACGTGTCAGTGACTCAGCAGTGCGCATAGAAAAGCAAGATAAATATTATTTAACAAAATATGCACACCTAGTCTAAAATCATGACTTTTGTATATCCCTGAGGCACCCGCGATCCGAAGGCCATTTACCTGGACACAGCCAGCATGACCCAAGAAGTAAATGTTGGGAGCGAGCCATCCGCCATGGTATCTATACAGAAGCATTGGTTTTTTTGGTTTGATCGTATATGTGGAAGTAGGAGGTAGAAGCATGCAAACCACGCAGTACCGGTCATGTCAAAAATGGATTCCGGGGCTTCGTAGGAGAAAAAAGAACATCGGAAACGTGAACTTACAATTCCCACAAGTAATTCGAAGCTTCATGATTACCCCCAATGACAATAGTCAAAACGGGAGCCGTCTTCTCGCCAGTGTAATATCTGCATATTCGGGCGCGACCATGGATCCCTTTTCACTGCAATTGTTAGGGAATTAGCCTACCTCCAAAAGTCCCCCAGCTGTCTATACTTCTGCGGAACTGCCATACACAACAGATCGGAGTGATTCCGTACGGCTTGAAAGTCCCCGCATATGAGGAGAAGGTCGACTTTGTAGTTGCGACGCGTTTCGAGATTGCGGATGTGAGAGTAGATCGCATCGAGTGCGCCATGGCAGCAGCCTTGGACAGCGATCTGGTCGTGACATGTCAACCTAACGCGAGAGTACACTCCCAAAGGCCTACCTTCATGACGGTGTTCCTATAGTGTTCTTGGGTGGCTGTGTAATCACTACTAACCCTTCATCTACAAAACGCTTAGTGCTCTTAGAGCACTCTTAGAGCACTTGTCATCTGCCGAGTTGAATAACAGTACTTGCCGAGCTCTTGAACAATTCAAAAACTGTCAAAAGTGTATGCTGTAATTCGACCGTTTTGCAGATGAGGCTTGTGATTGGGTCGAGTGACGTCATAGTATCATCCCCGAGCTTGTTATACTCTCCGTAAACAAAGCACCGATAAAATACAACATGAGCGGTTCCCTGAACAGCCCTTATAGCAAAGCTCTGGTGTGTTACACGGCCCCTCATCCCCTATCCAACCTACAGACAGCTGAGTTTCATGCACGCAGGCTGTGGTATGCGTCGGTGCAATCGCCCTAACCGCGGGCTCCATGTATTTTGCCGCTGATGACAAGTAAGAAGGAAGAAGGCCCCGATTCTCTCCACCGTGAGTTCCGTTGCCGTACATCCACAGGTTTCTTGCGATTCTTTTTCATATTGCAAGGCGAACAACCCCATTCGGGCCAGGATGACGCAAAGTACCACTCATCCGACGTAACTGAGAAGCTACGCGAACCGCCATTGGTGAAGAAATGATGCATTCATTTATCGGACTCCCTTCTCAACGACATGAATCTCTGTATTTGGTCTCATGGGTACTCGTCGTCAATCTGTACACTAAAGTAACTCGTAAGGGAATCGTTGGTACGCTTGAAGGGCTCATGCTAACCTGCGTCATGCCTCCTTCACCAACTAAGCTGTTTTCCTTGCCATTGCAACATACCCCAGTGTACCCTGCCACCATACGACCATTGCAAGTCCGAGCAGACCGTGCAGTGTGCCCCACACAACTTCGGGGGTGACCTTGAGCCTATAACTCATCGGTGAACACGTGGGGTTTCACCCCAAAAAAATCAGAGAGTTAGAAAAAGTGAAGGGCAACGCACGATTCAAATAGAGGTCCAAAGCTATGCGGTATGAACCGGGGGGCCTGGAACAAGACCGTAGACGCAACGCTGTGGTAGATGCAAAGCCCGAAGGCTAAGGCGCGTTTTCCAGGGAGGAATTCTGATTTTTGTCATTGAGTCTCTAGCAAAACATGGACGTAAGCCACAACGCACCAGGAAGAGGGTGAACTAGAAGTGTTGTCACGCATGTTGCGGCTGTAAATGCAGTGTATAACTGCGCATCGTTAGCACAACGTACAATCTATGAGTTGAGGGGAACGACTGACCTTGAGTAGCACCAGCGTTGTGTTGGTCATCTGCAGGAATGGAATCGAGGCGGGCGACCAGAATGCTGAGATCGCGAGGGGAGCTTCCAGAGCGATGTGCAAGAGAAACACGACGGATCTGTACGGACCTGGATTGTCAGTACCTACTAATGCCATGGCGCAGAGCACCCACAGAGGACTACGGGCAGACATCTGAGTAGCTGGGAAGAAGACGAGTGGTGTGACATCCGCCGTCGGCGCCAGTGATGATAAACTTTGGAGCCATTCCGAATTTCCGTGTAACGTCTCTTGCAATATACGCTTTCTCCAAACTTTCAGATGTTCTGTTCATTCATTTGGAGGCTCTGCAACACAGCAAACAAGTTTCGGCTAAGTTACATGTATGAAGTACCCAACCCTCTGCCCCGCAGTGGATAGCCATGTCCTTTTGCACCAGATAAATAGAAAATGATCAAAAGGACATCAGTTGAATTGGACGATGGAGGACTGGGATACACATGACAACGATGGTCGTGGCCTATCCATTGGAGTGTAGGTCGAGATCAACGTCGACTCACCACCCCAAGTGCAAAATCAGCGAGCCTCGCGATGGAAAAGCCCCGTCTTCGAAGCTTTAAGGTGGAGGTGTGTGCAAAAATAGCACCATTAGTGTGGATGCCAGGCATGCTGTATAATAGACACTGCAAATGAAACAAATCGAAAACAACTCTCGTGATCCTCAGAAAGTCCGAACGTCCAAACACATAAGATGTTATCGGTTGAGGTTGCCGTTCCCATTCACTTTTACGGCTTTAGCGGCTGCCCTATACTCTTCCATCTCATTATCCAGTTGAGATACTGACTTCTGCACACGTTTAGGACCCTTTTTCTTGCGACGTCGTGGAATGACAGCGGTCGGAGGGCGTGAAACGACGCGAGCAGTCAATGGTTTAGGCGGGCTGTTGGAATAGAACTTAGTTTGGCCTTTGGGGCAGCAGTACCACCTACGCTTTCGGTTGTATGTTATTTGGCGTGTGATTGGGTGCCGGTTTTGCGAAAATTGCATTGCCAGGGGGACTAATAGGAGGGGCTAGACCAAGCCTCTGTAGGAGAGACGGTGGGCTGGGGGCTGCAGGTTTCGGTGTAACCTCATCCGAGTCGACGATAACCTCAATTTTTATTTGTCGTCCTAGCCAAAGAGTGTGTCAGACTGGGTGGGAGATAACACGCGCGGCTGGGCTCACTTCCATCTACGAATTTTCCATCATACTTGGCTCGAGCAACCGCAGCGTCCCCAGGACGTTGGAAGGAGATGATGGCCATCCCTTTCGACCGGCCTTGGGAGTTGTACACCAAAAAGACCTCTCTGAGTGGCCCAACGGTTTTCCTGAACAAGTCCTAAAAGAATGACGTTTCCGAGCGCATCGCCTGTGCATGCAACCGTGCACGCACCTCGACCTCTGTCTCGGAGACGTCTGGAGGGAGACGACTCAGGAGGATTTTGCTGCCCGGCTCGACATCTGGTTTCGGTTCGCGCCATGCGGGGGGGATTTGGTTTGCTGGAGAGCCCAGTAAACTGCGTTTCTGGCTGTGATACGCGTTTATGCGAGTCGCTTTGCTGGGGTTGTACATTGCACGAGGCTTGTCGACGCCGCTGCCTTGAATGGCACTGACAGCCTCATCGGTGCGAGCGTCGGCAGATCCGGACTCGGCCGGTCCGGCCACGTGACCCAAGCCGGGATTGACCTCCAGGCACCGACAAGCCATATCACGCTGCCAATCTCTTCACCGCCTACCGCAGAGACAGGTCCTTTTTTTTCTCTGCTTTTTTTATGCGTCTATGGAACCCATTCGACAGCAGGATAACTCGCAGAAGGACTTCCTGGCCTCACTGTTTCCCGAGTTCACTGGGGACTTGCATCGTTCTGCACTGGATGCTCACCAGACCACCCTCAACAGTGGGCTGATACAAGGACAGCGCATCCACAACCACCAACTGTCAAATAGCGTGCCCTTCACCCCTCCTATGGACCTTCTGGCAATGAGCAATCTTATGTCCATGCAGGGTATGGATCCCAATCAACAGAACCTGTCCTCTGCATCGACCTTCACACCCCAATTGCTTCTCGAGCAACAATACAAACTCACCCAGCTACACCAACTACAGCAACTCCAGAACCAGATACAGAGCCAGATATTCCAGCAGCAAGTAAGTAACTCTCCCCGGATACTCCCACGATACCCCTCTCCCTCCGCCTAGGTCATACTCAACCAACACCTGTTTCCTAGCTTGCGCTTATCAGCGGACAAACGACGCTTGCTGCCCAAGATTCCAGTGCAGAAGCTCAGCGTGAACAAGTCCCGTCGGGTGCATTTAATGGCCTTCCCACTCCTTGTAAATGCTCTACCCTATTTTTGTTGCCTGGCTTCTCAGAGATAACATGTGGCAGTATCGTCCACCGAGCTTCGTCCTCTTCCTGATTCCGATTTCCTAAACCGTCTGAACACGCCGTATACCAATTCTCACCAAGATTTGTACAATTCTCAAGCGATGGATAGTATTCCTTTGCCTTCCCCACAGGAGCCTGCAGGAACGAGTTATTACATGAGGCACCCAGGATCCGCCTCCGCCCCTGCAAATATCGCTTTCCACATGAGCCCCCCATTCCCTCTCCCATCTCCTTCCGATCTTGACATCGATGTTTCCCCACTTACTAGTCCATGGCTGGCTGCCTCTCAGCAGCAACCCGTCAGATCAGCGGCCAAACGCGCCGCGTCTCCGAGCGCCGAAGATCATCCCCAAACGAGCAGGAAACGTCTGACCCCTGCGTCTACTGCCGCGAAAAAGACACCTCGGAATGCCAAATCGGCAACGTCAACCCCCCTGTTGCGCTCCGTCAAGGGAAGGCGGAACAGCACTATTGCAGAAAATGACTCTCCTTCACCCGTTGACTTATCCATGCCACCCCCTGCACCACCAGGCACGAATTCTTCACCTCCCTTACCAACCAATGCAGATATTGCGACCGTGCCCTCACAAGAGGATACCCGCATCACTCCAGTTACACCGGCTAGCATCATGAACCTGGGTCGACTGGGTGTCAGTAGTAGTCTTGCACCCACGTCGCAAGCTTCACGTGGGGTCAGACCAGGACAAGGGCAAGGAACCCGCAAAATCCAAGCTTCCTGCGGAGACCGCCTCGGCCAAGGGTTCTCGGAGACTTACGCTACCATTAATCAGCCCTGGACCGAAACCCATCCTTCCAGGTGTGACCCATGCCTTCGTGATCGATGTTGGTCTCTGACATATTTTAAGCTGGACCTCCATCCGCGGTCAATCTCAGCTCATCGACGGTGTCCCAGCCCGTGCCACAGACGCGCAAGTCACACAAGGACGCAGAGCAAAAACGACGAGATTCTCTCAAAACGGCTTACGATGATCTGCGTATGCTCCTCCCACCGATCCCGCTTCCTTCGGACGAAAACTTCCCAGACGAGCCAATCTTACCTGGCGCACTACCGCCTCGGGGACCACCCAAGGCTGGTGGGGACGGTCCTAACAAGGGTGTGAGCAAGCTGCAGTTACTGCGATGTGGGAATGACTACATAAGACGTCTCGAAGAGCGAGTAGACAGGCGCGACAAAGAGATCATGGATCTGAGGAAGGAGGTACTGAGGCTACGCCTGTTGGCAGGCGACGACGGGCTCAGGGGCGAGGAAAGCATTGATCTGGAGAAAGACTTGGATGCCATCGAAGCAGGGAGCAAGCCACTTGGGCAATCATCTGCCACCATGGGTGAAGACGATGGAGATGACGGGGATGAGTGAAAGTTACCGACGGAAGAAGGAAATATGAATGTATTTATCTTACTTTCGTCTTTTTGCAGTGAACATATGATATGTACTACGCTTCGGGGGTTGACCAGAATCCAGATGCGCTTTTTTTGCGAAACTTTTCAACAATGCAAACTTCAACGTTCAACGTTGTCAACTGTCAGATTTCTTGCAGTCTATGGCACAAGGTCTCAGTTATTCACGCTCTAGTGAGCATCTGGTTGGTCACGTGATATCTGCAAGGATCAAGGGTACCTACGAGCCCCGATATTAGGTAGTTTCATCCTTCACTATTTACTAGCAATCCGTAAGATTCGATAGACATTGTAATTCGATGATACCTACGACGTGGCCATCTTGTTACCCCTCCTGTTCCTCCACAATTTCCTCGATCTCCGCTTTCCCCTCCCTCGTTTATCGTCTCAGGAGGGCGGGGCCCTTTGATGGACCTTACATGTAGGTTTGCTTTGATACCGAAAGCATCTTCGTTCATTGATATAGACATATCTCTGTTGCAAGCCACTCGAAATCGTGCTTTGTGCTATCATGCATGTATACTTTGCCTACGATATCCTACGTCGCTGCACCATTATAAATGCTATGACCCCGTACATATCTGCCGCATTTCGTGTATCCAGGAAATGTTTTCACGTCAACGAAGAACATTTGAGAAGTGCAAAATACACAAATATCAATCATCTCGCCGTGCACTATCGGGGACGAGAGCCCATATGAATGTCATGAAAGCCATCATGGACGCTAGTCTACAGGCGCACGGTAAAGGAAGGATCTCCACAAATGGCTGCACACTCACATCGGCTGCAAGGTTTTTATCCCGGATTTAGAGGCAATGGCTCCAGGAGTGTCACGAATGATAGCAGTGCAGAACCTGCTTGTCCGGATCCTGCTATCCATCCAATTGATCCTGTGAACGCATGTATAACTTAACAATGCTAAATAGCTGTGAAGAGCATACCCGTTAGGAGCCAGCGCGGTAACACCCGTCCGGCATGATTCATGGCAATAGGGTACATTGATCCCAAGAAGAAACCAACTACGGAAACGGTAACCGCTCCACCAACGAGGGACGGTACGAGCCATACTATCAACTCTAAACCTATAGCAAGGAAGGCGTAGACAAACAATGCACGCCGCTCCCCAACCTGCAGATGTCATGACCTCCCTAGGGATCTACGTATGAATACTCACTTACCTTGCGGTTCACCCATAGTAAAGAAACCCGACCAGCCGTGAGACCTACCGCGGTACCCGTTGTGAGATAAGTAAGTGTCTGGAGAACATACTGTACCTCCGAAGAATCCCGACGATATGTAGCCAGACGACGGACCTCCACCTCGAACGTCTATGATGTACGTGACGATCCAGCCTGTTCAAATGAGAAACTCAAGCACAGAAAAAGGATCCTAACAGACATACCTCCCACGGTGACCTCTACGCCCACGTACACGAGTATAAAGAATGCGAGGAGGTGAACCGCCCTGAGTGCAAATACTTGCCGGAACTGGCTGCGCTCGCTGTTACCCTTCTCGCAGGGCGGGATCCCTATCTGTGCTGAGACATTCTTACCCGAATATGAAGATGGTTTCGTACGTTATGTAAGGGACATCCGAAATCTTACCATCCTGATTTTTCAGTCGGAAGGACTGCAATCAGCAGAATAGAGTTCAGCAATGCCATGCCGAAGGAGCAAAGATAATGGAGCGACCAGTGCGGCTGCTGGGCGAACTGCGTCGCCACAAGTGGAGATGAAAATGCACCTGCGCCTACGCGACGGTTAGGAGATGAGATGTACTGAAAGCGTACCTACCGTAAGCCCGGAATTATCAATAGGTAAAGTTACTCGCAGAAAATACATAACCATACCGCATGTAAAATTCCCATTTTCATTTCTGGGTTATCACGAAGACTGGCGACAAATCCATTTGCCTGGGCATTCTGTGAGGTAACAAAGCACTCAGTTCAGGGTGAAATGAATAGCCTTACGAACGAACCTGCAGGGCCATTCCAACGCCGTTGATAGCATACCATAACACGAAGAGAGGAAAGGGGGGAGTAGCGGACTCAAAACAATATGCGACAACTTGAAACAGCGATCCTGCACGGAAGTATCGTTTGAAATATTGTATCGTATGGCCGCAGACGATGCGACGCACCTAGTACGATAACCTGTGAAGTGGAGTCAACTTATAAGGGGACGAAGGAAAGACTGCAGCAACCTTTCCAAACCCATAGCGACCATCAAGCACTAGATTGGAAAGGGCTCCAGTCATAAAGCCCTAAGTATCGTGTCAAGTCTAAGTAGTCCTATGATTTTGGGAAAAGAAGCAACAAACAATGCATGCGAACACGAAAAGGAGAGATACAACAGCGAAGTTAACCTACAAGAATCAACAATACACAATTCCTTGACAAACAGAATACTTACACTGTACACCCGTTGTATCCGAGGCAAAAGAGGACCGGTCGTGCCATCATTCCATCCCGCAAGGTACAATGACCAACAGAGCGTCGCAAATTGGATGTGAGCACGCCTGCGCTGACCATTTTCCTTACCCTTCTGGCCCGCAGGTGTAACATCCCCTGTAGGACTTGGTACGTCGGCCGAGGGCTCCTGAAGCTGGATCGACTTCATCTCGACGTCCACGTCAACTTCTATGTTCTTCATTGCTCGAACTGGGTCTGACGAAGGGTGGATTGGGTTGCTTGATAAACGCTGGCTTATCGAAGCCTGGACGGAAAGCCTGTTCGCCTGCCCGACATATGACCCGACACACGTAAATTTTGTTGAGTTTACTTAACGGGCGTGGTCGAGAATATAGTACCGATTCAGGCGTTTTCACCGTGACCCCACCATCACTGATAACTGATCAGCATTCGTGTACGGCCCGACGGAACGGGGTTCCAGGTCGGACTGCACAACAAGACAGTCCAAGCTTTTGTCCACGCCCGAGGGGTTTGGAGAAAGACTTGGATGCCGTCGAGGCAGGGAGCAAGCCGCTTAGGCGATCGGCTACCATCGCGGGTGAAGGCGGCGGGAATGATGGGGATGAATGGAAGTTACGGATGGAAGAAGGAAATATGAATGTATTTATTCTTGCTTCGGGACTTGACATCGTACCATCGTCGGACACCAGAATCTTGTGCGAGATCTTGAAAAACTTCAAAACAATGTAACATTCAATTGTCGGGTTTCTTGCAGTCTGTGGCATAGGCCCTCAGCCACTTGCGTTCCTGTTGAGATTTATCATGCGATGTGAAAAATTGGGCATAGCAATAGTGACACCCACTTTGTTACTGCCTTGTGTTCCTAGTACTCTTAAACCTCCGACTTGGGACTATGGCTGCGCTTCCCAAGACCGCGCGAGCTTTGGTCGTGAAGCAATCTCCTCCCGAACGAAATCCGCTCTACCATGACGCTGTAATCGAAGAGCGGGTGATACCGATCCCCCTGGAAGAAGACCAGGTGATCGTGAAGATGGGCGCCGTAGCGTTCAATCGCAGAGACGTCAGTGCGATCCGACTCGAAACTTCGTCGATCGTGGACTGAACAAATGTTTTGTACGGGTTTTTGCAGCTCTGGATCCGACTAGGACAGTACCCAGGAATAACATTCGGGGCTACATTCGGCTCGGATGGTGCAGGCAAGTGACTACGAGGATGCATTCCCGTGGTAACACTAGTAGTCACTAAGAAATTTGTGCGAACAGGCAAGGTTGTTGCCTCTGCAAACCCGAACGATCCTTTGCTACATAGACGTGTGTTCCTCACTCCGATGAGGGGTTGGGAGAGCAGCCCGGACGCCCCCGAAAAGATGTGCGTGCTTTCTCTTGCACATGTCGTTTCAGACTTGCAACTTATTCGCCGCTCGGCAGGTCTGAGTTTGGGATTGTGGGCGGGGGGGCTAAACCCCCTCTTGGAACGTTTTCCGAGTACGTCGTCGTAGAAAGGGATCAGGTCCTGCAGACGCCTGAACATCTGGACGACGTCCATATGGCTGCCTGGCCACTTGGTGGTGTGACAGCTTGGAGGTCAGTACAGGCCGTACTCACGTTCATGAAGTCATGTCCTCAAACCTGACTGCCATGTGTTATACTTTGGCAAAGGGCTGTCATGGTCAATGCGCAAGTGACCGAAGGCCAAAATGTTCTCATCACTGGTATAGGTGGCGGCGTCGCCCTTACTGCCCTCCAGATTTGTATAGCGAAGGGCGTGAATGTCTACGTGACAAGCGGTAGTGAAAACAAGATCCAAAGGGCTATTGCGCTTGGAGCAAGGGGAGGAGTAATTTACAAGTCCAGTACGTTTCACCATCACATCCAATTAGTAGGTTCTTTCATTCGACGTTTTGCACCTATAGAGGACTGGCCCAGTCAACTTGGCAAACTGATCGGGCAACATAGTAACAGCGGCAGCGCCGGTGCTCCTGTGCAGCTCGATTCGGTTATTGACTCTGGAGGCGGAGATATCATGGTGCAGGTGAACAAACTCCTAAAGCCGGGTGGCAGAGTGGTCGTCTACGGGATGTGAGCATACACACTTGCAGCCCGTCTTCACCTTTCGGTTTGGTTTGTTTATTGATCAATCATTCAGGACCGCAAACCCCAAAATTAGCTTCACCATGCGAGAAGTGCTAAAACATCACCGTCTGATTGGTACGCCCTGCTGAACAGTGAATCCATGGGAGCATTCTGAAATTAATGGATGCCTCACTTGCAGGATCCACGATGGGTTCTTTCAAAGACATCAAGGACGCAACCACCTTCATGGACAAACATCGGATCGTGCCAGTCGTATCTCAGGTTTTGCAAGGGTTGGAAGCAGCTGAAGAGGGGTTCTCACTCTTGCAACGCGGAGATCAGTTTGGCAAGATTATCATTCGAATGGAAGATGAAAACGTGGAGGGTAAGGCGAACTTGTGATTCTGTCCTGCATACCATCATCGTGTATCGGTAGTTGGGTGCTAGTTTCACTGACGGCAACATGAGGTCCTCCCCCGACCCACAGAACAGCGATCCGTCATTAATCAGTGAGTTCATTACTTATCAAACAACATTCTGGACCGCGCTTCCCTGATTCTATGGTCCCCAGAATCTGTCCAATGAATTGGTTTAATATCTGACTTGAAAGATTGGCCTTACAAGCACTTCTTTCTGAAACACATCATGAGTGCTGGCATTTGAGCGTCGAGTACGGCGTCTTAGAGTGATCGAACGTGCCTCACAAGCCCAGTACGTTTCACCTGGAGACGGTGCAGGTGAACAAACTCCTAAAGACGGATGGCAGAGTGGTCGTCTACGGGATGTGAGCATGCCCACTGGCAGCATCTTCCCCCGTTGACTTGGTTCATTTATTAATCAATCACTCAGGATCGCAAACCCCAAAATTAACTTCCCCATGCGAGAGGTGCTGAAACATCACCATCCGATTGGTATGCCCTTTTCAACAGTGGATCTGTGGAAACATTCTGAAATTAACGGCTTGCGGGGGGTCCACGATGGGTTCCTTCAAAGACCTTAAAGACGCGACCGCCTTTATGGCCGAGCATTGGATCGTGCCTGTTGTATCTCATGTTTCGCAGGGGCTGGAGGCAGCTGGAGATGGGTTCTCACTCTTGCAACGCGGAGAACAGTTTGGCAAGATCATCCTTACACCATCATCGTGTATCGGTAGTGTGCGCTAGTTCCATTCTTGAGGATAGGAGGCTCCTTGGCCCACAGAGAACAGCGATCTATGATTAGACAGTAGTTCCTTGCTTATCATACAACAACATTCCGATTCGGCATTCAGTGGGCCCTTGACTGCGCCTCCCTGATTCTATACTCCCAGTATCTGTCCAAACCATTGGTTTAATATTTGATTTGAGATGAAAGAAGGGCAGGGCATTTGCACGCACTTCTTTCTAAAGGCATCATGAGTGCTAGCAAGAGAGCTCCACAACTACGGCGCAGATCGGTCAACAATAAACGGGACCTTAGGAAGCTGTGTACGAAAAACTCACTTCAATAGCCACCTCGAGGTTGTCATCACCACCAAGGCTTTCATGTATGTCAGCCATGAACTCGATAGCCGCGGCACATGGGAGGTGCGCGTCCAGTGATGGGAATGGATCTTCCAGGTCAACAACGTCCTTTGAGGAATCATCCGGTCGTGTGGGCTCCGCTTCGCAGTAGGGCGCCACGAACGACTCGAGCGTCGAGTACGGCGTTTTGGAGTGGTCGAGAATGCCTCGTAAGTAGTTCCATGCGGACATGTTGTTAGGGACGACGGATATCTGCATCTTCACGTACCTGCAATGATCCAGTCATCAATATATGTGAACTCTAGCTATGAAAAAATCAAAGGGATCCCCTACGTCAACTCCCTGCGCAAAACCTCATTTCGATCCTCCTCCCCCTTCCTCACCCCGCTCTGGAATACCACGAAGAAACGATGATGCCATGCCGAGTTGTTTCTCACGTCTACGTCAAGCATACCATCCACGAAACCAAGCTCGTTCGCCCAGAGCGCCTCATCGTTGAAGTGCGCAAGCAGCCACTGGCGGTACGACCAGGTGTGATAATTCTTCGCGTCTTCTTGGAGACAACCTGCGATAAAGGCAAGCTCTGGTGCTGGGTTGCGCGTCTGCTGCACGAGCAATCGGCGGTGATGCCATACTTGGTACGTCTTGAGGTACTTGACCGCGAGTTCGTCCATGAGGCAGAGCTCCTCTTCCAGAGGGACGCCGAGCGCCATCAGCGTCTTGTATCTATATTGCCTGAATGGTAAATGGGCACGGCGGTCTCGTCACTCGACGGGGAATGTGGACAAAGGTGCTCACCATGCAGAGTAGTGGGCAGGGTTCTGCCGGATGATATTTTCGGTGAGATCGAGGACTCGAAGACTTTTCTCCCCCGTCTTGACGATCCCTCTGAAATAATCTGTCGCATCCTTGTCTGATGGTGACACGGTTGAGATGCTGCCAATCTGCCCGAAAGATCATGCTCACGAACATTCGGGGGTGTAGAATATCGGGGCCAATGGCTTCACGCTCTCGTATTGAGGTAGAGGAACCACATCCTCCCACTCTGGCCGTTCAGCATAGAGTGCTGACTGGTTCTGCAAGTTTGCCATAAGCCAAGCAGTGTAGTGATGGACGATACAAGACTAGTGATCAGCATAATCTTATTATCTCGATACGCTGTATTCAAATCAGGACAGACACAAAATCACATCAAAACGCGACGCAGCCTAAAGTACACGGGGGACTACGGTAAGGAGCCAAGGCAACATACTAAAGAAACGGAACAGGTATCTACTTAGGCAAGAGAAGAGACAACACATGGGACCCAACATTCGACAACTTAGACGGCAGCAGCGGGTGTTGCGCTGTTGGCAGCCGTGTAATCCTATTGCCAATATAAGACGTGGCTCAAACGATAAAAGAAAACCCTTCGTACCTCCATTTCTGCGTCCAAATCAGCCACAGACTTCTGCGGGCGTTCAGTTGGCTTCCGGCGAGTCTTGAGCCCACGACGTCCACCGCGCGTTGCGGGTCTGATGACAACGTTGAGTAGCTGCCTTCCATAACGGTCCTACTAGACGAACCTTGCTACGCGAGTAGTAGTGGTGACGGCGGCAGCAGCGGCAGGTGCAACACGCGACGCGAGCGATTGCGGCGCTGGACGAGCGGGGTCAATGACAATCTCGATTTTCATGGGTCGTTCTGTATCACGAGAGACGAAGTGCGGGGGTGAAGATATTCATTAGTGGGCTGAGTCTCTGATGCAAGAGAGGCAAGCAAAAAGGGGACAGATACGAGGCACGAACGGCGACCCGACTGTTCATGCAGGGTCTCGGCACCATCTTCGGCGGGGTGCTTGCTCAATTCACGACAACGCCAGTCCGTCCAAACACTGCCGTCCCGTCGTTACAGTCCTATCCCGAGATCGGTCGAGCGATGACAGCTGTTCAGGCGGACCCCAACCGTGAACGCTAGGTTAACTTGCACCAGCTTCGACTCGATTCCGAGGACCGTACCGTATCGATCCGGAGCAGGCGACTACAATTTAACACTTCCGTCAAGAACCCACTGCAGAACTTGACCGCATGCACGTGCCACACTGCGAGGCGAGGACAGGTCAAAGTTGCCATCAAACCGTCAACTCGCATGTGGAGCATGAGTAGTGTCACGCCGTGCCCAAAGCCCCGATGGCAGCAAGCGCCTCCGCAAGGGGCAGATCATCTCTCCCCAGAGAGAAACAGCAAACGAGAAGAGAAAGCGGCGATACTAACTGCCATCGATCAATCGATTGTTGTACTGTTGGTAAGCCTTTGTGCCGTCTCCCTTCCTCTGGAAATGGACAGCAGCAACACCCTTCGACCTGCCAGTACTGTCGTAGTGCAAGGGTAACATCTCGAAGTGGACCAATAGTGCTATGGAAGAGTTCCTAGCACAAATCAGTAAGCGCCAAGTTGGAAGTAGGGGGGCACGTGTAGTTACCTTGATTTGTACTTCGTTGACGTCGCTTGGGAGGTTGGAGACAATGATCTTGTCCGCAGGTTGCGCGGAACTTGCGGGAGCCGCAGCCTTGGCAACAGTGGCATTCGCAGCAGCAGCACGGGCAGCAGGATTGCCCAATACTTGGGCTTTTGCAGAGGGGCGACGACGGCGTTGGCTCTTGCGAGCAGCGATAACCTTCGTAGAACACCATCTGTCAGAGTTGCACACGTGTAGCGGCAGAAAAAAAGCGTACATCATCGAGAGACTTGTCCATTGCACTTGAAATTGGGTTTTTTTAAAAAAAAAACGAGATTAGAATGCGACGACTTGGACGGAACGAGCTACGACGACTGCGGTAGGTTTAGGGAAGATGGGTGGCAACGACAAAGGGGCGACGTGAAGAGAAACGACTCGTGCGGCCAACAGATATATTCCGTCGGAGATTCATCTGGGTTCCAAATGTCAATCAACTGACGCGCGTGCCGTGCATGTCATCGTTCTTCCAATTTGATCTCCAGCGGATCCTGTGTGCTGTGCGATTCAATTCTAGGAGTGCAAATCAGAAAAATGTCAAGAGGTGGGCGAGGAGGAGGGCTCCGTGGTGGGCGAGGGGGGTTTCGAGGCGGTGGAAGTGGTTTCGGTGCTGGAGCGATGCCGCCCATGGGCTTGACCTTCGCCGATGTGCAGGCGATGTCGAGGGAGGCAGATGCGTTATACCCCGTACGGTTGGATTGGCGTTTAACCTATGTGTTGCTCGGATGATATGTCTCATGGAATTTATATGTGCAGCCCCTCGAACCTCTTCCCGTCCTCCTCGACTACTCTGAAGAGGAAAAACGGATATGTGAACTGCAGAATGGCTTTGGAACTCGATTGCGCAAGTCTGCGTACTACGTTGTGGAAGCAGTGAAGTCCAACGGTCAATAATGCAAACTGCTGGCAGTTTTATGCCGATGAATCTAACCTTATCTTCCAGAGCTTGAACGCTTCTCAGATAAATATCGTCAATCGCCAGCGTCCCAGCCGACCCTGAGAAGGGTCGACCTCCACGCTCCATTCTTTCCACAGGAAATCTTCGAGGGTTACTTCAACCCCAGGAAAAAGCGGAAAAGTGTGTTGCTGTATTGCGCTTCTAGAAGCATTTGTTGAGAATGACGTCCCGGTATAGCGGAGAAGAAACCTAAACTCTCTCGTCCGCATCTTGACGATTTTGATGATGATGCCGAGGAACAGGTAAGTGCACTGGAAAGGGCTGTACATTCGCACACTAGCTAAGTCCGGCGACCCCACAGGACAAGAGCGGTGACGAAGGGTCCAACCCCGGTTCACAGCAAGCTGAGTCTGATTATGACGTCGACGAAGAGTACGATAATGACTACGCCGACAACTACTTCGACAACGGCGAGGGCGACGATCTAGATGATATGGTGGGCGGGGGAGGGGGGGACGATGGAGGGGGCGGTAACGCATCTTCATTTCTCCCGGTTCCGTGTGAACTAACGATATGATAGGCGATTGGGATTAATATCAGCCCTTTACTCTACTTCTCTCCTCATGGAGATCTGTTGTCATACCTGATGCCAACAGGGTATGCCTCGCGGTCAAACAGTCATCCTGTATCCATAATGTTCACACAGCAGCGGAAATGAAACCTAGGGGAAACAATATTGAAGAACTACTTTTTTGATAACGCACACTGCTACTTTTTCTCAGAACCTTGTCCACCCGTTGCAGTGCACGTACTGTGCAGTGGCTCGTGCGGCTTCAAACAACCATACTACGAAATGGCCTTCCCTTAGCCTTCCGGGGTTTCGTTCAACTGCAGCTTCGCAGCTCCTTCTATAGCCATATGTTCCTGTCCAATAACCGTTAACAATGTCCGTGTGTCTTGAACTTCCATGTCGTACGCGCAATACCGTGACGTTCGAATAGGGTGGAAATCGGGGGAAATGTCAGGAACGCAAACGTATAGCTTGGGTATCCGTGAAGTGGATTTGGTTCAGAACAGTTGAACTGAAACTCCTTTTGACGGTTTAGAGTGCGTGCGTCAACTTCTCTGAAAGACGCCCGCTAAGCCCCAGCAGAGCTGCACCAGGCTACCCGGGAAGTCAGCCAGTATTAGAGCATTTCTACGCGTACACGTTTTTATGACATCTCCTTGGATGTGAAGAACCATGGAGATCGTTTCCGCAGGCCAGCGCTTCGGGCATATTACGCAGCAAGCCTAGTTAAGACGAGGTTGATGTGGATGGTGCGACTTGCACAGCAGGATGATGCTAGGATGACCTGCTGGATCGTGCCCGTACCTCAATATCCAGTGTGGGTCCAAGGTCGATTCGTCATACTTTATACTGACTTCAAGGGTTCCAGCAAGCAGACACGTGTTCCGTGCACCTGACAGTGACGTCGACGACCCAAGAGCAGGAGGTGAACACGTTTCTATGTACGCACTCACCTGACGCGGCCCAGCAGCACTCCTTCAGGAGCTTGTATCATCCGGGAACGTGTCCTTGCTCGCACACGCTAAATGATTGATCCGAACGGAAGTTATAGTAGCCTTCCGAGGATAACATCTACCATGTAGCATGACGGGCATCCATACGGCTGCCCTTGTACACCCGAAGCCCACGACCAACGTACGCGGGCTTTAAATGTAAGTGTGCCTATGAAAGTGATGTCCAGTGACCATCAAAAGTGAGGATTCAATCGTTTGCAATGGCTGGACTCGCATCAGACAAAGATTAAACCGATCGGTATTCTCCAGCCCCATTCTCATCACATGGACTGGTCTCGAGTCCGACCGGAATGCGAGCAGAAGCCTGACGGCAAAGTCCAGTTGGGAAGAGTGAAGATGGACTCAACCGTTGCAGAGCAGATAGAAACGGGATAGTGTGGGTGTCATATACAGCCATGCTGATGCTGGCCCATCAAGTTGAGACAGATGAGTTGCTCGACAGGTGAAACGATCGGAGCCACATGTCAAAATATCGAACGCTTGTCGACACTGCCTACTGTAGACGTCTCTGCCATACGCATCATCCATGTAGCCCTGAACTACCTGTAGCACTACACGCAGGGATCTAAATCTATTAAATACCACCGTCCTCCGTCCTAGTATTGGGTAACCGGTAATACGAACGCGGGGTAACATCGGAGGTCATTCTACCAAAGGGGCCTCGAGTGACAAACGGATTCATTAGAGTTTCTTGATGATGGCTTGAGTGAACTCCGAAGTTGTGGCAGAACCTATGATTGGCACATGGAAATTAGTAAAGCCCAAGTGGAGATATGTACGTATCACGCTCACCACCCATGTCTGCCGTCCGTACTTCCCCGGCGTTGATGACGTCGAACGTGGCACTTGCGATGTTGTTCGCAATCAAGTCGAGACTAGACAGGATTGAAACATGGCGATCTGAAAAGGAGAGAGATCCTTACCCTAGGTGTCTCAGCATCATGGTTGCACTGAGGATCATTGCGGTGGGATTGGCACGGTTGGTACCCATGATGTCCGACGCGACGTGTCTGCATCCCGGCTCGAATAATGCATAATCCTATTGTCACCCCCGACCAAGTCACACGAGCGGCGAGAGCAAATCAGATGCGATGCACATACGGTAAACCGAGAAGACGTACGGAGCCAACATTGCATCCAGGAACAACACCTGGGCCACCAACGAGCGCCGCGCCTATGTTAGAAATGATGGCACCGTACAAGTTTGGCATGACCATCACGTCAAATTGGCCCGGCTTCGCAACGAGCTGCATCGACCTGCCCAACACACCAACGCGTCAGTCGTATCCCAAACCTTGCACGGGATTTATTCCGACAGAGGGAAGTGAAACAACGGTTGGTTAGAGGACGTACGTGTTATCGACAATCATGTCGTTCGCTACGATGCCGAGTGACCTGTAATTTTCCGCAACCTGGCGGAACGTGTTCAGGAACAGGCCGTCGCCAAGTTTCATGATATTGGCTTTGTGTATGCAAGTAACTTTCTTATTTCACATGCGAAAAACGTTAGATTCAGTCATTCCAGGGCGCGTGCAACACTGCCGATGCGCACGCTGGGAGATGACGAAGTGGCGCACATACCTTCCTGCCGTTTTTCAGAGCGAAATCAAACGCGAACCGCGAAATACGCTCCGCCTTGGCACGCGTCATGACCTTGAGACTCTCGACGACACCAGGGTAGGACTGGTGCTCGAGTCCTGAGTACTCACCCTCGGTGTTTTCACGAACAATGACGAAGTCGACGTCTTTGTGGCGAGTCGGGTAGCCTGGTAGAGACTTGCAGAGCACTACAGAAGCGTAGATGTCGAGTTGCTGTCGCATCGCGACATTCCATGATATATGGCCCGACTGGGATATGGGAGTAAAGAGGATTCCTGCAAGCGCATCAAGGGCTGGAGAAAAGGCGTTGAAAATAGACAAAGCCTACCCTTTAAACCGACGCGGTTGCGCTGGAGGCTCTCCATAGCCAGCTTGAAGAGGTCCTGACCGGCGGAGGAGACGCCGGAGACGTTGTATTGCTCCCATTCGATCGGGGCGTTCACGTACTCGAATATTTCTTTCACGGAGTCCGTGATCTCGGAGCCGACACCATCACCAGGGATCAGAGTGACCTGATTGTCAGTCGCGTACGTGCGTGGTATACGTTATGAGCGTACAGTGGGAGCTATTGAGGGAACACGCACAGTGTATACGCCTCCGTATTTTGTTGGCGCCTAATGAAAAAAGCGATTGTAAATTGCTGGATATCCATACCCCCCAATCAGTGACTGTGGTGAGTTACGCACCCGTTGGGTAACCTTTGGATATCCTGCCGAGAGTGTCGTTGCAGTTCTCTGAGTCGTTTTGGTAACGTCACCATGAATGAAGCCGAGCAAGCAAACCAGACAGATGTACTCACCGACCGCACCACAGGGCGCGTCGCCGCCGACAGAGCGTTGCGAAGCATCTCTTGCGGTACAAAGAGAGGAAACTGAAAATAAAAAATATACAAGACCAGTCCACAAGGAAGGATCCGGAACCGTTGCACAGACATCGGCCTTCGGGGGCGTCGGAGGGATATCGTCACGTGATTTACTCCTATCTGACGCCCCAAGGCGTGCCTTCTGGAATCGTCCACTGCTCGGGCGCGCTCCATGTTCCTGTTTGTGACAAGGTGGATTATGGAGTGTATTTGTTTTTTCGGAGGTCTTCGCGGGTTGCTATGGTCGCACCACCCTGAACTTCTTTCGTTCGCTGGATAACTTACGCCACAACATATTTTCCTTGGGAGAGGAGATCGAACGGTGGTCGATTCTGACAATAAGTAACCAACTGGGTGTGCTAGGGTACGATGACAATGAGGCCTCTGATATATTGCAAAGAATACCCGGATCACCGTGGAACCGGTCACAAGTCGGATCAAATCAAAAAGAAGCTTTTACTTGGTGTTTGACAAAGCTGTGGGACTAGCCTGGACAGACGCATCCTTGCGATATCACAGTTAGGGAGATGCACGAAACCATGAGGACTGCTTTGCACGTAGGTTATTGTGATGATTGAGGAGAAAGTTCTGATCGTCACGCGAATTCGGGTATATATGGGAGAAGCATTGTATTCCTTACCAATGATCGATTACAGTAAGAGGCCAGGCACCATTTCTGTTTGTGGAGTTCCTTGATGCGGCAGGGTAGGGTCCTGTGTGTGGGGAGGAAGTAATGGTCATGGGTTCATCGGGGCTGCGCACACTTCGCTTCCTGATTCTGATAAGTAGCCATTTCCCACGGAGCGGCATGTATAGAACACTTGCTATTCAGAGTAGATACGAGTGAGGGAACGCCACAGCTATGAAGTCAGGAGCCGAACTGATTGTAAAAGTACGTAGGTCCCATTGTGGATGCAACGAGGCGGACTGCTTGTTGTGGAAGTCGAATTGAGTGGAGAGATATGAAGCTTGACGGAGGTAGACAGGTTGATAGCAATGAAACTCCACAGCCTCCGATAAGGCTGGGTTATGTATTGCAATGAACGTCGAGAACCCAACGTTATCGTTGTTCTTGCATTCAGCAAGGGGTAACAGTGTACTTAGGGCTCAGCACGCCGTGACTGTTGCCAGGACAGACGACATCGAGGCGTCGTCGGGGACCAAACCCGATGGTATCAGGTGTCCCCCGGAGTTTTAATCTCCGATTGATCATGGGGACTGCCATAAGAGGAAGGCTTTACGCCAGCTGCCGTGATCGGAGTTTGAAAAATGATGGCCCGGCTTACAATTAGAGAGGCCGAGATATATAATTTATTCTTTTTATTTTTCGACCGCATCCCTTCTAATATTTTTACTCGATATCGCCCGTCGTCGTCTGCCACGTTGCCCTGCTCTCTCCCCCGTCCCACTCGCCCCTCTCCCATCCCTCGTCCCATGATACTCGCTCAGTCCCCAGTCTTCGTCCCCATGTCGCCCCCATCGATCCATCGCCGTCACCCATCCGCACCCCCAGCCGTCGTCGTACAGCCAACCAAAGTACCAGGCATCCTCTCAATATCAAAGCCAAGCAGGCCTACTCGTCCACAACATCATCCTCTGAGTCATCCTAGGCAGCACCGCTCGCCCAAACCGAAATCTCCCGCAGGGAAAACACAGCCACCGCAGCAGGATCCCCGCCCTGCAACGGACTCGTCCGCCAAGTCCACCCCCGTGAAGCAACCATCATCAGAGGCTGCTGCAGTTCCCACAGTCGACAGGACGACGACGGCACATCCCAGTACTCCCGCCGCGGACAAATCCGCACGAGGTAGACAAACCAAGTCTCCTAAAGATAAGGCATCCACCAGGTCTCTACTTCGTCCCCTAGTTGCGCAGCAAGTCGCTGATTTCCTTGCTTTCTCAGAAGTGCTTCAGACACTCATGGACGACGAAACAACGTCAGGCAACCCTCTCCTCCACTACCACCATCCTCGCAGGCAGAGGGTACAAATCTTATTCCCCCTCAGTCATTTGCCCGCCACACTAAGAACTTCGCCTCAAACTCCTTCGACCCTTTCCTCACGAGTTCAGACTCGGACTCCGACCACTCTCGTGCCTTCAACATGTCTTCGCCAGCCAAAGTCACCCCTCCCAAGTTGTCCGCCCAACCCTCTGGAAAGCTCGCTCGTCGTAGGAACCCTCCTACGCCCATGCCAGTTGCCAAAGCTGTCCCAGTGCCGCGGTCCAACACCCCGCACAACCGTCACTCTCTCTCCCGCTCGGCACCCAGCCATTCGAGCGCACCTTTGCGCCAGACAAGGCTCGCTTCTGCCGGTGCTGTCGCTGAATTCCCTGTATGTGACGACACCACCGACGCGGAGGATAATTCCCTCCCCACAACGCCTACTCGGGAGAGTACGTGGCAATTAGGGTTTGACGGCCCTCGCACGGCGCCATTAGCCACGCCACAGCGTTACCCCTTTGGTGGCCTCACCGGCGCTTTACCACCTTCCCCGACTCGCCACCGTCGCGCGCCGAGCGAGGGTGTCTTCAATATGTCCTTCGACGAGGAAATGTCTCTTTGGGATACCTCTGAAGAGCTGAAACAGATGTCAGGCTCCAGGCAGTTTGCTTCAGTTGGGCACAGCTTTGTCCGAGCTGGCCAAGACAAGTCTGGGTTCTTTGCTAGTTCTGTCTTCCAGAACGCTCCAAGTCCAGACGAGCTCCCCCCACCCGCTTTCTGAGCGGTTGTTTTTATCCGTGTAGAGGTTGGTTGGTGTATCGCTACCTCGCCATAACACCAGTTAACACTCTCACAGCATAGACTATTCGTATTGGCAGATTGCCCCCTTAGATTAATATCTCGTATATTCCGACATATTAATTCCCCCTCCCCGCCGCCGGAAGCCTTTCGAACTCCCAAGTGACATCGTCGCCAAAATGCAGATATCTTACACGCTCGTCGACCTCGATCTTCCGGCGCGCCCACTGTCTTATATCATGCTTTATCGATATCATTATCACTTCGACATCTTCTCGGCCCGATTGGTTATACATGTGGTCTTTTTCTGTTGGGGCAGTTGGCGTTTACGGTTGTAGGCGTCGCCGATCGAATAGTTCTAGCTCTTCACTCTGGTTTTTCCCTCGGTTCATCTCACTGGTCATGGTCAACTTCGCTTACGGTTCTCTCCTCACAACCTTCGTCCCAGATACAATAAATTCTGGGTGCCGACCCAGCGTCGACATTAACTACATCCTCGCTGGCGGCGGGTCTGCAGATCGCGTCTTTTCTCAGCTATATTACGTTCGCTTACGCCTATACCACCGTCCACCCTTTATTCTTTCAGATCAATGTGTCAGTATCCCATCGGTTCCACACTTTTTTTCTCTTGCATTCCGCATGTGTGCTTTCGCGCTCATCGCATCGGCATTCTCCTTCTGGATCCACCCGCGCTCTCGTGGTTCGGGTTGTACAAAAAAGACGAGAACGCACCGGGTCCGCAACGTAGCAAAGAAAAACTATATATCAAAGCAAAGGGATTGTCCTTCCGACTGTTGCCTATACGACGTTTCCCCACTCCTCGGCTCACTCTATCCTGCTCCCTATTGGTGTTTATCTGCCCATTCGCGAAAGCGAGGCGAGGTCTCCATCCATCCGAACCTCCCGAATTCCAAACTTCTACTCTGGGCTCTACACCTCCAGTTATATGTTCTTTTTGTGTTCTCTCTTCTTTCCTAATGTACGTGACTTTTGGTCCATTTTTTCGTCTTCTAACCTTTTTATAAGATAAATAAAATACATATGCACTTCCTACCCGTTGGCTCACTTCTTTCGGCGCTCGGCGGGATGGGTCTTCTGATTCCTTTTTCCACCTTCCGACTGTTGACACTATTGGCGTCTTGTTCTATGCCTTGCCCCCCCTCCTCATTCTTAAACTTCCGTTCTTGATTTCTTTTCTTTTTTCCTTGGGCGTCCCTTGTTCCTGGTGGCAGCGACTTTGGCTCCCTATCCATCAGTGCAATTCTTTTGTCCTCTGGTTCGTGCATCGGTGTATCGATATGATGGACTCGTACTATCCCCCCCTTCACCCGCCCTTACTTTTTCCTTCCCGCCGTATTTATGGTGGAGTTGCGTTTGGTAAGTATTTCGTTCGTGGCATTACTTTTTTCCAACTGATGTTTGATTGAATAGTCCGCTGCTCCTAGCACATTACTTTCGCCTCTTTCAGTGGGGTTTATATTATCCTCCTCTCAACACATACACATACATACGCTCCTTTTTCCCCCTGTTTTCAATTCTTCTGTTTTCGATCGAGTAAGATACAATTGATTTTGTCGTGCGCTGGTTTGTCAGTCGATGGCGTTACGATAGTTCTGATGAATATAGATGGTTTCCCTCTGGTGTGTTCGCACGGATGGAATTTTGTTAATCGATGGTTATCTTAGCGGCTCTGTGACCCTCAACACTTCAGAGAGCATCCATGAGCTGCCCCACCGTCCCCATTCACAAGGCTTTGCACGTCGCCGTCGTAGGCGTTGGGCTCGTCGGCAGGGAGTTCATGAGCCAGATGATCGCGAGCCGATACCCTTTCGTGCTTACCGGGCTGTGCAATTCGAAGCGCATGATCCTTAACGGATCCAGATCGGATGATCAATGCTTCAACCCCTCGCGTTGGGAAGATGCTCTTGCAGCGTCGAACACGCCTGTTGATCTGGCCATCCTGCGAGACGCACTGGCCCAATTTGTGAAGGAAGGCAAACGGGCCGTCTTGGTGGACAATACAGCGAGCGAGGATATCGCATTGACCTATCCGCAGTTTTTGGATGCGGGCGTTCACGTAGTCACGCCAAACAAGAAGGCTTTCTCTGGAGAGCAGGATTACTATCTTCGTTTGATTGGCCAAGGTGGAGGGGCGACTGCACCAGTAGTGAGGGGCCGATTCTTGAACGAGTCCACGGTTGGCGCTGGTTTGCCGATCGTCTCGACCTTAAGGGATTTGGTCGAGACGGGGGATAAGGTGCGTCTTTGTTGCTTCATCATGGAACGTCCCAATGTTTATTGAAGGCCTTTCTTTTTATTACTACTACACGGTGACACGCAGATCAAGAAGATCGAAGGCGTGTTCTCCGGAACGATGAGCTACATTTTCAATAACTTCTCCACTGGAGAACCAGGAGGTATCAGCTTCTCGGACGTCGTAGCCCAGGCAAAACAGAACGGTTACACTGTTCGTCGACCATCTCCAGGATACTCCTGAGATCTCACGCATTACATCACGCAGGAGCCGAACCCGATGGATGATCTCAACGGGGCAGATGTTGCCCGTAAGCTCACTATCCTTTCTAGGATGGTAGATCCCTCGATGCTTGCACTCCTACCGCACGGTTACAAATCCGTCGATACGCAGTCCCTGATTCCCCTTGAGCTCGAGTCCGTGAAGGACGGGGACACGTTCATACGGTGCCTCCCAGGGTTTGATGCCGAGATCGCGAAGAAGCGGGAGGAGGCTGCGATAGAGGGGTGTGTTTTGAGGTATGTCGGGATCATCGACGTCGAGAAAAAGGTCGTTAAGGCAGGGCTGGAAAAGTGAGTTCTACTTGTTATCTTCTTTTTTTTTTTTTTTTTTTTACGATAATATTATGGAAATTGTCTCGCAGATACCCGAAGACACATGCGTTTGCGACGTCGCTAGGTGGATCGGACAACATCATCATGTTCCATAGCGAACGGTACAGTCCACGGCCTCTGATCGTGCAAGGCGCTGGCGCCGGAGCGGCGGTCACTGCCATGGGTGTTATGAGCGATCTTTTGAAGCTCCTTTGATCCTTGCCAGTAGCCTGGGGATCGTGTATGTATATAACTACGGGTGCATGACACGTACACTCGAAGAATATGTATCACCACAATAGAGGGCCCGGTTTCGGCATATGTCAAGGACAAGCACAATGCCATTTGGTTGTTAGAGCGCGGTCGACGTTTTAGAACAAAGCCGATCAGCTCGGAGGCAGGCTCATCGCCGCAGTCAAAGCAGTGGAACCGTCAAGAGACGAACCGTAGCTGCCAAATCGGAGCAATCCATCCGATCAGTCTTTATTATCTCTTCGAGGAAGCTTTCCTCCCGCCTTTCTCTACAGTATGTGGGCTAATGAATGCCGTGTGGTTACATGGATTGTCGGCAGAGCCTCCACTTCCTCTCCGAATTGCTACAATCACGCCTGTAATACTCGCCACTTGATATGATCTCTACAGTCCCGACTTTCTGGTCATGTTGTTCCACAATACTGTATTATTAACGCGTTGAAGAGAGCGCCTTGGCAAGTACTGAAGGGGTTCATCGGTCACCGATGGCGAGAGATGCGTTTGGGTGTTCCACTCACTTGCATCATATTCAACCTCGGTGGGGTCTGTTCCTTGGACTTCCATGTGAATGCCATCAAAGCAGCGCCTTAGTGAATCACGCGAGGAAGCAAACACCATTTTCTGCTTGATCTTAGCCGTATCCGGGGACCTATAGAGAAATCGTTGTCGTCAATACGTGTGGTAAGGAGTTGAATCGAGATCGATCAGAGCCACTGATTATGAGGCGACGAACCAAGAGAAGAAACAGATTTTGTTCCTCTTCGCACTGTCCTTTTCGAATTCGAAATCATACACAGCCCATCGACATTCATTGTCCGGCAATTCTGCGAGGAAATTTTTGTATGACGCATCCGAGGAGGTCTTTAAGGTCACGACGCTGCGCATATCTGGAGAAAGGGAGAAGATGATGTACTTGTGTTTGCGATGCTTCAAATTCCTGAATTGTTCGACGCAGTCGTCTGAGACGGGAATTCCGGACGCCTTGTGCGACTGTTAGACAAGCCCATCGCAGTTGTCGATCTCAACGCTCGCTCACCATCGTTGTCACTTCGTAGTCGAGATAAGTCTAACCGGAAGATCGCGATCGCAGCCGTGTGGGGATGCTTTCGAACTCCGATGGTTTCCCACGGCGCGTGTCCTTTTACAAGTCCTGGCTATTAGTGTTATTAGCTACACTGACATATTAGTAGAGAGGACCCGTTGTATGTATGACCTGCACGCACCCACTCCTCGCATTTCTCGCTCTCGGCCTCGTCGCCGGAGCTTATGGCGCGTCACCGCCCGTCACCGTGTCCCTCCGGTCGTCTTTCAGGGCGGCCGACCCGCTCATTGAGGCTCTGTGCGGTTTATTTGCTTCCGTTCACAGTCCGTTAGCTGAATTCTGCATGCAGTGAGACAGTAGCCATGGAGGACGACTCCTCCCTCTTCTCTCTGCTGTCTGCCTTTCCTTTACAAGATAAGCCAAGCACCCCACGTGACGCTCACACATCTGTCGTGGATCTTGCTTCCCCCCTGATGGATGTGTCTGCTCTTGCGTCCGTGAGGGCGCGGCTGGCTTTGCACGCGGCCAGCCCACGTCTGGCAGCATCGGCAGAACATTACGACCTACGACTATCCAACATTTCCGACAAAAACGACAGATTGTCTAGCGTGGAATGTGCATCTTGGGTGGACTGGTACGGTCGAGTTGTTTGTGACGCAGACAGTCTCCTTCAGTTAGCCAATGATGGCGCAGGAAACGGAATGCCTAGACCTATAAGGTTGCCATTCGACCACGTGCATTCCGTCCACCATTTGCTGGATGATCCTCAGTACACAGTCGTTCATTACGCAGACCCTACGGCTCCCTCGTTTGCTTCGCTCCATGCCACGCTTCTTAGTTTGGAACCCAAGGTCGAATATGTTCTTAGATGGGGTAGAGGAACCAGTGAGAAGAAGACCAGCGAACTGTCCAGCTATCTCTCGGGATATGGCGTCGCTCTGGATTTAAAAAAGATGGATTACCTTGTCATCGACGACAGGCATTGGGGTGGTGGTGCATCGGATTCTTCTGGTAGTGATGCCTCTCCAAGTAGCCATGCAAGCACAAAAGATAAGAATTTCTCCGAGGAGGTCCTCAGCTGTGTCTTTGAGTCATTGCCGTACGTTGACGAGCACGCAGAAGCAAGAGCCAAGGCTGGAGAACCCCTGTCTACACAAGAAATAGCTGGTTGGTGAATTTTCGGTGTCGGGGTTGGAGTTCTGCTAACCCGTATCAATGCAGACCTTGGCCTAAAAGCTACCCAGTTTCTCGCTTCTTTTTCTGTTCAATCCCGCATGGGCTCAGTTCCCGCGCATCAATGCTGGGATCAATCCCCCTCTATTGAAGCTCTCTTCCGGACACTCTCGTCTTCCTTCCCACTCTATGCAACTTCCTTGGCACGCAAAATACCTGTCTCTGACGAGTTGAGGGATGAGGTACTCGAGAATTGGGCGAAGGCTACTCCAGGAGCAAACATGGTATGGGTAAACGGCCGAGTCCTCAACGACGATCAAGGCGCTTCCGGGAATATATTCGGGTGAGTACGTGATGCCAAGCAATCCAACGGTCTCGTGGATGGCTAATGGGCCTGGTAGTATTTTGCGCACCCTTCAGCGCGAGCGGAGGCTCGTTAAGTCATTAGTTGGGCTGGGTTTGACACGTGAACAGGCGATCGAACTGCTCATGCATCCGGTGTATTCGTCGTCTCAATCTGCGGGGTCCCACTTTGAGTCTCGCCAACGGCAGGGGGTTGAGGAAAACAAGGAACAGAAGAGAACCTTCACCATCTCTCCAAAGTTTGCAGAATTTCTCGATGGACTTGTCGATGCAAGCGATAGGCAGGAAGGGGGAGACGTCGTTATATGGCTTAACGACCTTGAGAAGGACCCGAGATATTCGAGGGTCAGTCCATCACTCGTAGGGGTATGTGTCTTGTGTCCAATTGACGACCCATGGTTTGCTCACCGAAACGCGCTGTTTTTGTTTATGATTGGCGGCTTACAGCTCCTTCGTGTCCACGCCATGTCGCTCTTCTCACCAGCTCTCCACGTACGATACAACTTGATGAACGTCGTGTTCGTCCTTGACCTGTCACAATTGCGCTCTTTCTCCATTCTCTCCAGTCTCCATGACAATTTTGTTATGCGCCGATATCCTGTTCGGTGGGGCTTTGTCCCTGAAACCAGAGAAGGTATGACCTCGTGTTTTTAACATGCCAATGTGTCATTGATAAGACTAGGCCTGAAGATGGCCCGATTGTTGTATTACATTGAACGTATCTATGGAAGGGACACGATGACGAGTTTCATCCAGAGGGTATGTTGGCCCTCGGTGTAACGTTATTGGATTTCGCTCATTGGTTATTTCCTAGCTCCTAGCTATGCACAACCAACGCAGACTTATAACGCTTTCCTGGGACGTAATACATGAGCTGTTCGACACCTTTGCTGCAGTCGATGATTTGGTGGCAGTAACTGGCGGTGTCGGGAGTTCCCTCGACGGACCTGCTGGGGGCGACCTTTTGTTCCGTGCACAGAGATATGCCAAGAGGTTGGGAGTGGGTGCTGAAGGGGAAATTGGAAAAGGCCATGTCTTCGTGAATGGAAGGCACTTGTCTTTGAACGACGTAGGTGGCAATGTTCAGACGGTGTGGTACGCCCTGAGGTTGCCGTTCTGTAGAACGTTATGCGTCAAATAGCAAGTGAAGCTACAGCACAGCTACAAATTTTGCAGGAGATGGTACTATGTTCTTGGGTTGAATACTGAACTAACTCTGACTTCCACTTCGCAGGTCTATGTCGGCGAGATCACCGATGTCGATGGGCCATCTTTATCAACGTTCTTCTATGACCTCCCGTCTACCGTGACGCGCCGCAATCCCTACATTTCAGTGCACTTCAAACCAGGGCATAACCCCGATAGCAGAGGTTTGGAAATATTCGATCTGATGGAAATGTTCTCGAGCACAGGTTTCGCGCCGGGCGAGGGTGCCTTTGTTCTGCCCGGTGTGTCTGCTATTTTTCCCTTCGTGCAGTTTCTCATAGATGAGGCTAGCCAACGGTTGCGATGGCGTTGTCCCGATGACTATGTATATCATCGCTGACCTGGACACACCCCAAGGCATCAACCTGGTAACGGAAGCGTTGGCGTTTATTGTACGTCTATTATTTCGACTTATGTTGGTTCAGAACTCATGAGGTAAAAAGGCAAACACCGCCAACACACGCATTACGTTTGTGCACAATTCCGAAGTGGCTAATTCAGGAGGTCGGGCTTCGAGCCTTTTGACTACCCTTACTCAAGCACGAGCTTTGTCACATGTTTCCTCCGTCGACCTTCTTGCAATATTGGCCGGGGATAACCAAGAATCTGCGTACGAATTGCTGCGGAATGAACTAATGGCCAGTATCGCCACCACCGAGGCAGAGGTCTCTGGCCTCACCCAAGTGATGCGCCTTGTAGCGCGACACTTGGGCCTCCAGCCTGGTGAACGTGCCGTACTAGTCAATGGGCGGGTGAGTTTACCGGTGCTTACTGACTGCCATGTACATGATTTTGTTGTGTCGTGCAGCTTGTTGGGCCATTTGACTCGGATTCGGAGTTCTTGAAAGAAGACTTTGAAACATTGGAAACGTTCGAGAAAAAGAGACGTGTAAGTCAGATTGTGGATGCTCTTGATGACATACTTCGTGGAGGAGACAACCTTGAACGGTGGGTTGTTCATTTCTTGCCAGTCCCTAGGAATCACTATTCACACTACTGCTCCTGTTAGATCCAAACGCTCAGATCTGATCGCTGTCACATCGTCCATTATCTATTCCGACCAACAGCCTGATCCTAGTGAAGTTGGACTGTTCGACACTGCACCGAGACCACGAACCCAAAATTATCGGTTTCTCTCGGGGAAGTACACGTGAGCATCCTTCTGACGTGATGCCGTCGTCCGTGATTGACGCTACCAACCCTACCCACAGAAAGTTTACATTTGGCAACCAGTCCGCGTCACTAACCCACCTTGCACTGCTACTGGATCCTCTAAGTGATGCAGCACAGAAGTGGTCGTCCGTCTTGGAGGTGAGCGGGTGTTGCCGAGAGTTTGACCTGAGAATTCACTGTCCATCTCGAAGTATCATACCAGCCTGTTCCCGGAAGTCTGCATCGAGCTGTATCTTAATCCATCACAACTTTCAGAGGTCGGTTGCTTCTCTTGTTGGGAACAACAGACGTTTTACGTGTGATTACTCAGATACCTTTGAAACGTTTCTATCGCTATAATGTTATGCCGTCCCTGCAGTATAACGAAAATGGGTATGTGGCAGAAACTATGTGATTGGTGTCCCACTTACCTCCTTCCAGTCAGGAAATACCCGCTCGAGTGATGTTCACTGCACTACCAGAGGAACCAATCTATACCCTCGCAATGGATGTGCCACACTCGTGGCTAGTTCGCCCCCGGAGTGCTTTGTACGACCTCGATAACATTCAGCTAGGACTACTCCAGGGAGAAGAGCGTACTCGGGGTGTCCAGGCTCTCTATGCCCTGGACTACCTCGTCGTGGAGGGCCACGTTTTTGAGCTGCACACCAACAATCCACCACGTGGCGTACAATTGCAGCTGATTGACGTCGCTGATCAGTCTGTAGTTGATGATACTCAAGTTGTAGCGAACCTCGGGTATACACAGTTCAAGGCCCGTCCAGGGACGTTCCGTTTCGAGATTCGACAGGGAAGGGGAAGGACGCTGTATAGTCTAGACAGTGTCGGCGCCGATGGTTGGAATAGTCCACCGGTGGCCGAAGTGGGCGACGAATTCACAGTTATGGATTTCGATAGACTCACGTTATACCCTCGACTGGCACGTTGGCCCGGCATGGAGGGCATGGACGTTCTCGATGACTTGGATCGTGTGGAAGGCGAGTCGGGCCTTATCGACAATTTGTTATCCAAGTTGGTGCTGCAACCAATCCACTCGTGTCGTGGCTCAGCTTTGTTGCAGACTTTCGTCTTTCTTCAAGCCTGCAACCAACGAGAGCATGGAAGTGACGAAGAAACCCGGTGAAACAGCAGAAATCAATATTTTTACTGTGGCTTCGGGTCTACTTTACGAGGTAAGCGTATATTCATCTGCATTGGTCAGTAGCTGAAGGGTGGTTGATAAGCGCTTTGCATCGATCATGATCCTAAGCGTGCTGCGTAACACGAAGAGTACCGTCAAGTTCTGGTTCATAGAGAATTTCTTATCACCCTCCTTTTTGGTCAGCACCTTCTCATATTTGACTATGTCTGCAGTGTCTGACTGCCTTCGCTACAGGAGTTCATACCTCATATGGCAGAAGAGTATGGGTTCCAGTATGAACTAGTAACCTACAAATGGCCTTCCTGGCTTCGACCCCAAAAAGAGAAACAGCGAATTATATGGGCTTACAAGATCCTTTTCTTAGACGTGCTTTTCCCAATGGACTTGAAGAAAGTCATCTTTGTCGACGCGGATCAAATTGTACGTGCGGACTTGAAGGAGTTGGTTGAACTGGATCTTCATGGGGCTCCGTACGCCTATGTGCCAATGGGAGACGATAATTACGAGATGGAAGGATTTCGCTTCTGGAAGACTGGGTATTGGCGTGACTTCTTGAAAGGTCGACCGTATCATATCAGGTAGGAGAGAGGCATTTATCGGTGGTCGTGAAACTTACTGTTGCCCAGTGCACTATACGTTGTGGATCTTTCCCGGTTCAGACAAGTGAGTGCTCATCAGACTTGTAGCTCACGCCGCTGACTGTGCTGTAGATGGCCGCAGGGGTAAGCACAGTCCCGACCTTCGTATATATGCGATGCTCATGTGTTCTGTAGGATATACTTCGTGGGCAGTACCAGCTATTATCTGCAGATCCCAACTCTCTCGCGAACCTGGATCAAGGTAAACCATCCCCCTTCTATTTATTGCTACAGCGGCTGACTGATAGCGAAGACCTCCCAAATAACTTGCAACGAGAAGTACCGATTGTAAGTCTGTATGTGGCTGCGAAAAGACTTCTGGGTTAACATTTTAACAGTACTCGCTACATGAAGATTGGTTGTGGGTGAGTAAAATCCACTTACAGTAACTGACATGTCTTTAAACTCCTGGTTTCCGCAGTGTGAAACTTGGTGTAATCGTCTCGTCTTTGTTTTGGAGTTCGCAGGAATAACACCGCTTGTCATTTTAGGTAGCAAGGATCGACTGCACCGAGCCAAAACCATAGACCTTTGTCAAAATCCGTTGACAGTTCGTCATTTTCCGTTACCCCATATTTGTTGAAGACGTCTGATACCCAAATCCGTTCCATCCACACTGCAGAAAGAACCTAAGCTTTCACGTGCTCGCCAAATTCCCGAATGGGAGGAATACGACGCCGAGATTGCCCAATTCGTTCGAAAACTCGCTGCGGAAGGAAAGATTCACGGAGGCGCGTCAACCGCAGACAGCAAGATTCTGGCTGGTGATAGTGCGTCTGCGCCCGTACCACTCTCGAGTTCCCAGCAGGCAGATATAGCTGGCCCACCGAGAGCACACGATGAATTGTAAGGAGGCGTTGGCAAGTAGTAAGCCGTCAGCACGACAGAAAGTCTGCACGTAAACTGGATCCTTGCCTGGACTCCGATGTCATAGCGCTCAAATCCCACCTAACTATATCTCCTGACCCCTGTAAATGACTTATTTAAGTTAGATTACGACGTAATTCTAACCTTTATGTGTGAGTGATAACGGTGGAGGGTACCCCGTGAAGTATTGTATCCATCACCTTCTTTGCAAGGTCACTGCATTAGTATCTATGGAACAGCTGTAAAGATGGTGTCTGCCGTCCAAGACGGTGCAACTCCCTAGTTTTAGAGTCTCACATCCTGAATCGCGTCCTTGCCATCCTAATTTCCTTAGTTCATCTCCCTTCCTCTCCCCAAACCGGTATATACCATTGTTGTATAGTAAAATAGACTGGGGATACAGGGCGACGAAACTACGGGGTTTAAGTAAATACTGCCTTTCATTTACTCGACGCAAAACACAAAACAAGATCATAGACAAGATAGAAGGCGGGTCCAGAAGATGTGGCAATATCACAGGAAGCGGGTGCACATATCGAGATTCGAGAGCGGAACAGGGTAACAGGTAAGGAGCCCCAAAAAACTTCCAAGCATGATTTGTGGAATCCGACCTGGCTCCAAGGCGGATAACAGAAAACGAAGAATCAGAATTAACGTATGAAAGGAAATGCAGGAAAGAGGGGATGGCTAAATGCATATATAGGTGGGGTTAACGGAGAAGAAAAGGCTGCATTCAAGAGCCCCGTACTTGCATGTCGGAGCCTTCTTTGGAGGTTTTCCATGGGTTACTATGATCCAAGTTCAGACTTGCGAGAGTGCCATTAAGATCATGTATAGGTTCGTGCTCCTCCTTCGGGTCACATTGACTGGAGTGACCTTGGGACGACGTTTGACCGGAGTTTGGCCGAGAGATAGGCTCCTGACGAGGAGGCGAACGATCAAAATACGTTCCAAGCTTCTGGGGACTATTTGGCATTCGAATAGAACCTCTCAAGAATTCCGCAACTTTGTCGCTATCCGGAGCCATCGAATCAAATCCTCTGACGTGCTCCGCGTGAGCAATTGCGTCCAACGCAGAAAGTTCTTTAGATTGGTTCCCCCGGTTTTCAAGCAGAAGAGCACCAGGATCAGGTGAAAATGGGGAGAAAGTTGAGAACGACGAGGAGAAATGCGGTTGCATGTGACGCTGGTAATCCACTGCACCCGTGGCCATGGAATGCGGCACGTAGGAGTTGGAGAACGCATCATGAAAAGGAGTGGAAATCATGCCGTCTGGTCGAACCTGGTTCGCGCAGAAAGGCTTTTCCTCAACGCTACCATTTGCACCCTTCGAACCGACGTGGCCAGTATTTTCCATATCTTGGCCGTTAGCTCCAGTCTGGCCACCAAAGCTGGAAATGCCCAATTTATGCAGAAGTTGGAGGGCCTGTTCGGAAGACAGGGGTGTAGTCAGATTTGCGGGCATTTGGGCTTGAAGTTGGGCCTGAAGAGCAGCTGTCTGCGCAGCTTGTGCAGCGGCCTGTGCAGCTTTATCTGTTCAACTGTTAGTTACTACAACCTTGGGACGTGGCAGGCGAGGCTTACATTGACTCCTTCCCCAACTCAATCGTATTCTGCTCCCGCCTATCGGAAATCCTTGCATCTTCTCGATAGCCCTTTCTGCGTCAGCCTTTCGTACGAACTGAACGAATCCGCAGTGCTTCCCAGCGGGAACCTTAACCTGAAACGAGCGTGAATAAATACCTAAGCATAAAACGCTTGCACTCACGTAGTGAATATCACCAAAGGGCGCGAAGAAAGTTCGCAGGGTGTCTTCTGATATCAAAGGGGACAGTCCACCAACAAAGACAGTGGTATTGTAAGGGTCTGTGGAAGTGAGTTGCTCGCCGTTCGGCCCAATCAAATTTCCGAGGATGGCGCGTGCTTGAGCATGGTGTTTCCACGACTCCTCAGAGAAATTATACCGCGGAAGAGAGTTCTGTTCATGAGAACCATGCGGATAGCTGGAGGGCAGCAACGAAGTGCCTGTAGCAGCGTGTCCCTTCAAAGACACCGTTCCATAAAGGGCTGCGGTGGGAGAAGATATACCTAGGACATCTTCTGATGACGGCGGAGACAAAACACCGGATGAAACGCCGTTACTCGACGTGGTGCCAGTGGGCGGCACGGAGGCCGAGTCCTTCAGTACTGTACCAGGGCTGGCAACCACAACGGGAGTGCTAGTGGATGACGACGATCCACTACAGATAGACGCAGCAATAGGAGAGGAGACACTTCTGGCTCGGTTCGCAGACGAGGGTGGTACGGATACCGTTGGGTTCGACCGCTGCTCGCCAGCTTGGGGTAACAACGGGTATGGCACAGTCGGAAGGTTTAATGGGATCTGCGGTTGGGGTGGCTTATATTTGGCTGTTGCAGGTGATATCCGCACTACAAGATTCAAGTCAAAACCGAGCTATTTGTTTAGCATTAAGTTCTACACACTGGGGCGAGACAGACAATAAAGGCCATGCATTTCGACTAGTGCTCTCTGTTGGTCTGCTTCGTCAGTGAATCTGTGATGCAAATCAGTCTAGTGTCAGTTCACGCCCATAGCGTTCGACATTGCCTACCGGACGAAGCCGTATCCCCTTGAAACGCCTGTAACAGGGTCAAGCATGATTTTGGCGCTTTTACAGCTGAGGAAGGGGCGGATGAATTTGGGTTCACGGTCGTTCCGTAAGCCAAGTAGTGGATTGCGGAAGACGGCGACCAAATCCGAGTTTGATGTTTCTGGAGCCAAGTCACCGACGAAGATGCTATACTCCTTCTGGTACTGCTGTTGAGGCCCAGGTGAGATGAGGCTTGATGATGTAAGGGTGGGGGGCATCAGAGAACCCAAAACAGAAGACGCCCAATTCAGCATGAAGGGTTTGTTCGAGTTGGGCATCAGGACGGGCTTGGAACCGCCGACTCCGTTGACTTGGTCAAGGGCAGAGGCTGCAATAGCAGGAGACGCGAACGCTAAGAAACAGTAGCCAGGATTGTTGGCTTGCTGGCCGGAGGGGTCTTCACTGCTACTGGGTACCTTGACATTGACGGGAATCCAACCCATCAAGCTACAAACCTGCTTTGCGTATTCTTCGTCCATCCAAGGCTCGAGTCCTCCCCACCACAGGGTCGAACGAGGTATATCGGTGCGGAAGCTGGCATTTCCTATGGAGGAAGCTGTGCTGGACTGTGGGATAGACGGGGTGGGCTGGATGTATGAGCGAGTCAATGAGCTATCCCGCTCAGCTTCGGAGGAGTTGCTATAATAGGCTGGTGATGATGTGTGGCTAGGAGGCGAAGGACCTGTTATAAGGGAAGGGGATGGACGGCTGTGGTTTGGGGAGAAGACGTGCTGAATTTGTGGACTGGTTAAAGTGCCCGCGTTCCTATTTACCGCGGCAGTCCAACCGTCAACCACGCGGGAGAGACCCATGTAATCTTTGTCATGGATCCCGTATGCGGGGGAGAGTGTTGAATTGCCGTGACTAATATCCGTAGTATAGAGCTGAGAGTTCTGTCGATCCAGCGACGCCGCTGAATGATTGACGGGTGTGGATGAGGAGTACAGTCGACGGATATCACAGTCCATCGCAGAGCGGTTGATCAGAAGGCCGGGGGGTGGATGGATGTCGTGAGAGTCGAAGCGAGACATTAAGTGGGCGGAGATGGGAAAGAGGGGGGAGTGAAGAGGAGGTAAAGGAGAGAAAATTAAAGGGTGAATAGGACTCCTTGCTGTAAAAATCCAATGGTTTGGAGGGGTTTAAAAAGATACGAAAATCGACAATGTAAAACAACTACTGCTGAGACGAATATGAGAGCGAATGAAGAGGTAAAAAGATAGCGTTAGGCGACAGCAATGCGATGCAAACGAAAATGCGACTGAGATATCTTTAGGGACTAGTAAGATACGAAGATATGACAAACTCGTAAATTCAAGAGGAAGACTGTACCCGGGGAGTCTCTGAACGTGGACGTGAAAAAAAAAATTCAACGGCCAGTATATGTAGACGTCGCGGGACTACGGGTGTCGGAGTTGGGAAAACCTCGTAGTGTCTGTTTTCTTTCTGACAATGGCACAAGCTGGGGGGAAGCCTGTGGTGATCCCCTCATTCTTAACCTAGTCATCCAGTCAGCGTGTCATACCAACGTCAGTGTTGTGCACATTCCCCTGCGAGAGATGGATGAACTGACCATGCTCGTTTCGGCCCACAATAACACCATGATATCGAAGCCCCTTGTTGCTCAAATATATCGAACAATGGCCCACTGGCGGGTATCGGTGTTGTACCTCGCCGATCATCCTACTTACGCGGACTTGTAGGTCCAAATGGGTCCAAAATGGGCCCGTGGCTGTGTGATGTCGTTACTACCTAAATGGCACATTCCACGCTGACGACCATCATGAACGTGCTAATACCAAGTAAGGTACAGTCATGGCCTCTACGACGCAGCTGCACGTCACTCGCGAACTAAAGAAAACAATGGTTTTCACCCCACTGGTAAGTTGTGTGCTATTCTGCCATCGTCATTAACACCGTGGTATCATAATGCGACAAGCTAGGGTCCGACAGAGGGCAGAAGCCGAAGATACTTAAGAAGGTTGCATGAGGGCAAGTCTGAGACAGACACGCGTGAGGACGCAGCTCTGATGCAGACAAGCTGTAAAACATCACAGACCTTAGCCAAGTCAATTAACATGCAAGTGGATGCGAGATCAACGTACAGCCATACCGTCATGACGACGCTTGAGGTCCAAACGGCTTTCACATTCCATTATAGTCCCACCCGGTGAACTCGATCTCCCATCCCGCTCTCGCCGATCTTCTCTTCCTCGATGCAGCAAATGGCAGCGGTGGTTTCCTACTCAGATGCTTACGCAACTTTGCCCCCTTGGCCGAGTCCGCTCCATCCATAGGAGGAATCATACGTTTTTTCGCATCTCCAACCACTTTTTGTAGCAAACCATGCCAGCAGGGGTTAAACGAAGGGGAACTCGCCCACAGAACACCTAGGAAAGCCTTCTGCAAGAGTCGAGCGAGAGGAGTTGGCGAGCAGCGGTTGTTAACGGGTGGGGCGTCATCACCCATGAGCACTGGTAGAGTAGGGACATACAACGGCCGACGGCGTCGGGTACGTGCAGATGAATGTATGATGGTCGATGGAGTAACTTGGAATAGGTCTTCATCACTATGGCGGTTGGGCTCCGAGAGGTTTACGAGGTGTGACACGACATCAGGCTCTACGACAGACGTAGAGGGATCCGAAGCTAAGGGATGCTCGGGCCTTGGGAGAAGCTCTGATGCAACGGGTCCTTCTAGAGATGGTTGGAGTGCGAGCTTGTTATTCTGCACACGGCAGAGCATATCATTCAAATCAGGCTTCTCGTTAGGGCAGAGATGCATAAGGAAATCTGTGAGGCGGTACTCATTGGGCCGCCTTGGATTCTCCATCTCGCGTTTTATTCGCGAGAGCAGGTGGGCCAGGACAGCACGATAACTTTGTAAGTCAGCGGAAAAACCAAATGTGTCGAGCAAGCGCACGACAATGAATGCGCCTAAATAGTCGTTTCGTGCGATAAAAGAGCGGAGGGCCATTTGGAATCCAGAGGCAGACAGAGAAGTTGAGCGCCCCAGGGGTTGCCCCTCTGTTTGCTGGAGGTGGCATTCCAACATGTCACGGAAAATTTGTGAAGGTTCCACGGCAATAGGTGGTCGCTTAGCACGTCTTTTCTGGCTAAAAAGGCGTGTGGCACGTAAGAGCGTCTTGAAAGTAACGTCGTTGGGCATCAATTGGTCGGAGCGTTGTGTCATCAGTACACGATAGAGTTCGAATGCCTCCCGAAAGCGCTGCTGCTTGACATTGACATGGATTAGTGTGTTGAAAACAGAGATGGACGGAGGGATGTCAGCCGCTTTCATTTTCTCCAGAATTGCCTTCATAGCAGACGTGTTGCCGGGATCGACACGCATGAGACTATCGAGTAGATTTGCATACGGAGCAGCATCTATCCCAACGTTCATTTTCCGACAGCTTTCCTCGAAAGTACGCAGCCAATGCTGTGCAGCATCCATGTCACCAGATTGAACACTGATCCGGACAACCTCTCCGACAAGGTCTGGGCAGGAACAAGTTTCTATGCTCCCGACTGTCGTATAGATACGCGCTAAGTTGTCGACAAGTGGGACGGGGGCCTTCTTAACGCTGAGCATGAAGTATAATAGTTGCATAAACGCCGCGCTATCGTAGGATTCATCCGCAAAGACCTGCTTGAGAGGTGCAATGACATCCTCGAGACGTTTTGAAGAGTTAACAAGTTTGATTGCGGTCATTCTCGCCCGGATGGAAGAGGGCGGTGCAAAGCCTTCATTCAGGAGCCTGTCGTAGAGTGCGATCGCCACTGAAAATAGCTGTCTGGCGAGCGCAAACCTGATCAAGCGAGCGAAGGCAACCCATCTGTAGGGGTTATAGAATTTATCAGCAGATATTTTGGACATGAGGTATGATTGGATGGTATGGGCATTCTTGGTTTCGAGGAGCCTTTCTGCGGCTAAGATGAGATTGTTGACTTGTACCCTATGGATTTTGCGTTCTGTGCATGTATATACGGCTTCCGGGGAGTGTGAGGCGCGTTGAACCCTTTGCACATGGAAAAAGCGAAGAAGAGTAGGTCGATTTTTTGGAAGTCGCAGGCCAACAACACGCCGTAGAACACAAAAATGTGTCAGTCCGCGACAGCAGCCCAGAATCATGGTCCCTCTGTAACCACTCTGTATGGTACATCGTTTCGCGGTGACACCGAATCACGTGCACTCCGCGTCGTCTCTGAAGTGTGACATGTCACGATTTATCCGAGAAAGGCAAGTTACTGCAATTCACAGCGTGACACCACATCACGTGCAGACCGCGTTGTCCAACACGTCGTCGTCGACAGCAGAGGCGTTAGAAAGCGCCAGAACGGCAACAGCCTCCACAAAAGTGTTTCCTCGAGACTGGGAGTCACCGGACTGACCACACGGGATACTCACTGCATCCCCTTCAATGACATGTATCGTTTGTTCTCCCAATAAGTACTGAATCCTGCGAACGCAAAGCCTAGAAACTAGGTCGCAGCGCACAGCAAGTCGTGTCTGCCTTCCGCAATCTCGACCTGACCCCGAACAACTGCTCTCACATATGGCTATAGACGCGTCAGCTCACAGAAGGCCGTAATAGCCCTACATACATCATGGTTGATCTCCCCGTTTGGCTCAATGAGCCTACCGCGGTGGCACTCGAGTTTCACCAACATCTTTCGGCTTCTGTGCCTGTCCAATAGTGACCATCGAATGTCTGAATAGTACTAGTATGTTTCGTTGGCGTGATTCTTTTGACGTGAGGCACCGACTGAAATGAAGACTTCGACTTCCAGAAGACTGGGGGGTGATGTGGGCATTTTGATTAGATTCCCCGACAATCGTACAATCCAACTGATCATGCATCGGCGGTTAACGGTACTTTGGTATTGAAGTGTTGATTTGAGCGAGATGTAGATTCTTAAGAGTGTGTAGTATTAGTATACGCTTCCTTGCTTCAGTTCCAACCCCCATGATGTCACGACCCGGCAATACTCTGCGGACACCTCAACAACCTTCGTCTCGCTATCGCTCCCGGCCACCGCATCCTCCACTATCCTCTGGATTAGCTGGTGCTCGCCGGGCGTCGATGACAGGCCTCGCACCTGCTGCAGGTCAGAAGGCACAGCGCACGTCCAAGACAACTCAAAAGCTTGTCCTTCTCCCTTCCGCTCCCCAGACCAAGCCACTGCCAGAGGATCTCGAGGATGACCGTTTACTCGGGTATGAAACGGACGCTGGACGGGTCCGGGAGTACAAGAGCCCCGCAGAACGCATGAATAGAGAGCAGAGAGAGCGGGCAGGCTATAAGCGCATTACCGTGTATTGTGTGTGCGAGGCTATGAAGATGAAACTACTAGCCCAGTTCCTCAAGAGGGAACATAATGTCCAGCCAAGGGTATTCGATGAAGCCATGTACGTGGTAAGTTATATCTTTTTGCATGCTCCGTTCGGGTGATAATCGTGGATGTTCATGCTCTATGTGAACAATACACATACGCATTATTCTAGATGTACCATTTACCACTCTTGCCTGGGTACGGGCCTAATTTGAACATTCGCTCTTCCGTACCTCCGAGCACACCTGGAACCAAGGCTCTCCTTACCCGACTGTACGAGGCGGAGGAGAACGGGTACCAGGGATCTTATTTCGCGCAACCTACAGAACCACCCGAAGCAGATGGGTACATGACCTCAGCCTCTGTGGAGCGCTCCGAACATGTTCCTGAACCGCCGCACGAGTCCGAGGTAGATGCAGAAACATATACCGAAGGAGACGTCGACGACCACAACTTGCGAGGCGAACAGTCTGAGGAAACTATACATGTAGAACATATCCCGGAGGAGAATGTCGCCGAGATCGTGTTCTTTGCGTACGGCGTCGCTGTCTTCTACGGGTTCGGCGAATCTCAGGAACGAAGCATCCTCGAAGACGTTGCTAATGCGGGAATACTCAAACGACAACTCAAGGAAGCGGATTGGGAGATCGAAGAATGTCATTTCACTGTAGGCTAAACTTGATCTCTGTGATATCTGGCGTGCTGACCATCAGATAGCACGACCCATCGATAGCGTACCCGCGCATTTATAATGATTTCTTCAGTGAGTATTTCCTTCAGCAATTCAGCCTTGTTTCACAACGGATTTTCTAGCATTTAAATCACCGTCTCACCTTTTAAAGCTCTCCGTAGCTCATGCACTTGCTCAATCCACCCTTCTTGCGGCATATGAAGCAACTGCACAACGGGTACTCTCTGATCCCCGTACAGTTGCCATTCCAAAGCAACTTGCCTTCTCAGGGAAGCTCCAACTGAAGCGCCGAGACGCACTCCGCCTAACAGGCCGTCTCTTCAAGCTACGGCGAGACATCAATTTGGTATCAAATGTCTTGGATGTGCCAGAGTTGTTCTGGAGCGAGGCGAGCCTGAAGGAGTTGTATGGTGCGGTGAGGGAGTACATGGAGATCGATGAGCGGGTGAAGGTGTTGAATGAAAAACTGGGCATTGCAAGTGGCTTCGTGAGTCTTAACCCTTCGTGCCGTGGGAGGATAACAAGTATATATCGGCTAGTTGGATGCCATCCATGATCACTTGAACAATAACGCAATGGAGAGAATCACTTGGATTGTAATATGGTTCTGTGTTTCGTCCTGGTCACAGGGGCTATATCTGATGCACCGGTCGTTTTTAGGCTCATCATTCTGGTCATATTTGTCGAAGTGGTGGGTCATCTTCTATTGTAGTCATGGGAGTGTAACTCACGGAAGGATGCAGGGTGAAGTCTTCGCTCGCCTGGTGGTACATACACCAGCTACCAGCGAAGGTGCAGGTAAGATGGCGATGCGCGTTGGACCTGCATTCTGGATCCGCACATTATTGAAGGGCTAGGTTCTCATTATCGAGACAAGCCAGATTTTGTTTCACAGAGGGCATTCGTTGCAGACTTTAGTTATCCTGACCAATAATCATTTTCTAGTGCATGTATGAGTATGGAAAGCGAGGACAGGGACCTCGTGTCGACTACCTACAAAATGAAGAGAGAAGCATCTGATCGATGTTGTGTGTGGTCTGAGAGTTGGCAGGATAAGAACGTGCATGTGGGAAGTCTACGTCTATGGTGTAGATGTAGCGTACATTTTTGTGGCACTCGACGTACCCCATGTCACTCGCCTTGCACCAAAAGCGAGGCTAACGACGTAATCTGCGGTCATCCGTCGCTGATTCGTGAAAATTAATTCGGCATGGCTTCAATATCTGATGGGGGTGATTGGTTCCGCGCGAATAGTGGACGGGTCGACTGCCTGGTCAATTGCATCGTCTATTTCTCCGATGAGTGCACTGCATAGTAAAACGGCATCAGCACGGGTGTGACGCGCTTGGGGGGCACGACGATGGCACGTACATCATGTCACCCTTGACGAGGTAAAGTCCAAGTGGTATCTCATCTACGCCCTCATCCAAGCTGTAGACTCGTTCCCTGCAATCCGAGACCACGATGTTAGACTTCTGATCGAAGCCTGCGAGGACGCCCTACATATACTTGAATCTAAGCGGCAAAGGGCTAGAATGGGGAGCGTCATCCGTACCACGATAGCGCGACCATCCTGCAGCACAAGTAAGACACGACCTACAATAGAACGCGGTCTCCCGAGTTGAGAACGTGATACTACAGGTCAGAAAGATGTACAGAAAAGGACGCACGATCTATGTATCCCTGTAAGCTGGACATCCTGCTCGACTGCCTGGCACTAGTGTGCGAGTCTAATCAGCGAAGTGTCTGGGGTCTTTGCTTTATCATTAGGGGTCTTCAGGGGTCTCCCCGCGTGGCATGTGTCTGGCCTTGTGCTTATGGCCGCCTAAGAATCGACAGGGCCAACCTAGTCAATTGTGCTTGACCGTCCTTCCAGCTTCTCCTCCCCCTCCCACCAACCTAGTCCGTTGTGAGTCCATTGCCAGGTCGGATGTACACGATAATTAACCCCTTCTGTGTAGCCTTTAGACGTCCGTCATGTCTCACGAGGAGGAGACACATCAGGAACAACAGCAGCCTGTCATCGAAAAGGCCCCGTACGCTCAACTAGAGATTGAGGATGGATCGGATGAACAAGACACTGCATTACCACCTCCCGCTACGGCTTCGCCCCAAAACTCAAGAGCCAAGCTCTCTGCCGCTGCTATCATCCCTGTATGGATCGTTCTCAGCTCTGGCGTCATCATATACAACAACCATTTGTATAACGCCCTGCAATTTCGCTATCCCGTCTTCCTCGTTACATGGCATCTGACATTCGCCGTGAGTTAATTTCTCCCTTGTGTACAGTACAGCACACCTAGATCCCCTGTCTACAGACCGTGGGTACCCGTATTCTCCAACGCACTACCAACCTCCTTGATGGCAGTAAGGAAGTTCACGTATCCAAGCATATGTTCATACGCTCTATACTTCCTATCGGACTGCTCTTCAGTGGAAGCCTTATCCTCAGCAATACGGCCTATCTGTACCTTAGTGTAGCTTACATTCAGATGCTCAAGGTACGCCGATTTTCTCCTTACACCCACGTTCATCACCACAGTAATTTCCATTACAGGCTTTCACTCCCGTTGCCATCTTGCTTATCTCTTGGGCCTCACGCATACAAGACCCTAACCGTAAGCTCATGGTCATCGTTCTCATGATCTCCTGCGGAGTGGCACTGGCATCGCATGGGGAATTGCATTTCAACCTCTATGGTTTTGCAGTGCAGGCCGCTGCTGTTGCAGTACGTCGAGATGTTTTACAGCGTTAGTGGATGGTCACTGATTCCACCCACATAGTTTGAGGCTTCCCGCCTGGTGATGATCCAAGTCCTACTGCATGGTTTGAAAATGGATCCCCTTGTCTCGCTGCACTACTATGCCCCTGTCTGCGCATTAATCAATCTCGCAGTCATACCTTTTACAGAAGGCTTCGCACCGTTCTACGACCTCCCGCGTATTGGGCCTCTTATCCTTATCTCAAACGCTTTGGTTGCGTTCCTACTCAATGTTGCTGCTGTCTTCCTCGTAGGTGCAGGTAGTGGACTCGTACTCACCCTCGCTGGTGTTTTCAAGGTCGGATATTGTTTAAAATATATGCTTAACACCTAACCAACGTGCTGGCAGGATATTCTTCTCATCAGCGGCTCTGTGCTTCTCTACGGGGCGCCAATCACGCCTCTCCAAGTCTTTGGTGTGTGAATTTCCGTCGTACACGGGGTCTGTTAAACCATTGATCACTCTGCCTAGGTTACTCCGTCGCCTTATGCGGTCTCATCCTTTTCAAGATGTCGGGCGGAAAGTAACCTTGCTCACGTGGGGATGGCAACTGCTCGTTCGAACATGTTCGAGTTAGCAGTGTCATATATCCACTTCTGAAGTTATATGTTATCGGTTTTCCGTCGATAGACAGTTGTTGAGGTGTCGATGAATTCGTGTTTTCCCGTTGCCAACCCTCGTCTTTCTTTCTCCGGTGCAACGTGTTGTCTTGACAGTCTCCGCTGCTATGCGACCCCGATATCAAGCCGTTGTGTGGGTGATTCCTGGTTATTAGGAATTGACTTCCCTCTTCCTGTTTACCTCCGCTCATTTTGTGGTTGCCACGGGTCGATTCACTTCTGTCGGCTTGGGGAATCACGTTTCCGATCACGGACTATATAAACTTGACGAACAACTACTTCCTATAGACGACCAAGATTGCCGCTCACTTTTCCCTGTCCTCGCATTGCATATAATCGGACTAATATGTAGACGAGCAGTTGTGCATGTCATTTTTACTCTCCATCACCATTTCAGATGAGACATCCTGGGCTCGGTGTCATTCCAATCATTACAAAGCTTCTTGCACGATGTCCAGGCAGCTATTTTCGCGGCTAAATGATGTTTGAGGCAATTACCCCTGTGGCGCTCAGTGCATATTGTCACTCCACACAGTGTCGGAAGCTTGCAGGTGAGCGTTCTTACCCTCGAATCAAACTTAGTATGTCCTTTCGTTCACATCATGCTCTTTGCGGACACGGATTTCCAGTGGACGTCGACGGCTGACGTGGCGAGTGTTTGTACTACGTCCTACAACAACGGTTTAATATCTTTTGTGATGTAGTCAGGAGAGATACAGATAGACGGATACTCAACTGGGAAACTCACCGCCCACCGGGATGGGTTGGACATGCAGGAGGGATTGATACATGCGAAGGAAAGTTGACAAGACTTGACTAATTAATCATGATTACTATGGTCTCATCTCCGTCCTCTGCAAGTCGATCCGTCGTCCTGCCTGACGGCCTCTGGCGTATTGTCTGCTGGTCACCAGGCTCCGCTTGGGCTACGTTACTGTCAAGGTTCAACGTTATTACTGTAAGGTGTTCTCAAAGTGATGTGGAAACTTACTTGTTCTGAATTGTAGCATTCGGCTGGGATTCTTCTGCCTGGGGATGCTCAGGCAACTGAGAGAGCCTCCAGAGCGCGCGGGCGAGCTTAAAGTTGTCGAGTGTCGACCGCCAAAGTGCGATGAACTGTGGCGTGTCGGTGGGCAGATGGGTGGTAAGTTGTTGTGAACAGCAACAACGCGCAGAAGAGGTGAGATTGGATGCAACAGGTACAATGAAAGACGAATAGACAGACAAATTCCACATACCACGACCAACTGCCAAAGCATTTTGAGGAACATTATGGCGCCTTCTGCAGCGGCGCGCCTCGAATTCGCGTTGGGATCGATGTCATTACCGGGGTTATTTGGCATGGTGCACGGTGGGTGATGGCGGTGTGAGTGAAGAGCCAGCGGGTACCTCTCAGCCCATTCTTTTTGTAGTGGTTCTATGATTATCGTTTAGGGGTTACTGTGAGGATCCCGTACCTGCACTAGTAGTGCGGATTGTGGAGTGCTGGTTTTGTCCTTAGTAAACTTACATAATCGCAGTCTTCATGTTTTCGCATATATTCACCTAGTAAATAAGCTTGTCATGCTTTTCGGAATGTCTCGTTGCTGTTCCGTCCCACTGCACTTTTTTTACAAGTAGTTACATATTCACAGAGTGGCGCTGTCTCTCTCTCTCTTCTAGTTCACGTAGCTCCCTCCAGAAACGTTGCCAGAACACAACTTATTCACTCAGTTCCACGGCATTCGGGCTTCGCTTGGTCTATGTCATTGTCGACTCTGCATACATAGATCAGTATCATTACAGCCATTTTCGGGGCGGCGTGGAAACTTACTTGTTATGAATTGCAGTGGTCGGCGGGGATTCGAGTTCAACAGATTCTCCCGCCAATGGAGGCGGCCTCTGAACTGATCCTCCCGAATCCGGTTGAGAATGAGTGAGGGTTTCGGCCTCCGTTCCCGGGTTTGACTGCGTCTGCTGCCCTGACCTAGCCTGAGGAGCCCCCGCGGGCGCGGAGGCGCGGATGGGTCTAATCACATCGTACTTCAGGCACACCCACAGGAAAAGCTTTCGAGTGCCACCGTATCAATAAGTTGATATGTGGTAAGGGAACCACAGAAGAGGACGGAATCAAACAGATGCTGTGAGCGCGTAATGAAGACGAGGTCCCACTTACCGTGATCATGTAAAGGACGGCGAAAATCACCAGAATATCTGCGAAGCGTCTCGAATCCGCGTCGCGATTGATGTCGTCGGTGTGATTGGCGTAACTGAGCATACTGTAGTGATGGCGGCGAGAGACTTGAAACTTAGCAGAGGGGCCCTTCTATATATATGTCAATCCAGGATTCTTTGTTTGTAATTTGCAGGTAGCGCAAGAGTGAGGATCCCGGCTCTGCCTGCCGAGTAGATCGAGTCGCCGCGGTGGCGCGGAAGTGCGGGACTCAGTACCGAAAGGTTGCGTTCAAGCGCATATATCGAGGATGCTGCAGCCTGTTAGGAGTTCGCTGGAGGGAAGACACAATAGACTTCTTGTATGCAGGCTAGAGGGACGCTGTAACACTTCGTTTTCTATACCTTCCGTAGTGAAAATGGGCAGGCTTGCAGCCGGTACGTCATACATTGAGTCCAGGAGTCAACTCACCACGAGTTCGTCAAGATTCTGCGAAGCTTTAGAAACGGTAACCTTTCAATAGACTACAACACGGTGCTTGAGATACATGGTAGAGAAACGCGCGAATAATAAAGATGCCAAACCAATATGTGACTATATCGTACCGTTTAGACTTCCTGGCTGACGCCCTCCTTCTTTCCCTTGCTGTGGCATAGTAAGTCTCCAACTCAAAAAGTGACATGACGGACGAAACGAACCTCGTCTTACTGGGCAAAAGCTCGGGGTTAATAAACGGAACAACCCCACCTTGTGAGATCACCACATCCCCGAGCAACTTGTTCAACCTGCATCCTGGTGAGAAATAGGAGGTGTGCCAGTGTTGCTGTACTTACTCTTCATCGTTACGGATAGCGAGTTGCAAATGACGAGGAACAATACGTTGTTTCTACAAGGAATCGGATCAGGGAAACTCCACTATGCCACTCGGGCACCCCACCTTGTTGTCACGAGCAGCATTTCCAGCAAGCTCGAGGATCTCAGCAGCAAGATACTCGAGGACGGCCGCGAGGTATACTAGAACCGCCATAAGGAACCCATAAGGGTGAACCCAGGAAATGATTCACCTGGAGCACCAGCGCCGACCCGCTGAGCGTAGTTGCCCTTTTTCAAAAGACGGTGCACACGACCAACCGGGAACTGGAGACCCGCCTTGGCAGAACGGGACTGTGCCTTTCCCTCAGCGCTAGCCTTGCCACCAGATTTTCCAGCTTTGCCTGCGGGAGCACCCTATCAGCGACAACCGTATCGACAATGAATCGACTGGATTGCACCTTTTCCGCTCTAGAGAAGTTCAAAATAAGCTGCCAGAACACACTGCAGAGAAAGAAAGGCAAACCATTTTTGAAATGTATTGGTCTCTTCGATACTGTACAGGAAGGGGGTGTGGTGGTGGTGTGTGATCAACAGAGGTTGACCAACAAAGCTTGCACGACCCGCGTCATATATATACGTTCACGTGACCTCGGCATCACGTTCCCGATTTGGCCGAGAAACACCTCCGGACTGCGAAACGAAAATGTCTGCTGTGGTCGGTGCTGGCAGCAGATGCCGCCTACCACTGCGTCCCTTCGGACAACAACTTGCAGCTCGTCGATGGCGCTCAACTTCAGGCGGAGAAGGCACATCGGGGCCCGCAGAGACACCACTGTCTCTACTACAAAGACCATTGGGAGTGAGAGAACGACCGCAGGCTCACACGAAGACATGGGAGGACACTCGGAAAGAGCTCATGGACGAGGAAGCACGACTAAGACAGCGTGAACACCTGTAAGTTGTATGGCTCCGTATATAACTCAGTTCTCATGGAGGTAGCTTGAAGGAGGCCACCAAAGGTTACTTTACGGACCTGAACGCGACCAGGCGTCATGGCGGTAAGTCGTGGATAGCACCAAACGTCATGATCAGGGAAGACGTGAGTCTCCAGCGTGTTTTCCTGTTTTCGGGGCTGAGTGCTACTTGGCAGAAAGCTCTCTATTTCCCCAACGTGACCGGTTCCAGATTGGATACTAGAGAAGAGGCTCATACGACAGATATGTGCCAGGGGCGTGTGTCCGTCATAGCCATGCTGTCTACGAGGATGTCGGAGGTTAATTCTTCTGTTCTTCCACGCGCACTGTACTTATTTGACCTGACATCTAGGTTCATGTCAAAGGATTCGTAGCACCCACTAATGCGCGGTATTTGTCAAACTCGCGATATCAATACATCCAAATCAACTTGCAGGAAAACTTGCTCAAGTCGTGGCTCGTTTCTCTCTTCCTTACCTCCATAGCGAGAAGCGTACCTCGCGAGCTGCATCCGACGTACCTCGTATCAAGTCAGAACGTGGAGTACGTACGCGAGCCTCTCGGAATGACAAACAAGCATGTTGGCTATGTCTATCTCGTGGACGAGAACTTGAAGGTCCGGTGGGCAGGATGCGCTGATGCAAAAGTAGAGGAGACGCGTGCGCTCGAACAGTGCACTGGCGTCTTGATCAATAGACTCCAAAAGAAAAACAAGTCTTAGCGTTGTGTATTAGTATGACCACAGTTATTTACGTTGTCCCCTGAGCGTTATAAGCTTGTTTGTGCGTGTTGCCTACGTGTCTGACTTCACCCAAGCAGAAAACCGTCCCTCCCATTTTGTGTGTGTATCTGTCCGAATGGCTTCGCCAACGCAGCAATTGCCTCCAGGTTGGGCAGCGGAGTGGTACGATCGCACTCATCGGATACCACATAACAGCTTTTCTGACACTGGAAATCACAGGGATGCCGCTAACCAGAGATATCTTTTCATAGGTCAGTCATTGCGTCTTGTGTCCTCACCATCGGCAATGCTGACCCACCATGCAGAGACAGCGACGGGCAGGACCCAGTGGGAACCACCCTTACATGCCCCAACTGCCCCCATAGATGAACACGGCCCTTCAGTTTCACCGCCCCCGACACATCACATCCCAAAGCGTCGTCAGTATGCCGCGGGACAGACCCAGGCATACTATGGCACCACGGATGGCTTTGTGGAACCATCCTACGGTGCGGCGGGTGTTATGGGACCCCAAACTCAACAGCCGGTAGCTTCAGGGCCTCTCTTCACTCCTGGTTTGGCTGCCGAGCAGCAGTTCGCAGCCCAACAGCAACAACCACTATACCAAGCACCACCCTCCCACGAGCCTCAGTACGTCAACGCTCCGGCATTCGGCCAAGAACCTGCCTACTATCCTCCGTCTGCGCCAGTCAACCAGCTCGCCGACCAATTTGGCCAGATGGGATTCGGCCAGAAGCCCTTGCAGCTTTACACTACCAACCTTCTCACTTCACCCCCGGACCCGCGTGAGCTGTCTCATCCACCCCCGGAAATTCGGCTGCCGCCCAATTCGTGTATCACCGCATCTCCGTACGCCAATGCCGACTACACCTACCAGCGCTGCACCTTAAATGCGATACCCACGACATCATCGCTTCTGAGCAAGGTCAAGATACCACTTGCGCTTGTGATTACGCCATATCGTGGTGTAAAAGATGGTGACCTTCCTGTACCGCTAGTCACTGACACTGTCATCGCCCGGTGTAGGCGGTGCAGGACTTACATAAACCCGTATGTTCAGTTTATTGACGGAGGCAATCGGTAAGATTTCGTTCTTTCCTCCCATGTAAGTTGAATTTGAGCATGAGATAGTTGGCGATGCTGCATGTGTAACATGACGAACGAGGTCCCACAGTTATTCGACTGGGATCAAGTGCGTAATCAACCCGGCGATAGATGGTCCCGCGACGAGCTCAACCATTCCGTCGTCGAGTTTGTGGCGCCAACTGAGTATATGGTCCGACCCCCTCAACCGGCGGTTTATGTCATTTTAATCGACGTCAGTCATACCGCTATTCAGTCTGGTGAGGATTTTTCGTGAAGGAAAAGTAGCGGGTTTGCTTACTGCCCATTCCTCAGGCATGGTTGCTACTGCAACGCGAACGATCCTGGAAAGCCTTGACCGCATTCCCAATGAAGGCCAACGCACAAAGATCGCTATTATTGCTTATGACACGTCATTATACTTCTTCTCGATGCCGGTGGGGTTTTGAACGAACGTACATGATGCTTTTGCTAACTGCGCTCAGCCCGGCACCACGGAGTCGACAATGCTAGTTGTTTCGGACGTCGATGATGTTTTCCTACCCAAGCCCACTGACCTTCTAGTTAACTTGTCGGAGGCCAAGGAATCTTTAGAGGCTCTTTTGACGAGGATCAATGACATGTTCCAGGATAATCACACGGTTGGTAGTGCGATGGGACCTGCGCTTCAAGCTGGTTTTAAGTTGATGGTATGTAACGATGTTGGTTGACCGTGCGATACTGAACGGTGCGGGAAGGCGCCAATTGGCGGCAAGATCATCGTTCTGTCTGCTTCGCTGCCCAACGTGGGTGCAGGAGCCCTTAAAAACCGCGAAGATCCCAAGATTTTGGGAACATCCAAGGTAATGGGTACAGTGCACTCGGTGGTTTACTTTTTTTTCTGACATGTTGTTTAGGAGTCGGGCTTGCTTCAGCCCGCTTCGCCGTTCTACAAGACCTTTGCGATCGAATGCTCGCGCGCGCAGGTCTCGGTTGACATGTTCCTATTCAGTGCCTCATATCAAGATGTCACCAGTCTTGGTTCGTATGCTCGCGCACTCCTATGGGCTTGACCTTACCGTTTTGCAGCGTGCCTTCCTCACTATACTTCGGGTCAAACGTTCTTCTACCCTGCATTCAGCGCCTCGCGTTCCGAGGACGCAATCAAGTTTGCTCACGAATTTGGTGAGATCCTGGCGATGCCAATCATGCTAGAGGCGGTGATGAGGGTCCGTGCCTCAAAAGGTTTGTGGCCAATCCCCCCCACAAGGAATTAGACGTTCTCATCAGTGAATTGTAGGTCTACGCATGTCATCTTTCCATGGAAATTTCTTCGTTAGGTCTACTGACCTCCTTGCGATGCCGGCAGTCCCTATGGATCAATCATATGCGATTGAAGTTCAGATCGAGGAAACCATCACTGCACCATTCGTTGTTTTCCAGACCGCCGTACTCCATACGACGTGTTATGGAGAACGCCGTATCCGCGTTATTACGCTCGCATTGCCCACCACAAGCAGCCTATCGGAGCTTTTCGCCTCTGCGGATCAAGTGGCAATCGCAACCTTCTTGGCCAATAAAGCTGTCGAACGCTCGATCACGCACAAACTAGAAGATAGTAGAGATGCAGTCATGCAGAAACTAGTTGAGATTTTGTCGTCCTACAAGAGCAGCATGACGGCCGCAGGTGCGGGCGCGAGTGCTCAGTTGGCAATTTCGGAAAACCTCAAGATGCTACCGCTTTTGGTCCTCGGGCTTCTAAAGAATGTAAGTCATCTGCAGAATGTGTTGGCTTTTTTGAATGTTGAGTGACCATACGACTTTCATCAGGTTGGGATACGCCAAAGCGCTCAAATTCCTCCCGATTTGAGGGCTTACGCGCAATGCTTGCTGACCTCGCTTCCGTCACAACTTCTTGTCCCGTATATACACCCCAACTTCTACTCACTGCATAATATGCCACCCGAGGTTTGTTCTCGTCCCTTCTCTGATGGAACTCCATTGACACTTACAAGGCTGGGACGGTGGGCGAAAATGGAGTCATCTTGCCAGTTCCGTTACCTTTGACTTCCGAACGGCTTGAACGACACGGTCTCTATCTGATTGAAGATTCTCAAAACATGTTCCTTTGGGTTGGTCGGGATGCTGTGCCAAACCTTGTAGAGGACGTGTTCAACCTTCCCAGTTATGAAGTGCTGCGGGGCGGCAAGGTCAGCATCAACAATCGTGCAAGCTTTTCTGACCATCCTTATCGTTTTCTTTTACAGACAACCCTTCCGGTCCTCGACAATGACTTCTCACAGCGAGTAAATGCAATCATCCAAAAAATACGCGAGATACGCCGCGGGGTTTATTATCCGCATCTCTATGTGGTTAAGGAAGATGGCGAGCCTCCACTGCGCCTTTGGGCCCTTAGCTGCCTCATTCAAGATCGTGCCGACGTTTTACCGAGCTACCAACAGTTTATCGGACAGATCAGGGACAAGGTCAACGGAGCAGGCACTTACTAACGGAATCTTGGAGGCTTATTTTGTGAGGGTGTACCGCTTCAGCTTGCTATGGCGGACAGGAGTGATATATTTCAACTTGTTTTTTTTTCTCCGCTTATGTTATTCTGGTGATGTCCTAACTCGATAAGCCGTGAATACACTGAACTAACTTGCCCACCTGAATTCGGGGCGACGCTGAAGATCTTCATGTCGGCTGGCATGCCGTGTGTGTTTTAAGTACCCCCAGCTCGACTGGCTATGACAAAACACCTTCGTGTCGTCCCAAAGCTCGTTCAAGCACCTCGCTAGTAACAGATCATGGAAGCATTTGATTCACTGTACAGGTGCAGCCGTATTCTTGTGACGATAAGAGACGGAAACTTAATCGGGTAGCTATAGCGCACCCAATGGTGATGAGTGATGATGTTAGGTTAATCCTGGCAACGGTCCATTACTTGGCATGGTATTAGCATACATGCCCGTTGAACAGGATTGAATATTGACCATCATCGAGTTGCATAATCCACAACCTTGCTCTGAGGTAGGATGTTTAGATTTTTGACGAAATATCTGGACCCCCAAAGACCTATCATAATGGTGTACAGGTGTAAGCCTTTTCGGTAGTCCGGACCGAAACCCCTGTTTTCTCAGCGCTGGTTGAATTGGCAGTCATCAATGATTGCAGCGTCACGGTAGAAACCCCAAAATCGGTACTACATATTCTCAACCGCGCCCATCAAGTAAATTTACGTAGGTGGGGTCATATGTCAAGAGTAGGCAAACATCCAGACTTCAAAGCGAGATAAGCCAGCGTTTATCAGCTAAACCAACTCACCCATTTTCCAGACTCAGTTCGAGGGCCGTGAAGGACATGATGGAGGAAAATGTGGAAGTTGAGATGGGTGCCATTCAGCTGCAGAGGCCCTCGGCCGATGTTTCGAGCTCGAGTCCTACAAGGGATGTTGCTTCCGCGGACTCGAAGGGCCATGAAAAGGAGCAGCGCAGGCGGGCTCACATCCAATTTGCGACGCTCTGCTGGACATTGTACCTTGCGGGATGGAATGATGGCACGACTGGCCCTCTTTTGCCTCGGATACAACGGGTGTATAATGTAAGTATTCCGTTCGTCAAGGAATTCCGTATCGTTGATTGGTGTAGATTAACTTCGCTGTCGTATCTCTTCTCTTCGTGTTTGCATGCATTGTGTGTCACTGCTTCATCTTGAATATGCATAGCCTTGACACGACGTTTAGGGCTTTATAAGTGGGGCGCTCTCTAATCTAGTGCTTGATGGCCGCTATGGCTTTGGAAAGGTTACTGCGCAGTCTTTCTTTCGTTCCCCGGTGACTTGACGCTACCTGACAGGTTATCGTACTAGGTGCGTCGCATCGTCCGCGGCCGCACAATGCAAATATTTCAAACGATACTTCCATGCAGGATCGCTGTTTCAAGTTGTCGCATATTGTTTTGAGTCCGCTGCTCCCCCCTTTCCTCTCTTCGTGTTAGGGTATGCTATCAATGGTGTTGGAATGGCCCTGCAGGTTCGTTCGCGTAAAACTATTCATTTCACCCTAAACTGAGTACCTTGTCATCTCACAGGATGCCCAAGCAAATGGGTTTGTCGCCTGTCTTCGGGATAACCCAGAAATGAAAATGGGAATATTACATGCAGTACGGTTGTGCATTTTCTGCGAGTGATTTTACCTACTGGATAATTCCAGGCTTACGGTAGGTACGCTTCCAGTACATCTCATCCACTAATCGTCGCGTAGGAGCGGGTGCATTTTCATCTCCACTTGTGGCCACGCAATTCGCCCAGCAACCGCACTGGTCATTCCATTATCTTTGCTCTCTCGCCTTGGCATTGTTGAACACTATTCTGCTAATCGCAGTCTTCGGACTGAAAACTCAAGATGGTAGGATTTTTTTACATAATGTATGGAGCCATCTTCACACTCGGGCAAGAATGTCTCGCACAGATAGGGGTGCCACCCTGCGAGAAGGGTAACAGCGAACGCAGCCGGTTTCGACAAGTATTTGCACTTAGAATAGTTCATCTCATGGCATTCTTTATACTCGTGTACGTCGGCGTAGAAGTCACCGTGGGAGGTATGTCTGCCGGGGTCCTTTTGTGTGTGTTGTGCTTGAATCCCTCGTTTGAACAGGCTGGATCGTCACATACGTCATAGACGTTCGAGGTGGGGGCCCGTCGTCTGGCTACATATCGTCGGGATTCTTCGGAGGTACAGCGTGTTCTTGATATACTTACATATCTCACAACGGGCACTACGGTAGGTCTCATGGTAGGTCGGGTTTCTCTACTATGGGTGAACCGCAAGGTAAGTAAGCGTTCATGTGTGGGTCCCTAGAAAAGTCATGACACCTATAGATTGGGGAGCGGCGTGCATTGTTTATCTACGCCTTCCTTGCTATTGGTTTAGAGTTGATAGTATGGCTCGTACCGTCTCTCGTCGGTGGAGCGGTTGCCGTTTCCGTGATTGGTATCCTCTTGGGACCAATGTACCCTATTGCCATGAATCACGCCGGACGGGTGTTACCACGTTGGCTTCTGACGGGTATGCTCTCCACGGACTATCAAGCATTGCTAGGTTATACATGTGTTCACAGTATCTATTGGATGGATAGCAGGATGCGGGCAAGCAGGTTCTGCGTTGCTACCATTCGTGACAGGAGCCATTGCCTCTAAATCCGGGATAAAAACCTTGCAGCCAGTGTGGGTGTGCAGTCATTTGTTGAGATCCTCCCCTTACCATGTGCCCGCAGACTAGTGTCCATGATGGCTTTTATGACATTTATATGGGCTCTCGTCCCCAGTGGTGCGCGGCGAGAAGACTGATATCTATGTATTTTGCACTCTTCAAATGTTCTACGTTGACGTGAAGACATTCCCTGGATACACGAAATGCGGCAAATATGTACGAGGTCGTAGCATTTATAATGGTCTTGTTTCGGGCGCAGCGTTCTCTCCCCGAAACCGCCCATCTACTGTCCGTGACTCAGTACAGTCAGCGCTGTCCATAGGAATAACAGCTGTGAAGGCATTTTTATGTCACGTTGCATGTGGCTCGCATATACAATTACCGTCGAGTCGCCCACCTAGAATTACAGCGGTTTGCGAAAATAATGTCAGTTAGCAAAATATTTGTGAGCGCGTCGTGAGCTCCGCCCAACAAGGAAACGTACCAAGCTGGCATGAAAACACTAGTGAGACTAACTACCGGCGTCACTCCGACTCACGAAAATCTCACTGGCGACGGGTTGGAACTCGCGGTCGTTGACGAAACGAGTAAGAACAAGCGTACGCTCGCCCAGCACCACAGAAGACCAGGATATAGTCACCTGTGCACCGCTAAAGGACGCGTTTGTTCGAGATGATAGATACTATGTGCCGCAATAACAGTGAATGGGTAAGTACGTTGCAGCACATGTTGTTTACTGCGCCATCTCGTGAGTACATGATGTAGTTCGGCCACCACTAGTAGTATGTAGACAAATGAATGCGATGAACGCACATATCCCTACATTCCCATATCGGGAAGGGCTCACGACGCGCTCACAAATATTTTGCTAACTGACATTATTTTCGCAAACCGCTGTAATGTTATGCACCATCAAATCCATCACGTAACGGGTTGATATGAAACCTCCACCATACGATTGCAACAGGTTGTGGTCATTGACTTTCACCTGCGGTGATGTAGGACATCGTGGGCAAAGTATACATGCATGATAACACAAAGCACTTCGAATAGCTCGCAAGAGATACGTCTATTATGAATATCCGCCTGTCAATGGGGAAGAAACTTGGGGAAAAACAGGAGGGGTAACAAGGTGGACCTGTTGGAGGTATCATTGAATTACAGTGCCTGTCAAATCTTACGGATTGCTTTCTCAAGGGCGGTGATTTCGACGGGTATCTCGCTAGAATTTGCCCCTGTCGGTGGCGTAACAATTGATTTCGTATCGTACGGCCTGCATGTGAACTGTCACGAAGGTGTGTCCCAACGAGGGTAAATACGCACTTATCATGCCACCAAGCTACGTAACGAATGTCTAGGGACTTCACGGAGAGTTCTGCATCACGCGACAACGTGTCAGGAGGAAAGATCTCCAGAAGTGTCGAGTGCGAGGAAGGCGTCATGAACACGCTGTCTGCCAGGTGGTTCCCATGCGTACTGATGACAACCTAGAGGAAAACGGTATCGAAACATTGAAACGTATAGAACACGAACTTGACTCTTACCGTCGACTGCAAAATGGCAGTCATACGTTCTGTCCAGGGAGCACTGGCATGAACTACATTCACCACGTAGTTCTTACCCAACTTGTAGAGCATATCAACCAGCGTCCTCGTGGTCCGATTCCCTCAACTTTAGGCCAACCGGATCATCTTGACGGGATAAATAAGTAATCACCACCTTTTGTGATCCTATCCAGCTCTTCTTCATTTCGTGTTCGACCCCGAGGAAAGCTGCCACGTTACGGCGGATAGGCTCCCACCAGTGCTTCGAGGCAGGCAACTGAACGAGGGGAACTGCGAATGGAGGGACATCGTTCTTATAACGCCGTGCAGCTCCAGCATCCGAAACGACCACTCGTCTCAAAAGGAACGGCGCTTGCATGGAGGCGAAATCTTGCCAGTCTTCCCGGAACATCAGCCCAAGTGTGGGGAACGCCGCTTTAGGAAGGTATGGATGAAAGCCGCTCGGGGAACGCTGGCGCGGTAATACAGGGGCAATCATCTCAGGTCTGGCCCCGATAAGCGTGGGTATGTTTGGGTAGAAGATACGTCGAGGAGGTGAGAGGACGAGCGGGTCCGCAGGCGTCGAGAGATGTGTTGAGAGAGCTGTATGTGCGCCAGAGGGAAAAGAGTGTGTAGTTGCCTGGTGGCTGCGTAAGTACAACGCAAGCATACATAGAGGAGACGGACTCGGTTGTGCATCGGTACATAGCCAGGTTACGCCGTGAATTCTGCGTCGGTCGACTGTCAACTTGATTGTCCTAGAGGGCGATGTTATGCTGACTTACAATCCACCATACTGTCCCAATATTTCTCGGCCTTTTTCTGTGGAGAGCACTTGCCAGTCAGAAGGTTGCGGCACTTCAATGGGCTCCTCGGTGGATGATGCAATAGCACTGACGGGTGGAAAAGATGGATCATCAGTCACGAGGTAAACAGTACCATTCAACAAGAACACATGGTCCAGGATGGTAGAGCCTGCACCGATGAGCGAACATTTAATTAGCGGCTGTTGCGTTGCATTTACCTGGTACGTGCTTTACGACCGTGGTCGTCGGGAGCTCTTCGCCCCAGTGAACGTATCCATCGTTTACCCCTACGGTCCCATATATTTCTGGATGAGAATTTGTCGACGCCTGTGCCCTAGATCCCCACAATGATGTGCTGCTGTTCACAGATTCTTGATGCCGCGCCTCGGCATTCTTCGCAACTTCTAACTCCTCTAACGTCCAGTCTCCGTACAATTCCTCCTCCCAGTTGACACTGGCTGCAGAACCGGATTCTTTGGAGACACCTTGAGCCACCCACCCTTGCAGAGCGCGTAATTGCCGAAACGAGGACTCTAAGTTATAGAAGAGGACGAAAATCGTGAGCGAGAAGAGAATTAACGATATTTCTCTGCGGGTAGGCAGCGAATACCAAGTCATTGTAACCGAAAGGAAAGACGCTGACAAGTTCAGAACATATCGTGGCAACTTCAAGCCAGACGACGACCGTAGTCACGAACAATACTTCCCAAAATAGCAAATAAGGAGATCACGATTACGTCGCGGGGCAGCAACAGTAAGTTGCGGAGAGAATTTGTCAAGTCCAATATCGATCGACTCCTATATAGTACAGTTCGCTAGTAAGAATCAGGTTTCTGCCGCCGCCGTGGTCTGTTCAAATCCGTTGCAATGAGCAGCCAAGTCGGAGGTTGTGAACCTCTTCTTCCCCTTTGTGTCCTCCGCGTAGTTCTCATAAAAGTTGTTCTCATCCCTATTGGAGAGATGTTCAAGCTCTACCTCCCCGTCTCCTGCATCAACGCGTCTTCCGGGCCCGTCCCAGAAATGAAAGGCTTGGCTGTGTACGCCATAGGATGTGGGCACAACCTCAAGAAGATCCCCTCGGGCAACCTCGATCGCAGGAATCTCCGACGCAGGAAGGCCAATCAAGTAGGACAAAAGGCAGCGAATGACGGACGAATGTCCGATGATCAACAAGTCTTCCTTCTCCCGCTCCAGTTCGATCAAAATCGGCTCCAAACGCACTTGTGACCAATGTTGCTCTAGGCACATCGCATGTACAGAATCGCGTAGGGACTCACCTGACAAATCATGGTAACTTTCTGCTCGTGGTGCGCGGAATGCATACGGATCCTTCACGAATCTAGCCCACTCTTCAGGGTAAAACTTACGGGCTTGGTCTGGAGTGAGGCCATCCCAAACACCCGGATTGATTTCGCACATTTGTAGCTTTTCAATTACTTTGACTCTGGGGGTGGACTCCCTATCAGATGTGAGGAATGGCCACGCCGTATGGTGAGCACGCCGCCGGGTGGAGGTCCAAATCTGCTCCTCGGTCAGAAACTCGAGGCATGACAGAGACCAAAGTCGCGCACCACAAGTCGGCGCTCCTTCGGATCGTAGCCGCGTTGTTCAAGAGATTTAGCACGTCTTTCAAGGAACAAATTCCTTCAGTCTCTCAGAATATTCCCAGCCAGCAGGCGAGAGGTCGGAATCTGCCTTATACGAGTGCTCAATCAGCGATTGGCCGGACTGTTCAGGATGAAGATTAATTAAGGAAATCATCAGCAATGCCAATCTGGGTTCCTTACACGGGCGAAGTATATCATTCGGAAACGATTGTGGATATTCATAAGGAAGAAAACTATACGTGACTGTCGAAATCATATCGTCGTCACTCCGTGCGATTTTCAGAGCGAAAAATACTGACTTGTAGATATCCACGGATTTTCTGAAGGCAATGAAATTACACGTCAAGAAACATAGAGTTGGCGGAGAAAAACGCACGTTCACCATTATTTTCTCGCCTACCTGGACGACGGTGAGAGTGCATGACCCTTTTGATTTTACACAACGCAACCTACGTTAAATATGCGGATATATGGCCATTCGGTTTCCTCGATGGTTTCATAAGCTTGCTCCCGGAGACGAATGCGACCATAATAATCTTCGACGGCTTTGTCCTGGTCCCATCCACGATACTATTCGGGTTCAGAAGAATGCGCGGATGTCAAAATAACGGGCGACGATACCCACATCGGGGGAGGAGATTTTGACGTTTCGTATATTAGTCTCGATTATTTCTTTGTTATCGCAGACGGATTCTGGGTCCCGTCAGTCAACGTTGCTATACGGACTTCAGCCCATTCACAGAATACATGCCCTAGCATGACTACATGGATCCCAAGCTTGTCAAACTTTTCGGCAAGGGCTTGTCGATTCTTTCTCAGTCCGTTGTTCGCGTCATAGATGACGACCTGGCCGCCCCCTTCGAAGAACTCCCATATGAGGTTCTCACACCCGTCCGAAACCTTCTTCCGAAGTGCTAGTGTTTCTGGACTTTTCTCCCCTGGACGGATGAAACCAAAGCAAAGGGGGTAGATGTATCACTTCTATGCACATCGTACTGTTACGACATAACTCACCGATACTGAAATAATCTGGCGGAAGCTTCTGTGCGCCTCCAAGGGTTTTACGGCGATAATCGCCTAGAGAGACGACAGTCGTTTTCACGCCCATCCACCGCAGATATCGTTCGAGTGCGCGGGATATATGAGTCTTTCCCCGCGCTGGAAGCCCCACAGTCATGATCAGAATTTTACCTGCATGAAACAGGAGACCAGACGCGGTAGTGTACAGAGGGGCTGCCATTAGTAAATTGTGAAGTATGAAGTTATCTACTATCGTAGGCGCCCCTGTCGTTCTTGGGAGTATCACGTGACTAACATTCCGGACTTCGGGACCTGTGCATGCACGGGAGCAGTCAGACCGGTCAACTCTACATCCCACGAGTCCTAAGGATCCATCGACACTGACTAGGTAATTAATGCAAGATAGTACTTAATCACACAACAGCAAATACTACGGCTAGAAGGGTGCTAAGAGCATCTTCCTGGGGTCCTCAATATACTCCTTCACTTTCACTACAAAAAGGGTCAGAACGGTAAAATGGAATAAGAGGACAGATTTCTGACCGAGGAAAGTCACAGCATCCCGACCATCAAGTAAACGGTGGTCGTAGGTGAGGGCGACGATCATGATCGGTCGGATGACGATTTGTCCATTGACAACAACTGGCCTTTCCTTGATGGTATGCATGCCAAGGACGGCCGCCTGAGGAAGATTGATGATCGGCGTCCCAAATAGGGAACCAAACACTCCACCATTGGAACTAGTAGACCTGCGAGTCAGTGAACTTGGGGAGGACAAGACAAGGGCTTACATTGTGAAAGTGCCTCCTGTCATGTCTTCAAGGGATAGTTTCCCGTCTCTGGCCTGGATATCGCATTTGAGACCGAAAGCAGCAGCTCAACAGACCGAGTAATTACCTTCTTACCAAGGGCGGCGATCTCCTTCTCAATCTGCAAGAAGCCGAGGCTCTCTGCATTCCTCACGACAGGCGTGACTAGACCTTTAGGAGTCGCGACGGCAACGCTAAGATCGACGAAGTCACGATACACGATTTCGTCGCCCTCAATAGAAGCGTTGACCACAGGTAGTTCTTGCAAAGCCAACGTACATGCGCGGGCGAACGCGCTCATGAAGCCAAGTTTGACGTCATGCTCTTTCAGCACCTCATCCTTGTATTTCTTGCGCAGGTCCATGAGCGCAGACATGTCGATTTCATTGAACGTCGTGAGCGATGCAGCCGCGTTCTGGGATTCCTTGAGTCGCTCAGCGATGCGCAGACGCATACGGCTCATTTTCACCTAGGTCCAGGTAACCGTCGATGAAGATATAGGAAGGAGCACAAAAGAAGTGAGCTCACTCGCGTCTCATTGCGGCTCCCAGGTGCTTTTGAAGACGCGGCAGGGGTTTCCTCCTTTTTAGCGGAGGTTTTGGCGTCTTCCTTGAGTTCCTTCTTCGATTCTTTGGGTCCATCAGAAGGAATGCCACCGCTTTGCTTATCAACCCCAGAGGGCTGAGGCGGGGGTGGAGCGCTTTTGTCGACTTGCTGGTCAACAGGTTCTTCAGAGTCCGACTGCTTTGACGATGGAGGTAACTCTTTTGGACTTTCGCTGGTTTTCGAGGAGGCTTATGTGACCGAGAGATCGAGTGAACATGTTGGGTCGCGCAAGAGGAACGACTTACCCGCACCAGCCTCTATCTTGAACAGGTCTTGGCCAACAACAACGGTGTCCTCCTCATTTGCAAGGGCTTCGACAATGGTGCCAGAAACGGGAGCATTGACAGTGACATCAATCTGTATTAAGGCAGCGTTAGTTTTCGCACGACGTGGGGTGTGTGGAGAGGCCCGAAGGATAGGGGCTGCGGCTAAGATGATACAAGTATACTGACCTTATCTGTCTCGATGGTGGCGACCTCTTCGTCTGCCTCGACAGTGTCGCCGACCTTCTTCGACCAAGACCTGAGGGTGCCCTCGGATATTGACTCCGCCATCTGCGGTACTTTGACGGTCTCAGCTGCGCGGTTGCCAGAAGTGAGACGTCAAGGATGGTTCGCACGACCGGATGCGTCATGGCACTACTGACCTTGCAAGAGACGTGAGGTATGGAACTGAGTGCGAGTGAGTTGTGTTCCGGCAACGTTCCTGTGGCTAAAGTGGATTAGTATGTCTGTAGGGCGCCCCTAGTAGAATAGCTGGATGAACCATAGTTTGGAGAGAGACGTCTGTGAACGATTACTTGCACAAAAAGCGCGGCTGCGCGCAATAGCAATGGCACGTTTCGATAGCATGACAACCTAGCAGGCTGTGGTTGAGGTTGGTGAATATTGTCGAGGACAAAACCGGGACTCAATCGACTCGGCAATACATAATACAACACAACACAAAGCTGCTACTATGTAAAGTCAACGCTGAAACAAGGTACAGCATTATGACGCAGCTACCGGTGGTGCTAGGTGTCATGACCACTAGGACAGTACAGCTGGCTGAGATAGAGCCCTGGAATAGCACCAATGGCGCCGCGACATCGAGTCATACCTTCATATTGCGCGCTGACTCCTCGTTGACAACCCCCCCGCCCTCCCCGGTCGCCAATACGAGGGCCCGCGATCAGCCTATACTTCCCGCCCTTCATTTTCTGTAAAACTTTGGATACGATCAGCGCCGCACCCATGGGTGCCCACAATGTTGCGAGGCAGCTAAGTTTTCCTTATCCGAATGTGAACAACTCCGGCTGTTCCAACCCTCGCGAGGGATGAAACCTCATGGGGTCGAAATCGGCCGGGTTGTCCCCATACTCGGATGATTGTGCACCGCTTGTACGTCAGCTACTTCTAACGTCGGCGTGAAAGAATCTATTCCATCCCAGAGTCGTTCTAGCCCAGGGCGATGCGTTTGGTGGGAGGGTGGAGGCGAAGACATTCCATCATGACCATTTTCATGCTTGGTTCCATGCTCTCCTCTGGAAGAACTGGAACTGTTCCTCCGTCGGATGGTCGGCAAAGGTGAGGACAATGTCAAGCAGATTGTCGCCGCCACTGCAGCATACATGAGATGCTGTGACAATGACAACACGCCACATTGTTTCATACGCGGGAAGGATGAGATTCAGTGGGTTAGGGTAACTGTCGTGGTCATAGATCCATCTTCTAAGGCACCTGTTTGCTCCGTCGAGCAAGGTGTCAAAACAGTGAGATCTTTGTTCTTGGACCACGCCAGCGTTTGTTAATTGGGAAGGCCCTTCTGGCCGGCGAGTATCTAGTGTTGGATCCAGCATATTCCGGGTTGGTAATCTCAGTGTCGTCTCGCTTCTACACCATCATCCATGATGGCGGTCCTTCCGTTGGTCCGAATGATATCTGCGGTGGCTGGTCGTTGGCGGGGATGCTCGACGACGCATTTGGTGCCACCGAGACAGAGGCCACAAGAGTCGACACCGTCGATCGACTGAACACCGCAGCGTTTAATGCGCTTAGGAACGCAGGCACGCGCAATCATACATTGGAAACAGTGACCGACACTAAACTACATACTATTCACCAAAATCCGATCACGGGCGTCCGTCCACGTGAGAAGGGAGCTGGATGTCCCGTTGTGAGGGTGAACACAAGTGGAGTTGACGGTAAGCTGGTGATCTGGAACGTGCAGCTCAATTTCCTGTACCCGAATGTGCATAACTCGGGCTCCAACTCTTGCGAGGGATGAAATCTCATGGGACCGAATTTGGCCGGATTTCCCTCATACTCGAGCAATTGATGCACCCCTTGTATGTCAGCCACTTCCGACGTCGGGGCAAAAAATCTTTTCCATCCCAGAGTCGCGGTATCGCAGGAATGTCTTACTAGGACCCTTCCTGTTTCATCTACATGTCGCTGGGGGGGTGGTCCTCGGTGTTCCCATTGGTGAACTATCTTGTCCCTCACTTGAAAAAAACACGCGGCGCGTCTGTCAACTTCTCTAAGTGTTTGCATGACTGACGGAGCACTGTAATGCCCATTACTCTACGACGTCCTCTGTTGACGTGTGCAATCCGTTGCTATTATTACGCGTTCCATGTCCCGGGTAACAAGCATCGTGAGGATACGGAGTACTGGCTCCTCATCGGAAGCATTATGATCTCCCCGGACCGCATATAAGAGGAACAGAGGAGGGTTGCCTTCGAGGGTTCGACGTTAAGTCCATCCCTCTCTTCTCATACACTCGAATATGTCGACCTTGACTTTGGCTGCTTTACTCACTCTCGTGACCAGCACACTGGCGCGTACTGTGACGGTGTCCAATCACTGTCCCTTCATTGTGTGGTGGGCTACTCCTCGGACCCTTCGCGGCCACTGTTGACACCTTGCATGCAGGCCTGCGGTATCTTGGCGTCATACCATGCGCTTCCCCATGCTTATGGTTGATTGTAATAGATGTTTACAGGGACTGGAACGCTTCCATCCTATTCTACAGGGTCTATAATACTCTTTTGTCGATTTCTGCCGATATCTGATCTGTGGTTTGCCAGGTGGGAAGCTGCCCCTGATACATCTGTGACCTTCTCTGTAAATGCAAGTTCACCCTCGCTTTCCTTCATTTTTTGAGCCATCTTTTGCAGGTCCCTGACAACTGGCAAGCAGGCAGGATTTGGGTTTGCATACAACACCTCACCCATTAAAGATTGTATTCTGATCTACGTTCAGGGGCGCCGTGACTGCGACTTTAGCACTAACCCAGGTCCGAACTCGTGCCTCGACGGTGGATGCAACGGCGGCTTAGAATGTGATTCAAACACCGGTAGCGTGAAAATCCCAGTATCCTCCCCGTGATGAACCCTTTCTTATATTGCCTCGTTAGGGCGTACCACCTGCCACTCTCGCGGAGTTTAGCCTTAACCAGAACAGCGGCTTGGACTATTATGATGGTCTGTATTTCCTTGTCCCGTACACAATCCAGTGAACGAACCACAATTATCATTTCTCGTTTTAGTGTCTCTTGTTGATGGCTATAATTTGCCAATTAGCATTACCAACAACGTTGGTTGCCCGGTCACAAACTGCCCGGTTGATCTCGGACCAAACTGTTCGTAAATGCGTTACTACGTTGTTGCAAATACCGGGCTAAAATTAATATAGGTCCCGCGCCTCTTATAGGCCCCTTCGATTCGACAGGATTTCCTGTTGGCTGTAAGAGCGCTTGCGAGGCGAACCTTGACGGAGACCCGTGTAAGTAATGCTAGAACGCTTTCATTTACTGCTCTACCTGAACCGATCAACTCCATACTTGCCATGCAGCCAACTCGCCCAACTGCTGTACGGGACAGTACGACACTCTCCAAACTTGTCCCTCTTCTGGTGTCACGTATTACAGCTATTTCAGTATGTAATTGGTTTTTTTCCACATCCTCACAGGTGAACCGACTGCTCTGTAGAGTCGAACTGTCCAAATGCGTATTGTTATGCCTTTGATGACAGCACTGCGTTGTTTACCTGCCCTGCAAGCAACAACGCAGAATATACGGTCACTTTTTGCCCCTGAATATTTCGGAGTGGATTTCCGCAATGATTAAACGCACGTCTCCGTTGTTTGTAACAAAGAGGGGATGTCCTCTGTGGTTTCACGAGTCTTTGGAATGCCGAGGTGCGGGTTACTAGTAATTCGTAGCGAAGCAAGGCACTTGCGTTGGAAAAACAATTGTTGGGGAACTGCTTCGCTAGGCTACTTTCAGTACTACTGATGACTATCTGAAGAAGCATGTGTTCGGTATCGCTAAGCACCTTCAAGTTTCACCAGATTTCCATGGCGACATTATGCGCAAGATAGACAAAAGGGGAGACCGGAACACTATAGTATCCTTCCCCGTTGTACGGAAAGCGCTACGTACTTCAGACCCTGCAGTGTGCATTCCCGTAAAGCCGTAGCATGTTCAATTATATCCATACTATCGCCTATTCGGAGCAGCAAGTACTGCCAGGATGCAAACAGGAACGTGGTGCTTCCTTCCACAGGTTGCATTTCTTGGAGAGGACTGCTAGGAGACAACGGATGACATATAGCATTACATAATACAACACGACAACACAACAAGTCAATGCCACAACTAAGAACAAACTAAGAACCGGAAGTCGAGGAAACAATGTACAGTGATACACGGCTACTGGTTGCGAGTGCCACGACCACCAGGAAAGTATAGCTGGCAGGGGAAGAGCACCGGAACAGCACCAATGGCCAACACGGGGGCCGCGACATCCGGTCACACCTCCTTATTCCGCGCTGACTGGACGTGGAGACGGCGGTCGGGCCACGGTGACTCGTTGACAACTTCCCACCCCTCCCATCCTCCGCGATCGCCAATACGAGGACCTGTGATCAGCCTATACTTCCCGCCCTTCATTTGCTGTAAAACTTTGGCTACGATCAACGCCGCGCCGATGGGTGCCCACGATGCCGCCGGGCAGCTCAATTTCCCATACCCGAATGTGAATATCTCGGGTTCCAGCCCTCGCGAGGGATGAAACCTCGCGGGGTCGAATTTGGCCGGGTTTCCCCCGTACTCGAGTGACTGGTGCACCGCTTGTACGTCAGCCACTTCCAACGTCGGGGCAAAAAATCTCTTCCATCCCAGAGTCGTTCTAGCCCGAGAGATCCGCTTGGTGGGAGGATGGAGACGAAGACTTTCCATCATGATCATTTTCATGCTAGGTTCCATACTTTCTTCCTTGAAGTACTGAAACTGCTCCTCCGTCGGGTGGTCAGCAAAGGCAAGGACAGTGTCAAGCAGATTGTCGTCGCCACTGCAGCATACACGAGCTACTGTGACGGCGACAACACGCCACATTGTTTCATATGCGGGAATGATGAGATTTAGTGGATTGGGGTAGGTGTCACGATCACAGATCCATCTTTCAAGACACGCATTTGCCCCGTCCAGCGAGTTGTCTTGGTTTAAAAGAGTGAGATCTTTGTTCTTCGAGTACGCCCACCGCTTGTTGATCATATTAGTGACGAAGCACAGGTCTTCTGCATCAGAAGATTCAGGGTCGGCCTTGAAGAGAGCCACGAGGATTATCCTGAGGGTAAGGCATTGGATGAACGTTGCGTAGTGAGTTTCATGAGCGGGGAGTAGTTGGGCAATGGCGCCATCTGTGGTTTGTTTGAACCTCCTCCAACTCTCTCCTTTGGATGAAAGTTCTGAGATGATGAGCCTTGCTTTGTTAAGGAAGGCATGATGCACTTTAAGGTCACTGCTGACGAAGGTGTTTGTGATCCCGAAGGCGTGAACAAGACGCTGATTCGGAAAGGCGCGCTGGCTTAGAAGATCAGCCATAGACGCATCTACGGGTTTCAAGAGTCTTTTAATCTCGGAAGAGCTGCTGTAGACTCGTTTGCGGCGCAGTGTGGGGTACACAACCCACGGGACGAGGAGTAAGAGGGCGACGAAGGTGGTGAGAAGGTTCATAGCGGGGTTTCCGAAGGTTCGAATCTTCAGTTGCAGTGGGTCTCCGGTTATTTATCCTGCCTCGTTTTCATGGACCCACGAAGGATACTAGCTTCTGGCCAAGTTGATGGAAGATAAGAGTCGGGTATTCTGGTGACTTCTCCTGCGGAAGGGGAAGTCTGGATGCGCAGTCCCATTATGAGTTCGAGTCATGATGCCGCAAGGTAAACCAAATTGAATCGAGGTGCAAAAGCAGGCCCTCAGACCTTCATGCCGCAGTTGATGCCGACGAATTGTGTTTTACTGTAATTACTACATACGTAGAGTAGAATTCAGAGCTAGAATTTTACATCACTGCAGGCAATATCGCGTACAAGTTAGTACTAAGCTGCCAGTTGCAACGTTCCTCCTGCTCATGTCACTAATACCTTCTTATCCCAAGTTCCGTTACCGTAATAGAACTTGCATGCTGTTCACGGGGCCAGGGGTGTTGCTATGACATCTTGAGGTTCAGGGCTCACACAGAGCGGTCGAGCCGTGATGCCGCCCATTCTGGTATTGCTTGGGGTCTTCTCTCCCTGTTGCTCATGACCGGGGATCAGTGAAGGGGCCCTCGTCAAGAGGGGTGGCGTGTACAACGCGGTAGGAGCACGACCGCGTTCGGGTGGCGTGGTCCACACACGCACGGCACCGTCGTGACTGCCAGTGGCAAACATAAAGACATTTTCGACCGCCCGGTTCCAAGCCAGACAAGTCAGATCGCCGCCAAGCGCTTGACCATGGATATTGTGGAGGAGAATTGCGGAGTCCCTGTCCCATATGTAAATATCCCCGGCTGTGCAATGGATGAGTGGCGGGGATAACAGAGGACAGACATGTACGTACCTTTACCAGCGCAGAGCACGAGTTGATCGTCCTTCCCCCCGAAATAGCCATGTCCTGCGAAGTCAACCAGCGTCTTCGGTACGTATGCATGCCGAAGCACTAGGCGTGCAGTCGTAATCATATTGACGGTCCGGTCCTTCACCATTTCCAGTGTCCAGAGTTGTGGAGGCGCCTGTTACGCAACCCCCACACGCGTTTCACACATGCAAGATGCAATTGATGTCAAGAACAGTTGCAGTAGGGGAACGATGACAGACCTTTTCGTACGAAATCAACACGAATCGGCCATCCCGGGACAACGTGATGTCCTTCACATCATGCAGTACAGGGGTTTGACTGCCAAAACGGGTTGAGAATCAAAACACTCCAAACAGGCCGATATTGCACGTACTTTTCGATCTGTTTCGTTTGCATGTTGTAGACTGCCGATGGTATTTGACATCAATTTTCAATCCAGATGAAGGTGTGACCAACCTAGTAGTTGCTTCTCTACCCTCGATTTGCTTGGCTGTAGTCCTTCGGGTGATGACAAAATTGGACCGGCACACAGAAGGCGAAGAGAGTCCGGCGTGACAGCAAGGTCGTGAATCAGGACACGGTTGAAAGTGTATTTGTCTAACACCTAGTCAAAACCCAGTTAGCACTCCCCGGGGCTGACAGACGAAAGTTCACTTTTCCACTGAGATCCTGGATAGGAAAGGTGCTTAGAGAAGGATGTATACTAAGAGTCATTTGCCGCCTACAAGTTTGATAACCTTGTTACCTTCTACAGACATGAATGCTGTGTGCAGGATAGACGTAAGCGTACGCAACGAGGATATCTGTGAGCCTACCATCACCACTGGGCAGCCATGTGACAGCCTGTATAGAGGCCTTCCGGTTGATTGACCTACGACAAGCCCCCTCCTGCGCGACTAGTTAACAATTTGTCCCCAGTCAGTCGCTAAGGGAATCACCTCAGTCCACACTTTGACAACTCGATTAAATTTCGTTAACAGAAGATCGCCAGAGGGTGACCTGATCACGTTGAGAATGCATGTTTAGCAAAGATTAACAGATTTTCGATGGAGCGCAGTATATTTACCAAGCAATCTGGCTGACAAAACCTTGTACATGAGCAAGTACCCGATGACCCTCGAACTGCGGCTACGGTGGGGAGTCAGTAATCAAGCCAACACGATCATAGAGAATCTCGCACCCAAACTCTAAATATGGCCGATGTCCGATCCCAACTGGTGGTAGCCAAGAATTTTCCGTTGGGCGAAAACTGAAGACAACGAACAAGACCAGAGTGGGCCAACAGATCTTCTGTCAGCTGGAGAGTCTTGAGCTTCGGGATTAAATTAGTGAGGCGAGAGCCTCTGATCATCTCGCTAACACCGCCTTCTGAGCCTTGTCTACTCTTGGCATTGAGCATGGCATTTGCTTCAGTTGACGCACTCTCTGCGTATGCCACGGACGACAAGGTCCCTGTCAGGGCAGTGGACGCGGGCGGTTCCAAAGAAGTCGTGCGTGCTCGGGTTGGTGAAAAGGGGAGATTTTTGAAGCATTATAACAGAGCGAACCGCCTGCACGAAACGCTCCCGGGGAGTAATGGGAGTATTTGGTGGTGCTCCGCTGGATTTGTTCAGCAGTTCTGTACCAATATTCGCGTTAGACGAAGCGTGCCCGTGAGAGGAACCGGTCCACGAGTTGGCATCGGCAGCGTCGAATGAACTTCGCATGTCGATGCGGTTAATCTTTGATGAGCTTGGAGGTCCGGATCGTAGTAACAGTGGCGCCGAACTGGATGGCGCAGAGGTACTAGAATCACTTGTTTCCGCAATCAAGCCAAACGTGGGAATGGTATCCGGAAGACTTGCGGCCCTGTCGTTGTGTCGAGTTCGTTGGACCCCCAAGTCTGTTCCGCACCCTGCTGTGGCCCAGCCATTACTCTTCCCGACCAATCTGTTGTAGAAGTTGATAACCGCTGCTCCAATCCATCGACAGCCTCCCCGAGCCCGTTCCCCAATGGCTTCCAGAAGGATGCGCATTAGAGTAACTCCCCTCCAAAGCCAAGAAAACAAGCAGACCACCCATAGGAAAGGCGGCGCTTCCATCACTCCTGCCCAAAATTCAACCGTGTCTTCCCAGGCTTCTCCTAGAACATCGGCAAGCCACTTCTGTCCCCTATACTTCAAGAATGTCCATCTCTCACTTGCGAACCAAGCAGAAACAGCAGCCAGCCCAAACGATGTGAACGCAGTAAAAACTGTCGTTATTATGGATGTGATTTTTCCCTGGCGGTCAAGCAGATGGAGGGAAATAGTAGGCGTATAGCGAACAGATCAAACTTACCTGATTGGTTGCGTACGTGAAAAGCACAAGCCCGACAGAGAAGCATGCGACAGACATGACAAGGAAGACCAACGGTGAACGATGAATCCATATGAAAACCCACCATGGCACGCGATGGCCAGGCGAACGACTATGATCGGTCCGTCAGCAATAATTTTGGAGTCAGGGAGGTCGAGCTTACTACATCGCCATCCTCCAACTCAGACCTATAAGGCTATTAACGGCCGCTGCGATGCTAAGTACAAGACTCGAAAACCAAAATGCATTCACACCCCTTCCTAACATAGTCGAGGTGGAATCATAGGAATTTTGAAGAATAGTAGCAGTAACACCACTGAAGAAGGTTGCAACAGTAGAGAGCGTTAGAAGATTAGACGCTGCATGATTTTGGGCATAACGAATGGTGGGGACGCCTTCGAAAGTATGTTCCAGAATGAGTGGAGAGTCCGATGCACGTCAGATTTGTTGAGGTGATACAGAGAAACCAGACAAAACCCACCAACTTCGATGAACATGCGGAGTGTGTTCGTAATCCTATCTATGTGACCTCCCATTTCGGAAGCTAGATCGTGGATATATCGTTGGACGGCCGAGTACTTAAATTGACCTGGGAAGCTAAGCAATAGGGCGAGTATATGGCGTCTTCTCACTTACCTCGGTATGTTCGAAGACAACATGCCCAATACTTGAATCGATGTGTTAGTCACCGTTCCATAAACTTAGCTTTGATATGTCACCTTCAAATCACCTTCAAATGCTTTGATCGAGGTGCTCACTGCTTCGTCCGTAAATTCCGGAAATTCGTTTAAACGATTAAGGAAGGCAATCACGTCGGTTGCGAAGACTTCCAGATGCTCCGGGAAATACTGAGCATCGAGAGTGGAATCCCAAAACGGAGGAGCGGTGATTTTATCGTGGCGTACGGAAGGCGTCGCGAACGTCCAGGAAACACCGGGACGCTCCGGTTCGCATGGCTCTAAGTTGGTCCACTTTTTCCCCTTTCTCCGCATTCGTCTCTTCTTCATTAAATTCGGATTTACGAGGGTTTCCTTCGGCTGCCTTGAAACCTTCCTGGGGAAAAGATCTGCAGCATTTTCTCGGAAGAGGAATAGTATATTGGCGAGACATTCACGGAGGCGAAAGGCAGTAGAAAGGATGCCAACGGAGGACCCGAGTTGGCGAGCAGCATTGGCAAAGTTACGGAGCTACAGGAACGTGACGGTAGAGAGAAGACACCGGCAGACATCCACGTTAGCTGCAAGTGATAGAAATAAGACAACTAAACCAACCTCTTGATCGAGATTGTTAATCCGCCTGAGAGGTGTGTAAGCACAAGTATTTATGATTGTAAGAAAAGGATCAAATACCGGGCGCTCACCTCTGGAATTTGTTGAACGATTCTGCGCCCTCATTTTGAATCTGCTCGTCTAGAGCGGCTTTTATAGACACATCTAAGACATTTTCATGCTGAAAGCGAACACAGATGGCTCACAAGCACCCCCATCATCCTCCAAGTTTGAATTTTGATTTAAATCTGGATGAATTCATTACAGATTCGGTCAACCACGCAACGAAGACATCCCGACCTTGTGTACGGAATTCCGACTGATTGAGCTCGTTAAGAGCATTCAGGAGGTGGGCTAAGGTTTGCCGTTGTCTGATTCTGACTTTTTCGTACGGATAGTCGTGCGTGCGCTGGTCCTGTAGGCGAGGAAGTAGTCTTTCGGGGCTATGGTTGTGCATATGATGGTTGTACTGGGCCCCTGGATCTGGTTGAGTGGTTAGCCTAAGACTCGGAGCTCAGGTCAATGAGCGACAACAGGAGAATTGCTCACGGCGCTGCATGATGTTCTTCCTATTCTCAGTCGCAGAGGTTCACAGATGAACCAGAGAATTCCAGCAGCTACAGCAAATGTGATGGGGGATCCCGTCAGGGTAACTATTAAAGGGAGGGTATAGCAGCCAAAGATACGACGTGGGACTTCGGCTCTGTCCTATCATGAAACTCTTGCACCCACTCCGTCTGGGCGATCTCCGCTACCTGACCGCATCAACGAAGAACACGAATGAAACATTACGGCGAGTGAACCGAACTAGCACTCGCCAAGATTTGTGTGATACCCGGAGAGCGAACATGAGGCGCACTGATGGGCCCACCCAGATTTGCACCGGAAGAACCACAGCAAACACGGCCCCATGGGAGTCGCGTACGTGTCGCGGACCTGAAGACTTAAGATCTCACAATGGAACGCTTGTGATTAGATGAGTGCGTACAGATGTGTAAGCCCCACCCCAGAATGCAGGATCCCAGTCGGCCCGAGTTGAAGACACTGGATAGCACCATCAGTTCACACCGCAGTCAGAACATCAATTGCTCACCACTCTCATCTTCACAAGCCTGGTGCGGAGATCTCGTAGGTTATGTACATTAAAACATGTTCGCCGCGTTGTCATTGGGCTCGATCAACCCCACACCTGACGCTTCTTCTCTTATGTCCAGGACCACGCCGTTGCTTCGAACGACCAGGTGTAGAGTTTGGCATGATGAGCACGTTTATCCTGTGTGTCAACACGGTGGCGGTCAACCTTCAATGAATTCCTTGTCCTTACTTATGTACATAATTGTATGTTTGCCATGTTGTTGGGAAGTGTAGGTATTGGTTGCAATTTGTTACTCGAGTGCCTCCGCAACTTGCCCTCAGCCAACAGGCAAGCCGGCCAACCGAAACGCACACGACCTACATGGAACACCAAATTTAATCCTAAATACCAGAACTGAAATGCACGCTGCCTCAGCCAAAAAGATTGAATTGGTGGTCCCATGGCCGGCAGAACCCACCCGAATTGAGAACGAGTGGCACTGCGGATGGTGGTCATGGGGTGGCCCGGGCCAGACGGATGTTAGCTATTCACCACATGCCCATGCAGCATGGCCTGCCTCTTTGGAATGGTCTCTTTTGATCCGTGATCAGGGTTGTAGGATCTCGTTCCCACGCCGTCGATGCGCTATGCTCTGAATGTCAGGGTACCGTAGGTTGTCGTATTCACCATGTTTCATTCTGTGGAGTGCCCTGGGCAAGAGATAACCAAATTACGCTTGATAGCTTGTCCCCTATCAGCTGCCGGCCTCCTCGAACATACCGTGAAATATCTTTTCCAAATAATCAGTCTGCAAGTAGCTGAAGTATTAGCCGTGCTGACCCAAATCGTTGAGGATGAACTACTACATCTACCGAGCTAGAAACATTACATGGTTTCGTCCGCATACTGTTCGGATACGCTGATGGCTGATTGCTCGTTGATAACACCCCAGACAGAAGCTTTAAACTGTGACAATCGGAGTCAGACCATTTTTTCAACTGAGTGGGAGAAGGGGTAGCCACTAGAATGGACACAAGTCCCATCTTTCTCTCCAGAACTCTCAGGCGTGCGACCAAATTCTGATCCGGCTGCTCGCTCAGCTCTTTAGTCTTTGCCGTCAACTGCAGTTCGTATCAGAAGTGTTAGTGTGCGGCACTGTTTCAGGTCCAAAGATCGTTACATACAAGCCTTACATGCTGGGCCAACTTCGCATACTCCCATAGTACCTCCGATTCAAGGGTCGAAAGACCCGCTTGGGCCTCGTATGGGTTCACATTGAAGATATCAGCATGGTTGGTAGACATGGTTGCATGTTGAGTATTAGTGAGGACTAATTAGGAGAGCGCGTGAACGTTTCAAAGTAGGGTACTAGTAGTTCTCCTGCAGTCGACAGCACCCGGTGGATCGTGGACACGCTGTCTCCGCTCCATTTTCAAGTTGCAAGCGGCGGCATGCACTGGGGAGGGGCTCTCTTCACATTGTGCCTCTCAGCATCTCTGGCGGCCTCCTCTACCAACAACGTACCTTCCGCAATATCTGGCGAACGTTATAACGAGGACCTATTCATCCGACCACTGTTAGGATGGCAGAGTGGCTACCACCTTCACATTCACTGACAGACCTTTTGGAGGATGTACTACGAGATTCAGAGAGTTCTGGTAGATGACAACGTGTCCACCCTCGTTTAGTGCTCACATCACTACTATCCGAACAGGCCAACATTATACGCTGTTTCCACTCACCCTCGGACAAATTCTCGAGGAGTACTCGATTGCTGAACTTCACTTGACCTTGAACTCTGGAAAGTGGGATTATGACCATTGGGGCTATCCCGATGACCCAAGCGTAGGCACTGGCGCAGAGCTCTGGGCCTGGATGGCCGATGGTCCATCGTCAACGTAAGTCAAGCGTCACCCCTGTTTCACTGCACTCCTTGATGTAGTACGTAGGATAGACGAACGCTGGACAGGCCTTAGAAACGCCCTTGCAGGGCTTTTCTGCGCTTCCCTGGGCTCTCTTGACATGCGGCGTACATCCTCACCATCCACTGTTTTCCCTATCTCTTTCTCGCCATCAACCCCACACGCCCTGCGATACGCTAACCTACCGTCTGAGAACGTCTGCACAGAGAATTTGACACCATTCGTGAAGCTCTTGCCATGTAAATCCCATGCAGGGCTAGCAACACTCCTCAATCCTCAGCGCATTTTCGATGCAGACTGGCACGGGCTTAGTATCCACTTGCGGTCGACTGAGAAGGGTACGGAACTGAAACTCGGTGTGCAAGCTGTGTTCGACCCCGTGAGACTAAGCGGGGGCAGGAGGCGAGGTTTGTGTCGTGGAATTTATGACGTTAGTCAATTTATTAAGCTGGATTAGACTGGTCTTTCAGGCTGCTTTTCGATCGCAGTCATTCATAACTCGTGTTCAGTGGCAGGCTCGAGCGTGGTTCGCGTACAAGTACCCGACGGCGAGTCTCATGCACTATCACCGACGTTTGTAGCGGATGATAGTGCTGCGGCCGTCTATAATCTGATAACTCGTACGAAGGACATATCCGTGTTCTTTGTTAGGCCAACTAATGGGGTCCTTTTTTTTTAAGAAGTTCCATTGGACGTGTCTATGTCATGGCCGTATGAGCATACGTTCCAATATAGTACGTATGTTGATACTCCACCCGAGGCAATATGTTGAGTTATCACCAGCACGCGTCCATCAGAGTCGCCTTGTGCCGCTTTCGATCCAGCGCACCCTTCGTGGGTCCTCTCAGATTCACGGTCTTCTGTTTACTTGCACTCACCAACAATGGACAAAATGACATCGTAGTCGGGTACTTTGAGAATCTCCCTGCTCTGGTAACACTTTGGATGCACACCATGGAAACCAAAGTTGATGGTGTGAAGCGGGGTGTGTCGTGTCGTGTGTTGTTAAGGATCCCTGCTCATAACTTTCTCGCAGACGATTTGATCTCGAATGTGACATATCACCCGCACCATGTACTCGCGAATGGTCAAAAAAGTCCCTCAACGTTCCAAGCAACGCTGACCATCCCTGCTGCAAGCACCCTTCACCTTTCCATGGAGGTCAGCCGAGCGTTCTTGAAATATACCGAACATCCACCCGATGCGATGAGAGGATGGGATTTACCACCGGCTATCCTCTTCCCAGTCTGTGACCCTACTATGGGCATATGCGACATGCGAAGCACGAGTGCGGACGTGCGAGGCAGAATGTACACCCCCTCGTTACTCATTGACCTGCCAACGCCCGACTTCAGCATGCCTTACAACGTCATCATTTTCACTTGCACATTGATCACGCTCATTTTTGGGAGCATATTTAACCTGTTAACCAGGTCATGGGTTATTGTCCGCGTGGAAGATTAATGCTCTGATGTCCCTTCGACTAGAAAACATGCCTCTTCTCACGGTATGGTCTTGGATCATATAATAATAAAATTCAGACGGCATTAGATTGCCTTCTAGCTTCTTAATAGGTGACTTTGAATCTCTGGATGGACGCCTGCCAGTGTATCTGTATGTGGTTGTTGTGGACTATTAGTTGGACAACCCAGCATTCGTGATCTGTATAGAAATGCCTTGCCTGCACAAGTCAGACCTGCTCCATTCCTCGTTCTTATCCAGGATACAGTAGAGAATGTTTCAAGCCGGAGTGGAATGCAGTCGATGCGGCTCATAACGACGATCTCGAGTACAGGAGGCAGGAGACATTTGGAAACATTCAGAAATACAGTTACAACGTTGGGCCCCACTCATGCTTCGGATTCACTGGGTCACTTCCAAAACAATTCTTCCAGCGATTTTTCCCTCCGCCAAGCCATCATAGACTCTACAGACGGCAGCAATTAGCCAGTGAGTATGACCATAAGAAGAAAGGGTATCTTACTCCTCCAACTGCGAAAGACTTCTCAACTGGTACTTCACCACAACTTTACCTGCTGCTGCGATTTCGAGTGCTTCAACCGCATCCTGCCTGTTCCCGACATACGAGCCTAATATCGAGATGTTCTATGATTTAAGGGAAGTGAAACTTGCCATCCAGATCTCTAGGATAACCCACCTTCACCACCGTCCAGAAAATAGAGCTTTCAAGCTTCGCACACCCAGGAAGTCCCACTGCCATCAAGGAGCCTCCAGGTCGCAAGTAGTCAATAGCTTGTGCATAGCCGGCGCTCGTGGCAGTTGTCACGACGGCGCAATGCGCCCCTTGTCCATCACAAGTCCTCTTTTATAGCACCTACGATATCCTGCGTCTCTTTGAAGTCAATCCACTTTTCGGCTCCAAGTGTCATGCACAAATTCTTCTTTTCAGCACCAGTGTCTAGTTAAGCTGGGTAAGGACAGAATCAACAATGACATTGCTGACAGGTTCCCCTACCAATTGCAACGACACGCATACCCATGGCGACTGCGTACTGCACCGCTGAAACATCAGTCAGTTGTGTCGGCAATATGCCCATGAAAAGAGGGCTAGGGGTTACCGAGGTGGCCCAATCCACCACCTGCCCCTGGAAGGACAACCCAGTTGCCAATCCTGGCACCAGCTGTACTTGAGGGCTCGGTACACTGTCAAACCCTACATTCTTCATTCATGGTAATATCCTAGGTATGATTGCCGACTTACAGCGCAAAGGATGGACGCTGCGGCCTGGCTGTCAAGGGGCTCGGGAATCGGAGTAACATGTTGAACCCAAGATACCTGAGGTTTACCATACTCTGTCTTCCACGTTCCTCCGTAGACGCACAGCACGTACCGCGTATTGAGAGAAGGTCCCGTCAACCGTTAGACCACTGCATTTTGCCTGGCGACAACCTACAAAATCTATATTAAGCTCTTGTCTATATCACGGGTACGCCACTGATTTCACATTGCTCAAGTCCGGTGCGACACTGCTCGCAGTTAAGGCACGAATTGGCCAGCCATTTGATTCCTACGCGCTGACCAACTTTTACTGGAGAGTCCTTGGTATGGGCGCCAATCGCAACGATGGTGCCAACTCCTTCGTGGCCTCCTATGAGCGGCGTCACAGGCTTAATTGGCCAATCACCGCGGCATGCGTGCAGGTCTGTGTGGCAGACGCCTGTGCAGATGATCTTTACGAGGCACTCTCCAGGAGCAAGCTGCGAAGGTTGCCTCACGGGGACATCATTGCGGATTTCTGGCTTTGCTCCCAGTACGGGCACCACGGCAGCTGTTTGTGTCTGTGGGATCTTGACAGGGGTGGTCGCATCGGGGCGGGTATAGGAGTGCATGGTAAAGCGAAATGTAGGGTTAGATGTGCATAGCGCCGTGGCCTTCTATCAATTTATACTTCCCCTACAAACTGCTGTGGCACACAGGAACCATCTGATGATTCTATGATGACGTCGGCATAGGACCGATGTAAATTTGGGCGTGCTTCCACAAAAAAAACCGATTATGAAGGCCGCGCGCCCTGTTTGACCCTCGTCTGGGAAACAGCTACGCGACGCGGCTGTTATCAGCTCTTTCACACTTGAGCGAGCCCTCTCATTGGCCAACAAGTGTCTTAGCAAGTCTCACGACAAGTCACTTCCAAACGGAGGCAAGTATAACCTGCTCATTCCCTCGGGTAGTTTTGCAGATGCTGGTCCAGCCTGACCCAAAACGCGGGATCAGTTTTGATAACGACTGATACCAGTTAATTACCAGGACGAGTACAGATCCAGGCTGGTCCAAGCCCTTGGCCTGGGCAGCCTACTAGGGGCTCAGACCTTCTAAATTTGGATATAAACTGAGGCACAGCCAATATTACACCGAACTTGAAGCACAGGACTGCGCTCAATTGAAGCTTGAAGCAAAACATGTCTACAGATCCATACCACGCAGTGCAGCAGGATGTTCAGTCAACCTTGCAAACTGTGGTAACCCTGCGCGCTTCCTACTTCCGGATACAGAACATGGCCCACGAAGGAAGTGAAGAGCTCGTCTGGGCGCAAAATGAGGTATGGTTTAGCTCGAACCTCCTGCGAATGAGAAGTCAATCCATGGCTCTACCCAGCTCAAAGCAACACTGGCTGCGCTCGAGGCGGATTTGGAAGCTCTTGACGAGAGTGTCAGGTATGTGTCCAAACCGGCAACGCACTTGTCGAGACACTCACATAAAGTATTCAAGGGTAGTGGAGTCGACTGGTCCGCGTTTCTTTAACCTTGGCGATGCAGAAGTCGCCGAACGTCGAAAATATGTCGACCGAGTCCGTAAGGAGATAGAGGTCTGCCCATGTCGATTGCAGAGAACTCCTCATCTGAATCTTGCCATGCAAGGATAGGCTATGAGGGCTGAATTAGAGGGAAATTCGGTAGCTCCCTGTCGCTCCCGCGTACTGCATGTAACTAACGTGACTCTAGCGAGGCGAAAGAAGCGACTCGCCCTATGGCCAGCAACCACCTGGTGACACCTCGCGGTCGCCTCTGTCATTGGATCACCCCTTATCATCCGAACAGCACCAATGGGAAAGGGAGGAGCAGCAAGTAGGTGTCCACTCATACTGTATGAACGAGTTGAACGGACCATGTCGATAGCTCCTCATTCAAGAACAGGATCGAACGATGGATTCCATATCCGGGACTCTGACGAATCTTGCACACCAAGCTGGGCTGATGGGTCAGGAGATTGACCAACATGTTGAGTGAGTGTCTATTGTTCCTTGTTACATATCGATAGACCTATACATAATTCTCTACTTGCAGAATGTTGGAAGATCTCGAACACCATGTAGATGGTACCGACACGAAGCTCAACACAGCCATGCTGAGACTACGAAAGTTCGTGCGCGAGACAGAAGGTCAGTGCCTCAGTGGCATTACTCTGTGATTCCTGATGACTTCGTACCTTCCACAGAAACGAAATCTGGGTGGTGCATCACTTTTCTGATCATTGTCCTCATCATCTTGTTAATAGCAGTTATTTTCGCATAATGCTTCAGTACATGCATAGGAAGTTCTTTGCTTGTAGAGTAGAGTGGCCACGTCGGCTCATGCCCTAGTATTGGGAGATCGAGCCCCTGTGTTTTGCGGAGCACTATCATAATCAACCCCATCAAAACCTGTTCCGCATACCAACCCATTGTCCCGCAGCACTTGTGTTGGATGTTACGACCGTCACATGTGATTTTGAGAAGTAGTTCTTGCCACTCTTCGCGAACGACCCCGGCGACCGGAGTGGGACTGACTGCGGACGTCTGGGACTTTCACTAGTTGATATTTGAGAAAGCTACTCCAATTTACCCTGTCCCACTTTGGTCTCGTTATCGTCCATTGGCACTGGAGGCGCACGGAATTCGAGCTCAAGCCTGTTCACGCTCATCGCCTTGAATTATGTCTCGCAAACCGTCCTCACAAAGCCGTGTAAACACACGCCAGTCCAACCAAAAGAAACCTCAGACTAGGCTCAGGACAGTCAGACTCGACGAAGGGGGCGAGCCTCCGGCAAAGAAACTGCGTCCTCATAGTGTGCGTGGCCGTGTATAACATTCCAGAACTACATGCTCACTCGGGGTCAACCTTTGTTGTGCAGCTGTCCACCCCGCCCGTGTTTGACTTAACGACCGACGCCACACCCTGCTCAACCCCGCCACCTCCCATATTTTCGCCCGGCTCGCGTTCGCACGGCTGCGGGATAGACTTGAAAGGAAAGGGAAAGCAAACCAGCCCACCAGCATGTCCGGAAGATGACAGACTTTGGGTAGATAAATACGAGCCCACTACCGAGGTTCGTTGGTTCATCCCTACGTCTATTCAACATGAGGTTATATATTATCCTCGCGCGAGAACAGGCAGACCTGGTTGTGCATAAGCGCAAAGTCGAAGATGTGCGCCGATGGCTAGTCGAGGCGTTCGAGGGTGGTCCGTCAGGAAAGTTACGGAAATACAGGGTAGGTACTCTCACTCTCAATCGTTTTGCGGCACTTGATGCGCTCGGCTTCCCCTCTCGCGTTTACAGCGTATTCTCGCGCTGACGGGCCCAGCTGGGACCGCCAAAACAACGACTTTGCGCGTACTTTCACACGAACTAGGTTTTGAGATCATGGAGTGGCGTAATGGCATGAACGAACGGGGTGCCAATAAATACGTCGAAGACCTCGAGGAACATGATTACGGTAATGTCCTACTTTCGCGCTGCCATGCCTCGCAGTTTGTCCAGGCCTGACGCGTGTTTATCACTTCAGGTAGCGTTCAACCTAGCACTAAAGCGATCTTTGACAAGTTCCAAGCGTTCTTGACACGCGCAATGTCATGTTCAAGTATCTTCAGTGCGGGTGAGCCTTCCACTTCCCAACCGCCATCGTCATCACAGGTATCCCGGTCTACCCCGACGCCGTCTAGTTACTCCAGTAATCATGCAACATACCCAGGGTGCCCACAGAAGCGACAAGTGATCCTTCTCGAGGACCTTCCCAACCTCCTCCATGCATCAACACAGGCACGCTTCAAGGCCGTCCTAGAGTCCCTCTGCGTTACAAGTAGCCCCTCTACCCCAGGGCCGCCTATTGTTATCATTATCTCAGACGCTGGGCTGCGAGCCGAGCATCCAGACGACGAAAGTTGGGATGGAGGGAGCGGTGGACGCCGGTGGGGACGGCCAGACATACTGGATATTAGGAGTGTGTTGGGTCCAGAGCTGCTGGCAAGCCCATACGTTACGCGGATCGGGTACGCGTGTGGTCGTTTCTACACAGCAATTGAATTTTCGTCTTATTTATCCCCCTGCGACCTTTGGCTTAGGTTCAATCCCATTGCACCAACATTGATGACGAAAGCCCTGCAAGCGCTGCTTGCTAAGCACTTTGGGCCCCAGGCGTCTACCGGAAAGCCACCCAAAGAAGTGTTGGATGTGATTGTGGAGACATCGAACGGGGATATACGTAGCGCACTGATGGCACTCCAGTTCGCATGCATCTCGCCCCTACCCGGAAAGTCCAAAACGAAAAATTCGCGAAATCGGAATGACACCAAAAGCGCGTTAGCAGTGCTCGAAGCGGTGACGAGACGCGAACAGAGCCTGGTGTTGTTCCACCTCATGGGGAAGGTGTTGTACAATAAACGTGTGTTTTCTCGCCGCGTTCTACGCTCGTGCTAATGGCATGCAGGTAAACATGATCCTCCAAGTAGTCATATGTCAGCGAAAGAGGCTGCGAAGGAGCGTGAAATGGATGATGAGCTCGTAGACTCGTCACCGCTGCCCAGGTGGTTATCCCACCACGAGCGAAAAGCAAGCCGTGTCTCGATTGAGGTGAGTGTATCGCTTATATGAAGTACCAATGTTTAAACGCTCGTCACCTTTCATCACACAGGCCCTTGTTGCGGATTCACCTATCGACTCGGGTCTCTTTGGGTTGTACACCCACCAAAACTATACTCAATTCTGTACCGACATTGAACAATGTGACGGTGTTTGTGATGGTCTTAGTTGGACAGACTGGGTCGGCGGGGTAAGTCATCTAACAGCCTAACGGATCAGTATTTCCGTGTATACCACCCACCTGACTGACCTGGAATACACAGAGTCTTAGCACGCCCTACGCGTTTCCGACGCTCGCTTTGTCCACTTTACACGCTCTGCCGACCCCCGTACCGAGGCTAGGCCAAAAAGTATGCAAGCCCGCATGGTTCGATGTCCGTACGAGAGAACTACAAGCTTGGGATGCAGTTGGCGACGTCGCTTCCTGGCTTGCACACGCCGACACCAGTCCTTCACCCGGTGATGCAGGTGATAACTGGGGGATGGACGATACGGTGTCCATAGGACGCTGGACCCATGCGAACATCGTAATGGAGCTGGGGGGATGGTTAAGGGCCATGGATCGGTCGGGGTTTTCTCTGGGTAGGCATGCACTGCCGAGGAGTCATAAACTGTTTTCGAATCTTCCATGGGCGTCCGCGTCGACGACTGCGGGCGACACGATTGGGGAACATGAAGATATGGAGATACATGAGGGGCTTGAGGAGGATGGGGGCGTCAGGGCGTTGCATCTGTCGAAGGACGAGGAAGACGATGGGAGATGGTGGGCAGAGGTCGATGATATCGAGGATGTGGATTAGCGTAGTATCTAGGCTCATTCGATAATGGCTTGAAAGCTTCTCATTCACTACGCCTGTGGAGCCATACATCATTGGGTAAGGTTCGCTAGTCAGAACGCTTTACTCCTGCATCGTGGACACTTGGAAAGCCAGGATGTCTGTTTTCCGACGACTTCCGCCAACGACTCTTCACCGACGAGGGTCACTGAATCACAATGACAGCCTCTCACTCGCCTATGTCCTTCGTCAAGTCAGTGGAACCCGCTTCAGGCCGCATTCTACGTCCACACTCGACGAGCCCGTCAAGGGTCTTGGTGGCAACTTTCGGGTCTCAACTGTCTTCACAGCCCTACTCATATTTGGGACGGGAGCAACGGCCCTCGGTCTGTGGGTTTGACTATCGTCCTACTGCTCCGCTCACCCTAGGCTGAACGAGCCGTTTTCCGCTCTCACACAGCTACCAGTTCTACAAGTCGTTTACACTGTGGCCAAAGGAACTACGTGATGACCTACGTGCCGGAATCAAGGCCAGGAACCAAGGTGATATCAGTTTGAGTGAACGGTACCTCACACGGTATGTTTTCCATTAGAGTCCAATATCAGTCTATATGGAAGAATTTCACCCTTCTGACACTGTCCGTCATGCCGCAGCGCGTACCAGACAGCTCTTTCTATGCCACCCTCGACGCTATCACCAACTCCGTACCTCAAATTGTCAGGTATAGCGGCCGTACTGGCGGAAGTCAGCCCTAAACGGAAGGCCAGAGAGGTGTTGGAGGACGTCTGGAACAAGGGCGGCGCATCGGCAGACGACTGGGCCTCATACACTCCTACCGATGAGGAACGCATACGCAGGGTTGCCATCGCTTGCAAAATTGCTGAGCTGTCCTCGCATGAGCGAAATGAAGATGAGAAGTGGTTGGTGTGGGCAGTCGAAGAGGTGCTCAAGCTTGCCGGAGCTGGGATGCAAAATAGATCCGTAGACGGCGGCGGCGGTTCGACAGACACGCAGCAATTACAGCCAGCGCAAGTCGTCTTTGCTGAGCTCAAACTGCCTCCGTGGATGAGCAAGGACGATCTAGGTGCTCCGCTGGCTGCTCTTGGAAACGTATATGCGAGGAAGGGACAGATAGAGTACGCATGGAATTTTGCTCAGCCCCCATTAACATCAGCCAAGCGATTCATCTGTAGGTATGCCATGCCGCTGTACTTGCAAGCCATCTCGCTCCTCCTGCCTCCCGGAAGGCAGAATGTGAGCATTCAAGATCGTTGTGAGGGTATGTCACCAACAACCCCCAGATGATCTCAATAGTGATTTTTTTTTGTAGCCGCACAACTCATGAACAACCTATCCGAGCTCATAATGCGTCGGCCGCCCACTCCAGAAATCCGGCATCAAGCTGAAGCGTGGGCCCGCAAGGCTTTGGATGTCATCGAGGGCGCCGGGAAAGTGCCGCTGCCTAAGAGTGGCTGGCTCGGCCACTCCGAGGATACCAGTGTGCGCAACACGTGTGACCAGGTCTTGGGTGTGGTTTTGTTCAATATTGGGATACTCCGTGAGGTAATGACTTCAGTCGTCTTTGCAAACTTCGCTAAATGGGCCTGACTCATGCAAAGATGGATTCGGACAAGAAAGTTGCGCGCGCACTCTTCGAGAAGAGTGCTCAGCAATGCGCCAGAGTGGGTATGAACGAAGGTGTACTGCAGGCTAAAGAAGCGTTGAGGAGGGTCGGACGTACTCAGGACGAGAAGACGTCGTAATCGCTGCGGATGCTACACACAAATTGTCATACGCGGTGGGGGACTTCCCTAGCATGCATTTGGCATCCCTTCATACCGGATTGGCGGCCCGTTTTGAAATGCACAGTGCGAATACTGGGCTCTCGACGTATACACATGCACACACGGGGACTATTTGTAACCACCGAACGACAGCAGTTTTTCCCCAGAGGAACGTCACAAATCATGAACTCAGCCCGCCAGGCCGCGGAGGTGAATCCCCGTCTTCAACCGGGGAGTTCGATGTGTATCTGAAGACTCATGCATCTCACCACATTACAAGCCAGCCAGGCCTGATAGAATGTGCCTGCCTGCGGGTTGCTCGACCACGTGCATCCATTCCACCACAAAGTATGCCGTTAATCGTTCGATCTACACAAGGGAGTTCTTATGCTCAGCCTGTCTGCAACGCAAGTCTAACGTTTGATTACTTCGGTTCGCTGCAGAGGAGTACTGTCCGCCACACGGCCGGAAATATGAACGCAATCTTTTACCTAAACCGCGTGAATTCCTATTTCTGCCTCAACCGCATCTGCTAGACCACCCAGTGTCTCAAAGCGCCAGGCATACGGATGCCTCCCACCAGCCAGGCCTTCCTCTTGCGTAACCCGTATATCACCTAAATTCCCGCCCCTGCTTCCAATAATGCTGACACCATGCCTGCTTATCCAAACATTGTGAAGGCCTTCTTGCATCGACGGCAAGATGTCGTGACGGAGGGAGTTAGCGACGGTGAGAACATGCGATTTATCTACACAGATAGCTGGGTTTGAGGGGAGAGATGGATCTTGGCATGAACCAAGTTGCTGGAGAGCAGCCCTCAGCATCAAAGGGTCGGGTTTGTATGATCCGATTCGTTGGGCCGTCAGGATGAGTGAAAATGGGGACTCAGGGGTAACCGTTGGATACGCGGATCCCCCGTTTGTATATACAGGGGAGGACAGCTGGGCGTGAGTCTTCTCGAAGCTCTCGTCGTCCACGTTGGACAAGACGATGAGGGCGAAGTGTTTCTTAAGTTTGTGCAGAGCAGCGACAGTGTCCGGGAAAGGTTTCCAGCCCGCGATAGACGCACCGAAGCGCACAGCGTCGTCGTCCTCACTAGCAGTACTAGTAAGGTCTGACAGTGTGCCTTGAGTGACTTCTCTCCGAGAACAGACGCTCCGCTGTCACGCCCCGGCACCTGCCGGTGGGGCCACCGCAGTGCCACCGCACCTCGTGACCTGGCCGTGACGTGAACCGTCGCGGTGGCGGTGGCGGGGCCGTCTTTTCTCCGCACGTGACCTGGCCACGTGCCTGGGCTCGGCTTACTATTATGGTAATCGCCTGTCTGTGCATGCATGTCGCTCGCCTGTCGCTCGCCTGCCTGCACTTATTGCGCCTGCCTCTGCCTCTGCCTCTCTCTCTCTCTCTCTCTCTCAGTCGAACAGAGCGCTGATTGATTGTTTATTACGTACTTTTTGTGTCCGATTTCGTTAATTCATTCATTTCCCTGCCAGCTGTCGCTTGCCATCGCACCATCCTCCCACTGGGAAACGATCACAACAGATGCTGGACCCCCCCTCCTTGCTGATTCGCTGCCCACAGACCAGGCGATAATGGCCACTCCTTCGATGGTCCCCTCCTCGCTGTCGAGCTCCTCCAGCGTCACCCTCCCCAAGTTGCCTGCACTCGGCATCATCCTCGGCATCTCCGTCTTCGTCTCCCTCGTTATTTGCTACAAAGTTTACAGCCAATTCTTACCGGACTTCTCCCCCGTCATCCTGAAGATCTGTGCGTGGATCTGCCCTCCCCGGAAAGGCCTATACGATCCCTCTGCACGGGAGTCGTTTTTTTGTGTTGAAGCTGAACAGCTTGACTGTCAAGCAGTGGCAATGGTCAGCCACTCTACCGAGGCTCGATCCGCTGCTGAACTCGAGTTGGCAACCATGTGGGACACCTCTGAAGCTCAATCCACTGCTGAACTCAGGTCAGTAGCCGCATGTGACACCGTTTTCATCCCTCTCATCCTGATGATCTGTCCCAGTGCGAGAGCAGCTAACACATCTGTTGATGGCCATGGACCCTGCTCACTGCAGAGTTGCAAGGGTGTGCTCCCGTTCCCTACACGCCAGTTCAGCTGCAACAGGCAGCCCGAGGTCGAACATATTAACATGTGAGTCAACCTCGAAGGACAGTCGACACCGTTCACTGAACTGATCGTTGGCTGTGGTGCCCTGGGTTTACCATGCAGCAATGTCATGACCGCTAAGGAACTCAAGGTCCTCTGTCGAAAGCTTGGCCTGAGCCAGACCGGTACCAGACAAGTCCTTCTCAAGAGGCTGGAGGCATTCAGCCAGGATCACGATGCCTGGCAGCGGTGAGTCACAGCTTACCTCGTCCTTGGTCTCTCACCAGGTGCTGAGTTGTTCCAATGCAGAGTCCTTCCAGGCGCACGAAGATCTCACAAAGGCCCTCAAAATCATCATGCTCAAGATACAGGTAGCAGGAAGGGCAAGAGAGGCCCTGCAAAGCGGTCAGCAAAACGTCGGGCACTGCTGCTGGGTGGCAGTAGCAGTGATGCTGCAGTCCCATCTGCTACTGAAAGGTCGAAAGACACCCGAACGCAGGCAGAAAAGGCAGCCGTCCTTGACTGGGTCAGTTGCAGCTTCATTTCCATTCGCCGAGTTCAGGATCACTCATGCTGGCACTGTGTCCTTGCAGGCACGAATGACTCTCACTCTATATCCTTACCAGCCTCCCCCGGCTGTTGCAGTAACAACAGGTCACGGTGGCGGGCCACTAGGTGCGCCGTCAGGTATGAGCCTTGCACGGGCCCCTGCAAGTCAATCACCTGGTCTCCCCTCCCCATCTGCCGATGCTCGCTGTCCCTCACCGGCGAGTGGGGACACCTCTCCTACCGTCATGGCTACTGATCCATCTTCTGTCGTTCGCATGCTAACACTTGGTGATGGGACTGTTCTCGCCTTCACACTCGCTGACATTGGTGACCCCACAGCCATGGGATTCAGCAAGGACATCCCAAGGCTCAATTCCATGTGGGACGACACTTCCCCTCACTGGACTGGCCAGTCCACCCTTACCATCAAGGGCTGTCCGATTGCGATCAAATACTGGCCCAAGGTGTACCATTATGCACACAACCGACAATGGAAAGGGATCAAACACAACTGGACATGCTGGAAGGCAAGTATACATACTTGCTCTTGGTCGAAAGTGGGCCTATCTAATCCTGAGTTCACAGTACATTGTAGAGTGCTACCGTCAAGGCACCCCGGATGAGTTTTGGTGCAGGTTTAGTGAGAACGGGAGGCCGATGAGTTACACTCGTATTCTTGTCCTCCTTCGTGAGGCTCGGAAGAAAGAAGATCAGGAAGCTGTGTGGAAAGCGGCAGAAGAATTTGGCGAATCTTTTGATATGCAGTGCATGTACAGAAAAGGCAGCAACATCCATGTCCTGACCCAGCCTCGGGCTATCGCAAAACGGCTGCACAGGCTGAGTGATGGGCATGGCAGGGATGAGGGCGGTTCTATTTAGCTGCATATTATCTAGCATACATAACTCTGTGGTACGAGACATAGATCGTGCATTGTATCATGTGTTTTGTGTCTGTTTTTATTCTGAATCTGTGAGCTCAATGATGCCCAAGTCAAATGTGTGGCCACCACTGCTACTATTCTTCCTCTCAGTCTCGGAATTGCTATCTGTAAGTTCAATGATCTCTCTTTCAGTCTCGGAATCGCTGTCTCTGAGTTCAATCATCTCCTTGCCATGACTTGGCCTTTGGTGTGCAGAACGGCTTGGTTCCTCGGTGTCATGCTTTGTCAGCCCAGTTGTGAGCAAACCTGGGAGTGCAAACCTGACCACCGGATCTGGCATCCAGACCTGGTGAGTGCTCAGTGCTGGGTGAGTGCTGGGTGCGGAATCTGCAAATAATCCAGCCTGGGGAACACCATCTGGCATGCTCAGTACTCGAGCAACACGGCGTTTTGCAGGGAGCACTAATGGCGTGGTGTCGATCTCCAAGCAGTGCTGTACCAGTACCTGTCCTGAGGCAGCATCTTTGCATTGTGAGCGAATACAGAGAACTGAATCGAGCGTGAAGCCCTGCCGCACTGGACATGACTTGGAAGAAGACTCAGATGGACCCTGGGGGCATATGTTACCTAGAGTGTCCAAGTCTGCTCTGTCCATCTGTAGATCACAATTTAGCAATTTAGCATTAATGGTGAGATGACGATTAATGGCAGCCTTCAAATTCATACTATGACATGGTATAGCCTACTCACACCACATAGATTGCGAATACAAACTCCCTCATAGACCAGGTTCTTCAGCTTTCCGAGTGTACCAGAAGATTCAATGGCATGGACTGGGACGGGTGGTCCGCCTCTAGACCACCCAAAGTGGAACTTGCACAGGAAAGCCAGTTGTTCCAGGTCAATTCCTTGCAGCTTTCTGAGCAGCATTGACAAGGCTTGAGGAGGCCCAGGATTGGCACACGTGAACGTGATCGAGGGCTTAACATATGCCAGGACAACAGCAGGGGAGGGAAAGTCGGTTGGAAAGGTGGCGGAAAGTTTCTTACAGCCCATCTCGGTGAGGAGATCACAGACGTGCTTGACCCAAGGTCCAAGGAATGTGGTAAGATCATCCTCATTCACGGTAGTGGTCGCCGCATGTAGCAGCTCATCTCCAACACCATGTTGAGCAAGCACACGAGTTGTCTTCCATCCACAACACGAGAGGCCATTCTATCATGTGACCAATGTGAGTTGCACAGTGCCTGTCAGTGGCCAGTGGGCAAGCATGAACTTACGTCGTAATCTCCACCACAGAAGAGGGCCATTAGCAGTAGCCCACCCTTTGTCAATGCAACAGTGGACTCTTGTGCCAAACCATTAGCGGAATACATTAGAACGGACTTGTCGTTGTCGTTGTCACTGTTAACACACCAATGTAATAAGTTAGTTTGAAGGAGCTCAGCACGATCTGGTCACCTGCCTTCAGAACACAGTTAGAGCACCAAATACCAACGCATCACTATCCTCAGTCCAGACAGCATCAATAACCCCTAGCTGATTGAGGGCGGCTAGCTCTGCCTCTGCCTCACCTGCTGCCTAGAGAATAAATTTGTAGAAATGACGATGACACTGGCAGTCACTGGTCTGATAGGTTCAACCTCACCTCATGTGTCTGAAATCCGAAAGCACTAGCAAAGTCCTTGAAGTATGTTGTAAGCCATGGTGGAATAGTGACAACCTTCTTGCCCCGCTTGATTGCTGGCTTTTGCGGGCCATCGAAGACAAAGAGGACATCAGCTGGGGTGCGATACAGGTGTGCTAACTTGTAAAAGAGCATCCTCAACTCTGGGTTCTGCCCACACTGTGCATGTCCATGTCGAAATGAGTGCTGGCAACTGGCCATCCATAAGCTTTCAGAGTTGGACCGACCAGGTAAAAATACTTAAGTCCAAGACTAGCAGATTATATCAGAGCACCTGGGAACATACCTGGCATCAACACCAATCCTGAACGGATGCTCAGAGCATTTTGTGCCATCCAGATTAAACATGTGGTTGACCATGAGCTCTTGCAGAGAATATTTCTTTGCTGCTGGAGCAACTGCCTACCGAAGCCAAATTTGTGTGTAAAGTAGTACAAATATTCAGCCTCCAGACTTACCTGCCAAAGGCCTGTAACACCCATTATTGTTAAATCCTGTATGATGATGGCAGTGGTCACAGTGATGACACGCCTGTGAGCCCCTATTGCACTTTTGAGTCTGCTATGTGACCAGTATAGTATGTAGTATGCAGCAAGCTGAAACACAAGTAATAGTTAATATAGGCTCCTCAAGTTGTAAGCTTTCCTGTTATCCTCTTTGCCACGTTTGACAATTAGTTAGAGAGCCCTTTTGATTTCTTCATATTGTACATAGGAGGAGAGTAGAGGGTATAGATATGGAGATACCGTGTCCATTAAATAGCATACCCTGCAAGACCGGGGAGGGAACAATGACATATATAATACATTTGCAGCTGTCATCGAGACGGATGGAAAGAGATCTAATATTGACAAAATGAATGTGGAGAGCTAGACATTATTTACCAGACAGCGGGTGATGCAAAGGTCAACATCTTCACCTTTGACAACAAGGTGTGTACATGCTCCATTGGGGAGTACACTGGCGAAGACGATGCGGACATGATTTTGGCTGACAGCTCTTCAATGCCGATGGGCATAGGTGGTGGTGCGGAGGAAGCAGGGGAGGTGGACAACGTAGATTAAGAGAGGGACGCCTCTGGGATATTGGGACGGTGGAATGCGAAGGTGGCGGGACATACACAGACCGTGGAGGATGGATGGCAGGGGGCATGACGGTCGAGAGGCGCAAAAGGGTTTGCTGATGAAGGGGGTGTCGATTTCTTCATCAATGGCAAGATGCAAGCTGGAAAAGGGCCCATCCCTGCGAAATCTTTCCATATCATACTCTCGAACTCACTTAGCATCGAGGGATCCACATTCAGCTCCCACTGTGTCGTCACAAATGACTTTGCTCGTGAGCATAAACGCAGAAATGAAAAGTTGGAAGGCAGACAAGCCACGGGCGGTGGGGAATCGCACCTTTAGTCTTTGAAGACTAGCACAGCAAACATGATGGATGGATGGAGCTTGGTGCGGTGGAGATCATAAGCGATGATACCTGCGAAATTGTCCAAGAACGTCCCACCCACAAAGTGGGTGAGAGGTGGAACACTGGAACGGGCAGGATATGGATATGACGCATGTAACGTCACCAGATACCAGCATGGGGAGAAGGACAGACCACTGAGTGACGAGGGCTGGAGGAATTGATACAAGAATCCCGAAGACAGTGGGGGACTCCTATACAGACCCAAGTTACATGCCAAATTGCCTTGTAGCCATTCCAGTCACAAAAAATGGGCATATCTTGAGGACTACTGCGCAGAACTGGGTGAATGAGGTATCTCCAAATAGGGTTCAGCAAGCGGAATGAACGGACCATAAAGCGAGAGGAATGGCGAGGAGACGGACAAGATATGATGACAAGACCTTGAGGGTGGCCCTTCTCACGAAAATGCAAACAACTCAGGAACCACTTGGCCAATTCAAATGAACCAGGTACCCGACATGGAGCTGTCATTAAGGAGTATCATTCCCCCGCAAAACGAGAGACGCTAGTCAAGCACAAGCACAAGATCGTCCACAGTGTGGGCATTTGAGTGCAGGACAGCGATTTGGGTTGAAAAAATCTTCGCGGGCCTCCATCGCATCATCGTTGACTGAGATGAGGTACTTAACTATCGTGAGGTTAGTGAATTCTTGACTCCAACCTCCCCATTCACAAATTTTCCTCAGAGGCCATCGTCGTTCGATGTGGAGGTACTGGCAGCCTCCCTGCTGAAAAGAGTGGGTGCCATAAGCTGCAGGATCGATGTTGAGGTCCAGCAAGTTGTTTCGGAACATTTCCAGGAACTGTTCAGACGACTTTCGAACCAGATACCATATCAGCCAGCTGATTGGCTTGGAGAGGTGAGCTTCCGATTGATGGAACGCCCACAGGAAATATGGTTTGATGTCTGCCGGTGCAATCAGTCCAAGATAACCTCGCCATGCACGGCTCGCACACACTCACCTCCGGTTTGGTGAGTTTTATGGAAAGGGAGGGTAATGGACATGCCGGTTGTGGTGCTGGCGGCATCATACATGAAATTGATGTCGTGGACTTGAATCTTCAAAACTTCATCAAATCAGAGAAGGCAGATGAACGCAATTGTATAGGCAGCTTGTAAGAGACGATGGGCCCGAGCACCGCCCCAGTCTGCCAACCTGTCATCTTGACCATGATGGTTGGGGTCACAAGGTCGACGAGTGCCAGGCTGGTATGGATGGATGGTCCAATTGTCGGGTAGATGGTTGAAATGATAGAGTTGTGAGAGTATCTCCTGTGGGAATGAGTAGTGAGCTTCCCAGAACCATCACACCAGTGGTATCAACGTAACTGATGTGATTGCACGTGCGCTGATGGTGACTTCGCCAGCTTGGACCTGCAAAGTGTAAGGGAGGGGTATCGGTGAGACCATTCACCACCCATATATAGCCCAGATGAAGATGCATACCTTGCAGTGCCATAAGGCACACATGTAAGATGACACCTGTACCGACATACTTGGGTTCCCCAGCATGGTGGAATTCCCCGGTACCTCTGACTGATGCCAGGGCATATCACCGAGCCCATGTAACCGCCCAAAGGCATAGGTCATCGCTGCCCTCATCTTCTGCGCATGGCCATAAGTGCCTTGTTCCTCAGATGGCGGTTTACTCGTGCCCTTCAGTGTAATTGAATCATACCTGCCAGAGTCAACATCATTTTCATCAGTTTTGAGGCAGTGATAATAAACAGGAGAGGACGGGGGATACGCATTCATAATCCAGGCAATGATGAATGTCGGCGCATCATGATGGGGTTGGTTGGAATAGAACGACTCATCACCTCGCAACCATCCCATGCCCACAAGGAATCTCTGACACTGCTGCATGAGGCTATGGGGATTAAGTTGTTTGAGTAATCTTGTTTTGCAAAGCAAACAGGACAAACAGACCATTTATATTCTGCATCCATTCCCTCCGTCACCCCCTTCGATGCATCTAGTAGCATGGCTTGAAATGCAGAGAATTCATTGTTGGTGTCAACGCTGCCACAGACGGGACCAGGTAGAGTTTGTTGTTCGGAGGTCATGTCGTACGAAACATCAAGGAGTTCGAGGGGCGATGCCTCAGATGGAGATACAGCATGACACAGTCCAGGATAGCTATCGAAGGCTTGCTCAGACATGTTGGTTTGTTGGAGGAAATGGGGAAAGCTGCGAGAGTTGATGGCCTCCTATATATGCAGTGAATTTCCAATCATCGTTAGTCATAGCTAGACAAGCTGGTAACACGAACACAGATGGTAACCAAAACAGTGTCTTGTACGACACCAAACGGCACTCAGAACCCACCCAGGACCATATTTTTTTCCAGCAGGGACCATAGTTTGATTCCTCCAGGACCGTATTTTTTCCGTGAAGTGCTGAGACTCCTCGAAGGAACACCCTGAGTTGGCAGGGAAAGCATGACCACCGTGACCCACCCACTGGACCATTCTTTCGTGAAAAAAGATGTTCTGATCCTGCGACGTGACAGCTGAGCATAGTGCATACTCACCACAAATGGCCGATGTAAAGCCAAGTCATATGACACATCGCCAGCTTCGACACCTAACATCGAAGCATAAGATATAACACGCAGCGTATGCTGGCTTCATGAGAGGTCGATCGAGGGGCTTATAAGCAAGGACCACTCACGACCATCCGTTTAACCTCTGTCCGTTGACCCTACCCCCTACCTCTCACCTCACACTCCAAATACTTGCTCCGTCGCGATCTCACCAGTGTCTTCACTGCGATGGCGCCCTCAGTCTCTTCACTGCCAGTCCCCATCTCTGTCTTGGTGAGTACTTCGATCTGGCCTTGCCGATGGACTCGATGGTGTTGCTGTACACCGAGGACTCCATCCACGGTGTTAGGGAGGGCATCGCCAGTCAGCGAAACTCCTCACTGTTACTCGCATCGCTTGCAGATGCCATCGATCGGAGGCCTGGATGGAAGGGCTCAGGGAGGGGCTGAGGGAACAGGCAATCCGATTGCCCGCAGGGAGTCTGTGCATCGGCACGCCTGCACGCGATGGCCGTTTAGGTCGCTGGGGTGACAGCCCGCTCATTCCCACCGTACCCGTTTCGGATCCGTCACGCTGTGACGGGGTCCTGACTCAGCCGTGACCGCACCGTCTGTTTTCGCGGTCGCAGCTTCACTTCTCGCGAGGCCGAAGCTTTGAAGTTGTTGACATTGGTTGACTCCTCCCCAACATCGTCGACGTCGGAACTGTGCGTCATCCGCCTGAACGCCATCTCTAAGATCTTGGGATACTTTGCAGTAGGATACCGCGTCTGCAGGTTCGCCTCTACGTTCCCATAACGCATCACAAGTTCCTCCCTAGATTCCCCAGGGAAGAAGGGTCCGAGGAAGTCATAGATCCCGGTCTCCCAGTCAATTAGCGTCCCATACACATCAAAGATGAGAGCACGGTGGTCAGACAGTCTGGGCGTTTCGGTGTGTGACATGGTTCGACGAGGCTAATAGTAAGCACTGAATTTGACAGGCTACAGCTTGTAGCGTGCGCAAGCATTGCTGTGTGCAGTCAGCCTTATCAAAGGCCTCGTCTATGGTCGCCGCACCTGGTCGTACCCACAGACATTCAAATTCCACTAGGAGCTTGAGCTTGCCCAGCGTTTGTCACGCCGATGGAGCAGCAACGAGAGATAGAGCAATCCTCCATCTTAAAGCAACTCTCTGATCGGGCATCCGGATACAGTATCAATCTCAACGGTCGAATCAATCGCAATTTGGGAAGGAATCCTCTGCGCGGTGGTACCGCCATTGTATACCACGGTACTTTGATTCCGAACGGTACTGAAGTGGCAATCAAAACCTTCCATGGCACATTGTCAGGGAGCGAGGCTGAATTGAAGGTGTAGTATATCCGATGCTCGTCGCACGAGCGCTCTAGCTGAGTCACTCTCATTTAGCGTATCTTTCGAGAGGTGCACGTATGGTCGAAGTTGCGTCACGAGAACGTCGTTCGCATGCTCGGGATCTCTACAGATTTTGATTTCACAGTTTCGATAGTACACGAATGGATGTCATTGGGCAACGCGTACACTTATGTGCAAACTACAGAGAATGACTTGTGAGACGAAGTGTGTGTTGTTCACCTTGGCGCTACTTAACGTACTATTTTTAAAATAGCTCGAAGACATCGCAAGCGGACTACATTATCTTCACAGTCATGCGTTAGGTCCAGTAATTCACGGAGACCTGAAAGGCGTGAGTGTGCTCGGTCTACCGTTGTCTTTACCTCTAGCCGACACCTGCTTCGATAGCCGAATGTGCTGGTGTCCACTGATCGCCGGGCGTCACTGAGCGACTTCGGTCTTTCCACCCTAAACTTATCTACTTTCAGCATGACCATCGATACCATCCGCGGAGGTTCGTGCCATTGGATGGCTCCTGAACTTCTAGATGACTGCTCTGCGTCAATGGCAAGTGACGTGTGGGCATTTGGGATGACGACTCTGGTAGCCCTCTTGGTTTGTTCCTTCAAACAACGCTTATTCTACCTCTAGGAGTTGTTTACTCGAGCAGCGCCTTTCCGCGATTGTCGTAATCCAGGAAGTGTGTTTGGCAGGTTACTAAAGTGGAAACTACCACCTCGCCCTGCCGAGGAGTCAACGCAATTCCGCCTGACAGATACATGGTGGAGGATTTGCACATCATGCTGGACACGTGATCCTTGGTCACGTCCCACAATGAAGGATATATTAGAGCAAGTCAAGGGTGCCATCGTCTGTCCCTAACCCTTTTGCGAAGTTCTCTGTTTTGACTGTTTTTCAGTTTCAATCTTACTGTGACCGTGATCTCCACCATGTTCCTCCAGCGCTGGAGAAAGAAGGCCGTGACTGGTTCGTCGTATTTAACCCAGAAGGGGACAAAGATCGCGAACGGCTTGAACGCGACCGAGAACGGGAGTTGAGGGATCGAGAGAGAGATCAACGTGACAGAGGGCGTGAACGCCCTCCCGTTGGGAGTAGTGGTCCGAAGCGTATTAAGACTGAGCGTATGAAGAGTGACCGCCCAGGTAGATAATTCCTTTCAAGTTTCGCTCGTTCTCTGCCTCCTCATGCATACTCTACCACCCTCCTTTCCCCCTGTATTCCTGCTGTAGATCATTATAGCCCTTCTCTTGGTGCAGGGCCAACCAAACTACCAGCTCCAGGGGGCCCTCCCACCTATCATGGCCCTGTTTTACCTCCACCTCCATCAATACATCCACCGTACGCCCCAGGACCTGGCAATCCACCACCTGGTGGACCCTTAGAACCAACTCCCGGTGCCTCGAGCGCTGTGGCTCCTGCCGGTAGCACGAGTGGGAGTCAGTTTCCAGACGACCTTGACCCCGTCAATGTCCCTCCAGAGTTCAAGAAGGATGGCTCTGACTGGTTCGCTGTGTTTAGCCGAAAAACGAAACGAGTCCTCGATGTGACCTTGGTGCATACGCTTATACATGAGAGGTAGGGCGAGCCCGCATTGTCTCAGAACAGTCACTAATCAATCTCTTTTAGTGTCGTGTGTTGTGTGAGATTTTCTGCTGATGGCAAATACCTTGCTACCGGCTGTAACCGGACCGCACAAATCTGCGACACCAAAACTGGTCAAAAAACATGGTGCGCCACCAGCATTTTGCGCTGTTTCTCCGTTAACTTTGTTCCGTCTGCGATGATACAGCGTACTAATTGATGAGTCAGCTGGAAAGGCAGGAGACCTCTACATCCGCAGTGTGTGCTTCAGCCCCGATGGGAAGTACCTTGTTACTGGGGCTGAAGATAAACTAATACGCGTCCGTGTACGACTTATGTGATATATAGTTTTCTGACCCTGCTTTACACAGATTTGGGATATTGCCAAAAAGTGTATACGCAACGTTTTCGATGGCCACCAGCAAGAAATATACTCGCTGGGTTTTTCACTCGATGGTCGGTTCATTGTATCGGGATCCGGCGACAAAACTGCGCGGATCTGGGACATGGTCGACGGGACCTCGAAGGTTTTGACCATCAACGACCCAGACTCATTGAATAACGGTGCAGGTGTAACGTCCGTCGCCATTTCTCCCAACGGACAGCTTGTTGCCGCTGGCAGCCTTGACACTGTTGTTCGTATCTGGGATGTTACCACAGGAGCATTGGTCGAGCGCTTGAGGGGACACAGGGACAGCGTATACAGCGTCGCATTCACCCCAGACGGCAAAGGCTTAGTAAGCGGCAGCCTGGATAAGACGTTGAAGTACTGGGACGTAAGCGGATTGCTTACTGGAGGAAGCAAGCGAAAAGACGGAGTTGCAAATGGAAAGAAAGACTTGGAGAAGACCAGCCAGTGTACCATGAACTTCGTTGGCCATACGGTGCGTGGAAAGAGCGGTATGTCAACCGCAGCAACTCAACGTGCAAAAACAGGATTATGTGTTGTCCGTTGCCGTTTCCCACGATGGGCAGTGGGTTGTCTCAGGGTCCAAAGACCGAGGCGTGCAGTTCTGGGAAGCACACTCGGCAAATGTACAGTGTATGCTTCAGGGACATAAAAATTCTGGTGAGTTGGCAGACTCTTCGGACCATGCCGCGAACCTAATTCTCGGCATAGTAATATCGATAGATCTCAGCCCCGCGGGGAACGTGTTAGCTACTGGAAGTGGAGATTGGCAGGCGCGGATATGTGAGTCTTTCACCAACCCTGTGACCTACCTTGTATCAGACTGATTTGGATGCCGGCTCACTAGGGAGTTACCAAACCATTTAGAAGGTCGGGACTTTCCGAAGTGGGTGAACCCGTTGCCATCAACTTGTATCGGTTCTTGTTCTTTCTTGCCCTGTATCCCCTTCTGCCACTGTATTATAATTTGCTCTCGATTGTTATATCATGTTACTGCGCACGAGCTGATCAGTTATTACTCGCCAATGAAGATGAATGTTTTATATCCAGCAACTTTTGCTGGTCTGAATGTCAGGTACCTAGCCCTAATAGTCACCCTTTTTCTAATTCCCTAGACCGAGGATCAAGCCGGTAGTCATGGAGAAACCTACACCGCTGCGTGCGGTCGTGGGTTGAATATTTCTGTCCGTGAGGTCGGTGGAGTTACATGTGGTTGATGTCATTCCAGAATCACCAAGCACTACTTTGTCGGCTAGTGCCACTGGTCTTCGCTTTCATCCAATGTCACCCCTGAGGCCATTCGAACTCAGCAATACTTTGCTTGAGGATCTCGATACTGCAGGTGGTGAGTAGGTAAGGGGTATTGATTGTAGAAGCCACGAACCTATATCCTTCGGCTGGGTTGAGGGGGACGCTGTTTCGCCCCTTGAAGCTGATGGAACATAGATAAACGAGATGCTCATAAAGATGGACCGCAAATTCCAGCCACGCTTCGTTCCAGAAATAGCGATATAGTCGGTCAAGCTTCAGAAACAATATCGTGAGCAGGGTAACCATCGTAGCGAAGGGCCGATAGCCGTGCACACACCTCAGATGAATAACATACTGGCAATCCCAATTCGGAGGGGGAAAAGCCGAGAGATGAGTTAGGGCGAGCCATACTAATCAGGAGCAAGAGGGCAGGAATCAATCTGGCACACGTCAGTTGTATCTGCTTGAAAAAGTTGTTTGAGAACCACCCGATTATGAGCGTGCGGCGCCAACACCATACTATGGCTTCAGCGTTCTTCGCGGCATGCCCGAGGATATCAACTGGAGCAGTAGGTTCCTTGATTAACCTGAAATTTCATTCAGTAGTAACTCCACAGCGAGGCAAGGTCAAAGGTGGGCTCGAAACTAACCAGGGCTTTACCTCCGTGAGGCACTTCACTTCACGTATTGGCTGGCCTGGGGAACGTCCCATACTTGATCGGCATCAATCATTAACACGGCACCATTGGGACCAGCGTTTTCTTCCCTGAAGCTCTGGACTGTTCGAGTTGCGACCTCCGGAACCTCGGGAAGGAATTGAGGATCATCAATGATAGAACGAACAATTCTCGACGCAAATCTGAGGCAAAGTCAGCGCAGACCATCATCTTAGAGTGGCTGAAGCCTGAAGCTACCGCTGCTTTGGTCAGGCGTGCAAATTTTTCATCCAGATGGCCTAGTCCGTTTGAATATCAACAACGGCACACGGTGATAACGCAGGAGAATGCATAGGGCCAACCAGCTGAGGTGATGCAGGTGAGGTACCTTCACGGATAGGGCTACGTTATTGAGGTTTCCGCCAGACGGTTTCACGTTTCTGTTTACCCGCTTCTCCTTTGCCTTGAGCATAGCAAGTGCATCTTCCCGTGCCGGGACATCAGTAATGTAACGAAATATGGTGACGTCGTTACGGGTGTCGTGTCTATCACGAGCTTCCGTAAAGGCTTGCCTCGCACCCGACCGAACATGTCCCATAGAGCATTATTCAATGCTCCTGCGGCGATATGTATAAAGCCTCTCCCAGGACCAATTCTATTAGAAGATGTGGACCAGCTGCTGAAGCAGGAGTTTGGTGGGGATTACTTCTAGACAGGGGCATTGCATGGCAAAACGAACAGAGGCGGAAGCTCTCCATTTGCCACTTAGGAGCCAAAGAAGTGAGGCACCCGACCATCGCAACTGTGACATAGTCATACGTTTTGGTCAGAATCTTGGAGACGTTTTCAGGGGTTCAGACCAATGAGTCTGTTCACAAGTGCTGCTATAGCTTGACACACCTATGTAAGTTCCCCTCCTGCATACTTACGTCACAATCAGTGTTCCTAGACGGAAGAATAAATTAGAACTGAAAGTGACTGAAACCACACTCTTGCATAGCATCGGTACAGGCATCTCTCGTCAGGGAAGTTGGAAAGCGGATGCCGGTGTACAGGGTAGTGATGTAGTAAGTCAACTGGTGTCATGCACTTTAGTAGCGGGTGACTCCGACTTCTGACTTACTCAGGACAAACTGCGGGTTTCAAGACAATTGGATCGCATTGGCAGGCTGTAACCACTAACCAGGGTCCAGGTTAGAGTAGCGCGAGAAGTAGGACCCCTTTTCTTTGTAAGTCACAGCATGACCATGATCATGTGCAGCGGAGTCGGCGGACCAGGCCGACCGAGGACGAACATGGGACGAAACGATTTTGTGACCCTCGTACAGCTTCAAGTTCTCCCGTGATCTGAGCCCTGGAACGATGTTAACCTGACCTCGAATCCTGGGCAATGCGTGGGTGTCGATTTCTCAGTTCGAGCTTTGCGTTGTTCGGATTCAATCGACCCCTCCGCTATATCAGCCAGTCTCCCGTAGGCAAACCGAGGACGCAATGGAAGACAATCGTTTCCCCTCGACTCATAACAGCCATGACAACGGGGCTGTGCGTCATCTTCCAAAGTTCCATATGGGTGCCATCTCTGAGATCTTGGAATGCGTTGGTGTTGGATACTGCCAATCTGCACTCCCCAGGGAAGAAAGGGTCTGGGGAAGTCATAGATCCCAGTCTCCCAGTTAATTAGCGTGTCATACTCGCCGAAGAGGAGGGGCTAGTTCCAATGGTGCAAGTGGACAGTCACAGCCACATGAGTAACTTGACGGAGTACTCGTGGTCGATGGTAGTTCGGAATATTATGTTAAGCGTGTGGCTCGAGACGACACCGCAGCAATAATAGAAGTTATCGCGACCCAGCTATGTCCTGTATATCTGCTCTCTCAATTTCCAAGGAGAATCATACCATCCGATCTTTTCCAACACCACATATTGAACTACGCGATGTGGCTTCGAAAGCTCGGATTCAACCGGCTTTCCATGGCGGTCAGTGATTTTAAGGACCTGTCGGAAGGAATAAGAGAGGTCAGTGCACGGTGTGAGACGGGGTGCTCACTTGAGTAGTATCAAACTTGGCCAGCGCCTGAATAACCAAGCGGTGTCCCACTTTCGGATCGTGCTCCGCGAGGTATATTTCAGCAGCCCGGATCGACACGATAGTTACAGGAGGAGGGGTACGTGTCGGTTCCTGGGAATTGCGTCGTAGAAGATGCGTTACGAAGGAGCGAAAACGCGTCATAAAGCCTACTCTTTTTCGTCAGGACCACCTACGGCACGACGAAAATCTTGAAGTTAGAGCCTCACTGGAGTCAGGGACGTAGAGAGTTGCGTCAGATGTGTCACTGGTAATGTCCCAGAACCACTTGTGACCCTTTTCGCGTCGACGCATGAGCTGGAGTGCTTTGGACTGAAATTCTCCAACCGTAAGCGACTTCACGACCTCATCGTTCTGACTGAGTTACAATTCATGGTTCGTAAATTTCGATAGCATCGCATTCATGTCGTCTGACGTACCGTGCGATCGCTACATTCGTTTGGCGGTACGTCTCTAACGCTATCTTTCTTAACGGGCCAAGCCATGAACTAGGATCGCACGACTGTACGCTCCTCAACTTGCGCCATACGACAGGGCGAAATCTCAGCTGAACGTTTTTAAGTCCGGGAAACGCACTGGCCCTTGCGATGGTGAACATGCTAAAACAACGAATTGGTCGGCTGTTATACTCAGAAGAAAACACTATGGCGTATGGCGTACCTAAATGTATTTTTGAGCCAATTATTGACATTGTGTTTGAAAGCAAACATCAAATCCTTAGCTTTGAAGGGTCGTTGCGCGCACATCAACCGTAAATCGTACGGTACCTGGACATCTGTATTTTTTTTTTTTTTCGTTACTGTCAGATGAAAGTACGGATTTGCCAAAAGGTAGCATACCGAAGCTTGCCATGGGTGAACCCCATAGGTCCGTGGAAGGGTAAACGGAGGGCATACGCCGCATTCGGTCCAAGGCTATCAGCTCGTTCTCAAGATCGTCCGCGTCGGATTTACTCTTCTTCGGAGCACTTTCCTTGGACTTAGGCTTCACCGGTGCTACCTTGCTTTGAGAGGACACGGAATGAGCGGAGGGCTTGTGGTTGGGTTTCTGTGCCAGTGCGGTACTGTATGTGCGACAGCCTGTTGTTATGCACGGCCATGCATGGACATACAACGCTAGGCTCGACCTGCACGCTATGCGCGTCGCCGCCATGCTAACACGCTGTGGTGAGCGGCAGCGTTGCTTTGAAAGATTTTATCCAAGTTACCAAGTTTGGAAGGTGGGCCGGAGTGCCACGCAGGCCCCCTGCCGGGCCGGGGAGCGTGGATATAAAAGCCCGACGTCTCCCGGTCAAAAAATTCCCTGTAGTTCCATTCACGAAAGGCTACACATCATGCCCGTGAGTCCCACTCTGTGCTGAATCCTGTTGTCCGTGTCCACTGATGGACAATCTTACAGCGTTCCTCTCGCTCTCGCCCTGCACCTGCTGCCAAACCAGCACCGGCACCTCAGCAGACTCGCGGCGCACACACCGCCGCGATGCCTGCTTCGGCTGCAAACCACGGCAACCCTGCGCACGCACCCGCCCCACACGCTACCGCTGCTGCCCCGCAGGCACAGCAACCGGGCCTGTTTTCCCAAATGGCTGCCACGGCCGGTGGTGTAGCTCTTGGCTCTACGATCGGCCACGGTCTTTCGTCAATGCTCTTCGGCGGCTCTGGTTCACAGGCTGCAGCTGCCCCTGCAGAGCAACCTGCACCGGTTCAGCAACAGACTTACAACAGGGGAGTCTCGTGCGAAATGCAAGCAAAGGAGTTCACGCAATGTTTGGAGAAGGCAGACCTACAGAGTTGCTCGTGGTATCTCGAGCAGCTCAAAGCTGTGAGTTGGCTATTGTAGAGCTATTGACAGCAGAGTGCTTACGAAGTACGGATGAATAGTGCCAAGCAGCGGCTGCGCCTTACTAGAAGGTGCCACGTAGGTTCGAGATGCATTCAATTGTAATGGACTCAGATACTCAATAAACATCATCCATTCATCTCCCCTCAGCATTGGATTTCCCTGAGTTCGCCTTTGGTGATAATATAAGATGATACCTTCCGAAAACTCGATTGAAGTTATGTGATAGTTCGATTACTGTGCGATGTTCCCTCGACAGTTAACACGAGGGGTAACCAGAGTTTATACATAATGCGAAAGAACAAAACGTCCGTTCCCTAAGTTTTCAGATATTGTAGCACAGGCGACAGCAACCGCGAACCAAGCGCGGGCCACAAAGTTGATGTGAAGGCGATCACGGATCGCGAGATACACTGGTGACGCTGACGCGTAGATTGAGTTATGTTCGGTTAATACATCTGCTTTGCTCCAAGGATTATAGACAGGACGTGTTGCACCTCGTGGTGGCACGAGTATGCGGGGAATTCAAAAGGTTGGCCAAAGCACATGTTATCAGGACATGGGGGTGGGGCGGAAGGACATGATCTCTTGGTACAGCAGCTCCTTGAGTTGTTCCCGACTGATGTCGTCTTTGTGCACTAATGAGGACTTAGTAACGGTAACGACTTCTAGTAGAGCAACGCTTACGGTCAAATTCGAAGAACTCCGGGTCAAGGGGCGGAGCCACAGGTTCATCTTCGGGATCATGCTGTGGCATCGTTGAGAATAGTAGATGGCCAAGATCAGGCTACGCACATATGCCTCTAGATATGGATGCTCTAGCGCCTCCTCGACCGTTAGCCGTTTCTTTGGATCGAACGTCTGCGAAGCGATGCAAGATCAGGGATGTGCGTCACCACATATATAGAAACCCAACACTAACCAAGGTCTTTGTTAAAAAGTCGATTGCCAGAGGATTGGCATTGGGGAACAGCTGCGCGAAGGGCTTACGCTTGCGGAATGGCAACGCTCGAATATAATCCCGGGACCGTCGCGTGGTAATCGCATAAAACTCATCCAACGTCGGCGTACCCAACACATCAAGAATAAGCGACAACTGATGGTGGTAATCCCGTCCAGGGAAGAGTGGCTTTCCCGAGAGCATCTCCGCCAAGATACATCCGACTGACCATACATCAATTGCCTTGGTGTACTGCTTGAACGTGAGCATGATTTCCGGAGCGCGATACCACCGAGTAGCGACATATTCGGTCATGAAACCCGTCTCCGTTCCAGAGGGTTCTGCGGTCCTCACTGACCGTGCAAGTCCAAAGTCACAAACTTTGAGGTCGCAGTTGGCATTGAGAAGAAGATTCGAGGGTTTGAGATCGCGGTGAATGACGTCGGCAGAATGCAGCGCCTTTAGAGCGCGCAATGTCTGGTAGACAAAGTATTGGGCATGGTCGTCGGAGAGATCCTGTGTCCTGATAACGCGGTGCATGTCGGTCTCCATCAGTTCCTGTATTACTGTGAAAACTATCAGAACGGCCTGCGATCGTGCCGCTATCACAGCACGTACAGTAAACTTCCTTGAAAGCCTCTAGTGAAGGGGGTTTGATGATATCCAGAATCGAAATGATCTGAGAGTGAATGTGAACGTCTGCTGGCTGGGACTCAGACGGGAGACTCACGTTCTCGCTAACGCCAGCCTCGCTCAAAAACTTTAGCAACTTGAGTTCTCGCAGTGTCCGCAAGCAGAACATCGAATGATCGAACGGGGCGATTTTTTTGATGGCGACCTTGCGCCCACTCGGACGATGTATTGCAGAGCACACGATGCCATATGCACCCTCGCCGACAACGTCCAGTACCTGGTATTGAGTGCCTGTAAAACACGAAGAAGACTTGCTTGAACACCTGACCCGACGGACGTCCGTGTTGGAACTGTACTCACCAACGTTGAATCTCACTTTGCGGGGTGCTGCCTGAGCATGGTTGCGAGACTTGGACTGGGCAGCTGGTTGCTGGGAATCAGTCATGGCTGGCAACTACGCTGGTATCAACGATGATCGGTGAAGAACGAAAAGAAAGCAAGAGACAAGGAAAACAAGGAACCCGATTATTATGGATACGCAGCCTTCCGACGTGCAGATGCTCTATTGTTTTGAACAAGGACAACAATTTCCTTACAAGGAAACCTCATCGATTGTCTCCGAGTTTCATGGGAAATTTACTCTTGCTGTAAAAACACCATATATGGAAATCTTACACGAAATTTGGGCGAGAATCCCTCAGTCTTCAAGTACTGGTTGGCTTCCGGATGAATGAATTGGCCGACACGTTTCAGATCACTCGTTTTCTATACAACTCTCTGACGGAGAAGTTCAGGTTGGTATTTTGCGACAGCAATCTACCATCCGACATCAAGTAGGCTTCGCTACATCTGGATCGTTGCAAGACATCCGCAGCATCCCTGCGCTTATGTGATGGCATAAGGGAGCCGGTAACTGCCTCTTGTAGCCTAACATGGCATCATCAAAACACAGTCGCTGAGAACAGTTTCTTGACGGCAACCGATAGTTATCCCTTCGCCTGGAGATAGTATCCAGGGAGAACCTTATCTCGTCGTGATGACGACGAGATCCTAGAAAATCTTTAGAAATAGAATTATAATAATACACTTGACATGCAGCGCACATAATCTAGAAATCCAAGTAGTCCTTGCCCGTTCCCCAAGCCTGACCCGTTCCACCATATGGGTCCTCGGGAACAGCTCCCTCGGCATCTTTGAATGAGAATTCGCGTTTGAATTTCGCTTCTAGGGTGGACAGCGTGGCGATGAGTTTCGTGCACGCCTGCTCTAGAACAGCTTGGGGAGTCATAGAACCGTCCGTTTGGATCTTAAGAACAAAATAGGGGTGCAGTGGGTGAGGCACCTTGTACCCAGCGAATAAAACTTGTGGCATGGAGAGGACCTGGCTGTTGGGAAAAGATGAGGAAGATGTCAGCCTCACAGCCGACGGGATCATCAAAGAACATAGAAAGAAGTGCATCTATCTACGACTCGACACGTACGCCCTAAGCATGTTCGCCAGCGTATGATCCTGCTTGACAATCTTAAACGTAGCCGCGTTGGGGATCTTCGTATCTTCGGAGACTTCAACACTGCGGAAACGCCATCGCGTCTTTACTCGAGCTCAATAAATTAACTGCGTGTATTGAACACCCACGGCTTTTCGCCATCATCCAAAACGTATAACTCGAAACGATTCGGCGCGTTCATCGTGGCAATCTAGCCCCCTCTGGTGCCAGGCAACAGGGTAGAACTACAACGTTTCGGTCAGCTATTAACCACACCAAGTACGAATAGCTCACAGTGATTGGTGTGGCGTGAAGCCGGGATTTCAAACTCCGAAAAGGTGCAACACCATCTCCTGCAGAGGTTAACGGCAAGATCCCCCGACTCATCGACACCTCCTCAAGGTCAGTTCATGCCCGATTTCCGTGTCCCTGCCATCCAAGTACACGGAGAATACGTTCGAGAGTGACTAGGATCCGATTTGAGACGGTGGTCTGAGTGGGCGAGGGCGGATGGCTGGGACACGAAGCGGATTACACGGTGGTATACTGATTGACTTTACAGAAAATGCCGACTCGTTTCTCGAAGACTCGTAAACACCGTGGCCACGTCTCTGCAGGCCACGGACGCGTTGGAAAGCACCGCAAACACCCCGGTGGTCGTGGTCTCGCTGGTGGTTTCCACCACCACCGGTATGTACGGCACGCTAATTGTATTATGGTTCTAACTGGCATGCGCCTCGACCTCTCTAGGACTAACTTCGATAAGTACCACCCTGGTTACTTTGGTAAAGTCGGTATGCGCCACTACCACTTGACACGCAATGCAACCTGGCGACCCATCATCAACGTTGACAAACTCTGGACACTTGTATCCGAGGAGGAAAAAAAGGATTTGACGGAGGACTCAGAGATTGTACCGGTGATTGACACTCTCCGGCATGGATACGGAAAGGTGTTGGGTAATGGACAGTGAGTTGTGTTCTTTGGTGTGCAGCTCGAGTCGTTACCTTTGTTTTTTCCTCCAGACTACCAAAGTTGCCTTTCATTGTCAAGGCACGGTGTGTTTCAAAAAGGGCCGAGTAGGTGTTCTCGTACTAACCCGAATGGCATGCTCATGGGAATGCACCAGGGACAAAATCAAGGAAGCTGGTGGGGTCGTAAAGTTGATTGCATAGGTACATGCTGCTCATTACTTGTTTCTTCTTTCCTCCCTGTATACGCCACGCACCCATGCAATGCACATATGATAGCACCCATGCTCCTGCTATGAATTCATAGCTGTGGTGCTGATCACATGATCTGATGACGTAATACATAGTATGAGTCCTGTCACTACCAGCTGGGAGGAATTCGAATGTCCTCCCTGTCAGCTTGGTGCACGTATTCTCTCTCCTCCTTTCTCCTGCCGCTGACCCACGGGCCTCACAGACAACAACCAGTATTCGACGTGGAATCGCACACGTCGGCTACAAGCACCTCAGTTTCTCGCACGCACGGATACCCGCACCTCCCGAACAGCTACTGCAATGGCCCGGACGGGGACTAGAGATGCTGTCGTCATCAACATGGGCGCTTCTGACAGGGAATCGAAACAAGACACCCTCTTCGGGCCTAACATCGGCGTCGTTAACACCACCATCCCTTGGGCACAATCTGTCACAAAGCGGACCTCCGAGGATAGCTTATCTCCTGAGGTCATCAAATCATGGATTGCCAAGAGCAAACAGGTAGGCAAAAATTGATCCACTTGGCCACCGGAGTTTGAGTCTCACTCCACAACCAGCCTTCGCAACCCACCACTACACTACAGGCGCTCGTCAACTTGAAGCGGCCTACCCTTCGTCTAGTTCCCCTGGCAATCTCCCCGGATGACGACGATTTGGGTCATGCTGATTCTCGTCATCATCACGGCCTCGAGTTTGAATATGACTGCGATGCACCAAAGTGCCAAATTAAAGTCAACGTAATCCTCCCCGCCGATCACCCACTTGCCGAAAACGTCGATACTCGGGGCTTTTCCTCTATCCCTGTGTACGAAAATGTCGTTGACGGCGGTTTTGGGAACATTTTGAAATTGAACGAAGGTGCTACTCTTGAGCTGGGTCGTTTCGAGCAGACCTCTCGAAATAATCAGCCTTCGACCTCCGCCCAACCTGCGGCATCAGATAGTCCTCGTCCAGCTGAAACGACGGAATCAAGTTCCAGCGACAGTGATCGTGCCGATAAGCCCAAGAAACGCTTTTCGGCTTTCCAATTCCATAAGCGTGCTATGAACAGGCGAGCTTCGGGTCCCGCACTAGCAGTCGTAGACGCCGATCACACACAAACCTCCGAGAACGAGAACGGGAGAGAAAGGCACGCAAATGAGGACATGAAGGACGGAGTGCGAGTCACAATCCGACTCTCTGCTTTGGATGCGGACGGGATCGATACTGCTGTCGCCAACGAGCAGGTGACCTATCTTCATGTCGTTCGTTTGGGCGCTCCACCGCCAGATGGAGAAGACGACACTCGCCCGTGGGTCGTGAGAGTGGTCAAGCGGGAAGCCATCGTTAGTTTATCTGTCTCGTTACTGACCATGACGCTGACATCGTGGAAACACAGATCGCCCACTATGTTTTCCAGCTTCACGAGATCTATGGATTATCATCTAGGTCCACAGTGTCCCATGCGCGAGCTTCCTCGCCGACCTCGGGTACTCATACTTACCCTCCCACTTCAGCCACCACAGCCACCGCTCACGAAGAGCTCTCATCCGAATGTCTTCTCTGCCTCTCAGCCGCGCGTGAGGTCATCCTCCTTCCATGCCGCCACCTTGTTGCGTGCAAGGAATGTGCCATCAACATGGTCGAGTTCGGTGCGGGCGGGACCATCGTGCACAACGACGACGCTACCAACAACAACAGCCCGACCACTAATAACTCGGATGGTGGGGGGTCTCCTGCCACCTCGGCTGTGGCGACGAACTCTGTTCCTGCTAGCGCTCCGAGCGCAGTCCCCCAAAATCCACGTCGAAAACGTAAAGCGAAGGGATGGTTCTGTCCCGTCTGTCGCCAGCGTTAGTACAGAGTACTGCCTCTTAAATGGGATCGTGGGTTGCTAACGTTTAGAAAATTTCTGTTCTACAGCATATACGTCCCTTCTCCGCATATCTACAATGCCGCCTACCAAGGACATTTCCGATGACGACAATCACACAATGGATCATGAAGATGGCGACGGCAGCGATCTCGAACCCGAAGGTGAACACGGACGCGCTCCTACTAATAGCAACCCACTTTCTTCTTCTGAGAACGCAGCACCTCTTTCTACAGGAGGCAGTGGGGTATTGAACACCCTGCGTTCTAATTTGCGTAGGAACGTGTGTAATGACGAGACTCTTCCGCCTGACGTCGAGCGCGGTATTGTGGCAGCGTAACTCGTGAGTCCCCAATGTTGACATTATACGCCTGTGCGGAACGATATGTACGTGTGTTCGTGTGCTGTAACTGTGGATTAACTTGTATGCTCCACTACCTTTTCCCTATCCTCCTGTATGCCCTGTTATCTGCGCCAGTCTTACTCGGTACTACCCCTCCTTCCTGTAGGTAATCACGACTTTTTATTCCAGTTTCTTTGTATCGGTCTATGTAATTGCAAAGAGCTTCGAGTACCCTTGGTACTAATACTGTTGAGAAGTTTGTCCTTCCGACTCGAGCGCGTGCACCGATATCGTGGGCTTCGGCGAGTTCAACCGTCCATGTTGGCAAGGCTACAAATAATACATACACAAATGACGGTGGTAATAGTACAGTGGCATCCACAAGGAAAGTCCGCGTCCGCGTTGAAAAACGAAAATTCTAACCGTCTAGGCCCTTGAAGAACTAGACTGCAGCGACGTCTCTAAAGTGTCCAAAGTCCACAGCTCGCGCAGTCGTCGGCAGAAAATCTTGAACGCCGATGCCGAACCCTTTTCTTGCACCAATATCACCGCACAAGGAAAGTCACATGCACCAGCAATACTGGTGGTAGCTAGTGACCTTGGTTGCGGAGGTGTGGAAGACGTTAACGCTGGCCATTCAGCGGGCCATACACCATTGCTGATGTGACCTCCAACTTTGGAATCGATATCATGTACGGGGTAACGAGGGTATGATGATGGCGAAAACTCGTCCGTCATCTGCAGTGTGTTCGGCGAAAACGAAAACTCGACCCTGAACCGGATTTGCTTTTGTACGACCGCGCCGTCCGAGCATTTCACGCCATCGTTCATCTGGCACCACATGACGTTAGTTGTGTTGTAGGTCTGGCACCGTGACGGTGATTCCTGCGCGCCCACAGTGACGCCAAGTCGCTCCAAGGTGCGGATCGTCGCGCTGTGTGTCGCACGGAACGACGCAGTCGAATAGAGCACGTACGTCTGTGATTTCCGGTTAAAAAAATTGGAAAGCCAACTCTTAACCTCGCCAACCGGCGACGAGAGAATGCTCGGGGTCCCAGGCGAGCCGGTATGAGGGCCGAACACTGCCTTCGCTGTCTTCGCTGGTTTGAAAGCAATTGGATTCGAGCCTGTCGAGGGGTCTGGTGGTAACAGGTAAAATAGGAAGTCCAACTTTGGCGCAGGCCTGTTAGACTTACTTTTTACCTCCTTCGCCCCGTACTTGCTATCTTGATCGTGTGTATGGAACACCGTTCCGCCAATCGATTGCGCGAAAAGCCGTCTCCGATCAGCGTCGCCATCAGGCGCAATATTCTCCTTATCCTTAACGGCCCACCGGTCACTTCCTGTCCGAACATATCCATGACGAGTGGGCGTCTGAAGCTGTAAAGGTAAATTAATCGAGAGATGAGTATCCGCCTTGGGGCAGCTTGCGTATTGCGATTCGTGACCTTGTGTGGTAAAAGGGTCGTCAAAATATGCAGGTGATGGGTAGTTGTGATGCGCGTCCAAAGGTGTCGAGAGTACAAGAGCCTTGTCATGCACTTCAACGCTAGTCGTGATTGCGGCATGTGCGTAAGCAACGGTTGAGCTTGAGACTGGTTGTAATCGTGATAAAGGGAGTCGTGCGTTTGACGATGGAGAAGACACTTCGAGGCCACACATAGTTCCGGACATCTGCTGGTTATGATTACCACAATCCCGCTCGATTTGGTTGGAGTGCAAGGACATTGAGCACTCTTGATGGGGAACTCTTGCAAGCGCATCCAAAGGGTCGTGGGGGGCACGCCCGACTCGTAGGCTTTTGCGACGGGTCGGCTGCAGGGCTAACGTCGAGGACGAAAAATGGTAGCTCCTATGTAATTGCACTGGAGAGGGAGATCGGCAACGTGAAAGCGAGTCAAGTACGGAGGGTGCCTCGGAAGATGGACTGGGTAACGGTGCCTGCGAATGCGACGAGTGGGTACCGCTGCTGTGCAATTGGGCTTGAGTGTTGACTCGGCTCCGTTTAGTAAGGGAGGGTGACCAATAATGCTGCGTAATAACTTTTCCCTGCAGTCGTGGCCTCGAACCTTCTACTGAAAGCCCATGATCCCGGACCATTTGTTCGTGGCGTTTCCGTAAGAGGACGTAAATTGCTTTGGCTACGGTACCTTGGCCGCGTGGACGTCGGAGCTCTGCCTTGACAATCTGGTCGTTGCCATATCTCCCCAACAAAGTGCGTAGAGATTCCAGGAGATCTTCGTCGATTTGCGCTTCGGAGGCAAGCAGTTGTGCCAAATTGTGAACCGATGGTGCGGGTACATAGAGTATGCCGGGGGTCGACTGGTTGAACCAAGGATGAGCCATGATTTGAGGGACCTGGGATATTTGATCAGTATGGGGAAGGTGATTCAAGCAAAACTGACGGTTATCCTCCTTCGAACGTCGACTACAAGCATCCGGGTCAACAGATCTTTCGCCAGAGGGTCTACGTATTCTGGTACTTCGTACTTGCCTCTCCTAACCTTGGCGAGCAACGTTTGCACGTCTTTGTCGTCGAAAGGGAGTCGTCCTGTGAGGAGAGCAAAGAGGATGACACCACAACTCCAAACATCTGCGGGCCCGCCTGTGTACTTGATTCCGCTGATAATTTCCGGGCTGGCGTAGTGAGGGCTTCCGCAGCTTGTTTCTAGACGTAACGGTGGTGGGGCAAATGCGGCCATGCCCCAGTCGGCGATCTTAATGAGAGGAGGGTTCAGAGAGTGCATCAGGATATTTTCTGGTTTGAGGTCGCGATGGACGATGGAGAGAGCGTGCGCGTAGTTGAGACCGTATACGATCTGTTTGAAGATTGCCAAAGCCTCGAGAGGGAGGAGTCTGCCGCGGTTGACCAGGAAGTCGAACAGTTCACCGCCCTGCACGTATTCGAGTACGAGATAGAGTTCGCGTTCGCCCTGGAACACGTCGTAGATACGGAGGATGTTTGGATGGTCCATGAGCTTCATGATGACGATTTCTCTGTCGATGTTGAGACGCTGTTTCTCTGACTTTAACCTGGGATGGGTGTCGGCGGGGGGAATGGGGAGGATCTTGACAGCAGCGAGCTGGCCGGTCTGACGGTGCTTTGCGATGCGCACACGGCCGCTGGCCCCCCTTCCGACACACTCGCCGATGATCCACTGACCGACGCAGACTGGGTCCTCTGGGAAGTCGAATGCGCCGAGACCAGCGGCGGCCTTCTCCTTCTGCCAGCGGGTGCCCAGGTGGGCTGTATACGAGATGGGGGGTACCTCGGGTGGTGTGTCGACGGTGGTGGTGGTGGTTGTCATATAGAGTGTCGGGTGGATGACAGTACTGTGTTAATATTGACTGCCATGACTACCACAGCCGCAGGACCCGGTCTCGGTCCCACTAGTAATATATTGTAGACCACTCCGCAGCGCTTTTATTATCGGTCCTCAGTCAGTCCCCAGTCCTCTCCTCCAACCGAGACGGTGCTCGTCAGACAGAGACGCCGCCATGCTGGCAACGACGACGTCTGCCCTGGCATTCAGCGTGTGTCTCGCCGCCGTCGTCTCTGGCTTTTCTTTCACCTTCACCAGCGAACCACAACAATGCGCGAACCTCTCCCTCAGCATCACCGGCGCTGGCACTCCTCCCTACAGCGTCCTCATCATCCCCTATGGCCCGTCCCCCCTCCCAAACAACGTAGAAGCACGGACAATCGTGTACGAACAGTTCCCTGGAAACTCATCCAGCGTTAGCTTTCAGCTCAAGTATCCTTCGACCTCCCAGTTCGTTACTGTGGTAAGCGTCTATATACCAGTGGCATCTCCTAGCAATCCTCACTCAACGTTCCGCTCGTCCTAGGTCAGCGACAGCTCGGGCTTCGGCACAGGCGGCACGAGCGTCGCTGCAACCGTCATGAGCAGCAGCGACAGCAGCTGCTACAATGCTACCGAAAACGTATCTCCCGACTTCCCTTTCAACATCGTTCCCTCAAATCAGGTCGTCCAGTGCTCACCTAGTAGACTGTGGTGGGACCCAAGCCAAGTACAAGGGTAAAGCCGTGCTACCTAGAACTCATCCCCTCCCACTCACACAGCCTCTATCAAGGACCGTCAGCTTCCAAGGCGTCATTCCAGGCGGGCAATCCTTTGCTATACCCGCAGGCACACTATCTCAAGTCGCAGACGAAGGAACTGGGTTCAACTGGACGGCTTCCGTGCGTGCCGGTACTACCCTCATTCTAGTTGCCGGGGACGGTCGAGGACTTGGATCGGGAGGAAGTGGTTTATACAACGTGGCTGCCGGCCTTTATCCAGACAGCTCTTGTCTCAGCAACAGTTCTCCATCTTCAACAGCAGGCCCCCCTGCAGGTGGTAGCTATCCTACCGATGTCAGCGGTGATCAGACTCCAGGAAATAGTAGCCATAGGTTCGTACTCGCTTTAATCTCATTCATGTAACGTCACCTAGATGCTCTCTCTTTCTAGTTCCAACGTTGGTGCTATAGTCGGTACGTTTGACAAATTCATAGTGATTCGCTTGTCGCGTCTCATTTCATTCGGCAGGCGGAGTTGTCGGCGGTCTAGTTTTCGCTGCCCTCCTCGTTTTGGCTGGACTGTACATCATAAGACGGAAGACATCCTCATCAAACAAGGAACAACCTGTTGATCTCCTTCACGGCGATCCAGACGATAGTGACCAGGCTCCACCACCGGACCTTCCCGAATATCGTCCCGAGCCTTTCCTTGCAACAGAACCCACAGAGGCGTCATCCTCCTACCAACCAGACGACACCGGACGTCTCTCAGTAGCGGGATCCCGCTACGGTGCGCTATCAGATCGACCCTTATCCACCATGAGCCTCAGCGAAATGCAATCTGCTCGCTCTGGCACCCCAGATAGGGACATGCGTCACGTTTCTGGACCATCAGCGTCCATGGTCACTAGCTCGCGCAAGTCGCCGCAGCCAAGACAGCTGAGGCCCGTGAACATCATCCAGCACGAAGATGCTGGACCCTCGGAAGTAGATTCCGAAACCATCGAACTCCCCCCTGCCTATACCAACATTAATCGCAAAACGACTCAGGCTGAACCGGAGTTGTAGTACCCGCTTTTCTCCCTATTTCGTCTTCGACGCTTTGGTTATCTGCTTATCGTATTCATTATTCCCTTTACTGACTTGCCCTTCCCCGAGAGGCAAATGCTTATCACCGGACTCCACCTTCCCCCTTTCAGACAGATCGCTTTCTTGCCCTTCCCATGCAAATGTACGATTCCTTTTCCGTAATCGTATACCGCAGTTTTTTTTTCTTACAAAAACAGGACAGAATTCCCAGCCTACTTTCGCATCTCGCCACATCACCGTACTACTCCACAGCCTTCTCACGTACATTTGGTATTCACTGTATACATATGTATCTAGTGCGCATCGGGATATGCACGCATCACCTATGATGTCAAAGCGGATCCTGATCGCCAGAGTCCCGGACGAGAGTGGAAGATATTAAAAGCTTTCATGTATGTACATAGATCCCACTAATGGGTGCTGTGAGCTTGGATACAAGGTTCAGACATGGCGCAGCACAGATGCAAGAGGTAACAAGGGTCGTAAATGCACCAAGATCACCAGTATGCGCCACGCAACAAATCTTGTATGTGTATATATCAGGAGTTCAGGTTTTTCCCGTTTCCAGCGCAGTCAGCATCTCGATAACAGCATCGGTTGCCGGTCGTTTACCCACTTGATACCCAAGACCCTCCGTTAGCCGCAATCTGACTCTGCGCGCATGCTCGACATCTTTTGCAAGAACAAATCCCCGCAGCACATTCGTAAAAATACCAAATAGGCCATCTGAAGGGGGCTGTTGTTGTTGCAAATTACGATGAGAGACTTCTTCGCTTTTCCGCTTTGTCCCGTCCAGGTCCTCCGCGGCCTTCCCATATATCCCTCCATCTGGTGGATCTATGCCACTCCCACGCTCACCAGCCTCCAACTGATCGAGGACCCTCAGTGCGGTAGTGGCATCGCCACCTTGCGCATAGGCACGAGCGATCATACTCCATTGCACGATGCTAGGTTGGATCCCATTGGCCACCATATCGGCCACTACTTGAGCCGCACAATCCGGTCGTTCTCGAGACGCGTGGACCTTGATAAAAGGAGAAAAGTGTGCCGAGTCGAACGAGGATGGAGAGAGCTCCAATGCAGGTTTGGAATGATGCCCCTCCGATACATCCGGAGAACCTTCACCCAACGCGGGTTTGGTATTTTCACCAGCCCGTTTCGCGCCCTCCACGAGCTGCAGCAGCAACCCATATAACCGTTTCCGCTCATGGGTTCCTGATACTGCCACGAGCGCTTCCCATACGAGAGCGGTATGAGAGCGCATGGGCCACAGTCGCTGCTTCAGGGGATATGGCGGAAAATGTACGCGATAAGAAATACCAAATCCGAAACTCTTCGCATGCGGACGGATGGATTTTCCGGCAGAACCACGCAAAAGCGAAAGGACAGACTTTCGAGGTACACCAACTAGGTAGAAATACTTGGCGAAGGCAGCGAGCACGCGCAAGTGTTCTCTCCGCTCGCGGTGGTACAGCATTTCGGAGAGCACCCACGAAGCTGCTGATCTGGAGGATTGACGAAAGGCGAATTTTCGCAGAAGGGAAACGGTGTGGAATCTACCGCGCTCACAACAATCTGTGATAAAGCGGAGCAAAACATAAGGCGGGGGAGGTGTTGAAGAACGAAAAGCTTTCCGAAGTGCCCGAAGTCGTGAAGGGAGGTCCCCGAGTTCGCCGGAAACTGCACTCACATCACGCTGAGGCGTCGAGTGGGAGGGGGCAGTGAGGTCTATTGAGAATGTAGGATAGAGAGTGCGGATCTCCGCTAAGGCATGCTGGTGGTTTGGGGCATGCTTAAGGACGGCCTGGAGTGTGTCGTGTGAGATTGGAATTCTTCGTTCGCATGCGATTTTCACGAGACGCAAGGCAGCGTCTGTTCGACGGGCCACTGCATGTTTCTTGATCGCCACGTTAAATGGGGCTTCCATGAGGGTCTCCGCTGAGAACCCACCCGAAGCAGCCGAGAGAGTTCTGCACCGTGTATCCAACGTTTGTAGGTAGCTCTCCGTTACCGCAGGCGAGGTGTACTGCGCCAAGGTCGCAACCACCTGCAACACTCCGGCATTGGTAAAGTAGCCCTTGGCAGCCAGTACACGACCAAAACAATGTACGACGTCCAAATTGAGATGATCCATACTGCGAAAAATGTGCTGGCGGATGGCGTAGAAGGTGCATACCTGCTCGTCGCGATCCGGTACAAGGGACATCCAAGCTTGAAAGGCTTGTATTCGATCGCGAGGTTTCAGGTGTGGACGTCGTTCGCGAATGACATTCAACGCTGCCTTTTGGTAGAGACTATCGCGGGCAATGGGTATTCGGTGGGATATCATCTCTCGACGTAGCCTCTCAGCACCTCTGAAGTCACCCTTGCGTACCAGCGCTGCCAACGTGTCTGCAGACGAGAGTGGAGTGAATACCGGCGTGGCTGGCGTCGACATAGAACTGTATTCATCTGTCATATCTTCGAATACAGACAAGTCTGGTTGCGCCCGTGGATAAGGCATTGTCTCCACTTCGATTGAAGCCGGCGAAGGCCCTTGCAGAGCATCCCTAAAATGGCTGCGATGAGATCTCCACAGCGATAGCAGGTTGACCGGGATGTGGACACGGACTGGACGGTACATGCTCAACCGTGCCTAAAACTTCGCCTGTGTATGACCCTTCACCTGTTGAGTTGATGAAAGGAATTGGTCGGACGTGGAAGCCCAGTGTCATGCATGACTAGGTACAAGACACACCTCGCTTCGCTTCGGCAGTAGTCTTGTAGGGAACAGCTGTATTTCAAAAGACGTAGATGTAATTCTATAGATGAGGCTCTACAGTACTAATACTAATCAGTAAGATGTTGCAGCAGAGCCAGCCGTGAGAAAAAAAAATAGGTTTTGGCTCCGATAGTGGCAGCTGTTAAAAGTAGTGATAGACGGGGGTAAGGGGAATGACCTGAATGGAAGGTGAAGTTGAATGTAATGCAGGGGATGAGGATGTTGTCAGGTCGGTGCTGAATGTTACCGTTGCTGCTGCCCAGCATTTCATGTAGCGGTGATGAGAGGGTCAAGCAAGGTTCCCGTATGATAGCAGTAAGAATGTCTGGCAAAACGTATACAGCTTGTAAAGCAGGTACAACAGTATAAGCAAGAGGCCCTGAGGGCAAGGCTACACATTTCCATCTGCCTAACTTACAACAACACCGCTGCTTCTTGGGTATTCATCGAAATCTCATCCATTCATGCTAATTGCACCGGTATCACGCCGTTCTTTTCGATTCCGCATTCTTGGCTCGGTAAGATTTGAATTGTTCGTTCGTCAGCATGACGATCCTCAATCGCATGAGCTTGAAAGAGGCACCCGTAGGGAACCCTCGTTTGCGAGTTTCCCCTTCATCATCGATATGCTCCAGTTTCTACGTGATAAGAGCAGGTCAATAAAAAGCCCACACACGAAAATGCTTACATACAACTATAAGAGATTTCTTGATCCCAAATACACTGTCACTTTGAATGTATTTGCAACCTTCCGGAAAGAATGCAGTGACAAGTTTGCGATATCCAGGTGCCTCTACCATGATATGCAAATGACTAGGACGCATATTGTGACGATTCATGGCAAGCAGAAGCTCGCTCACTGGTCCCTTGACATAAAATTAGCCGGCATACACAAAAAGCCGAGGGAACCAAACATACATCTCCGGGAATAGGATAAGGAGCTGGTACTACAGCACGGAAACCAAAACTTCCGTCGTTGGCGCATTGAAGACGTCCGCGACAATCGGGGTGAGAGCGGTTGCTAAATTGCATGTCATAAAAGCCTATGTAAGAGTTCTGAGCGAGCCGTGTGTAAATATTATATCAAGGCACCTACCATCTGAGTCCGACTCCCACGCATCGATGATGGCCCCTGGTATCGGCACTCCTTCCGTAGTTACGACTTGGCCCTCGACATACATGTACTCTCCTTTGCCCTCGGATGCAATACCTTCACCGTTCGCAACTACGAATTTCGTTAGCCATGCCGTCGCGCCAAACGTCCACTCGTGCGACTCACTGTGCGCAGTATCGTCGGTGTAGAAAGGGCCGAGCAATGTGCTTTCAGTGGCGTTTCCTTCCACAGGATTATTAAGAGCATCAACCAAGGCCGAAACCCCAAGCACCGATGAGAGGGTGTTCATTTCTGGACGGGAAGAAGTGTGCGTCTGCCCCACGCGGGTCAGGAACTGGATGGCTGTCATCCACTCCTCTGTAGTGAGGCTGTGCAATTCGATGAGGATACGGTTAGAATGGGTCTACACTGGCAATGACACCACTGACTCGGTTTCATTGACAAATCCATGAAGGTGCTTGATGAGGGTTTGGAAGATGAACCTCAGCCGTCTAAGAGGGTGTGAAGTCCAGCAACAGATATGTGCTTCAAAGCAGCTTACGGATTTGGTGTTGCCTCGGCAAGCTTGAGGACGTTGTCCGTTATGGTGTCCGCTCGGTCAGGTATCTTGAAAGTAGATAAATACGATGTACTCAACGGTCAATCCTCTGGCTCACTCACCGGCAGGTCGAAGCGGGGAGGAATGCCATTCGACATGGCTTTGGCTGGTAAAGCCGGGGTGCTATCACTGCTTGCTTGTTCGGTCATGTTGGAAGTACTACGAAAGAGGACTTGTTGAATAGTCAAACCGACTTTTCAACAAGGCTGGTAGTTTGCTGAGAAGTCGAACCACAGACTGATAAGGCATAATAAACGCACCACACACAGCCAAGAACCCGATTCATTGGCCAGGCGCTAACTTCGAGATGACCGCACCCCAACTTCGCTGTTCCGCTCGCCAGCACTTTGAGTTGGACAGCCCTGCAACACCTGTTGCGATAGCTCCATCACCGTGTATAAGTATGCTCTGGACCCGCACGTCACCTCGAATTGACATGTTGACACACAGGGGGCAGTGCTCTTTTTAGCACTGTGACCGATCAGCAACATGAGCCATGGCCATGTATTATGGAGACCTTAGTAGACAATTCTACATACACGAAGCAGAGCAGGAGATGTAGCACACAACAGTCGCATATCAATAACCATAATCCCCTCACCTACTGAATCTAACCTAACTGTGCAAGGTTGCCATCTGCAACTGGCCCCGGGTCTCCGTCCATCGTTGAATCTGCTGGCACGTCGCTGACAACGGTGCCCTGTCCCGTCGTACCCAGGTTCGCAGGAGCGTGTTTTCCAAGCTCAGCTTTGACACTATCCAGCATCCGCTTGAGGTTGACACGCTCGTTCACCAGTGCCATACGCGCACTCTCGAGGCTCTTGCGTTCTTCCTCTAGCAATTCTTCCAATTCTTCAAACGCCGTCATCTTCACTTCTAGTTTTGTCAGCGTCAGTTTGATTAACGACGCCAGTGTACTCTGAATATGTGCATCTTCCGCTTCAGCGAGCTCCCCTGCTGCGCGTGCAGAAGATTTGAGAGCGAGACGTGCAGCACGGACGGCATGCGAATGTGGAATCTTTGGATTGTGCGACGGTGCAGCGGAATGGTCACCGGTCGCGCCATCCACTTGTGATGCAGTGGACGGGCCTGCCTCGGCTTGACTGGATGTGTTAGGCATATCTTCTTCCATGGGAGCATCGCCTGCACTGGCTGTACTCCCTTTCTCACCATCCTTTTCATCCTCCTCCTTCTCCCCGTCCTTTACTTTGGAGGCGCCGTCTGTTAGGGCATGCATCGCCGTTTTGGCTGCCTCGCTGGCTACGCTGGGGCTTACAACACCCGCTAGAAAGGCCACCACGCTCATGACAGGATTGTCCGCCTGCTCGAATGGGATTCCTTCCAAATCTCAAGGGCCCTTGGTCGCCTTCTGCAACAATATAGGGATCCTCGATGGGTAGTGACAAGAATTTACGAATGCACTGTTGGGCGCTCCGCGTGCCAACGTGATCCTCGATTGCACCCCAATCATCATCGTACATTTCGATGCCCTCCAGCAGCAGCAACACCTCCTGATCGTTCCATTCCTCATCGCCGGCACCATGTCTGATGTTAGGTGGTGTGGCGGTAAGCTTAACAAAGTCACCGCTAAACATTGTCGAGGGGAAACGCCCGTCGAGATAGCATGGAGGACAGAGCTCAAAATCCTTCACTTTCAGACTATGGTAGCGCACCGGGGTGCAGTCCGTGCCACAGGTGTCGCACTGGTAGGACACGTTACCGCGGGTACCAGCTGCAAGACCATTCGCAAGTGATGCAGCCTCACTGGGCTGAATTTCTCGGGACGCTTTGGCCGTGGTCTGGTATATGGAATTGCGAAGCTCAAGTGAAGCGGAGGTAGCATTAGGGCCAGATGCAGAAGCGACTAGAGGTTTTTGCGTCCCGTTGGCGGCGGGGTGCAGACTTGAGGGGCGGGTGCCGGGATGCAATGATTGGAGGCCACGGGGGGTGTCGAGGATGACGCGGAAATGTCCAGTGAATGGTGGTGCTAGTGCTGCAGGTCTTTGTTCAGGGTCGATCTGCATAAGAGGTAAGCAAACTAGGAGATTTTATTGAGGGTCAGGGGGAACTCACCTGGTAGTTGATGAGACCCCACTGCTCGAGGAGTGCGTGTACTCGCATGATCGCACAGACGTCTCCGGCGAGATTGCGTCTGCATGCAGTCACGGTAAGGTACTCGGTAGGTCGTAATCTATAGGTGTTGATCATAAAGTCACGGTATTCCTTGTAAATTGCGGGGGTCTTTGACCGGTTGCGAGAGTTGAAGAACTCGGGGAGAGCGCGTTTCTCGACTGGGTGGATGGTTGACATATCGAACCAGGCAGCATAGGACGGTATGATAACGTCGTGAGTCTGAGCGGCAAGGTATTTGCGGGCCTGCTCCTCGAGTTTCAATCGCGTCGCTTCCAGAGCTGCAGGGTCTTCCTCGTCTGCCTCAGTCGCCCGATTCAGCCTCCTCATCAGCAGCCTCGCCCATGGACACATCGTCTTCGCCTTCTCCCTCTCGTTGAACTCTCACAGTTCCACTGCTACCGCCCCCACCGTCCTCAGCGTTGTCCGGTATTGGTGCTAGATTACCGATGTCACCGCCCTGGATGGGCTCGAGTTCTGCGCGTTTTCCTGGTGCATTTTCTGGATCTACTGGGGATGCATTTTGAGGTTGAAAAGGGGCCGTGAGCTTAATTCGTTTTGAGTCCGACGAGGAAGGTGAGCCGGCGCGTTTTGGCGAGTCCATGTCTTCGCAGCAAGTCTGTCTGTCTCTTTTGGACTCGGGAGTCAGTCAAACAGCCCTACGACCAAACAACGTACAGACAAGCCATTTCGGGAAGTGTGCCAAATAGTAACAAACAGACCGCCGACAGTGTGACCACGTGACTCAATAACCGTTCCATCGCTCCCCCCCATCGTTCATCATGAAGCTCGTCAGGTGAGTGTCATTTCATTAGTCCCTGCCCCGCCATCGATGTTCCATCCTAATCTCTCGCTTCAAACACGAGATTTATCCCTTTTTTTTCTACTTTCTGGCGGGCGAACGACGACGTTACTGACAAACTACCTTCTAATCCTATAATCAGGTTTTTGATGAAATTGAACAATGAAACGGTGACCATCGAGCTCAAGAACGGGTCTGTCGTGCATGGAACGATCACAGGTGCATTTTGTTACCGTATTTCCGATGCAATTTGCACTCAGACATAAAACGATCCATCTCCTCTCTAGGAGTCGACATGCAAATGAATACACATCTGAAAACCGTCAAGATGACTGCACGGAATCGGGACCCTACATCCCTTGATACCCTCTCGATCCGAGGGAATAATATCCGCTACTTCATGCTCCCCGATGCTCTCCCATTAGACACCCTCCTCGTGGACGACGCACCAAAGCCGAAGGCGAGGAAGAAGGACGACACACGCGGCCGGGGTCGCGGAAGAGGGATAGATCGCGGCCGCCCGAGGGGGAGAGGTCGGGGACGTGGACGCGGTATATAGGGGTTGGCATCGTCCGCAAACGCGGTCATCTATGGTCATGTCGGATCCTCGCTCGTCCCCGCAATGTACATGCAAAAGTCGACCCATCCGGTCAGCCTGTATTAGCTACATTTTGTCAGTATACTCGTTTTATCTGTCATCTTTTCCTTTCCCACCTGTACGTTCATACCACCGTGTCGTGTGCCCATCTGCTTGAAAGTTAAGAGTTGGAGTGGCTGTGTGTCTTTTTCGTACCGTATGCTCCTCCGGCGACTTGCGTCAACATCGGCGTGGACACTTCCCCCATCCATTCGTCAGATTTTATCCTCTGGCCACGACTCGGCGAACAAGGTGCAGTTGTGTGGATGGATTAAATCCGTGCGACGACAAAAAAATGTCACGTTTGCGGTCATCAGCGATGGAAGCTGTCCCACTGGATTACAGGCCGTCCTAAGCAACACCCTCAGCAGCCAACTCAAGCTTGGGTACGTTCGCGTCATAGTTACAGTCTCGTTCTTGCCTCATCTGGGCCCTCTCTTTTTAGCCTAACGAACGGCGCCAGCGTTCGCGTATCCGGTTCACTTGTCAACAGTCGAGGGACGGGTCAGGCAAAGGAGCTTCAAGTGGATTCAATAGACGTGCTCGGAGAATGCAATCCAGAGGTTGGCTGTCATTTGGCCTCAGGCGTTCTCTCTTCTCATAGTCGGTCAGACGTATCCTATCCAGAAGCAGACGCTTTCCGTGGATTACCTGCGAGACCATGCTCATCTACGAGCTCGAACAGATACAAACGCTTCCATTTTGCGCCTGCGAGATTCCCTGACGAAAGTCATGCAGCGCTTTTATGAGGTGCTGCTCTCTTTCTTCTAGTTCATCATTCGCAACCTATCTGATGTCGCTTTGATAGAGGCATGATTTTTGCTATGTACATACTCCCATTCTCACGTCGAGTGACTGCGAAGGTGCCGGAGAAACTTTCCGTGTGACGCCGTCTTCTGCTGTCCCCTCCCATGTCCCAGACCTTCTTGACCCTTCTGACTCGCCCTCGTCGGAATTCTTCTCCAAGCCCGCCTATCTAACGGTATCATCCCAACTACACCTTGAAGCCCTCGCGTCATCACTTTCACGAGTGTACACCCTCTCACCGTGCTTTCGCGCCGAGAGATCCCAGACAAACCGACATCTCGCTGAGTTCTGGATGCTCGAGGCAGAGTGGACGTGGGCACGAGAAATCAATGATGTATGTCAACTCGTCGAAGCATGTCTCAAGGATGCCTTGGTTTTCGGGATCGGCGGAGAAGAACGGCGAGCACTCGCGAAGGGGGTTCCTGACTACGACCAGAAGCTCCGATGTTTAGAGGATGCAGCGAGCTCTAAACCTTGGATTCGATTGACCTACACCGAAGCCATCTTAGAGCTGGAGAAATATGCAGCTGCAGCTGGACCGAAAGCTTCCACGTTCCAGTTCAAACCTCAGTGGGGCTGCGCTCTTCAGAGCGAACACGAACGGTGGCTAAGCGAGGTGCTCGTAAAAGGCCCGGTCTTCGTAACAGATTATCCAAGCTCTCTAAAACCATTCTACATGCGGACGAATGACGATGGCAAGTCAGTCGCCTGCTTTGACCTCCTGGTTCCGTATATCGGCGAACTGGTGGGTGGATCGCTAAGAGAAGAGAGGTTGGATGTGCTTCGCTCACGGATGAGTGCGCTTGGCATGGATACCGAGGGCGAGGAGTATAAATGGTACTTGGACCTGAGAAGGTTTGGGAGTGCACCTCATGGTGGATTTGGGTTAGGTTTTGAGAGGTTGATCAGCTGGGTGAGCGGCGTCGAGAACGTCCGGGAGTGTATTGCAATGCCGAGGTGGGCAAGAAGAATGTTACTCTAATGACCACTCGCTCTACAAATGGCATCTAATTACATGAAAATTTGGTTGACTAAAGGTCCGCATGCAGTGAGTGAACTGTACATGTAGTATGGAGTTCGCAGATTCGTCCGGTACAGTCCATGTGAAAAGGGTGCGCAGCACGATCAGTAAAAGGAATGCCTGAGCTATGCAAGCTTCGCGAATCCAACTCGCGAGTTACCAACGTCAAAGACGGTGTACACATTTTGAAGGAAAACGTCTCCTATAATATAGTAGTCTGTGGGACCGTTTATCTCCGAATCCGTAAAGCCACGGAAAACAGTCACCCACCACTGCCTCCACCAGCCAAACCTGCGACACAATTTGTCGAGTTGTCAGAAACCTGGCCGAGGTTGAAGGTCGAGGAAGAAACAGCGAATGCCTGTCCACCAAAGGTAATTGACGGAAGTATGGAGCCGATCGAGTCGCATGGAACTGATCGAGCGTTACATATGGTTTGCAATGATACCTGATAGCTGTGTATGCAACGGACTTACCGCTCCAGACACCACTGCCAAGACTGGGGACAAGTTCAGCCCCAGGCACATCGGCATAATATTTCTGCGCATTATCGTCACTCGTTACGATCAGGGTCGTGCCTGTATCGATGATCGCTTCGGCGTAGCTTGTGGTGTTCGCTATCACCACTTCGCCTGAGTTATTTAACCCTGGTCGCGTCAGCCCATCCATACGAATCTGCCAGTACGCTGCGAGGGACACAGAAACGTGCACCACACTTGACTGGTTGTACATATCCGTATCGGTGGCGCCAATCATCAACTCGCTCTTCCCAGAAACGGAGGAGAGGGTGATGCCAAACAGCGACTCTGGGACGGCACCGTCAGAAGTTAACGTTTGGAAAACGGGTGGCTGTCCATAAACCGAGATTTGGGGAAACCCAAGGCCAAGGAGGCCATCGGAATTGAAAGTAGGCGCTTGGAAATTAGCAGAATATGTCACTGCTGCCCCAAGCGTCTGGTTTACTGCCTGAAGGGGATAATGCGTTACTACGGGGACCAGCTGAGCTAACGACCAATCGAACTACCTCGTATCCGCCGATGAGCACATCGTCGGAGTATAGCTCACCGACTGCGCTTGAACCATCTCCGTAAGTCAGAGAAAACGTTTGATTAAGATTCACTGAGGTGGTTGACTGCGAGGGATCATAACGGTTATGCCCGTCACATGTAGAGTTACATGATGCGGACGGGAGCAAAATGTCGGAGGAACCAGTGTCAAAAACGACTAGATAGCTTGAGACATATCTTCAAATGCGTTAGAACGGTAATCTTACCTGTGAAGTTCTGAGGAGGCGACCCTACGCTGATTGCGCCGATCCACATGTCCCCGTTCTCTTCTGTAAGGGAAATCGCACCAGGCACGCTCGAACTACGTGCTGCAACAGACTCTCTCGCAAAGCCAGGTAAGTTGGAGTATTCCTCGAGAGATGCTCGGCGTTTCCGCTCGGCTTCCCTTGATTGACGTGGGGGAACCGAGGGTGGTGCTAATGGATGAGACGACCCTGTATTTGATTGATAGGCAGTGAAAGTAGAACGATACTTCCTACGACAGCGATGAGCACTCTAAACACCGGCAATATGAGCGTCCCGACGGTTGATCCTACTACATACTTGTCAGTCCATTTCAGGTGCGCCCTTAAGGACCTCGCATTCACGAGGCCTGGAGTAGGGTTGTCTCCAGAGCCAGATGACCCATGGGTAACAGGCCAACTACGCTTCAAGGGCACGCGAACAGCATTCTTGCCCGAATCAAGATTCGCAGAGCTCAAGGATGGGAAAAGGATAAGTGTGAAAAGGAGAGTGGCGAACGACACGGTGGTTGGGTGCATTAGTGGCAGGCGGCGCGCACTAAGAAAATGAGATGTTCGAGGTCGACACAGAGCAGCCAACTGTTGATCACAGAAGCGGACTGGAGGACCATGGAAGAGAAGAGCGGACGTGCAAGTTCCGCAGCCGATTTATAGCTGGCATCGCAACCAAGGTCGGGGGGAGTTGATACGTAAAATTCCAGGCGATTGTTATCCGAGTCAATCATTATTGCGCACGGAAGACCTTGGCTTACAGGTTTCGACAACGTTCACGTCGCGGATCCCTCCCGTGGAGGTGCCCCGGTCAGAGGAGACTACAAATAACACCACCGAGAATGCTGGGATGCGACTCCGTAGCGGCCCTATGCTGTTCATGATAAACCACTACCACAACTTGGGGATAGTCGGAGAACGTACAAATGAAGGTTCCAACGCCGCATCCATCTTTTGTTCTGGGGACACGACGTGATCATGATACTCATTGTAGTACAACCAATCCCGTCAGTTTCCAAGTTGAGCTACCTTCCGGAATCATTCGCGGAATGGAGACTCAAGGCTTGGACATGCCTCGAACCCTCGAAGGACTGGCACATGTCTAGCCCCCAGCCTCACACCCAGGCGCCACCGTAGGTCATCTGGCCAACAATCGTTGAGGCCTCGAACGGCGTTTTCTTTCCGTGGGGCCCCTTTTCCCTTTCATATCCAACGGGGTGGTCACATTTTCGCCACGTTCCACTTTAGAAGGGCTCTTAAACGATGACAAGAGTCTGCATCGCCTATTCCTTGAGTAGAGACGCCATCCACAGCATACTTTCAACCTATCCCCGAGAAAACGGTCTGTACTGAACTGAGGTAAGAGACGGTATCCCGGCGATATCACCAGCACCCGTTTGCTGACAGTACTCCGACCAAGCACCACCACAATGAACGTTGTCATTGCCGGCGAGAGCGGTATCGGAAAGAGCTCCTTAATAAATCTCATAGCGGGCCAGCAGTTCGCAAGGACTTCGAACGATGCATCTGTTTGTACCCTTGCGCCTCAGTCGTACAACGTCCGGATTGATGGCCGCGATTTCCTACTTTGGGATACCCCTGGCTTCAACGAAGGTCTGACGGATGCCCCGAGAACCACCAACTATTCAGAAGTGTTCCGCTCTTTCCTCCAGCGTATGAGCTTCGAGGGCGAAATTGACCTTCTTCTTTACTGCATACCGGCATCGAGGGCCAGAATTGCCATGGTGAAGAACTACCAGGCAATTTGCTCCGTCGTACCCCCAACCACTCCTATAGTGGCAGTTGTCACCCGCCTTGAAAGATACCCAGACCAAATGGAGGATTGGTGGGCAAACAACGAGGATGACCTGCAGAGCCTTGGTATGAACTTCGCTGGCCATGCTTGCGTTACAGCGCTCCCAGACTCCGGTGCACGTGCACTCCCATCTTCGATTTACCACCGTGTTGCGGAATCAAGGAAGGCACTCAGAAACCTCATTCGCCGTACTTGCCTCCCTTATTGCATTTCTCCCTCTGTCGTCGCATTTCCCTCGTCGCCGCTACCACTCCACGAATCCTTGCAGACGGAATCCGAGGTAAACCCGACCCAAGATAGCTGTCCTTTTACTGATTGGATGACAGGACCACTGCGCACCTTCGAACCCAGATTTTAAAACGTACTCCAGAACCGGAATCAGTTTACGACTTCCACGGGGACGAGCACTGAGTTTTTTTTCTACTTCAATCCGGCCTATCTGAGTTAAAGGCTTAAGAGGCGTGGTGCAGAACTATATATGGTTATCAACTGGGACTAACCGCTGGCTTCTTGATTACAATAGGGAGTGGCTACGGACATGCCATATGGCTACAATCCTACAGACGTCGTATGTATGTTCCCGGCGTTGTATTGAGAGGAGTTAGGTGAAATCAAACCCTCACATTCTACTGTTGATCAAATTCACGGGCAACTCTATAAAACATTATAAGTTGCTGAGCAACAGTGAATACGGACGGTCGTCAACAGCAGTCAGCTCGAATTTGATCGAACGGGAAGGTTACGGATTGAAAATACCGCACGGCGACAGACAGAACTATCAGGCAATTAGGTGTGAAGTCATAACGGCTTCTTGACGGTGATTCAGGAAATGACGACAAAGAGTGGGAGGCGATGGTTGTCCCAGGCCTCGACTCTGGGATTAGATCGCACGTTTCAAATGCTCTCAAAGCACGACTGTCTCGCGATGTGCGATTCCATGTCTTCACTTTACTGCCAGGACTGGGTCAGATATCCAGAGAGTTAGGGTGGTCCCTGGCAAACGTATCAAGTGACTGGCTCACAGTCACAGCCTAATCCTCCCGGAACCACTGGCAGAAGCTCTGGAAGAACATTCAATCCAGCCGTTTTCAGCCGCTGACAGCCGTCCCTCATCACCCTACCTCTGCTCAATGCTATTCCGGTCACATCAAGCCCGTGGGCCACCTTGCCTCGGGATTTAGGCTAGGGAGTCTACCGTTCATACGCCCAAACTGCTACCAAAACCTGGAGGTGAAGCCAGAATGCATCGGTACATCGCCGAGTGCATCCTCATTGGATCGTCGGGGCACATGACGAACTTCGGGAACGTTACAATACTAGCTTCTAGTTCTCGTCAAAATAACTCCTGGTGTCGGAGTTTCCGTCGATTCCATTATAGATCGTAATCTTATGACGGACGGAACTGGGATGATGCATGTACATTATCCCAACTCATCATAAGATCAACTGGAAGACTAGGATGGCGTCCCTCAACCCTCCATCGAGGACGGGATCGCGCGTGACCCGGCACACGGATAAATGTGATATCTGTTATGTTCGAAGACAATACGGCCAGTGGAAGGTCGCTTGCCGTAACAACTTGCTCCAACCACGCTTCCGTTATGTGAAGTCCTTTCGTGCCAAGCTCCTGAGAAGAGCAAGTAACAGTGTAACTAGCTAAGGACGATGTTTATTGGCCACCTCGTGTTATTTCGGATCTAGCCTCAGTAGTACCAAACGACGTGGCAAAAACTCGAGTTAAGAAAATCGACGGCATCCACGCATTGCCTAAACATTCTCGTCCTCGGTCCGCCTGGTCCGCCCATCCCGCTGCACGTGACCATGACCATGTGCCGTGACTTATAAGGACAGGGGGGCGCTACCACCTGCGCTGCTTCAACCCGACTTCATCCTCCCAGTACAACCCAGATGTCTCGCAAGATAACTCATTTTGAAACGCACGGTTGGTTCAGAATCACTCGTTATTCGCTGGGTACACGGTAGTGACCTACTCTTCGCCCGGTGCAGACATCCGTTTTCCTACCTCCCTGACGGGAGATGGTAGCGATGCTATGTAGGAGTATGGTTCCAGTCTCTTTCAAGTCTAATCCATTCCTTTCTTGGTCCATCTAGGAACACCGATTGTGACTACTCTTCCGCATACGTTACTATCTTCACTGACGGGGACGAACCCCTCGTGGGGCATGGTATGACGTTTACCATCGGTCGTGGAAACGATATCGTGAGTTATTACAACCGTATATGAATGGGACGTATATATGAGGGGAAACCAGGTGTGTCAAGCTATAGCAGCACTTGCGAACAGACTCATTGGTCTGGAACCTGAAGACCTCTTCAAGAACATGGGAAAAACGTATGATTATATCAGTGCTGACTCTCAGTTGCGATGGTAGGTGCCTCACTTCTTTGGCTTCAGCGTGGTATATAGACGGCTCCTTCCCGAAATGTAACTCCCCTGTCTACAAGTACTGCCACTCGACTCCCGCTTCAGCAACTGACCTAGCCTACTCTAATAGGATTGGTCCTGAGAAAGGAGTCATTCATATTGCCGCAGGGGCAGTGAACAATGCCTTATGGGACATGTTCGCTCGGGCGCGAAGCAAGCCTTTGTGGAAGCTTCGTGGTAGACATGACACCTGTAAGTTGCACTTTGGAACTTCGACTGGTTCACGTCATGTGTAACAACCTTCAGGAAGAGCTCGTTGATGCCACCGTATTCCGTTATATCACCGACGTCCTTGCGCGGGAAGACGCACTTGCTATGCTCAAGGCAAAGGAAGCGGGTAAACAAGAACGTGAAACCATTGTTCGAGAAGTTGGGTACGCGCTTGGTGAACAGCTCTAGGGAAACGTCAATTAACATAGCCTTATCTGTGAAGGTACCCGGCCTACATCACCTCGGCTGGCTGGCTCGGTACATATCCCCGCATTATCACTTCGCGCCGTTATTGACATTCCAACGGAACAGGCTACTCGGACGAAAAAGTTGCACGTCTCACCAAAGAAGCGGTTGCTGCAGGCTTCAACCACTTCAAGATGAAAGTTGGCGCTGACTTAGCGTCAGATTTGCGTCGCGGCCGAATTGTTCGTTCCATCATCGATGATCCCCAATACCTCCCCCAGGGTTCCAAAGGTCGTGACTCGAGCAGTCCAGAGCTTCAAGGGAAAAACGCCGGTCCTACTGGTGCCGTACTTATGGTCGATGCTAATCAAGTATGGGACGTTCCCCAGGCTATCCAATACGTGAAGAGCCTCGAAGAGGTGAAGCCTTGGTTAGTTCTCACTTTCACCATTGACGTTGTCCCACTGTGGAGTGACTACTGAATGAAATTTCAGGTTCATCGAGGAACCTACTGCTCCAGATGATATCCTTGGTCACGCCGCGATCCGGCGCGCGCTGAAGCCATATGGCATTGGTGTCGCTACGGGCGAGCATGCTCATAATCGGATGGTTTTCAAACAACTTCTTCAAGCGGATGCCATTGACGTGTGTCAGATTGATTCTTGTCGTCTTGCGGGGGTAAGCGAGGTACTGAGTGTTTTGCTCATGGCTGCGAAGTGAGTACGCGATTAGTATGACTCGCACTTACGTAGATAAACATCTAGGTTTGGAGTACCAGTATGCCCGCATGCCGGTGGAGTCGGGCTTTGCGAATATGTTATTCATCTGAGGTGTGTCCGGCTATCGGCCCTCCGCTCCTACTGTTGCCTTGCTCATGATATTGTTTCTGCAGCTTGATCGACTATATTGCTATTTCGGGAACGATGGAACGAAACGTGCTGGAATTTGCCGACCATCTTCATGAACATTTCGTTTATCCATGTTCCATCAACTCAAAGGGGCGGTACAACATACCCCTCAACCCAGCTGCAGGATATAGGTTCATGGCTTCTTCGATCAATACCTCTCAGTTGTTCACACCATCTGCAGTATCGAGATGCACAAGCGGAGTATTGCTGAATTCGAATGGCCTCAAGGCTCATATTGGGCGAAGGCGAGAACCGGTAGTGTTAACTAGTAGAGCAGTACCTAGTGATTCGAGATTGGCATGTAACGTGCACAACCCTACTGACTTCGTGAACAGAATTATTCAACCTACGGAGGTTTCCAACGGAGTAAATTTCTCCATGACTCTTCAGCCTAGGGGATTAGAAACCAGGTGATTATTAGAGCTAGATATTTGACATTCAGGCCAGCAAAGACTGCTGGGAATAAAACGTTCATCTTCGTTGGCGAGCATGAATAACTGGTCAGCTCGTGTGCAATAACATGATATAGCAATCGAGAGCAAATTATAACAGGGTGGCAGAAGGGGATACAGGGCAAGAAAGAACAAGAACCGATACAAGTTGATGGCAACGGGTTCACCCACTTCGGAAAGTCCCGACCTTCTAAATGGTTTGGTAACTCCCTAGTGAGCCGGCATCCAAATCAGTCTGATGCAAGGTAGGTCACAGGGTTAGTGAAAGACTCACATATCCGCGCCTGCCAATCTCCACTTCCAGTAGCCAACACGTTCCCCGCAGGGGCTGAGATCTATCGATATTACTATGCCGAGAATTAGGTTCGCAGCATGGTCCAAAGAGTCTGCCAACTCACCAGAATTTTTATGTCCCTGAAGCATACACTGTACATTTGCCGAGTGTGCTTCCCAGAACTGCACGCCTCGGTCTTTGGACCCTGAGACAACCCACTGCCCATCGTGGGAAACGGCAACGGACAACACATAATCCTGTTTTTGCACGTTGAGTTGCTGCGGTTGACATACCGCTCTTTCCACGCACCGTATGGCCAACGAAGTTCATGGTACACTGGCTGGTCTTCTCCAAGTCTTTCTTTCCATTTGCTACTCCGTCTTTTCGCTTGCTTCCTCCAGTAAGCAATCCGCTTACGTCCCAGTACTTCAACGTCTTATCCAGGCTGCCGCTTACTAAGCCTTTGCCGTCTGGGGTGAATGCGACGCTGTATACGCTGTCCCTGTGTCCCCTCAAGCGCTCGACCAATGCTCCTGTGGTAACATCCCAGATACGAACAACAGTGTCAAGGCTGCCAGCGGCAACAAGCTGTCCGTTGGGAGAAATGGCGACGGACGTTACACCTGCATCGTTATTCAACGAGTCTGGGTCGTTGATGGTCAAAACTTTTGAGGTCCCGTCGACCATGTCCCAGATCCGCGCAGTTTTGTCGCCGGATCCCGACACAATGAGCCGACCATCGAGTGAAAAATCTAGCGAGTATATTTCTTGCTGGTGGCCGTCGAAAACGTTGCGTATACGCTTTTTGGCAATATCCCAAATCTGTAAAGCAGGGTCAGAAAACTATATATCACAGAAGTCATAGACGGACGCGTATTTGTTTATCTTCGGCCCCAGTAGCAAGGTACTTCCCATCGGGGCTGAAGCACACACTGCGGATGTAGAGGTCTCCTGCCTTTCCAGCTGACTCATCAATTAGCACGCTGTATCATCGCAGACGGAACAAAGTTAACGGAGAAACGACGCAAAATGCTGGTGGCGCACCATGTTTTTTGACCAGTTTTGGTGTCGTAGATTTGTGCGGTCCGGTTACAGCCGGTAGCAAGGTATTTGCCATCAGCAGAAAATCTCACACAACACACGACGCTAATGAGATTGATTAGTGACTGTTCTGAGACAATGCGGGCTCGCCCTACCTCTCATGTATAAGCGTATGCACCTAAGGTCACGTCGAGGACTCGTTTCGTTTTTCGGCTAAACACAGCGAACCAGTCAGAGCCATCCTTCTTGAACTCTGGAGGGACATTGACGGGGTCAAGGTCGTCTGGAAACTGACCCCCACTCGTGCTACCGGCAGGAGCCACAGCGCTCGAGGCACCGGGAGTTGATTCTAAGGGTCCACCAGGTGGTGGGTTGCCAGGTCCTGGGGCGTACGGTGGATGTGCTGATGGAGGTGGAGGTAAACCAGGGCCTTGATAGGTGGGAGGCCCTCCTGGAGCTGGTAGTTTGGTTGGCCCTGCACCAAGAGAAGGGCTATAATGATCTACAGCAGGAATACAAGGGGAAAGGAGGGTGGTAGAGTATGCATGAGGAGGCAGAGAACGAGCGAAGCTTGAAAGGAATTATCTACCTGGGCGGTCACTCTTCATACGCTCAGTCTTAATACGCTTCGGATCACGACTACTCTCAACGGGAGGGCGTTCACGCTCTCTGTCGCGTTGATCTCTCTCTCGATCCCTCAACTCCCGCTCTCGGTCGCGTTCAAGCCGTTCGCGATCTTTGTCCCTCTCACGATCACGATCACGCTCGCGTTCGCGTGCATAATAAGGGTCGGGGTACGAAGCAGGGCCCGTGGCTGGTTGAACGCCTGGGACAGTGGGTGGCCCTGCAGGGGGACCTGAAGGTCCGATGGTTCCAGGGCCGACAGTTGGATGAGGCGGAGCGCCGCCAGGTAACCCTTGTCGGGCGGCGTGCAGTTCCGCACGTAATCGGGAAAGCTCTTCTTCATACTGCTGGCGAATTTTTCCATGTTGCGATTCTAGCTCGTACAAAGACTGGCGAATGATGTTGAGCTCGTTAATTTGAGAAGTAACTGAGTACACAGCATATTTTAGCAGATTAGTTGAGAAGGCCAAACTCACAAACCTTTGGATTCGTATTCGTCGCGTTGGTTGCGGAGAAGTCCCATATCAGAAGTCAGAACCTCAAATTCGCCTCTGATATTGTCGAAAGATTCGTTTAGCCTAGCATGTGTGTGCTGGCCAGGGCCCTGGGTGGGAGGGCCAGTGGGCTGAAGGCTCCTATGCTAATGAAAATCGGATGAATTAGAATGGTTGTTATGGAATGAAGCCATAGGGACAAGGAAGAGCAACCCAACGCAGACCGAAATTTTGTGCTGGGTTAGACGCTCGGAATCGTGACACGGGCGGTCATTATTGGCCGTATTGCAACCCGGAAGACGGCCGTAAACGGGTGCTACAGAGAGTGTCGATAGTGTGAAGGGGATACACTCACGTTGTATATTGTGGAGGACATGGAAGAGGTTGGGAACGTCGGAATGGCTGTTGATCAGCGCCCTTTATAAGAACGGTGGTTGTTGGGACCCTGACACCTTCCCTTGGTTTCCCACGCATGACGTTGCCGGCGGTATCTCCTTTTTGGGTTACCGCCACGTTTAGTGCAGCAGCAACACGTGACCAAAACTCAAACATGAATCACGCACCCCTGTTTGGGTAACTCGACTTTCAAAGTCAGCGGCACCCAAGATCTTGATTGGTTATGTAACCACCTTTCATTTTGGACAAGCGACACCTCCGCTGTGGTGGGGGAGGTTCCCACGTTTGCAGTGGACTGCAACACGAGTTGTTGTTGTCCCATCAGGATGGCTTGATATCCCATTGGCTGTCTGATGGCTTTATCCGTGCAATATATCCACCTATGATATCCTGTTGGGACCTGACGTCACCACCACAGCCTATCAGAGGTCTTCCTGTACAAACCCGGCTTCTGATGGAGCCAGTTCTCCTATCGCTCACCCCGCACGAGGTACTGCGGCTCGCAATATACCGGTTTAATACATCTGAGTGTCCTAAACCCCGGTGGGGCTGGTGGTGCTTGTTCTGTCAGCCTCGTTGGTTTTTAAGATGGCCAAGTCAAATTCGATTAGCAGAGTTCTTGTGCGGTGCTCAGTTGACCGTGCCGTCTACCCACGGATAGCAGTCTACCGCCTTTTAGATCCTCCGTAATACTATGCAGTTCATCAGTCCTGTGATAGGCTTGAGACATCAACCACCGGGCGGTTTAATACACCAGTCTAGATTCCTACGGCTAATTTAACGGTTCAGAATCACCTTCTATCACGGCCCATTTTAATACTCGGTCTAGTCCCAACATCACCTTCTGTTCTGGTCGGTTTCAGCTCCAGCGCTCAACTCCGCCTTGAGTCTTGACGTACAGAGGTGTCACGAACCACATGTAGCTTCGTTCGTCCTTCCCTGGACCGTTTCCCATATACATGCAAAGTTCTTGATTTGACAAGCTTGACAGCATCGTTTAGCTTTCAGCCCTACTTAAAGGCAGGTCGCCAGGTCGTTTCTCTCCCACCCTCCAGGACACGGAGGGCAAGCGTCGTAGCCTACTACATACCTCTGGGTTCCAGGTTCCAATTGCTACTTCAGCTTCTCCATTCTTTCACGATGTCGGACAGTCTAGACCCTTTGACTGCACCGGCTTACTCGGTTAAGGAAGGAAACGGCTGGCTTGTTGTGTTCAATCCTGATGCTCCACGCCAAATGGATGTCCAACTTCACCAACGATACGTGCACGATGGGTAGGTAAGTCGCGCGTACCTGCATATGACTCTTATTAATCGTGCCACTTCCGCCTTATGGGCAAGAACAGAGTCGTTTGCTGCATCAAATTCTCTTCAGATGGCAGGTGGCTTGCTGTGGGGACAAACAATGCGGTCATCCTGTATGATTTGACTCAAGACCAGAAAGTTACGTGCGTGGCCGTGCAATCATCCAGCTGTGTCTACCGGCATTCATACTGTAACCGGGCTTTTATAGTTTCTCTCTTACCAGCGAGGAAGGGACTGGAAAACCCAACCATGCTCGCAGCGTCACAATAAGTCCCGACTCCAAGTTCTTAGTTGCTGGGTCCGAGGACAACATTATTCGAGTATGGCGTCTTCACAACTTCTGGAGGGCACCACATGTATTGATTGCCTCGTACCTTCCAGATCTGGGACATAGAAAGCTATGCCTTCATTCGATCTCTCGTCGGACATCGGGGCGAGGTGTACGCGCTAACTTTTACTGCGGACTCCTGTTATCTGCTGTCAGCGTCAGGAGATCGCACAGTACGAGTTTGGGACACCACACAGTTCCAATCCAATGCCGCAGCCGAGGTCCCGCATCGCACTCTCCACTCAGCTGATCCACAGAAATCAAAGCAGGTCTTCACCTCCCTTTCAGTTGATTCGCTGTCATCATTCGTAGCGGCCGGATCTCTTGATGGCATCATTAGGGTGTGGGACATCCGGCCAGAATTGGGACGAGAGGAACCCGTTGGTGTGATGAGCGGTCATGCTGACGGGGTGTACGGTATCCAATTCCTGCCAAGTTATCCCGATAGCGACGTGGTGACGCTCGTCAGTGCGAGTCTGGATCGGACACTGCGGCGTTGGGAAATCAGAGTAGATGAGAAACAATTTCTCTGCAAGCAAACTTTGACTGGCCACAAGGTTCTGTCACGCGTCTTCTGTGTTGCGAGTCTCTGAGTTAACTTGACTTCCAGGATTGCGTACTGGCAGTATCTACTCTGCAAATAGGGCGGGAGCAGCGTCTTGCCTCAGCGTCTCGTGATGGAACAGTCCGCTTATGGGATCTGAAAACAGGAATGCCCTACTTTATGATTCAGGGCCACACGAATACTGGTAAACTTCTCGTCTTGGTCTGCGTGTATGTATGCTGAATAATAGCTTCGTGCGCGGTAGTAACCTCTGTGGACCTTTGCACCGATGGCATGCTTCTGGCATCCGGCAGTGGCGATAGGGAAGTCAGAATCTGTGAGTTACTTGTAAACCACGAATGTCTTTGGGTGTCACAGCGCTCACTCTTCAATCTAATAGGGAATTATACCATTCAGTAGCTTTATCTCGTAGTTTTCGCAACGCCCTGCGGTTACCTCTTGCCACTCATGATCTCGACAACGAACACAAAATGGATTTGGCGACAACTCTACAAGTTGGAGAAGTGGATGATACCCTTAGTTTTCCATTCATTGCTTTGGTGGCAGGGTTCTCTGGAAATTCTCGAGTCCTACACACTACTACCACGTCGTACATTCTTAACCAGACTTTGGCTTACCTAATGCTCTGTACAACTAACGGAAACCCCACAAAATACAGTTGTATCGCCGGAGCCGTCGTTCAGTATGGTCCTTGTACTCATTATTGGTGATTTGTATATCCCTCATCGTGCCCATGACCTTCCGTCCAAGTTTCGAAAGCTCCTTGTTCCTGGAAAAATCCAGCAAATCCTCTGTACAGGCAACGTTTGTGATCAGGAAACATACGAATATCTACGCACGGTAGCAAGCGACGTGTGCGTCGTGAGAGGTGACTACGACGAGGTACGAAAGGCTCTTGTATCTGCTGCGTGACAAAATGACGGCTCCGATGAAGCGTCAGTACTGACGTAGTTTGTCGTGTGTCCCAGAACACTGGTTTTCCGCCCTCTGCCATAGTGGTGCACCCACCGATACGGATTGGCATTGTACATGGTCATCAATGTGTTCCCACAGGCGATCTTGACGCCCTCAGCGCTCTTGCGCGACAAATGGATGTCGATGTCTTGATTTCGGGTCACACCCATACGTCAGTCTTGACTATACGTTTTCAACGTTGTCTTAATGCTAAATGGGCCTGGGCGATAGGTTTCAAGCGATAGAATATGGGGGGCGATTCTTTGTGAACCCGGGCTCTGCAACTGGCGCTTGGACTGGCTTGCATAACAGGTGCGTGATATGAATTTGGGCACAGGATTGGATAGTACACATATCCATTGACGGTTGATATTATTGTAGTGACCCGACACCATCATTCGCTTTGATGGATATACAAGGTCCAGTCGTTGTCACTTATGTTTATCAATTGGTGGAGGGGGAAGTACGCGTCGAGAAGATCGAGTACAGGAAGGAAGTTGAGGTTCCTAAACCAAACCCAGCCCCTCCGCAAACGAGTACGGGTTACTCGGCACCAACGAGCCCGCGGTCAACACAAGGTGCATGGTAGTACTGTTGTTGTCTTGGAATGGCTAGCATCTTTTGGGTGGAAGCATGCTGCATTCTCATCGTGAAACTTGGCAGTAATCACACTTTAGTCTTCTTCTAGCTTGGGAGTTTTCGATGTGCTCCCTTTCTTGCAAGCACTTCACATTGCAGATGTGTAAGTACCATGGGGACCCTGTATACCGACGGATTTTTGCCCCCGCCGTGACACCAGTCGGCAGCAGTTCTGTAGTATCTGCCATAGTCATACCAACACGATCACTGCCAGCATTCATCTGAAGTGACCCGGCGCTCCGGACGAGTAATAGTCGTTCATCCTATAACTTGCAATAGGATGGGATAGGAATACCATGCTTGGTCTGAGAGAGAACTTCGCACCGTGTATTCACGACTCCTCCCTTGCCTCAGCCTCTAATATTTCACGCTCCAACCTTGCGCGTTCCGCTTCTCGCATGCGTAGGAGAGTGAGTGACTCGTAATCCATGGTGTTATTTGTCTTGGTTGCCACCGAGGGTGAACGGGAGGGAGGGAACGTGGAAGGCTGCACAGTGGTGTGGCGTCAGTACAAGAGTGGAAAGGAATGAGGTACAAAAAGATGTAGAGTAGTGAGTGGGTTGCATGACAAGCCAGAACGAAGGCGAACAAACGAACGAAGCGACTTACGAAAGTAGAGGGAAACGTAGAAAATTTACTACTGTCTGCTTGGCCCTTCGTGGTCTCTTGTTCCGCCGCAGTGGTATCATCGGGACCTGGTGCTTGGGGACTGGAACTGCCTGTCGTTCCGCCAAGCTCACCGCGGTCACGTAGCCATTGCAATATAGGTGGCTCAGAGCCACCTGCCCATGCAACTTCCATGCCCTCCTCCTTGAGCTTTGGGCCGCTGGAGACCGCTCCAAATGCAGCGCTGATTTGCGTGAAAGTCACAAGAGCATTCACCAACATCTTCGCGTTGCCCAGTTCGTTGGAGGTGTCCTGATCTGGAGCACCAGACTTCTGCCTTTTCCCCGGCTTCTTTGCTTTGACTGATAGAACGATGGCGTCTTCATCAATGGCTCCAAACCGTTGAAAATGAGCCGCTAGGGCAGAGGGAGCATCAAGCGTTGGATATTTAGCGAGGGGGAATTTGATGCGGATGGTCGTATCATAGGGTCCGAGCGGTGGCGGGGCGTCCACGTCCATGTCTTCCTGTTCTGCCTGCCGGTATGCCCTTACTGACTTTGCTCTGTCCCGCTCCTCAAGCTCCCTTTCCCTTTCTTCCCTAAGCCGTCTTCCAGCCTCTTTCACACGTTCGTTCTCACTCTCCTTTGCGAACTTCTCCTTCTCCTTCTCTAGACGGGTTTTCTTAAATTCTCGTTCGCGTTCCTCGAGTTCAAACACGAGATTCTTTCGCTTTGCGTCGTATGCAGCGAAGCGCGCTTTCTTTGCGGAAGCGAGTCTGAGCTGTGCGTCGAGAGCGAGGCGACGAAGAGGGTCGAGTAAGAGATTGGATGCATTCGTGAGTTCATGGAATTTCCGAGCTAGAACGGTTATTATACAGCAGATAAATAAACGTTATCCATGTGTAGTATAACAATTTCTTACCTGCGTCTGGGTCTTTTCTATTCTACAGAACATCCAGTGAGGTGTGTCCAGAGTATTCCGAGTATAGAAGAGACGTACCCTATCTGGGTGGACTTTGAGTGACCTCGAGCGGTAAGCACTTCGTATCTCAGCCTCCGTTGCCTCTTGCGAGATTCCAAGGAGCTCGTAAGGATTGATGTCGGTCTCCGTCGGTGGTGCTGGGGCCATAAGTGAGTTATCGAAGGGCTGGAAGTGGATCAGCTGTTAGGAGAGACCAGTTGCCAAATTGGGACTCTCAACCTCCGTTACGCACCAACTCTTGCGGTGCTTTTGTTCGTCGTCGGTCAGAATGGCAGCCAAAGGAAAGGCAAGGTATGAAGCAATATAAGAGACCGTGTTTCACCGCGCTGAACCCGTTTTCCTCAGAACTCTAATCGTTCGACTCATTTCCACTGCTCAAACCGGGTATTTTTACACGACCCAACGAGTGCGCACCGGTCCGAGGCTTTCGGCGGTCAAGTACGACCCAATAGGTTTGCTGCTGTCCTTTCGCGACTTGTAGGCATTCCTGATCAATTTTCTTTCACTTATTCAGCGAAGTCTAGGGTGCTTTTTGTGGAGAGTAAGAAGACCAGGAAGTAGTGCTTTAGTCCGTGATACTCGTTCGTATCACTTGTTCCCGTGGACATGCAGGGCTGCATTCCTAAATTATACAACTGGCATTCAGGCGTCCGCACTGTACAGCAGTTTGCCTAACCACTCATACGTTAATGCGCGGCTAGTACTTTCAAACTCAAACACCACACTCCCCCCAGTATGTCTCGGCACCATCGTTTTATGTTCATTTCGATACTCCTGTGCGGCTTCCATGCACTAGGTGTAATTCATCCCCCGTTGCTCGTGGAGAATGGCAAGAGCAACGAGGGATGCTGATTTGACGTCTTTCATTTCAGACTGAGGTTTCATTGACATATACACGATGATTGGTAAGTTCTGACTGGTGGTGATGGTGGTAGGTGGTGGTGGTGTAGCCAAGCGGAGGCATGTCACGCAGTTTTTCTTTTTCTGAGCGAGTGTCCGCCGTCGAAGAGAAATGCTAAGATTCTACAAGTCGTGGGTGTACACTTATCCGTGTTAAATCTACGATATCTCCCCGAAGCGGTTCTTCGCAATGAACTTCGATAATTTCAGCGAAACTAAAAGAAGATTCAAGTTTAATATTAACGCAGCAGGTTAACCTTTCAGAAAGTCACGTTGGAATCCACTTTGCACATATCATTGATATCGCGATGGTATCTGTACATGATATACGTCGGCAATACAATTGCGTATTGTGATCTAGCACAAATATACACGGTATGAGAAAGTAAATTCAAGGGTGGGTAACTTCATGCGCGTGAATGACGGGCTGGATAAACTGGCCGATAACAATATCGGCGGCCTGATCTTGATCAGACTTAACCCGACGCACGCTCGTTGCCTGCGCCACTGGACTTGCCTGTGTATCCATCTACGCCTTTCTCCGGATGTTCTACCTCAGCGAGCTCGCCTGGATAAACTCGGTGCCGGATGTCTCCATCGACATGATGCCCATGTACGACCATGTAAACCTTGCTTCCAACGGACACCAGAGGGTTGCTTGTATCGTGAAGGTGCAACGGGCTGCCAGCATGGTAGAATGGCATGTCTGCTTGCTCCTTCGTATATAAAACCGGTGTGTAGTTTCGGTTCCCCGGAGTCGCATCTTCGTGGACGTACGGTGGAGGGGGCGAAGTATCGCCAACGTGCGGATAGATGTCCTGTTCGTCGAAAAATTCAAAAGACCTATGATCTGCAAGGTTCCCGCCTTCCAAATAATCGGACTCCAGAACACTGTCACTGGCAGGAGAGGGGTAACGTCTTTGACAGGAGGCAGCGACCGGTGAGAAAGAAATCCCTGAATCGTTATCCGGCAATGTAGCATCCTCAAGGATCTTCATCGTTACATGCGACTTGTCTTTGAAGGCGTGCACGATGTCTGCCTCCGGGCGACTAGTTATTAGAATCCGGAAGTTGGGAGGTAGTTCTGCGGCCTTAGTTGCGAGTACATTAAGCAGATCCTTTCTCTGGCGGCCTTCTCCACAGACATCTAGGGCGTCAATGACGATAACCACTGGTCCATACCAACTGACGTGTTTGGCTGGTTCCAAGATGAGTTCTTGGAATTGTTTGCGAACGCCGTTCGTCGTTCGTACGGCACACTTCTTCACTTTCTCGCCAACAACTTGCTTGAAGTGGGGATTATGATCTGCAATATCGCGAGAAATATTGCGGAAGATGCAGCTGGGATCGCGGGGATCATTGTGATGTGATTGGCAATGTTGGTGGGAAGGATTTTGAGATTCACGGATAAAGTAAGATGATCCAAGTCGTTGTAACCCGTCAAATAAACGAGCCACTTCGCGAGCGACAGCGGTCTTTCCACATCCAGCTGGTCCGCAAACATAAAAGATGCGCTCCATCGAGTCACCATTAATCCAGCGGGCAATCTCGTCGCTGAGTTCACGCCGGTCAGGTGCCATAGAATCACATTCGTCCACATCAGTATAGTGGACGTCCTCAGCGTAATGCATGTTTTCGAGGGGTATTTGCACAGCTGTAGGATACTACTTGAGTTTAATTCTCGCATTTTACTGAGCGAAAAGCTCACCTATTCCTTGAACTTCGTCATATAGACGTAACACAGTGACCGCGATCGAAATAATGGCACGTTCCTGCAGAGCAGCCCTCAGCTGCTGGAACCTCTGGGTGTATTCCTGGAACTTTCGCTCGGTATTTGTCAATAGTCGGCCTATAAGGTGTCCTAGAAGGGGCCGTTTGGGAGCATGGTTTGCACCGCAACGTCAGCACTCACCGAAACCGCCCTCCGTGATGTCTCGAAGGAAATACAAGCACTCGACCGTCTGGAGCGAGAGGGCACGGATGATCTGTCGATGAGACTGTATCCTCGAGAGTGGATCTGACTCGGACAGAAAACTGTGAGCGTCGGCCATGGTTTCAACGAGATCTTTGACGTTGTTTTTGAAAACCATTTGCAATGTGAAAACCTACAAACGTGGAAAGTAAGCACCGGGCATCCCAGGACGGCAAGCGCGCATGCCTTGATCACTCCTTTCAGGATTACGGCAGCCATCTTCACGTAGGGATGAATCTACCAATAGGTGCTCAGCGTTGTGGCAAATGTGAGCAAAACTCAATCACTCACATCCCCGAGGGCATCAGTAAACGTGAGAAAGATATTGATCTTGTCCAGCAGCGGGCTAAAAGTATTTGCACTTTCCAGTATTTGTTGGATCCGGCCGTCATTGGGGAAGAGAGCAACAATCGCCGCAATTGAAGTGGTAAGTTCCGGGCGATTCTCTTTAACCGGGGGTCCACTGGTCACATTACGAAAGCCGGGTTCTTCAACTTCCCCTACACGCTCGACTGAAAACCGAAATTTAGTCTTCGAGACAGGGTAATGATGGTCATTATTGGGATGGGAGAGTGAGACCTCGTGGGGAACAGCTGGGCGATCTCAGATCAATTAAACACGTTCTCAAGACGACTACAACACCTGCCCCACCTTTTTCAGAGGAGCCAAGAAAAGCATCCAATCTGCCTTGAACCGAACCAACATATGTGTCTTTATGGAGCATACGCCAAGCAAAAACCCGCAATGTGATAACAGAAGATTGTCGGGCATCACTTCGAAATTTCCTTCAGTCCGTCACGTTACCGATAAACCAATGATCGCGTACAAGATAAAGCTATCTTTCCAAGGTAATTTGTGTTTGCCGACGATAGATGTTGTTTGAACCCGCCCATCAACATCAACGTCCACGTAGAACGAGTCATCGTGACCCCAACGAATTGAAGGGGGATGGCGTAGGTCCAGTTCTAACAACATAAGTCAGGAATGCTTGCAAAATCGGAGTATCGGATAGATATATACCATTTATCTGTACGCGAAAAGTGGGTTCCGCCAATCTTGGTGCATTGAAAGCCTGAAGGATCATATTGCCGAAAGCGGGGCCGATGGCGTGGGAGTGTACATTAGGCCTGCCGTCTAGTCAGAAAATAACACCCCGGAAGATCCTCGGTGAAATACACACCCTGTGTTACTGTCGGGGCGCATGGTGGTGTCAAGTGGACGGAAGCCTGAGCTATCTTGGTCAGTAGAATTGAAAGGAGATGGGACGAATTGCGAGGGAATGGGGTAGTTGAGGGCTCCGATAGAAGTAGGAAAGGAAGAAAAAAGAAGTTTGAAGAAGAGGTCCTGCAACTGTTGGGTGGGTACATTTTAAAACTCGGGGGAGGTGGGTCACCGGAGCGTGAAGATCTTGATCGGGTGGTACATAACAAGTGGTAACGGCAGCGATACGGATGAGCGCCAGCATGAGAAATACTTACTTCGTATGCAGTCCCCAAGCGCCATGAAAAAAACGGGGTGTGGGCATGGGCCCCGGCTGATCGGGGTGTATGGAGGAGGCAGACACTGCTCCGTCTTCCCCAATTAGCATATATAGCAAAGGGTCTGCAAACGAATTGATTCGATTAGAATGAAGCGGCGCTCGACCAGAACGTTCCTCGGCGCTATTGTGTAAAGTTCATTTCGATATTCCTATGCAGCCCCGTGCATCTCATGTTATTCATGTCCCCATTGCTCGTGGGGAATAGCAAGGGCAGGGAGAGATGGGGGTTGTATCGGACGCCTTGCCAACCTGAGAAACAGTGAGTTCCATTCACATATTTCACATATATGTATTAGTGGACGGAGGCACATCAGCCAGTTTTTCTAAATGAGTGTCAGCCTTCGGAACGTTGTGAGATTCTAAATGTCGTGGGTGGTTCGGGATCTGGTTGTTATCTTCCCGAGTCCCGACAGGTCAATGTTTTGGAAAGCTGTATTCAGTGATTCAGTGAAATGTTTGGTTGGTTGGCTTTTGGTCGTTCAACCTGTGTCTACGCACAAGGCAGTCAATAATATCACTAGCGTGACCATAGGACGGCTGGACATGCTTTTTTTTGACTCCAAATTTGAAACTTCGGCTCGGCCCTCGCCCGGGTGCGCTGAAGCGCTGAACAATGCACATTCCAACCGCCATGGCTCGCTACCGAAGGCCACCTTGTTGAGTACGCTTCATGCAAAACTAATCGAGTTAAACGGTGGGAGTGACTCTCAGTGAGACACTTCTTTATCCATCGTCGGGACTGTACCCGTACCCCTGTCCAGTCAACCTATATCAGTACTTGCAAGCTCGCGTCGTGGCACTGCTCCGCACGCCAGGATACCGTGGCTACACATGTCCCTGTGGCCATGTACGCACCACCTGCCTGTATATGTCTTGTGCCTAGATCTTTTTTCGACGTGCGCGGCGAACATTGATGTTGGGAGCACTCTTCCGCTCGTTTAATCCACTCTTTTAACACCAAGTATCTTTAGTAGATGCGAGGCGCTCTGGATAAAGCCCTGACCATCGGAAGTCACGACATCACACTACTAGCACTGTTGCCAGTGCTTACCGAAAAACTATCAAGCTGATACAGTCTGCAAATATCATTGATATCGCGATCGTATGAAGTATCCGTACATCTTATACATATTGCCTAATGTGAGCCAGCACCAAGATACACGTACACGCTATGAGAAGGTAAAATCAAAGGTGGATAGCTTCATGTGCAACAATCAGTCGTGAACGGTGGACTGGCCGGCGGCACTGGCGATTCAGAGTGTCGACGACCGGGAATCGATCAGATTTGACGCGGCGCAACGTCGTTGTCTGTGCACTGGACTTGCGTGTGTATCCATCCATGCTTTCCTCTAGATGTTCTGTCTCAACAAGCTCACCAGGATGATCTCGGTACCGGACGTCTCCGTCGACATGATGCCCATGTACAGCCCTGTAAACCTTGGCTCCAGCGGACTTCAAACCGTTTCTCCCATCGTGAAAGTGCAACGTGTGGCCTCTGCGCAACGAGCCCCCAGTGGAGTGAGACGTTATGTCTGTCTGCTCCCTCGTGTGCAAAACTGGAGTGTGGGTTTGATCCCCGGGAGTCGCATCTTCATGAACATACGGTGGAGGGGGTGAAGTATCGCCATCGTATGGATGGATGTCCTGTTCATCAGAAAATTCATACGATCTATAGACATCGTTAAACTCCGTAAGGTCTCCTCTGTCTTCCAAGTAATCGGATTCCAGGACGCTGTCACCAGAAGGAGAGGGAGAACGTCTTCCGCAGGAGGTAGTGACTGGAGAGAAAGAAATCCCTGAATCGTTATCCGGCAGCGTAGCATCCTCAAGGATCTTCATCATTACATGCGACTTGTCTTTGAAGGCGTGCACGATGTCTGCCTCCGGGCGACTAGTTATTAGAATCCGGAAGTTGGGAGGTAGTTCTGCGGCCTTAGTTGCGAGTACATTAAGCAGATCCTTTCTCTGGTGGCCCTCTCCACAGACATCTAGGGCGTCAATGACGATAACCACCGGCCCACACCAACTGACGTGTTTGGCTGGCTCCAAGATGAGTTCTTGGAACTGTGTGCGGACGCGGTTCGTCGTTCGTATGGCACACTTCTTCACTTTCTCGCCAACAGCTTGCTTGAAGTGCGGATTATGATCTGCAATATCGCGAGAAATATTGCGGAAGATGCAGCTGGGATCGCGGGGATCTTTGTGATGTGATAGGTAGTGTTGGTGGGCAGGTTTTTGAGATTCACGGACAAAGTAAGATGATCCAAGTCGTTGTAACCCGTCGAACAAGTGAGCCACTTCGCGAGCGACAGCGGTCTTTCCACACTCAGCTGGTCCGCAAACATAAAAGATGCGTTCCGTCGAGTCACCGTTAATCCAGCAAGCGATCTCGTCGCTGAGTTCCCGCTGGTCAGGTTCCAAGGAATCGCATTCGTCCACATTAGTGTAATGAACGTCTTCAGCGTAATACATGTTATCGAGTGATATTTGCGCAGCTGTAGAACACCACTTGAGTTTAATTTCACAGTTCGCTCAGCGAAAGGCTCACAAATTCCCTGAACTTCGTCGTATAGACGCAGAACATTGACTGCGGTCGAGATAATGGCCCGTTCCTGCAGAGCGGCCCTCAGTTGTTGGAACTTTTGGGTATAGTCTTGGAACTTTCGTTCGGTATTGGTCACCAATAGTTGTTGGCTCACAAAGCATCCTAGGACGAACCGTTTGGTATCATTGTTCCTAACGCAATGCCAAAACTTACCGAGACCACCCTTCATGATATCTCGAAGGAAATACGAGCACTCCACTGTCTGGGCTGATAGGGCACGGATGATTTGTAGATGGGACTGAATCTTCGACAGCGGATCTGACTCGGACAGAAAACTGTGAGCATCAGTCATGGTTTCAACGAGATTCTTGACGTTGTTTTTGAAAACCATTTGCGATGTGAAAACCTACAAACGCGGAAACTAAGTACCCTGCACGCCACGATAGTAAGAGTGCATACCTTGACTACTCCAGTAAGAACTACAGCAGCCATCTTCACGTAAGGATGGATCTGCCATAAAGGCGTTTAGCATTGTGGAAAATCCGAATGAAATGTAATTGCTCACATCGCCGAGGGCATCAGTGAACGTGAGAAAGATATTGATCTTGTCCAACAGCGGGCTAAAGGTATTTGCACTGTCCAGTATTTGTTGGATCTGACCGTCATTGGGGAAGAGAGCAACGATCGCTGCAAATTGAGGGACAAGGTTTCGCGCCGATGCCTTCGCCTGTAATATTTTGCTGCTTGAGTGGCCTGGATCCATTTCCGGTTCCTTGGTTGCCGGCTGATCCCGTACGCCCCCTTTATTTTTCCATGAGTCTTCCTTTGGCCGGTGATGTTCAGTAACCGGTAGAATTTCCTCTTTAGTCGGAGGTGGACTGGGTACCCTAGGAAAACCAGGCTCCACAACCTCCTCCACACGCTTGACTGAAAACGAAAGTCTAGTCCTTGTGGCAGTGTGATGGTGGTCGTTGTTAGAATGCGGGGGTGAGACATCGTGGAGAACAGCTGGGCGATCACAAATCAACTTAAATACGTTCGCAACGTGGTTGCAATACTCGCCCCACCTTTTCCAGAAGAGCCAAGGAAAGCATCCAGTCTGCCTTGAACGGAACCAACATATCTGTCTTTATGGAGCTTGCGCTGGGCAAAAACTCGCAGCGTGATAACAGACGATTGTCGGGCATCACTTCGAAATTTCCTTCAGTCCGTCACATTGCCGATAAACCAACGATCGCGTACAAGGTGAAGGTCTCTTTCCAAGGTAATTCGTGTTTGCCGACGATAGATGTTGTTTGAACCCGACCGTCAATATCGACGTCCACGTAGAACCAGTCTTCGTGACCCCAACTAATTGTAGGGGGATGATACAGGTCGAGTTCTAACACACGTCAGAAATACTTGCAAACATAGGGGGGCCAGGGAGATACATACCCTTTATCTCTACGCGAAAAGTGGGTTCTGCCAGTCTTGGTGCATTTAAAGTCTGAATCATTAAATTGCCAAAAGCAGCGCCAATGCAGTGGGAGTGTACATTGGGCATGCCCTGAATGCTGCAGGCCAGTTAGATAATAACGACGAAGAAGAGCGTCGGTGAATACACACCCTGTGTTGCTGCTGGGATGCCACATGATGATGCCTACAAGCTAAGTGTGTCAAAGCCTGTGGCTATATTAGTCAGTAGCGTTGAAGGGGAGAGGACGGGGCGAATTGCGAGAGAATGGGGGGAAGGCTCTGACGGAATGGTGAAAGAAGGAAGAAAGAGGTTGAAGACGAGGCTCTACACCTGGTAAGTGGATACATAACGCCTTCTAAACTGGGGGAGGGGGTATGTCATCGAAGCGTGACAAAGATCTGGCAGCGAAATTGATGAGTGGTTGCGGAGCACTTGACATAGACGAGCGCCGGAATAAGGAACGGTTACTTTGTGTACCGTCCCCGAGCGCCATGGAAGAAAAAAAACGCGGCGTGGGCATGGATCTAGGTGTGTGGAAGAGTCTGCCACCTCTCCGTCTGACCTGTGCAAGCAAAAAGATTTCATGCCTTGTACAAAAGATCATAGGTTTGGGAGCGAATCGGTTCGATTAGGATGAACCGGCGCTCGATCAGAACGTGCAATCTCACATACACGCCGCTGTCCATGTCAGAGTTCATGAGATACACGTTGAATAGGGCAGGCAGATACACAGACTAACCGTCGATAACATATCGCCGGCCTCAGATAGATCCTGATCCGACAGGAGCCCTTGATGAGACCATGTGGGAAATCAAATCTCCCTACGCACAACGGTTGCCATTCTTACCTTCGACGATGTCAATGCGACCATACCGGCTACAATTGAACAGGACCCATCTGCTGTATATGCCTGCACCCGAGACCAGCGAAGGGCCCATGTTATCGGGGACAGTGGTCCAAGTCTGCCTGCGCACCAGTGAACAAAAGTAATACAAGTAATACTTCCTATCATCAAGGAAAGGGTCGCTGACACGCGGTCATACAAGCACGCATATACGCGACTCTCTCCTATTCTCGGAAGAACAAGAATGCATTACGGTAAGTTCGCTTTCGGGGAGGGCGACTCCGTGCGTGAAAGACGTTTTGCAAAGGACGCAATCGAAGCGCTGCTTTTCTGGCATGTAACAACCATGTCGAACCTTCCCGAGCACATCACCATCACCAACCCTCTTCGTGGGTACACTCTCGCTGGCGGTAAGACCGAGTCACTTGACCTTTCAACACTATTTTTGTCCTCAACTCTACCTCAATCTTCTGACGCACCACCATTTAAGTGCGAAGACCCTGGAAATATGGTCAAGGTGTGCGGTTCTTTATCGGCGACAATCGTCTGCATTCTGCGGAAGACAAGTGGGTCTTTACCTTGGAAGTCTCAAATTGAATGTTTGGAACCTCGGTTGTTTCCGCTTAGTTCGGCTTCTCTTGAGAAATAATAAGTGTCATGCTGTATTTGACATGCCTGTAGTGGCAGGCAAGCGTATCTCTGTTTGGGCAACTCACCAACCCTATTCCACTCTTCTCATACATGAGGGAACGTTTATCACTAACTCCTTCTCTTCCCACCGTTCATACCGGCCTTCTCGAAGGCTGACGAGATAACGCTCCTCCACGCTTTCACATACTCCATCCAAGTTGTCCAGCGCCTCAAGAAGTGCATTGAGAGAGGAGAGCCCATCTGTAATTCACTCGATGAGCATCGATATCAGCCATGGCACGAGACATGGTACGCACCGAACATTTGGATGCGAAGCTGAATTAGGTTCTCGGATGGATGCGGAACACTGTAGATTAGATCAGTGACCGTATCTTTACCTTGTCAAGGGAAATATGTGGGGAGGTATTAGCCGGTGAACCGGGGGAGAAAGCACAATTCCCCCATGGTTTTGGGGACCACGCTCAAGATTCACGTACCTGTAACCACAGAATTGCACTTTCGGACTGTGTTGACCATCCATACGTGAGTCATGGTGCTCCATGTTCAACGACCGTTTCTCTGGTAACTTACTTTTTCATGATCATCCACCGGAGAGCATTGCCCATAGTGTGCGTCTCGTCAAAAATTTGGTACGTGGCAGCAGAAAGGTCTGGCGCAGCGCCTTTCATCTAGAATGTATCAGCACGACTGTCCGAATAATGGTGAAAGAACTTACAATCCTGATTTTTGGGGTCGCTTCCGACATGGCTGAGATTTTGCACAAACTATCCCCCGTCGAAAGGGCTGTCGCCTATTGTCCAGAACAAGTTTTTTTTTTCTGACAAGTCAAGTTTCCAATCTCGACTGAGTGTCGTCAAAGAAAATGAATGGTACACGAAAACAAAAAGACAATGAAACTCCAGGGTGACAATAGTGCTATAGATTTGTTCAGGAGAGCATCTAACATTGTTTTGCGTACAGATCCCGCGGGAGGGAGACAAACAAGACCAAACACAACTCCCCGCTGCTCCTTTGTCCGGCCCGGCATGCACAATGCAGCGTCGCCGACCGCCTTTATCCTTCTACTTTGGCACGCAATGGCTGCCCGTCGCTTAGTCGATCATATACGCCTTTCTATAAAACGATCCCGCCCTTGTCCAGTCGTAACCAGGCTACTCCATCCCTCCTGCTCAGCTCCGAGTCCCGATACCCCCTGCATCTTATATATTCCAACATCCAAGGCAGGCCTTGGCATACCCTGGTGGATTTCGTTTAACTATCTGAATACCCATATTCGCCACTCCTATCTCGTCCTCACCTCTAGTTCGATCCCTGATGGCTCATTGCGCTCCTACCGCTTCATCTTCCCGCACCATCTTGCCTCCGCTTCGCACCCTTCTTGAAAATCTCAAGATGATTGACGAGAATACAGAGCTCCCCTCCCTGGAACGAATGTATGACCCTCATGAATTGAACCGGAAGGTGCGTTTTCTGATGCTGAGATCCTGCAGTTGTTCATGGATTTGCAGACGGCCCACTTTCACCTCCCACCTTCCTCTTCCTTTGTCCGTCAAAGGCAGCAGGTATCTGCTTTTCCCATCACGACATCACGAACACCCTCCCCTGCACCCATTTGCGTACCGTCGTCTGTTCCTTTCCCCGATCCCCAAAAGCCGCCGTGTTTACAACAGAAAATCCGACTCGTGCCGACTACTTTGGAGAATGCGGATGCCGTTGTGGTGATACCTCCTTCCCTCCCCATATCCCAGGGGCGTCAACCCCAGCCTCTCCTTCTTATGGGTCCTGCCCTCCAGCGCTTTCGTCAGCCGAACCGTCGGCTGGCCAAGGGTGCACGCGTGCACCCTTACCAGATGGTCCGCGGGGCGACCAGTTCTCAGGGGCCCCAACGCCCCCCGATGACACCTACCAACACGAATACAAATTAATGTATAATATACACAGACAATGGTTGAAAGTTGGGACTGCGTCAAAGTCTCCAGCTTGTATTCTTGTAACATTGTTTAATTGTATCAACAGTGTTTACTTGTAGCTTTTCATTATAGAGGCATAGAGAGAGAGAGAGAGAGAGAGATGTGGATAACATAAACGAGACATTCTGTAGTTTACTGATGAGTATAGTTGCAGTGGTCGACGCCCTCCACTGGATCAGAAGTTTTAGGCGTGGATGAAATTCCTGGACGCCGTTAGGCCCAGGTCTGTAAATTCTTTGTCGTTCACGATCGTACCGGACCGTTAACTCCGGTCACGTGCAGAGGGGGGGGACAGGCTATACCTCGTACTTCGATAGACTTCATAAGTATGGACACCACACGCACCCTCCAAATGCGTCCAGGAGCGCCCGGAGGGCTTTGGTATAATACAGGTCTCGACAATATTTTCAGCGGTACATACACGAGTGAAGGTGCGACAGTTAGTCAAAACCATAGACCTCCATGCAACGCGGCTTTGAGGGTTCCACGTTCCTCAATGATTTCCAATTCCTCGAGGTCCGAAGCATTGGGGCTTCCGACAATCTTCTCTGATGATTGATCGGGCTATGGAATCCCGTCCGTCGGAGCTGATGCAGACGAACGCCCAGGTCGTGATTTTAAACCCTTGAGCCGATTCCGATAGTTGGTTCAGAGCAGAGGTTAACCAGTTGAGATGGCCACCAGACAAACCAAGGCAACTCTTTCCGGAGCCATTGGTTGCAATTGAGTACAGTAGACGTCGTCATGACCTCGTGGGGTGGTGGATACATGCAAACTGCCAGGAATCCCTAGATAGAAAGTTTGCGCACCGAACACCGAGATATATTGTATGTACTGACCCGTGTACTGAATCACTTATACAAATATTCGTCCGGAGCCCCGTGCTGCCCTATGGGCAGGGTTCCAACGCAGTCCGTCCTTTCGACTGTGACGTCCTCACGTTCGTGTGAGAACGCGGGGACTTGAACCTCAAGGATTTGTCCGCGGCTGCTCCAGAGAGACTTTCACATGAGATACCGCCTTCTTAACTGGTTTTTGGGGTCATTTTCCCGCAGAATCCACTACGCGAGAAGGAAGAAGTGACTAAGATGCTTCGCCGAAGAGGGACCCAGCATAAGGTGATGGAAAAAGGTATCCTTTCCGAATCGGATGGGGACCCGGGGTGACGAGATGTTGGGGTGGAGGGTGTCACAGTAACCTTTGATTCACAACAAGTCAAATCCATTTCTTGGACATGGGGCGACACTCATTCCACTGACTGGACATCCTGGGACATGATATGCGCATATGTCATCTTCAGCACGTTTCCAACCGAGGGTAGAATGCTTGCTATTGCTCTGCCAGCTTTTCCGAGTCTGGACGTATATTTACTGCGCAATGTACTCGAGAGCTTGACCCTCTTAGCATCAGGATATCGAAGCGTAAGCAACACTGCTAGCCCCATTGCTTGATATTCCTTGATTTTCCATTAACATTGGCCTTGCTTGGGTTCAACTTTGTGATGGCTTTATATGTTTATGTAAAGCTATATCCATATATTCTGTTGGACTTGATTAGTAGGCACCCCCTGGATATCCACAGTTCGCATATGCGTATCGTGCTTCTGCTACATACCAGTTGGTTCCGGCCGTCACTTGGTTGGAATGGTGGTACTAGTTCTCGAACACTCTAGCAGTGTGGGACTTTCTTCGATACAAGCTAACATACGTCATAAATCATCTAAATAAAAAGTTGCGCGTCTTCAGTCTGGAAGGCTTTCCGCAGTTGCCTCTTGGCGCTGGGCCGCACCGACACCCAAATCTTTGAACTGCCCCCCCCCCGTGTGCCCTCAAGTCTGTCTGGAAGATATTGGCATTCCTCCCGTAGGAAGTCGAGGATACCCGTTGTTATCATAGCTCTGTCCGTATCGCAACGCCACCCATGGATGAAGTAGTGCCAGGATTATGGATAGGCAACCTCCCAAGTGCACTAGATGTCCAAGGCCTGAAGGAGAAAAATATATTCAGTGTCGTCACGGCTATGCGAGGCAAGGTCACCATCCACGCCGTGCGTTGTGATCCTTAGTCACAGCGACACGCCGATTGATCTCTATCCCGCTTATCATTCAGACATTCAATAAGTACCAGATCAACATCGACGACAGTTCAGACGAGGACGTCCTCGTGCATTTCCTGCCATCAATATCGTTCATTCAAAAAGAGCTCGACAAGGGTCATGGTGTCCTCGTTCACTGCCAGGCTGGCATCAGTAAGTGTGCTCTGTGGTGTCCGATCACACATCGTGTTTTGACCTTACGTAGGTCGGAGTGCCACGATCGTCACTGCCTTCCTCATGTATTCTCGCAAATTGGATGCGGCGACAGCACTGGAAATGATCAGAAAGGTCAGACCGAACGTGGAGTAAGTGGGAATCCCCTGGAACAACCGAACCGATTGTGACGTTTATTCGTGCGATCAAGGCCAAACGAAGGGTTCTTGCATCAGCTGGAGATCTTCCACCAGGCGTCCTACAAATTTACTAGTAAAGACAAGTCGATTAGAATGTTCTACATGGAAAGAACACTGGAAGAGATCATGAGTAAGGCTGTCCTTCTCACATACTCCCCTTTCTCCTTGCTCTGTGCAACACTCGCCTGTTGTGTACGTTAATCGTTGATCTTCACAGATGGTGATGGTACTCTTCCATCGGACAATATGTTCGCAAGGCGCCCGTGTTCGCCGACTGATTCATCTCCAAATACACCGGTGATTGCCCCTCATCGACGCATACGATGCAAAATGTGCAGGTAGGTCATATTCGAGTGTGCCTGTGTTCACCTTATGTCTGGCCCTCCTTCACAGGCAAGAACTTGCGACTCGCGAGCATATGCTCGATCATGGCCAGCTTGGCCCTCCGACACCGGCGCTCCCGTCTCTCACTCCTGCCAGCTCGCGAAGAGCTTCGAACGCCAATGACCAGCTCGCTCAGCGTGGATCTGTCTCTCGCAGACCTTCGAATGCCAATGACCAACTCGTCCCACGTGGATCTATCTCCCGCCAACCCTCCGGAAGTCTCAACGTCTCTATATCTCGTCGTCCCGTCGAATGCGGGAGCGCAAGCTCGAATGAGCTCATTCTCGCACGATGGTCGCCCAGCCCTTCTCTCATCACTTGGTAGTCGCTCTCTTCTCGAGTCACTCTCCATGTCCGCACTCGAGACAGAAGACGACGCTGACTCTGGGAGTGAAAGGCCAGACGCTAACAACCGGGTCTCACGTCCACCGTCTCGTCGCCCGTCAGGCGGTGACGGGAGGGCTAGTGCCACGCCATTATCTATGGATAATATTGGTCGTGACTTGTCGGATGCACTAAACGCAGCTTCTGCTCCTACCGATGCTGTAGAACAAGAATTAGGGGAAGTACCACGGACGTTATCCCCTGTTTCTGAAGTGCGACGTGGTGAAGGAGATTCGGAATCTGATAAGTTCCCAACAACAACAGCAGGCCGAGGTGCGAAAGCCAGGTACCAGGCTCCGACATCCAATATGCGAGCCCGGCAGATCTTGCCGCTCATCTATACGCCAATCCCAAGCTCGCTGCCTTGAGAGCGCCACCTTCGCTCGCGATGACAACTATCACGGGGTGCGCAACCAAGCAAAATCCTAGCCCTCCGATTCTCATGAATCCCAAATGTTCGGGGTACTTTGTCGAACCGGTTCGAGGTCTAATATCATCCCAAGTGGCCCATGGTGCTGACAAGTGCTCTGGCTTAGATGAAGTGGATGGAACCGTTACTCGAAAATGGAGATTTGGCTGGTAAAATCATATGTCCTAACCCACGTTGTGGTGCCAAACTAGGAAATTACGACTGGGCAGGGGTACATTGTGGTTGCAACCAGTGGGTGACGCCGGTAAGTTTACTTGCTTGGGATTTGCACTCCTAGTTTCTGTTCGTTGAGATCCAACCTGACAACTGTGCTACCCAGGGCTTCTGCATACATAGATCCAAGGTCGATGAGTTTGTTGTTTGATGTCAATATTGCAACTGCATTGTGTGGAGTTATGATTTGGTAATACTTGAACCTGACATCCAGCTCATTACGTTTGTTTAGAGTTATGTAATACCAATTTATTCGCTTGTTTCTTGGAGATTTCTGATTTGGAACTGAGATTGTCTTTGCATCATGCATCATGTTTCCTTCATCCGTGTGTGTATTTAGTACCAGTACTTTCAGGCAAGTTGCTTGTCCACAATGTCTTCCTCGCAGGTTCCGCAGCCCGTCCATGTCTTGTCCCCGATCTTGTCAGTGCACTCAAGAATCGCGCTAGAGGCTACATTGGTAGCTCTCATCAAGAAGAACAAACACACTCAGCTATTTTTCCTGAGTCTCCCGTTTTTGCGGCATTTCATAGTGCGATACGCGACTTTGGGAGGGAGGATTACGACGCCATTTCGGATGATATCCTCCTGGAAGCCTTTCGCACCACAATCCCGTTCACGAACTACAACTCTTACGAACCCTTCGTGGCTAAATTCCTAACGGAAACTTGTCAGGAGGACGATGTTCGAGATATGTTCTCGCCCGGTTTGCCTCATCACATAGCGGTCACAAGTTCGACCTCAAGTCCAAAGCCAAAGTTTTTCTGCAAGTACCAACACCAAGACTCGATGCGCCGTAACCTTGGTGACAGTGGGGAGATCTTCTGGACCTTTTCCCTCCACTATCGTCAGTTGGTGAAAATCCAAGATCGCAATGGAGACATCATTAAAACAGTCCCCGCCGGTTTGGGGTCATCTGGAGGGGTTCGTATGCTGCATGGTTTGGAAGTGGAAAACGATCACTCGAATATCAAGTTGGCGGGTACGCCTCGCCACTCTACGCTTAAATGTTTCCATTTTATAGTAAAATTGTCGCTTACCAGGGGAGTGGTCCACTTCTCCGATCGCCGTCGGCTTCATCCGCGACTATCGCGCATTCTTGCTCACGCACACACTCTTTGCACTCGCAGATGGCAAGGTCGAGATGATATTTATAATCTTTACTACGTCCGCAGTTGATATGATACGGTATATGGAAGAAGAGTGGGAAACTCTGATTGCTTCCATTGAGACAGGTGAACTTCCCCCCTGGGATGAGATCAAAGAAGTCCGCGAATACCTTCAAGTAAACATTTCCTTACCACTTGGCAATCGTAGTGAGCTGAGCTGGATACTCTATTCAGCCCCATTTTCCTCCACGCCCGGAGCGCGCTGCTCAGCTTCGTGCAGTCGGTAAAGCAGCGGATCAAGCAGGCTGGCTAGTGAAAATTTGGCCGATGCTCAAGAGCACTCTTTCCATTGGTAGTGGTGTTTTCTCCGTCGCGGTTCCGAAGGTCAGCTTCATTCCATAGACCGACACCGTCACTCCCAGCTTTGCATTAGTTGCGATTCTACTTGGGCCCCGACGTGCAGCTGCGTAGTCTCGGGTTTCTCACTTCCGAAGCCCACGTTGCTTCAGTCTACGACCCTTCAGGTTTGAACCTTTTCAAAGTGTCATCACAAGACCTCATCGAATACCTTGACGTGGTCAAGGAGGACAATGTGTCTAGTATCGTACCCCCTGTAAGCTTGGCCGCTTTTCTTTTACCCGGTCCGATTTGATCCAAAGGAAAGTGGCTAGTTGAGATCGGGAAACATTACGAGATCGTGTGCACCACTCGTGACGGACTGTGGCGCTACCGTCTTGGGGATATCGTCGAAATTGCAGGCTTTGATCCGACCGATGGCTCACCTATCATTCGCTACTTCGGGCGACGAAAGCAAGTATTCTGATGACCCACTGCGTTTTTTTGACTAAAGGAAATGCGTAGTGTTATTACGTGGATGGCAGGTGGTGCGCTAACCGAACAGCATATCACCGCTGCTATCTTAGCGGTGCAAGATACCCTTGCTCCGATAGTCGAATTCACTGCCATCATCGATAGCCATAGCGGGATTCCCACCCTTGCATATCTTGTCGAAGTTCATGGCGAACTTCGTACGTGATTGATATCTCCCAGTTAGCTCATGATGATTCTTACTATCACCAATTCCAAAGATCCCGAGGCCACCAAAGCTCCCATGAAGCTTCACGGCGAACTCTGCCGTCTGAACGAGGAATTTGATCCACGGAGAATGCAGATACCGACCATCAGGGTGTTGGAGCCCGGGGCGTTCGGGGAGTACAGACAATGGAGAATTGAAGTGACCAACTCTGGTTCTGGACAAACGAAGGTCCCTGTGTTGATGTGGGACAATAGTGCCCGAGAGTGGATGTTAGCGCGGGTCCGGAGGGAGTTGGCTGCAGACCCTAACACCGGAGCCTTGCAAGGCTGACTGCGAGCATAGAGCGAGACTATCGAACACTATCCTGAGAACACATAGACAACTTATATCGCGTCCGTTGACCAGCATGTTTGTAGCATACTGGAAGATCATGTTTGTATGCGTGGTTTATCTGGTTTGACTGGGAATTTTAATGACCTTCCACGCCTCGGACATGCATATGCTGTCTTGTTAGCGGCGATTTGGGGTGCCACTGCTCTTTGCGATCCAAAGTTCCCGGAATCGAGGAGGCTCACGGGTATGGAAGGAGTGGTATTGGCACCTTGCGAATGGTAAAAAAAAAGATTCATACTATGACAGAAGTACCACGAAGGTATGTAAATAAAGACGAATTTATGAAAAAATCGACGAGTCCATAGATTATCAAGGAGCGTAAGATGTCTGAAAAAGAGCGCGAGATTGTAGTATATGAAAACCCCAAAAAGCCGATGGGATACAAGTAAAAAAAAAAAAAAAGCGAAGGAGGTGACTGTGTATATGTGTATATCGGTTAGATGGGTCAACTACCGATCCGTTGTGACATTAGGTACAGTCCTGGTGGATCTTCGTGAGCCGAAACGAAGTTTACCGTCATCGCCGCGACCCCAAGAGAAGAAGCCACCTGTCTCGTGCGAGTGAGCACTTCCTGTTCGTGATCGGAGGGACCAGGCTGGAGAGGCGGGTCGCGCAGGTGCATTCACTTCCAAATGTTCCCCGTTATGGAGGTGAGCGAGGTGATGGTGATGGGGATGTGCATGTCCCGAGTGACCCACGGTATGCCGTCCGTCGCAGCACGCGCGTACGTTCTCTAAACCTTCGAACCCGCCGTCGGACTTGGAATCTGCATGCAACTCAAAATCAAGGTCTGCGTCATTTTGGTTGTTTCCCACTACTTGTTCGAATGACCGCGTAGGGCTGTACGGGCTTTCAGGAAGTGCCCAACGCAAGTACTCCGCAGCAGGTGTACCCGAACGTTTGCCAACCGATCCTCTAACAGAAAGCTGTGAGCGACTCCGCTTTCCCTTGGGAGTTGTGTTGAACGCGCCACCGTTGTGACTGCTCCTCCCACTCCGTTGGCTGTGAGGACTTGAATCGGCTATTTGACGATGGTCATCATCGGTAAGCTCCGCGGCGTGCGACATGGGACTATTCAGGCCCACGGGATCAGCCAGCGAAGCTCCTGGATTCGGGTTCGGTCGGGATAGCAGATATTTAAGAGCCTGAGAAGCAGTCAGTCAGTCGATTTCTACAAGCCCTGGCCATCAGACTCACGTTGAGCCAGATCTCATGCCGTTCTTTGGTGGGTGCCGTGAGCTTCATCTCTCGTTGGGACGTCGAGATAACGATGCTATACTGGTATAACCCAGGTGGCATGGGGTTGGGATCCAAAACTGCGCGGATGCCTTCAATGTACGCTAGACAGCAAAATAATCGGCGCGAACGAAAGCTGCTTTCTGCATATCAACTCACCACTCTTGGAACTGGATTCCGACACATTCTGCGATCCGGGGTCTGCTGAACTCCAGTAAAGGTGCTTAGTATATGGGTGCACCCAGAAGAAGCGTTTGTGTCGCTTCTCCCCGTGTCCTTTGCCGAGCGTACGGCGGGTATATTTGTAAAGAAACTCCCCGATCATGGTCTGCGTGATGGCATGAATGACAACAGGGTCTGTTGCACCATTGCGCATTGACTCGGCTGGCTTTTCGGCTGGGTTGATCGTCGAGCGGCGGTTCACAAAGACGTTGTGATCGGATGACATCGAAGACCGCGGAGACAGGGCGCTGCGATCTGAGGTAAGGGATGTATTGGATAGTTCCCTGCGTTCGTTCTCCCGCACCGTCCACGAAGGCAAGCCGGATGACATTTGAGAATTTTGAGCGTGTGCGGCCGCATTCGCCGCAGATCGGAAACTGCTCGTAGATGGTGGCTGGCGAAGGTTCGACGGCGGAGGCATACTTGACCCGTGTTGTCTCGGACCGTAACTTCCCCTGTTAACAGAAAGCATGGCACCGATAGGCGTTGTTGCGCGCTGGATAAGCTCTGGCGGGGGAGGAGACGATGGACGGGGCGGTGGCACATCGGAAGCAGACGAAGTCGTTGGCATTCTTCTCTCGGGAATGAATGAAGGCGGGGGCATACTGTTCGGTGGAGGTGGCTGACGTGGAGGTGGAGGCAGAACCACCATTGGTGGTCGCGTCTTGTCCACGAGAGAGGGCACAGCGGACGTCGTACGTGGGCGGTGCGATCCGTCATCAGTAAAGGTCTCCATAGCGGATTCGATGGACTGGCGTCGATCGGAGTTGGAGGTAAGTGGACGAATAATACCAAGAGGTGCAGTGGGTTCTCGCATGGGCGCCGGTGAAGAGGGAGGTGGGGAATTGGTGGGGACAAACTGGAATGACTGAGCTCCCGTAGAACCTACTCTATACAGTCCCAGCGGGGATCCAGGCGATGTGAGTGCGGGATGAGCAGTAGGTGTGGCGGACGATGCAGACGTATCTTGCTTTCCGGAAGGTGTTACTGCGGGAACGGGAATGGGGGAGACTGGAGGAGTGATAGGTACTGGTTCATCCGTCTGGATGCACATCTCGTTGACTTCAGGTTTCGGTTGCTCGATGTACTTGATGACCTCGACTTCCTTAATCACCTCTTTCGGCACCTCCTTGACAACTTCCTTAACGACTTCCACTAGCTTAACGACCTCCACCTCCACGACCCTAACATCTTCAAAGCTCGCTTCAATGCCTTTGTCCTCGTACTCGACGAGAGGCGGGAGCTCGTGTGACTCCATAAATGACTCGACAGAAGCCACGCGGCTTGGTAGGCGTGAGGCCTTGATGCTTTCATCATCTTCACTCTCCGAATAGTCATTGTCTGACATCGTCAACATCGAATGGAAGTCCTCTCTCGACTCCCAAGGGGTTGTCATGCCAATACTCATGCGCGCATCGTGGTAGTCTTCCGCGTCTGTCTCGGTTTCCATGCCCGTTTCCGTGGCGCCGTCATCGAACTCATCCTCACTCTCGGTTGCTTCATCTGTGATCGAGAGCGCGCCAGGCACACGAGTGTTCCGAATGGTAGTGTCGCCGCTCTCATTGCCAGTAGAAAGACTAGAGAAGTCCGCTTGGGTAAGGGTCATGCGGCGTGAGGAAGGAGAGAATGCACGGGAGAAGGCACCCATTGGTGTGGGAGATGTTTGGACTTGGGCTTGATTCGTTTGAAGGGCAACAGGAGACACGTCAATCTTCATTTCAACCACACCATGCTGAGTCGCCGTCTCCATGCGTTCGACAACGGGACCTTCAACCTGATCGGTCTGACAGGACATCTCCGAGGTTCTAATCACAGACTGGACGCCCGCTTCACTGGTCTCCGGCGCCGGGGCAACTGATGGAACGGGAAGCGTGACATCATCGAAATCAGGTCTGGCATGCAATTTCCGAGACTTCTTTCTCCGAAACCAATAAATCATCCTCCAAGACGGAGGGCACGCCGCTACTCATTTCCAAAGCAAGGGCAGCCGATAGAGACTCCGGTTGCCCGACAAGCGACAACGGGCGAGCCTCTTGGAAAGCAGCACCGCCTCGCGAGCGACGTTGAGGAGCACCTCCACGTGCGGAGCGAGAAAGAACGGACTGACGGAGTGGACTAGAGCTGGAAAGTAGTGAGCTATAAGATGCAGACCTGCGGAGGACATTGGCATAAAATGGATCCATGCCGTCAATGCTTGTGCGGTTTGAAGGAACGGCGAGTGGAGAAGGTGAACTTTGAATAGAATCAGGTTGACGTTCGTCTCCTTCGCTTTCCGAAAGCTCAAGGTCAAGATCATCCGCGCCATCTTGGAACCGGCCAGGAACAGATGGTACGGGAGGTGGAGGTGAAAGCAACAGCGCGGATTCTCCACCATGGTCTGAAGAAGGGGTACCGGCTGCCATTCCGAATCGGTGGGACAACCCGCTTCCCCGGCCTCGGCGACCCCTTGTGCGGCCGCTACGGAAAGGTGTGACCTTGCGCTTTGGCTTACTCTCTGTTGAAGCAACGTCGGCATCATCATCATCGTCGAACAATGCATCTTCTGAGGGCTCGTTCTCATCGTGCACATAGCCGGGGGAAGCCTCGAGTTTGCGCTTATAGTCTATGCGCATTTCCTTCTCACGATGAAGGGAACCTGTGAGTTTCTTAATCTGTCGCTGAGCATGTTGCAAACGTTGTTGCAGATCTTCGATTTCCTTGCTAGGGTGGTTGGCAGCTTGGAAAGGGCGAGACGGTGACGGGTCAGGAGAGATATCTGCAATGTCCTCAAAATTCTCTGGTTGGAAGACCGCAGAAGAGTCCAGTTTTCTCCGATTGGTGGATGCACCCCCAGTGGTAAAGACATCGTCTACTTCGGGCGCGACGGGTGTCAGGAAGTCCTTTGCACTCGCAGCACCTGGAGTGAGAGGAGATCCAAACTTAGGGCCAAGCCGACGATTCGCCTTAGCAACCTCAACCTTCATTGCGTCAAGAGTGGACTGCAAATCAGATTTATCACGCTGCAGACCTGCGGCATACTTGCGAGCTTGAGCAAATTCGGTCTCGTGCTTGGCTTTGAATTCGTCGAAGGTAGCCTTAACGCGCTCAGCTTCGTTTTTGTGTTGGTCCGCTGATTCCCGAGTGGTGTTGAGCAGTTTAGTGAGTCGTTTATGCTCGGACTCAAGACGTTGAGCCGTGCTCTGGGAGTCGGAGAGTTGTGAACGAAGTTCCTGCAGAGTAACCTCGAGGTTCCAATTTTCCTCCTTGAACTTGTCTGGCACGAGGTCAGGCAAATAAGATACAAAATCACGAGCAACACACCTGAGCTCTGTTCCTGTGCACGGAGCGCCGTGCGTAGAGACTCAACAGTCTTCTCGAGGTCATCCTTTTCTTCTTTCATGTCCTGGATAGCCTTGTCCCTTTCGCCAAGGAGACTCTGCAATCTGCGGACTTCGGTAAGGAGGCCGCTGCCGATTTCGAATGCGAATTCTGCGAAGAGCACCTCAGTCACAAGTGGCATGAGGTGTGGATGCGAGGCAGGCTCACCGACATCGTCTGCTCGATGCGCAGCATTCTTGGCACGTCGAGACTGGGCCGTTGATGAAGCCGGAGTTTTCGAGCGTTCTGGTTCGTCACGTTGTAAATCTTTAATAGGGAGTGACTGTGAAATATCATCTTCGGGAGGCCGCTGAAAGCGTACATCAGTACATCAAGCCCAGCACGATGAAAAGAGAAGGATGGATGAATGTATAAGCACGCGAAGCACTGTAACGCAGGGGATTCCACGTATGAATGTGATAGAGAACCAAGGGTAATCACCCAATGGTCGCTCAGGTGACGTGTTGGGTGACTTCTGTGGGCCGCGTTGCCACCTAAGGTCGACGTGCGTGATGAACACGGGGTTGAGATGAAACAACAGCATGGCCGCCCCAAGCTTGTTTAATGACGACGGGTGTGCCAGAAACGGACAGAGATTAACAGTGACGCACCTTTGCACCGAAAGCACTTGAAAGTTTGGCGTTTTCGATATCCCAGGCCTTGATAGTCTCTGCCAGTTCGCGGTAGCGTTCTCTTCGCCTTCTGTGTCTAGTTCCTCGTCATCTCCACGTTCTGCATCGAACTCCTGAATCTGTCTGATCTTCTCCTCGAGTTCAATCTGTTGGGCGAGGACGCGTTGCCCGAGAGCGCCTGCCTGCTGGAGCTGCTTTTCCTTGGTGTCGAGGAGGAGCTGGAGCTGGAACTTTCTTTCGCCAGTGGAAGAGAAGGCGAACTGCGAGAAATCCGGCATGCTTTCTAGGACACCGGCAAGACCATCGGACGAGCTGGTCATGCCTGCCACAAGGCGGGTATTTTTGCAAGTCACTGAAGAAACGGCAGAAGGTGGCGTGCGTGCGAATGGGGAGTCCGGTTGGCTGCTGTCCCCTTATGGAAATCATTTCACACATCGCTTATGCGGTTGTTCGGTTCGCCGGCGACGTCATCATATCCAGACGACATGGCCGTCAAATTGCGCTTGGGAGTCGACGTCGGAGGCACCAACACGTATGTGAACTGCCCTGCTTTTACCACAGCTCTTTCGATTATGTAGAGACGCAGTCCTGCTAGACATATCCCAGGGCATCATCGCGTCCGCCAAGCACCCGACCACGCCGGACGTTACGCGAGGCATACAGCGCGCCATCAAAGACGTACTCGACCAGGCACCGAATGCGACCGACATTCAAGCTCTTTCCATCGGTACCACAGTAGGATCGGGCCGTTTGCTGCAGCGCACAGCTTTACTGACCGTGTGCAACACTCATGGCAGCACTTCGTCAATGCGCTGATCGAAAGAGATCCAGCACGTTTGGACCGTGTAGCTGTCATTCGTCTTTGTGGTCCTTTCACTCACGGGACCCCTCCGTTTGTCGGATTTCCCCTTGACCTCAGGGCGCGTACGTGAACTTTCACTAGTGTCTCTCCTCCACAAATGCGAGATTGCTCCAGTTCTACAGGGCCCCTGCTTCCTTGTTTCGGGTGGCCTCCAGATTGACGGCAGCGAAATATCTCCCGTGAATTCTTGCGAAATCGAAGCTGCCTGCAAGGAGATTGCGAAGATCGTACGTCGCAAACAATGAATACTCACAGCCACTTTTAATTGCAAGCTTCCAGGATATCAGTGCGGTCGTGGTCTCGTCGGTCTTTGCTCCGATTGACTCTACGATAAAGCAAGAAGAACATGTCGCCTCCATAGTGCACACGGCGCTAAGCCATGTCGACGTAGTATGTTCGAAAGATGTTGCTCATCTTGGGCTCCTGGAGAGAGAAAATGCAGCCATTCTCAATGCCTCACTACTCAGATATGCTAAGATGACTGTCGCAGGCTTCCAGCGGGCTACCCGTTCTCTGAGTCTCAAATGTCCTGTTTTCATCACCAGCAACGACGGGATGCTGCTCAGTTGCGCACAAGCCAGCCAAATGCCCGTTAGGACATTGTGAGTCCGCGTAAAACCCTATCCTTTAACTGTAATATAGCATGTCCCTTCGGCAGTTCGTCTGGTCTAACTAATTCCATGCGAGGAGCCGCATACTTGGCCGATCTCGAATCAGGTGTCTCAAGGCAGTCTGCGTTAGTTGTCGACATTGGAGGTACGACGGTAAGTTAAATCGTTCTCTCCTTCCAAGGGAGCTTTTACCGACCGTCTTGTTTTCCAAGACTGATATTGGCATGCTCCTGTTCGTCTTTGGCTAAGTGAATTCTGGTACTCTCTCACGTACCTTAAAGGTCCACTGGCTTTCCTCGTCAGGCGGCAGCCCACCATGAACTCTGTGGAATTTTACTAAACCTGCCCATGCCCCATGTCACCAGGTATGCATTCTCAAATACAGAGAGTATGACAAGGTCTCTTAGCGTTGTATGCATTTAAGTATTGGGTTAGGCGGTGGCTCACTCATTCGCCAAAGTCCCTGCACGGGAAATGTAGCTGTTGGACCCGATTCCGTGGGGCACAGAATCTCATCTGAAGCCCTTGTCTTCAACGGGTCGACACTGACTGCCACTGACATTGCCGTTGCCGTGGGCCGTGCCTCAATTGGAGACTCCTCCCTTGTGGCAAACATTGATCCATCCATCATCGATGGAGCACAAAAAGCCATCAAGGTGATGCTTCAAAATATACTGGACGTCATGAAAACTTCCGTAGCGGACGTACCTATCTATCTAGTTGGAGGAGGTTCCATTTTGGCACCCGACGAGCTAGAGGGTGTGAGTCGCGTGCATCGACTTCCCCATTATGATGTCGCCAATGCGGTGGGCGCAGCCATTGCGCAGGTCAGTAATCGTGTCTGCTTTCCATCCCAAAAATACGGTGATAAGTAACATATTCGTGGTTGGATATGAAAAAGATCTCCGGCATTGTAGATTCGTTTGAAGATACCTCGTCTATTTCGGTGTCCGAAGTTAAAAAGATTGTTGAAACCAGGGCTATTGAACGAGCTATCTTCGCAGGAGCTGACCCGCAACGCGTCGCGATTATCGAAAGCGAGATCATCCCCATAGCATACACCTCCGGTCGGTGCCGCTTCTATGTCAAGGCCGCTGGCGAGTGGGACAGCTCCTCTACGCAAGGCCACTTAGATGCCTGTGAAGGCAAAGACGGATCTACTATTTGTCCTTCGCCTCCGGGAACAGAACTTCCAGACCACGGGGAACACATAAATGCCCCCTACCATCCACTTGCAGCCCCAAATGAGTTGGACATCAGTTCATATGTTCCGAACGTGCAAGACAACCAATGGCTCTTATCTGAGACAGATCTCGAGTGGATTGCCGACGGGTGCTATGTCCTCGGTTGCGGAGGTGGCGGTTCCCCGCTGCACACCTTCCTCGAGCTGAGAGAGATGGTTAGGACGGGTTCACTCATCCGTGTCGTGGATCTGGCATATATGCCCTCAGATGCCGTGGTAGGCTGGGGTGGTGGGATGGGCAGCCCTGAGGTGTCGTCAGAGCGACTACTCGGAAAGGAGTGCGCACATCTTCCATTTATATATTTTCAGGATTGATGAATTGTTAACGTTTGGATGGGCAGGTATCACGAGGCATGCGAGGAACTGTGGAAGCTCGTTGGGGTAACGTGCCCGAATATTCGTGATCCACTTCCCCGGCTTATCATGAAGGCAGATAACCAAGCCGGAGGCGCTCTGCGCGCTAGAAATTGGGGGTGCTAATGGCATGATCAATGTTCGTTCGCATTCGCATTTAGATATATCATTCTACTGACCACCTTATCCATTACACAGTTGATCATGGCTGCCAGCAAGAACTATGACATACCCATTATTGACGGTGACTTTATGGTAGGCCTATTCCGTTCTATCGCGAATGTTCCTGCTGAATAACACCTTCCAGGGTCGTGCTTACCCTACGGCAAGCCTTTTCCTTCGGCTTTGCAACGTTCATGATGAGTTGTAGAACTGATTATACGTTAGCTACACCAAACAACCCCGAACGTGTTTGACAAGAGCGGAAAGGGCTTGAACTTCCTCCCCAGCGTCATTTCCAGTGGAGATGGGAATATTATGGTTTGTCAACGATATGCTGGAGACCACTGCTGCTTACAATATCTTGATCTGTACCACATAGGTTATGACCAGGGCCAAACGGGACACAGATGCCGACGCTGCCCTCAGAGCCGCTTGTGTTGAGATGGGGTATTCACGCTGGTCTATATTTCCCGGGTTCAATTGCTGATCTCTCCCGCTGTACTTCAGGACGCACGTTGGGTTGGCCTCCAAACCACTCAAAGCCAACGACTTGCCAGTGATGATGATTGCCAACACTGTTTCCCTGAGCTGGCGTATCGGCAGGGCTATTGCGTTAGCTAGGAGGCGATCCAGCATCGGGCAGATCGGGCATATCATCGTCGACGCTGTCGGGGGTTCGAGGTCTGCCAAGGTGCTTTTCAGTGGAAAGATCACAGATGTTCGGAGACGGTACGTACGCTCTTCGTATGTATTTCGCCTGATGAAGTTGAAAGCACGCACGCCCTACAGGCTGCACAAGGGCCATACGATTGGAGAAGTTGTCATCACTGCGTTGTCCTATGGAAAGGACGACTCATCCGAGGCGGTCGAGAAGTTCACCGGCAGTCTCGTTGTCCCGTTCAAGAACGAGAACCTCTACGCTGAACACACATCCAAGGACGGCCAGAAAACCGTAAGTGTGCGTGTGCCCACCTCTGTCGGTGTAACTCACACTGGTGGCATCCATCCATGCATACCGCCAGATTAGAGCAGTAGTCCCGGACCTCATATGCATCCTAGACGCCCAAAATGGCTCTGCCCTCGGCACACAGGAGTACAAGTACGGTCTTAGGGTGGTCGTGATTGGCATCACCGCTGCTCCGCAATGGACGGGCACACTTCGGGGGATGGCTGTAGGGGGACCAGCGGCATTCGGGTAAGTGTGATTTATTCCTTAGGCTGAAGTATTCCCGTATGAACTCACGTACGTATACGTGGCCAGTTTTCACGTGCCATACGTGCCACTCGGGGTGTATAATCGACCGAAGTCGGTTATCGAAGAATACGGGCACCGAAATTGAGGTTCAAGTATATGGAAGAGCCCTTAATGAGATGTCATACCATTGTATACCTAGCTACCCTCGATACAAGCGTGAATAAGCCCCGTATCGGTTTTGTGATAGATTTAGCGCGATCAACGCACTGCAATTCACTACTTCCTGCCCGTCGTTCATCCGACCTCGCTCCTCACATTGCTGGCGGGTGTCTTGAACCATGGGGATAGTGATAACTCTTGTGCTTTACTGCCAAGTATCTATCCATAGTATACAAAAAATGAGCTACATGAGGATCTCCCCTCCTGGGTGTATATCGTGGAGGAGAGAAATGCGAAGTGATGTACGAAACAAACTGGTCGTCGAACTACAACTAGCGTAGGCGTGTGAGTACTGTACGTGTTATACGAAACACGGAGGGTTTCAAGAACGTGTTAGAATAAATGGGTACTATGGATGTAAGTGGATGCCAGGAAAGCGAACGTGAACAAAGGGGAATGACGAGAGCACACTCCGGTGCGAACGTGGCAGGCTCGGATTCGGTTCGCAGAAATGCGAGGGCGGGCTCCGAGGGACACGAAAGCTGACTGTATCACAATCAAACGGATGATGCCTTTGCCGCTACAGCTTTCTCAAGGTCTGCGGCGATGCATCCCGCCGCAGCGGCGGCGACTTGAAGGCGCTTCCTTTTCCATGCGGGTACGAAATCGACCCTCTTCAAAAATAGGACGGCGATGGCATATATGACCCCAAAACAGACGGCAGGGATGGTTCCAAAATGGTACGCCCTCACAAGCGCACTCATTATCTCGTCCTCGTACTGGGGCCACATCCCCGCAGCTGCGTCATCCGCCAATCCCAGCCCTTGGTCGATCAGACTTTGTGGCACTACGCCACCTCCGCTCTAGAGCTGTAGTGAAACCCGTTTCAAACACCGCGGTAAGAAGCGCGGTCGCAAATGTCCCTCCGAGAGTGCGGAGGAAGGACAGAAACCCGCTGATGCCGGCAACCTGGTGCGGCTGAACAGACATAGGTCCGACTACAAGAGAAGGTTGGTAAAGAAGCCCTGATGCCACACCGGTTATGACCGAAATACCGATAGTCTGCGATGCAGGCGTGTCGCGCCCGACAATGAACATGAGTCCGCTCCCCAGTGCATAAAGTGCACCACCGACAGCCCCAATGAGACGGACCTGGCCTGTCTGAGAGAGGATGTTCGCGCCAACAACGGAGGACACGCCAAGAGTCAGGATGAGTCCGAACATTTGAAGCCCGGAGGTGACGAGGCTGGAACCCTTGACGTCGATGAAGTAGCGAGGAAGGAAGAAGACGGCACCAAAATAACCAGCTCCAGTGAGGAAATTGATGAGGCAAGTGACTGGGATATTTGGAATGGAGAATAAATGCATATCGACGACGGGTTGCTTCGCCACTTTGAGCTCGTAACAGGCGAACACGGGAATGAGAAGGCCGCCCAGAATGAAGAGGACGATAATAGGTGCGGACTGGTTCAACTGGTACGTAACACCCCCAGTGATTATGAACAAAATTACTTACATTCCATGGGAATATTTTATTTCCCAACTCGATAGCGACGCATATCATGCTTGAGATCGCGACAGCGAGAATGCATCCAATGTAATCAACTTCCCTGAGTTGTCCAAGAAGACCAACGCTCTGCTTCCTGTGGGGCACAGGATACCGCATGGCGGTTAAGGCAACCAGCATGGTGATCCCAATGAGTATCAGTGTCGTCCAAAAGATCCATCTCCAATTGGTGTCTACAGAGAAGATAGCGCCTAGGACGGGCCCGATGGCCAGACCGATTGCTGACGACATGTTCAAGAAGCCAAGCCATAAGCCACGCGTGTCTGAGGTTGTGAGATCGAGAATGACGATAACGGCCACGGATTGCCGACCCGCAGCGCCTATTCCTTGAAGGACACGGGCGCCAATCAGGGAGATCATGGACTACAAGATCGAGTAATAAAAAAACCGATATGCGAGAGGAGAGCAGTATGGTTACCTGCGCAGATGCACACCAGAGAGTACCGACAGCAAATATAAACATTGTGCCGTTGAAAACCTGAGAGCGACCAAAGATATCGCTGAACCGTCCGAGTAGGGTCTGTGTGACAGTGAATCCAAGGAGATATGCAGTCGCGATCCAGTTCTGGTTTTGGGAGTCACCGAAATCTGCACCGATGGTGTGCATAGCAGTGGTAGCGGTGGTTTCGTTGAAATAAGCTGTGAAATTTCCCAACCAAATGCACACCATAATTAGGAAAAATCTAGTGGGTGAGACGGCGACGGCAGGTTGTTGGCTGCTGGGGGAACCATGGGTTTCATTGACCGAGGATGAACCATCAGGTAGAGCAGGAGAGTCAGAGGTCGTACGGCCCGGCGTAAGGGCGTCCGCGCTGTCACCGACGGAAACACAATGGGAGTCGGAGGACATGGCCCAGGGTGTCAACAGGGAGATCCAATGGTAGGGTCCATGTATTTATGCGCCGCAAGACCCCCTGCCGATCCGCCGAAGAATTTGCTCTAAGCTTGGGGATACCTTCGTTAGGCCGTGCGGATCATCGTCAGAGAGCGGACATAGTCTTCAGGGAAGGTCAACGAACCTGGGCTGCAGAAATAACCGTGTCGGTCAGTCGGCCACTGTCACAATCACTATATTGCTGGTGGCAAAACACCTTGCCAAAATCCTGCGGCCATTTCGTCGGCGTACGACTGCCAAGTACACTGCCAAGTACTGTGGTCACATTGACAGTACGTTACCCTGAATATGATGCGTAGAGGTTAGGGTGTTCCACATGTGCTTGGTGCGGGAAAATAATAGGAACTTGGCCCTAAAAATACCGGCCGTGTCATCTCTGTCGCTGCGATTCAGTACTTCTGGGTAGCATCTCATGACGACTCGCCGTGTAGGTGGATCACGCTTTCCCCTACCTGCAAGTATTTGAGCATGTTGCGTGATCTCGTCTCTCCGCCGCGTCCTCGCCATTCGCGAGGCATGCTTCGGAAAGTTACTTGTCTCCGCAATAATGAAGAAGTCGAGTTTAACGGCATTGGTAGTACAGTTCCCTCGGTCAGGGTCGCAAAGTCACCACGCTGCGGGCGAACTTGGTAAAATTTGAATTTAGAACGCTGGCAGCCGTGGTGAGTTCAGACAAATTTTTGGCCCGTCTGTCAATGTATTCCAGTGGAAGTACCTCGTGATTTCCTCTCGTTGCCTAGGCACCACGTTCTCACCGGCCGGGCCAGAAGTTTGGACGGTCTACATACTGGGGGGAAAACACATTATCTTTGATTAGCTCACTAATAGTAGGCCGATCTAATAAGTAGTCGGTAATGAAGTCCCCCCTCTCGACGCTTGGGAAGAACATGGAGTCGGCCGACAGAACATTAATCTTCCTCAGATGAGGGAAAAAAGAAGACGGGAGAAACTAGAGAGAACTGAGATATGAAGTCGTTGACCTCGAAGATACTGCAGCGTTCCGGTTCATGTTTACCAAAAAAGTAACAGTGGTTTGTTTTCGAAGTGCATCAGAGCATCGAGACCCTCGAGAAGGCGAAGGTGGTGGCTACGCAGAACACCGCTCAGACGTTCATACACTGGGAAGCACTGTAATACTAGTGACCTTTCCTTGGATGTAGGCGATCACCCTGACCCATTACCCTCAGCATCCTGCATTCTATTCGGCTGGACTTTTCATCTCGTTCAAACCATTAAACTCTACTTGTCTCTAACACGACTGTCTACCGGTGCATGGATGCATGGATGGCATACTATCCGACTGCTCCGTCCAGCTCCAAAGTTCAACTTCCAAGTAGTGTTGCGAGCCCAATGCCCCTCGTTAGCCAAGCACGCGATGATTTCTTATAAATGTTGAGAAGTGATATCATGCACGACAAACTCTCTAGGTTCCTCGGCGGCCGTACAGGCTCTCACAGCACTACCTCAGTTGAAGTTATTCGTCGAAGCAAGTTCTCCCTCTTCGACAACTGACTTATCCCACGAACGCAATGTCCGCCATTTCGGTCCCTTTTCCTCTGGCATCCGTTAACATGCTTTCAAGAAATCAATAACACAGATCATGTAAGTTGCTGGTCTGCATATGCGTGTAGATTAAAGCAGTATGTAAGCGGGCCCTACCACGGCGATCCACGGAGACTTGGTCCCCCAGATATCGAAATTCCTTGTGTTAGCTGTAAACCATGACCGTAAGCACCCCAATAACAGCGCGAAAGGAAAAAGGGATGAAACATACTGCAGTATTAATTTGCTTGTGCACGAGACAGAGATCTAGAGCCACGGAGAAGAATGCATCTCGGCAACTACCCAGAGAAGAAGAAGACGTACAATCCAAATATGACATAGCCCCATTGTTCTGGTCCTCAACCAACATGTCACTAAATTCGATCTCCACGCCATCCATATTTTGCCTGGCAAGCAGCATCTGAGGGACATATCCCCGTTGACTGAATCGATGCGACAGAATGTTGTGGACTTGTTGGGAAAGGCGGGTGTTTAGAACAGGGAGGTAGGTCTTATCCGCAACGACAATCAACTGAGAACAGTCCGGTCCGCACGACAGAACGTACCATATTCGAGTTCAACGCAAGGAGGTCCTGAACGCCAAATAATTCATCAAGTACCTGCCGTGACACCCCGGAGCCAACCCAAAAAATCATGTACTCCTCGTTGTCTGCACAACTCCGTCAGTTCGATTACGCATCCATCAACCATTACACATTCATCAATCCTGCCACATTCATCCACCCAACTCAACATAACCGAGCATCGTAATCACATTCAGAATTAGCCAGTACGCACCGATAAGATACACCCCCCTCGCCTCCATATACATGTGACTATTCCCCATAAGGGACGGAAACGCAATACGTCCCGTCGTATCATTTGGTAACGCAATAGTTTCCTCGAGGTCGTGAAGTGCGAGCAGGCGGGGATAGAGGTGCTGCATCGTACTGCGAACGCCCATGGAAAGGATCTTACGTGCATAGTAATTACGGACATCCGCGGAAACCGTACGACCTACGATGAGTTCTCGTGTGAGTTCTACGGGACCGGCGCGAGGGAGCCGCCGATGAAGAAGTGAAAATGATGGGAATGCACTCCACCTTTAAGAGGCTTGGTTTTGGTTATGGCGAGAGAGTAAACCGGGAGGCACCTGAATGCTTCAGGAATAATCAACTGGATGATATTTCAGGAGACGAGAGCAATGAGGATAAAGTAACTGGTTGCACCTGTGACGCAACAGTGCCAGCTGCACAATTCCGCCTGTATCCGAGCAATATCGATGAACACTTCTCCGTCAGTTCCTCTCGTATCTGCGCCATACGGCGAGATGATAGGTTCGTCATCGCTAACACAAAGTCATAAGGCGCAATCGAAATATCACCATTTGAACACAGAGAAAGAATCACACCTACCCTGCCGTGCAAGATGACACACCGTAGCATCCATATCTGCATATTGAAACACGCTCCCTGCAAGCGACACAACCTGGAGTGCTAGATTGCACGTCCGGACACGTCGTTTCCCGTCAGTTGTCGTATACAGGAGGGCACACTGCAAGTAGGCATACTGGCGCTCGTCCAGTGTTCGTGTATGCTCAAACGATGCCGAGAACGCTTTGTCAGCGTCCCATACACCTACTTCAAGATCGGTCAGCGAACGTTCATGGAAATTTCCGTAATATTTAGATATTTGGAGGCCTGGAGAGCATCACAGCGTAAATGGGATATACAAACCAAACGAACGTGACGAATCTACCATGAGAACATCGGATGCGCATGACGGAATTGTAGACTGTCGTTCGTGTGACTAGCCTCCTGAGCTGAGATGCCAGTACAATCCGGTCTCGGGACGGCTTGAACCTGGGGTGAAAATACATTTCTCCACCGGTCACGGAGGAAGCGATCCCTGTACCCATCATACAACTCGGTTAAAGGGTAAACGTACATATAAATGATCAGTAAACTCGTACCGATGGAACCAATATCAATCGTCTTGCTCATTCCCAAAAACATGCTTATACCAATGCCTTCCTCAGCACACTCCTCAGCGACGTCGCGCCAGACACGATCCCGTGGAAGGAACAACGTGGTCTCCTTTTCTGTACTGTACACCCCGGTTTCGTCAGTCAACGGATCCAGTGCACCAGGCCCAACAGTTGGCATGGTGCTTTGGAATACCACGACATGACCCCCCATCCCGGCCTACTTGCCAGTAATTAGGAATATCAATTCTGAATACCATGGTTTACTTACTAAGGATGCAAGCCCTGCGATCAGCGCTGCGCCTAAGCTGGCCTCCCTTAGTGACGTCATACTGTTGCGTTCCGGCAAAGAGGTCAAGAGCCCTTCGATCACTGTTCTAGCCCAGCTCGTCAGGCCAACCACATAATCCATACCCGGGAGGACTGAACTTACCTTGATTCCCAGGGGTCAACGAACATCCCATCACGCAATGGCACGAAAATCTCGTCCAGATCCGCCAGTACGATCACACTAGCTTGTGGGAGGCTTGGCTGATAGACTTGTCATAACTGCTGGGGAAATTTCTGCGAGAAACGCTTACAGACAGGTTGTAAAAGTGCAACGTTCTGTCGAAAGTGAGAATGCCAATCCCACAACCTCGCGGAAAGCAAGGGTCAAATGACGTTCCGTCTATTGCCTCCCCTCCATAGAGAATATCCAAGAGTGTATCGCAAGCGGATTTGAGTAGTCCTGATTCAACTGCTTCAAAAGAAATATCAAATGCAAAAAGGTAGTTCATCGGCTGAGGTTTTCGAGCAGTAGTCGGTGGAAGATCCGTAGAGAAATATGTAGGCATCAACTTGGGTAACGGGGGTGGAGCCCAGTAGTCTTCAGAATCGGCGACAAAATCAACCGTGCCCTTGTTCAACTCGGGTCGGTTCGCATGGTCCATCCGCATGAAGTTGGCATCAATGTTACAGAAGTATTCCGGAGAAACTTTGACATTATGAATGGTTGGGCAGTGAAAATAGAAGAGAAACAGTAACGCACCTTCAGTTTCGTGTCCACAAAGGTTACACTTCCACCTGCTACCCCCGGCCGTCCAAACACACCAAGGGTTGATATACCCTCTACACTGAGCACAACGAGGAGGGCCACTTTCGCCACAATCGACCAGAGGAACAGGTTCCTCTCGTGGATCCAGATCTGCCAACGGTTGTACTACCACTGCGAGGGGAATTTCGCATTCTCTTGCTAAATGTGCAGAACTTGGGACATTCCAAGTCGTGACTCGCATGTATTTTGGATTCGAATTACCTGAAGTATTACGATAAGCTCCTCGTGCTGCAATGTAATCTCGGATGGACGTCTTAATACACGTCGCGCCCACCCATTACAGTATATAATGCAGCGCACGTAACACTGCGTGCGGGAAGCTCACCTTGATCGAAGGCAACGAAGTCCGTTGTAGACAATGGTGGGTTGTTTCCTGGAAGTGTCATGTACATTTGTGACTCCCATGCTTCCTTGTCTGCTTCTATTGCATCTACCGGAGACGGAATCTGGCTGGGATCTATGCGGGCGCGAAGACCTGCCTCATATTTGATTGATGCTTATCTTTTGACGTGGCGCACGTAGTAGAGACTAACCTTTATAAGGCTCTCCTGCACTGTGCGGGGGTTGTGGTATATGTTGATATTGTGGGGTCATGGACGAGTAAATATTTCGAGTCTACGAGAATGAATGAGTCGGTTATCGCGCGTTTGTACTAATATGTATCATCGAAATCGTTCGGTCACTATTACTCGCGCACATGACTCGATACCCACTTGATTGTACGAATATCTCAACCAATAAGTCGGCACTGTCTACTCCTGATAGCAGAGTTACATTGCTTTTGCTGCCATTTTCCCGGCAGAAAAACCACGAATTGAAGAAGCCTCTCGTCACGCCGGACGCAGGACGACAATGGGACCATTGGAGACCACTCCATCCTGGACCACCTCAAGGAGGGGGTGCGTCCAGGAATGCAGCGCCATACTATTCTAGTAATTATCGGGCGAGCAGCGCATGCTCCATCTTCAACCGCCCAATTCCATTAGGTACTGACTGAGGTGGACTACCCGTCGGCTGTCTTCCAGCATTTGCTTGGCCTTGGGGGCGCATGCATGCACATGACTTCATGTGGGCCACACTCAATGGGTACCCAGGTATCTGTATGGACAGCTGAACAAAAAAAAGTTGAGACTTCAACTGTTCAGATTTTAGTGGTGGCAGGAACTTGTATGTCGAGTTTATCTCTCTCATGGTAACCTGTTGGGCTGGGTCTAGGATCTGCCGGAACCCATGCATCGTAGAAAATGGTGCATTGAAAGGGCCAATTTCCAGATTGCATACGACCACAAGTAACCTGGAAAGCCATAGGATGACTAACGACGTCGTAGGCGACTGGAGGAAGTGGCTCGTCTTCGATTTGCTACCAGTCTCGATCTTTCCGCCTCTGTGCCGACCTCTCTCGCTGCGTTCAGCATATCTTTCCTCAATCTCTAACTTCACTCTGACCTGTTGGCAACTGCCAAGTCGTGCATTCTCAAGCGTGTCAGACTCTCCTGATGATCTCTTCAACTATTCACCAGGACGCTGGCTGTAAGTCTTATACATGTTGTTCTCTGGCGTGTACGCCTTATATGTAATCTCGCACATTCAGCGTCAATGATGATCTTCGCCTCGCAGAGCACAGACGTGAGTTCGACGTCGACGAGCTTTGTCGACTTGCGGCGCAGTCTGTTGGTCGGAGTTCTCAAGCTATCGACACATTTGTGAAGCTCACCGAGGGCGACTTCAACCGGACTTTCCTTCTCACTATGCATGGCGGCTTCGAGATGGTAGCCCGTATCCCGCACCCCGTCACGGTCCCCAAGTTCTACGCTATCGCTAGTGAAGTGGCCACAACGTGTTTCCTCCGTTCCTCTGGGCTGCCTGTTCCCGAGGTTTACGATTACTCTCCTTCGTCGGACAACGTTGCGAAGACGGAATATATTTTCATGGAGTTTATGAGAAGTACGAAGCTCAGCGACGTGTGGCTGGAGCTGGAGGAACTGGATATCGTTTCGGCCTTGCGTCATCTTGCTCTACTCGAGTCTCGTATGATATCGATTCCTTTTCCGGCTGGTGGAAGCCTCTACTATACCAACGAACTGGAGAAGGTGGCAGGGAGGACGTGCGTCCCGCTCAACGACAAGCGCTTCTGCGTCGGTCCTGATGCCAGGCTGCATATGTGGTTCGGAAGGAGGTTGCAGCTCGACGTGGACAGGGGACCATGTGCACCGCTCTCTGCCTTTTCTTTTGTTGCACTTTCTGGAACTAATCGATACTACAGACGAAATCGCCGAGGCAGCACTCGTAGCAACAGCTCGCAAGGAACTGATGCATCTGGAACAGTTCGGTCGACCGCTACTACCGTTCCGGCGTGAAAGAAGGGAGGCTTACGGGTACAAGGAGCAGTCACCGTCGGACCACATCAAGAATTTCGAACGCTACCTTCTCATCGCATCCCGCTCGTCTCCAAGAACTCAGCCCTCTGTCATTTCCGTATCTGCCATCCCGATCTCCAGCCGAGCAACGTCATCGTGTCGACGTCGTCAGACTCTAACCAGTTGAAAATCGTGGGCCTGCTCGACTGGCAACACGCCTCGATCCTACCCGCGCTTCTCCTCGCTGGTATACCAGGTCGCTTGCAGAACTACGATGACCCGGTCTCGCAGGTTCTCATCCCACCCTCACCACCGGCGAACATGGACGAGCTGGGCCAATCCGAGCAGAGCCACGCGATGGGACTCTGCCACCGCCGTCTCGTCCACTTCCACTACTTCAAGAACACGGAGGAGTACAACAAGCTCCATCACGATGCGTTGCCGGACCCCGCGTCCATGTTCATCTGCCGCCTTTTCGACCAAGCCGGTGCTCCACGGGAGGGTGAGGCTCACGCGCTGAAGACTACGCTGATAGAGGCAACGGAGATATGGGGGAGACTTACGGGGGTAGGTGTGCCGTGTCCAGTGGCGTTCGAACCCGATGATCTAGCCAAGATGAAGGAGCTGAGCGCAAAACTGCAAGTAGCGGATGAGAATTTTGAGGGGTGCCGAGGCATGGTTGGTTTCGAGACGGAGACTTGGGTGTCCAACGAACACTACGCGATGGCCATAGCCCCCGCCGAATTGCCAAAGCTGAGGGTGTTGACAGAGATCCCGGAGGAGGAAGTCCGAGCTAAGACTGAGGCGAATTGGTTCTTGAACGATATGGACGAAAAGGATCACATGTAATAAATCGATCGAAACATTCCAAGGCATGTCCAGTCGACCGCCCTCTTCATGTATGTTGACTTCACGCGACGCTTGTTTCGAATCGGGATGTGTGGAGTGCACGGCCCTGGAGATGCGGCCTTGGTCCATCCCACCGCGATGGACGCAGAAGTCAACAGTTCTGAGAATGATGAGTTGGAGCTAATGTCGCTGATGTGCCTTTCTCCATACCGCACAGTATCCTTGGTACGTGTCCTTTTATCCATTTGATCGCTATTGAATTCCAGTTTCAATGCAACAACGCTTCGCATTCCTTTCACTTATCACCTCGACTTCGACGCCGTCCCACGTCCATAATTTTTCCGGGTACTCCGCCAGATGACACAGATAATGAGAGATTAAACGACTTTCTGTCTCTTGAGAGCGTGGTATGTCTAATCGTGTGTGTTGGAAAGCGCCTGCTTAAGACACCAACCGAAGGACGAATCCTACGAGCACCGTTAACTTGCCGACCACAACCTCTGTGAAATCCTCTCTGAGTTTCCGAGTCAACACCCATATCACAAGACTATATCTTCGACGTCCTCCCTCCTCTGCGGCCCTGTTGATTTTCGATCGCAAGTGCTGTCAAGCTGGGTCCGAACTTGGTGCATGATTGGCAGCTTCAATAAGGTGAGATCCATCTTTGTGTCGCAATACGTTCATGCGAAGCTCAAGATACCCAGGAGCGGCGTATATCATACCTCGCCAGCCTACAACATGGTACGTGTGGACCCACTCTTTGGCGTATATGTCGACAGTAACATTTCCATTCGCCATAACTGACAAATTACGGAAACGCAAGGTCTAATGGTACGAAAGGTGCCCAAGTTTGCACTTTGGCGTGTCAGCGGGCCAAGACACTTTACCTGTGTTGCCGCTCAAAAGCTCAAGGACCACCACCATGACGCTAAACGGGAATATACGCAGAAAACGAGCAGTGACGTACTGCATCGCATTCTCCCGGGAGACCCGAGGGAGCGAAAAGAACATGTGTTCAAGACCTTATTCGGAAGGGAAGCGCGACGGGAGGCTCACCAAAGAATCTTGGAGCCAATGGAATACTTTGGGACACTTGATTGTATTGTATGTGCGACACCAAACCCTACCAGTGTCGCATGGAACATGGCCGCTACTTGCGGCCGTCAATGGTGAGTACGTGAACATGGCACTGCTTGGGCAACGGCGAACTACGAAGTCCTTGCTTACATACCTACTTCAGTTCGATGTTTGGTACGTGGTATCCATAAACAGTGTGTCAAGATATATCGTGACACGAATATATTCGCACTGTTATCTAATTTCCTCGCAGGAAGTGGGTAGTTCATCGGGACATCCGGTGGGTCCACAATTGTATATAATTCGTGAGTTCACGTACTCTATGGGTTACCCCAGAACGCAGCTTCATGCAGTGACGGCCAATTCTCTTGAACAAACATTGGGATGCGAAAGGGTAATCTGAACATGTATCGATGTAGTTGCACCCCATTGAGTGATGGAAGGTGCGCGACTCGAAAAAAAAACAGGTTTTATCTGCACAGGAAGCCGAAAGGATAACCTGCGCTTTGTCAAAATTACCCGGTATAGCTGATCTTCTACCCCGAAGACCTTAGGTGGCTGCCAGCCGGGGTTCTCCCGTGCCGCATAGAGTCTGCCACGGTTATTCTCGCCTTACTTGTCTCCTCATCTTTTGCGGGGTCTTCCTCTGGGCGATACCTGCGTCGTCTCCCTGGGTCTTTCTTGACCCAGATGCATCCGCAGCTACTTTGCTAGCGTTAGTTTTCAAGCAGTCGAAGTTAAATTCAACTCATCACCCTTTCATTGACCTTAACAATCTAAGAGTGCAAACTGCATGCTTTGGTCCCCTCGCACTGCGGTTCAGATCATAAGGGTTGTAGCAACCAACAAGAATTTTCGACGGTCTCTATAGACACATTTGGTGTTGGCATTTCTTTCGGGTTGAACTGTAAGATCGTGGGCGGGGGTCCATACAGAGACAAAGACGCCTACAACATAGTTACTGAGCTGTTGCTACCTTACGTTGGAGCAATTTCTGTTCTATCAGGTGAAACAACGTACCTAGTACCAGTCGAGTGAACAGAGACGAAAACAAGATCCTCCAGTTGCCCGTAGTAAGTACTTGTTATCTGACCTCCGTAACTTCGATTAACCTACGCGCACGTTCAAAATTGCTTGCACTCCGCTTGCATTGGGAAAGGTGTTTGTAGGCAGTCTAAAACCAGATAATCAGTGAGTACTGCCTGAGGTATTGAAGTACATCTTGGATGGGAACCGCCTTTGGCATAATGGTCACACACTAAGAGCCAGTTCGGAAACCGGTGTACAACCCATTGCTGACACATGTGTCGG